GTGTATGTATTTTTGAAAGACATATTCGAATTTTTTTTAGTAGAAATGATCGACAGATTTTCTTTACTTTCGATCAGTGTGTACTCACGGGAGAAAATTTGCTCGGGAAAATTCCGCACCTCATGATTCCCAGAAGCACACACTGCTTTCGATAAATTTTCTTCGAGCGCATACACTGGATGGTAGTCGACAGAATGGACTCTTAAATTTCAAAAGTGGCGAATGTGTAGTAGTTAAAAAGATATGCCGTCGAACAAAAATAGAGCTACTTCTGAATGTTGTTCGAGAATATCGTTCGGCAAGATGGAAATCAAATTTTTAAAAAGATTAAAACGGGCATTACCAACGGGAACAGAAAGTACATTAATGCGAAGTGAGTTCCATTCGACCCCGATCAGACATTTGCTGGAAAAACGGCATTCGGGAAATCTGTTTTCGTTTGATTTTTGTCTAGTTTGATGAGTTCTTGTTCATTGCGCAAGTATACAAAGAAGAAAACCTTTTGAACGTATCAATTTTCGAAAAAAAAAATCAAAAACGTCTTTATTTAGAAAACAACTTATTAGAAAATTGAATGGGATATTTTAAAAATTTCACCAGACGTGAACCTATTCATCCATTTTCATTTTTCGTCTTCAAGTTTTTTTTTGTTCTTGCGTTGGCCGCTTCGTTGAGACGAGCTAAAAAAAAGTATTTAAAATAACGTAAGTTGTTTAAACGGTATATTTTCGTTGGACTTATTCAGCGACAAAAAATTGTCGAAGTAGTTATTTTTAATGTCAAATTGCACATATTTTACGCGATTGTATAAATTCGACAATTCTGCAAGCACTGAACAGGTTCATAATTGATCGTAAGAAACGCTTTCTGGAAAACTAGAAACGTTAAGTTGATTTTTTTTAAAGAAAACTGATCAAAAATTTAAAAAAAAATCAACTTTTCTGCTCGGCAAAATCATCGGAAGAGGTTTTTTCGCTTTCGGTCAAAAACTCAGATTTTTTCGGCAATTTGGAGAAAACAACAAAGTACACTACTTTTTCGCTATTGTTTCTGCCAAAATTTGCTACTGTTTCGCCGAAATCGAAAAAAAATACCCGATGAGTTCGCTGAGGAAATACTGTTTAATTCCGCAATAACTCGTCAGTAAATTACGGATGAATGTCTACAGTAATAATTTTTCGTTGCCACGTTTTGACTAACGACTTTTTTGAAGTTTGTTGGCAATTTTTGATTACTGGCAATCGAAATTTTTTTTATCGTTCGTTTTTTTTTAATTTCACAGTTCATGTTTTGCAGGCGAAAATCGAAGATGGTATCATTTTCGTAGCCGACAGTTGCTGCTTCTTGAAAACGTAAGTTATTATTCTTTTCTGAAGTTGATTTTAACCAGTTTTGAATTAAAAATTTTCAAAGTTGAATATTAATTCTTTAAATTTTTGTACACAATGCGCTTTCTGTGTCTCTGCGATGAATGTGTCTCGGACCGCTGTGAGCGTGTCTCGAGAACATTCGTTGAGTCGGATTTGAGAGAGCCCGCACGGGTGCCGCGATCTCGTGCCACGAGACGCGGACCAACACCTCGCATCGGTGACCCTTAGGGTCCGACCCAGGAGGGAATGCCTGGGGAGTCTAGGCGCACACGGTGGAGTGGCGCCGAGGCACTTCGTTGCGGAGACTGCCGAATTGGCAATTTTATAATTTTTGGAAATTTTTGGAAACTTTGATGATTTCTTTGGAAAGCGCAACGAAAAATTTAAACATCAACATACATTTTAGGGGGACCATCGAAGAACAATCAGTTTTATAATTATTATTTTAATATTTGATTTTTTCACGTACATTGGAAAGCATGCCGAGAGCCGGAGAACGATGGGGATGGAGATGGAGAGCAACACATTTAAAACGGTCACATTTTTTTCACTTTTATTTCAATACTTAATTTCAGATCGGAAATTAATGTGTCTGGATTATGTGAGCGGAAATTTTTCAATCGGAGGTCAAACAACACTATTCTGTTCATGTGATTCGTGCGTTGAATTGTCTTGTGTTTCCATCAAAATTTATTTTTTTAGAAATTTTTTTCTTCCTCCTCCGTTTCACACTCCTGTTTGCTATTGATGCCCTCTTACCGTTTGATTTTCTTCTGAAGCCTATATGAATAACTAAATTTTCAGGAATAATTTTCCTTAATCTTTCGCGAAACCATTGACAAATCAATGTCGTCGTTTTCTGCTCGATGAGAAGTTGACAAGAAATATTGAATTCTTCTATAAGAATTAATTTTCAGAGTTAACTTTCAGACTACGCACAACGATGATTGTTTTATTCGAAGGGAGCTCATCCTGGCAATTTCATGAAGAACAACTGTCGATTCGCTTTGACATTCGATATGAAATGTTTAAATTTCAGTGGGTTTCCTATTTATTTTTCATAATTTATTGAGGCGAGAGTAAAAAATACTTCGCAAATTCGTTATTGTTATAGTTTTTTGTACATTTGCCTTTTTTTTAATTTTCAGAAGAAATTGTGCGACATGTAGCCGACGCTGTTTCAGAATACCATTGAATATTTATTATTGATTGCGGAACTCCCCGTAAAAGCGGGATTCCCAATCTTTCAAGAAAATCTCTCAAATTAAAGGGCTTGAGGTTTGTATTTTTAATGTAACTTATGTTTTATAGTAAGATAAGAAAAAAATGCCATATGAAGATTTTGTTCGACGATTGATGTGTCCGCATTGAATTGAATTTTATTTTTTCCTGTTTGGTTTCGATTTTCGGTTTATGAGACGCGAAATTGGTCGACACTTTCAAAAATAAAAAATAAAAATGCGACACACTGAAAAATAAAAATAAAAATAGGCTTGTCGTTCCGAAGCCGAGTATTCCAATTCGCGCGCTTAGGTTCCTGAGAATCAGCGTCGCCGCCGGTGTCGGTTTTAAATAAACTTGCGTAGAAATTGAAATATCATATTCGAAAAAGACGAACAACTTGCGATTGCGTAGTTTCGCAGGTTATCCAGAGTAGGGTATCCGAATTTTCACTGTTTATATTCAATTTGCCGCCTCGAAAAAAGTGGGATGGTCCACAATTATGCGTGATCTTTTTTTGCGATAATAACAAATCGGGTTTTTCTCCGGATAGAAATTGAAGTTTTTAATGATTTAATTGCAATTTTTATTACGAAATGGATCAGAAATGGGTAATTATGTAAAGAAGTCATGATTGAAAGTGATTTTATAACGCGCATGTGCTCGGTCTTTTGCGAATGTAATGCTTAATCACGATTTTACTTCATTTCAACACCCAATATTTACGTATTCATTTAGTTCTATTGTCGACGTCATGCGATTGCGTAAAATTGGCTAAATGAAAAAAAAAAACGATGGCTGTGGTATTGGCACAATAGTAAAATTGTAGATTTATGAGCCTATGCATAAATATAGGTTAAAGGCGCACACCGCACACTAGACTTCTTTTTAAATATTTTGCATTTAGCCAATATTCACCGTCGCGCGACGTCGACCATAGAACTAGCTAATCCATTAATTGTGGCCGCGGCCGAACCTAATTTTTGAGTACATTTCGTCTAGGTCACTGACGCCGACTAAAAATTCGAATTAATTGCCTACGTGAAATATGCTATGAACTAATAATTCGCGACCGTCGGCGACTTCGAGGTGCATCTTGAACCGAAAGTGAAAAGCATTTTAACATTTTATTTAAAATATTTCGTAGAATTTTAAAAAACTGACAAAATAATGGTTTATATCAGTTCTGCGCATATTTTAAATATTTGGCTCAGCACTGATCGATAACTGATTGGAAGCGTTTTGGACCTGCGTTCGAGCGGTGCCTAATATTCGTTTGTTGGAAGAATTCTTCGGATAGCTTTTATTTCTTCATTCATCAGATGATTGTAAAAATTAAAATGTTTTTATTAAATCAGTTTTGCCCGCTAAAAAATGAAAAACATTGGTTCATCATGAATATTTTCCAGATCGAATTTCCGTTTTTCTCTTGCTGCTCTTTGGATTCCCACCGAAATTGGTAAGTCGTTCAAAAAATGTTTTACGAATTTCGATCTTTCAATAAAAAAACCGATTGATTTTGCACATTTACGAGCCATTAAAAACTTTGTGAGAAGTTTATCGTCACTAAAAAAATGTGTTGTCGAAAGAAAGAAAACGACACACTAATATAATTCATCTCCATGTTAGGGTATTTTATCCGCGAACGAAATACCAATCAAACTCGAAGAAATCCGTTTCGACATATCGCAATCCGACCCGAAATTATGCAGATTTAAATATATCATTGAGTCGTATCTATTTAGTTTTTAATTTTTCCGTGCGCACGCAGTTTTTCTTTTTTTTAGCTCCGAGACTCGCAGCAACCGATTCTGGTAATTGATTTTTTTTCCGAAAACAAAAGTTAGCAGAAAACATTGTGAAAACGGTGAAACATCGTATAGTCGGCGTCCGGGTGGATTTACATGGTCTCGCACGGAATAACTGGTCATTTTGCATTTGTGACGCCTTAAAAATGGTGGCTCCTTCCACCATAAGGGTCAGCTACATAGGTCTTTATTGTGTATAGCGGGAGCGGCCGGATGGTAGGCCGTCTCCGCAACAGAATGACAAAATATTCCACAGAGAGCGAAAGATGAGTAAATCATGTGGCATCTCTGGCGCGTCACACCTTTTTAGGATCGGTTGGACGATTATTAATTTTGATTTGAGTAATTCAAGGAAATACCCGAATTTAAAAGACAATATAAGCAGTTCACGTGAAAACATCGAAATAATACAAGTTGCGAGACCATTTCGACACACACAGCACACATAAGTCTCTTCCAGAATTTACAAGTCATTTATTATTCTGCTGTAAAATTCTTTAAAAAAAACCGATACCTTTTCACGGCTTTACTATAATTTCGTTATTATCAATAGATCACAATTTGTTGATTCACAACACAATGAATGAAATGACAAAAAGGATTAAGCATTAATTCGCGATGGTCCGGTTGGAGAAGGCCAATATGCGAGATTTTCTGTCATCAATTCAAAGTCCGCACATGTTTGATTTTTGATCTTCGGGATGTCCCGAATTCGACTGAAAGCTTGAATGCCTTGGATGGACCATTTCGATTTTCTTACCCATATTCTTTCCACATTTCGTTTCCTCTTTTCGACCACTTGTCAGCTTGATAAACCGGCTCGGGCAATGAAATGGGAGTTTTGCAAATTTGATGATGGGAACTCAACGCCAATATAAGTGCCTCCACCTCGTCCATGTCCTTAAAGCCGATCTCATTCAAAAGCAACTGATAGCAGACAGCTTGTGCAGTTCCTTGAAACGCATTGGCCGACACGATGTACGCTTCGTTGATATTGACTCTCGTAATATCCCGATCAATTACAGTCAGCGGCTTGACATTTGAGATTTCTGAATTCAACCTATAGACAACACAATAGATGGAGCGTCTAACTGCTATCGAGCCGATTGAAGAATCTTGCAGAACTTCTTTTTGTGGCAATCACGACTGCGAACTTTGGCGACCAGTTCTTGAGATTCATCTGTTTGGCCACCTCTTGACAGGCGGTTCTCATCGCGTTGAGTTCTTCATTCAATATCTGAACACGACAAAGATTGGATTGAAACGAGCCTAGTGAACGGACCATTTGATTTTGTCCTTCGGACACACCGTCGCGGATTATCAAAATCGTTAGAGGATATCTTATACGGTAGGCCACAAACTGCTCGATCATCCACTTCATTCTTCTCTTGAGTATATCCGATTCGACTTGCTCCTTTTTCGGATACTGATAGTGAAAATCCCCAACGAAAGCTTCATTATGAGAAGCTCCATTAAATGAGAACTAAACGATAAAAAATGAAGTGTGAATAATCTCGATTACAAAAAAAAAACACGGACTCCTACGACGCTGGGGACCATCACACATTCATTCGTATTCACTTGTCCAGGATGAGCAACATCGTAGGAAACGATCAGCATATTCTCATTAGATATCCATTTATCCCGCCTTTAAATTACATATCAATTTCTCGCAAAATACGAGCCGCAAATAAAGTACGCGCTAATTTCTGGAGTGATCTCGTAGTTCAGTCCTCCCAATTTGATGTTAATTTTCTGGATTAAGTTTTGAAGTATAATTCCATCCGGTCTTAATCAATTTTCCTTTCGATCAATTCCGTTTGAATTCAACTCACGTTAACTCGCGCGCAACCTCAGTTGTGAGCAACTGCGATGGAATGGCAAACATCCTTTCGACGAGTTTCAGACTTCCTACAATCACCACTAAAAGCACGTCGTCGTTTTGAGCATACCGTGGGAATTATTAGCCAAATCATCGATGAATATGATCAGGTCTGTTTCATCTTTGTTGCTGCACTTGGTGAACATCTGAAATGTCTGGTTGAAAGAATAGAAATCACAGTAGAACAACATACGCGCTTCAGGGTCTCGAAGTAATCGGCGCCCAACTTGTAAGCACTTATATCCTCGATGATCCATTTGCCAACGGAAATGCCCGCCAGTTTGCAGCCATGGCGAAATAATTTCAAGCAGTTGCTAAAAATGATATATATATAATGGGAAGGATATTCTTGTGGACTTCACTCACTTGGCAACACTTTTCTTATTATCATGAGCCACAACTATAGTGGAACAAGATACTCCGCAAACAAGCTTTGGTCCATTTTGACGTATGCGTGGAGCTTCTCGTTGGATCGCCGTCACTGTTTTGGGTTTTGCCGAAATAGTGACACCGAACCTGCAAGCCTCCCAATAGTTCAAGCATCGCAATTTGATAGTTGGTTACATTTTCAAATATTTATTATTAGCTCCGCCAGCGTCTAAATTGAGTTCGTGCAGCAATTTTTGAATTTCGCTGTAGCGAGTTTTGACGGGAATCGGGCTGGGCTGAAATCAAATAAATCAAATTATAGAGATGGATTTGAACCAATTCAACCTTCTCAAACTGCTTCTCGTTGGGAACGCGCTGATTCGGAAGCAATATCATTGTTTCGAGTGCAAACAGCTCCTCGCGTTCCTGAATTCGGCTTTCCGATGGACGAGAGATTGTCCAATCGCTTACCTTGTTATTATCCCCAATTAATGCACGTCCTGCGGGCAGGTTTTTATTAAACGGACCACGGACATTGTGAACACGAGCCAGATAATCAATGAGGGTTATTTGATTACCTGAAATTTCGATTCAAATGCAATTTGCTCAATATCAAAAATACCGTTGTGTTCGAGTTTGACATCAGACATTGGGAGTCTGGTTAGCCCGACGCATGTGTACGACTTCTTGTTGTAAGTTGGTTCGAATTTAAGACCTTCAAAAAGTTGTTTGACTGAAAATTATTCGAATTCTAATTACCCTTGACGTAATTATTTATTTTCGAAAACAACGTGTTGTCAATCCCTCTTCTCTGTTCAGTGTTTATTGATTTCCAATCAAAATGCACATGTCGGCCGAAATAAGCTTGAATGCATTCAGCAAATGTTTGCGTCTTGAAAAATGTTCCAGCTTTTGCTTAAAACATTCAAATTATACACTCGTGTACCATCTCGTGTAACTCTCGTACAATCCAGAATGAGCGCCGGCGTCGTGTCGCCATCTTTCCGACCCTTTGCATTCGGACATCCTTCGATGAACTTGATGCTTTTATTCGCGCCATCGCGTTCTTCGTGTCCATTCTTATTGTCGCGCGCTGGTCTCGACATGTCGAATATGCTGCCATTTCCGAACACCTGAACGAATACAAGTCATCAAGTGCCTCCTCCCTTCGTTTTACCGTTAGTCCGCGGTCGCGAGCCGATTGGTTCGTTAGCAGATTCAAAAAATTGGTTACAATCTTGCTCGTTTCTGCTACATTTTTGGGAAATTCGTTAGAAAAATCCGATATATCAAAATAAGGGATGCTCGCGTTCGGCACGATCGTAATCACGAACACGCTGGGATTCGAATAGTGAATCAGATTTTGGATGGCTTTAGGAAGGTCGGCGACGGCCACTGACATCTGCGTGATTTTGCCGGAATCGAATGCGTCGATTTTGTTTGACGTGTAGAGCGAGCTGACGCAGTCGTATACTCGGGCAGTGTCATCATTGATGACTCCATGTGTGTCGAGGGCCTTCCATAAGACTGCGTGACAAATTTTGTGTCTTTCTGTAGCCACACAGCTGAAACAATTTTATCGAAATTCTTCGATCTCATCGATATGAGTTATTAAACAAATATTGTTTTGAAATAGATTTTTCGAGAAAAATCACCAATTCACTTACTTGTCGGTTTTGGGTCCAGTTAATGACGCCGTGAATGTTTTTTCGCATTTCTGCGGATCTTTGGTCATGATGTTGATTCCGTATAGCTCGATATCAACATCATATCTGTATACGATTGTGTTTTTCTTGATATGAATCGACCAGAAGTTGGTGCTCACCTTGGTCTGAAATCATACTCAACGTCAAATCTGATTTTTTTTTGAGAAAACAATTCAATTCATTTGGAAATTCCAGACCAAATTGCTCACCGTTATTGCGTTCTTTAATGACGCCGGCGCCAGCTTGTCTGTAACTTCGGAACTCTTCAAAACGCTATCTTGGTTCAGTGATTCGACAGTGGAATAGCGAATTTCCTTCAATTGCTTTTTCAATGAAGACATTTCTTCTGGAATTTGAAACACTGTACGATGAATGACGACAGACGATTCTAAGAGGGGAAAGGAGAATTTCGGCAAAGTTGTGACGACCGCAGTTATTTGTTTCGCTTATATACAATCTGACATCTCTAACATTAGCAATGAGCGATGTCACTAATATAAGCAATGCGCTACGACTCTAACATGAGCAATGCGATACGTCTCTAACATGAGCAATGCGCTACGTCTCTAACATGAGCAATGCGCTACGTCTCTAACATGATTAATGAGGTATGTATAACGACCAGATGGAGAAATGTTGTACTTGCGATATACAATCATCGCCCATTTATATTCAATTTTATGGGATGATTCAATTAAATGAGTGTTTTCGTAATTTTATCAAATAAAATTTAATAATTCAAATACGAAAAAATCATCGCTGTTGCCCTATTTTTATTTAATTCTTCTGATGAGTTGGTCAGCAGAAATGCGGAAAAACATTCACGGCGTCTTTAACTGGACCCAAAACAGAGATTGGTGATTTTTCTTGAAAAGACAATACGTATTTGTTTAATGGCTCATCCATCAAAGCGAAAAATTTTGATAAAATTGTTTCAGCTGTGTTTCTTCAGAAAGACACAAAATTTGTCAGGCAGTCTTATGGACGGCCCTCGATACAAATATGTACAGGGTGCGGCAAAATTACGGGTGCATCGATAAGACGAAATAACTTTTTTAAAAATCAATAAAACTCTTTCAAATTTATACCAAAATTTATTCAACACATAACAATCACAAATTAATTATTGTTGTTCGATTCTTGATAACTTCCTTCAGACGCTTCGGATAGGCGTCGACGGTGGCACGCAGGTATTTGGCGTCCAATTTGTCCCATTCCTTCAGAAGGGCAGCTTTCAATGAGTTCATATTTGGGTGTGGGAAAGCTGACACCTTCTCTTGCAAGACCCCCAGACAGAATATCCCATGGGGTTCAGGTCAGTCGACGAAGCGGGCCAATCCGTTGACCCGATGAATGTTGGATAATGGCTGCCGCACCAGTCTTGAATGATTTTGGCTCGTTGTGCAGGCGCTCCGTCTTGTTGAAAAGTCCACGACCGATTTCCGAAGTGAGATTGGGACCAAGGAAGGAAATTCTTCTTCAGGATCTCATTAAGATAGTAATTTTGATCAATCTTCACTCCGGGATCAACGAAATCAGTGATGTCCTGCCGTCAGCACAGATCCCACCGAATACCATAATCTGCTGAGTATGGGAAACACGATGAATGGTTCTGCCTTTGTTCATAGCTTCCTCAGACCTTCTGGCGATCACTCTGTGGTTTTGGAGATTGAAAGCAACTTCTACAAAAACAGCTTCTCATCCATGACGAAAGTCGTTAGGCGTTTTCCTTGCCGCGTGCCAGCTAGGAACGATTTGCACTTTTTCAATCGAGCTTCTTTAATATTTTCAATTAGAATGGCTGCCTTTCTGACACGATAAGGTATCAGGTTCAGCTCATCTTTGGCAATTTTTCCCACCATCTCGGACTCACATGGACTTCTGACACCATCTTTCTTATGCTACGATCTGAATTTCGACGAACTCGTTCCCTGATGACCTTGACTCTCATCAAAACGTTTCCAAGTTGTTTGTACGGTGTTGTGGTGAACTCCAAGGATTTTAGAAATCATTTTGAACGATGTTCCCTTTTTTTTCAAGTCGATGACGGCCGCGATGAATAGAATCAGCTGTCATTTTTGTAATACGAAACGAATTTCCATGAAACTTTCAGAAAATGATTAGAACATCATAGAAAATAAAGTAAAAACATAAAACTGCACAAAAAATGCGACAGTGCACTATGAGCTTGCGCCAAAGTTATGCACCCGTAATTTTGCCGCACCCTGTAATTTACAGTACTGGCCATAATGATGTTCGCCTAGTGTTTTTTGAACATAACTTGGCTCAAACGCAGCCGATTTGGCTGATTTTTACTGTAAACGCTAAATACAGTTGCGCAACCCTGGAAGCAACAAAATTGCCTCATGTTGAAAAATTAACTTTTTTTTCAATTTTTTTTGTTTCTTTCGATTTTACCATTTTTTCATTTTTTCAAACTTTGTCCATAAAAATTTTGTTATTTGAAATTTGAACCTGAAACATGTTTTTAGTTATTTTTCAACCTTCTGGAAAGAAAAATTTCACAGCGGACGTTCAAAAAGCGATCGTCAACGGTCATAAGACAGGGTCGTTCACAAGCCTTCTGGATCAGCAGTTCCTGTGCTCCTGAAGAGGAATCCAAAAAGTTTTGCAACGATTAAGACAAAATGTACGATTTTTTAATTATTCTGGACTATTTCTAAGACCTCGCAAAACCACTAGGCTCAAGATCGGAACATCTGTCGGGCTTCAAGAGATGATCCTAGACGGACTTCAGCAGATATCCAGATGCTGTGGCAACGTCAAATGCTCCAGTGCCATCCAGAAGAACAATTAGACGTTGTTTGGGGGAGAATGGACTTCATATAAGACGCCCGGTGAAGAAACCATTGATCAGTGAGAAGAACCAAAAGACGAGGGTGGCATGGTGCAAGGATCATCTGAACTGGGGACGATGTGAATGGGCCAAACACATCTGGAGCGATGAATCGAAGTTCAACTTGTTCGGAACTGATGGAATCAAGTGGATTCGTCGACCTATTGGAGCCAGATTCATGGCAAAGTACCACCTCCGAACGGTGAAGCATCTTGTAGGGTCTGGGACTGCTTCTCCGACACCGCCATGGGACCGCTCCGACGTGTAAATGGAATCATGGATCAGTACTAGTACAAGAATATCCTGGAAACCACAATGAGACCTTGGGCATTGGTAAACGTCGGACGTGCATTCGTTTTCCAGCAAGACAACTACCCTGAGCACATGTCTGGATATGTAAAGAATTGGTTCCAACGTCGCCGAGTTGATTTTCTTGCATGGCCATCACAGATTCCTGATCATAATCCGATCGAACATCTCTGAGAAGAACTGGTACGCATGGTTAGAGGGCCCGAGCATCAATTGCCGACGAGAAGCTCGCTCAACTCGAAGCCGCATGGAGTGCCATTCCGATGCAGTGATCCGCACCCTCTTGGACTCAATGCATCGCAGATGTGAAGCGGTTATTGATTCCAAGGGATACGCAACAAAGTTTTGATGAATTAAAAACCGGTTTTCTACACATTTGTAACGTTTTCGGATTTCTGAGACTTTTTTGTGTCATTTTTTCCATTTTCTGCATTTTTATGAAATTTGTAATTTTTCGAAAAAAAAAAACTTTTCTGCAGTATGCGATATCATTCAAACGCATTTTAACGCGTTTTAAAGATATGGTAAAAATTTGAGCCCGATCGGCTGCGTTTGAGCCAAGTTATGCTCAAAAAACACTAGGCAAACATCATTATGGCCAGTATTGTATATTTAATTGTTCTAGCGCACCGTTTCGCCCATCCTCAATTTGTGCATTTTAAAGTCATTTTGAGTTTTTTCATTGATTTTGTGTTCTAACTCTTCGAAATTGTGTAATTTTCAGAAATTTTCAAAAATGCCCAAAAGGTCGAAATGTGTTCATTCAAAAATGTGCTTGAAATCCAGTGGTCGAAATGGTCGAAATAAACAATTTAGATATCTAAATGTATAATTTTATGGTATAAAATTATTGAAAATAAAGACTATTTTTGATAATAGATCAGTGAATCATTCAATTGCGCTAAAAATAAATAAGAAAAAATACAATGCTGTTATTATGTCCATATTACCCTTAAAATTGGCTGTGTGAGAGATTGCATTCGAACACAGAATTTGAGAGAGAAAATAGAAAAAATAAATGAATTAGTTGAAACGTTTATAATATCGCAGATATTGGGAATTAGGATATTAAAAACCACCGATGACGGATCGAATGGTAAGAAAAAAGTGGGACCATTGTGAACTGTACGGAAAGAGAGAATGCACCGTTGACACCGAAAATTCGTTAGAGGTTTTTGAATTCACAATAAATATGTACTGCTGTTAAAAGTCAATGAGAAACTAAAGTGAGAAAATCTTTTTAATTTGCTAAAATACATTTTTTTTCGCATTTGCTAAATTTTGGCTGGTAGCATGGAAATTATTGTTAATTTCTAAAACTGGAAATGTTGTTTGAATGATTTCACAAGGAATTAAAAAAAAGAAAATGCCAGAATTGTCACGTGAAGATCCTTAATTCGATATGAAACATTCATTTTGATAAAAGTAGAATTAGTGAAATGGGTGGTTTCGTTGAGATTGGTGCGAATGCCAGTTTTCTAACAATGGGAATGATTATGTCTTCACTTCCAAGCAAATTTTATGTCGCAAATTCACGGTGAACTTTTAATTGCGATATATTTGATTTCAATCGAATTTCAGAGACACGGATGAAGAGATAGAAGGCATTGAGTGCAATGACCCAAGAGAGATATGCTCTTTTATTTCGAATTTTCCGAAAATTTTGCAAATGAAATTATCAGATGATGATGAACGAACTGAACTGGCTTCTATAACTGCTGAAAATGTGGTAAATCATTAAACACGTTGATGAGGTTCGCAACATGTTTGAAAAAAATGTGTTGTGATGTGAGGAACCTTACCTTGAGTCTTATATGGAGAAAATCCTCATATTCTCTTTTTGCATTTTTCTTAAGGGCATAACATCCATCCACGACAATATTCTTCGCAATTTTTAAAATTTTATCTAAAAATGTAATTAATGATTTTTCACATATTCAATATTTTTAAAGATGAAATCGGCGAATTATTCTAAAAAAAAACTCACAAGAATTCACATAAAAAAATAAAAAATTTCGAAAAAATGGCCGTCGTGAAATTTGTCATGGCTGAATTAATCACGGCCGCGGGCGAGGGTGAAAAACGAGGGCATTTACGACACTCCGTGGTTTACGCCCCCAAAGCATGTGAAATTCATGAAAATAAATTAGGCCCTTTCACACTATAATTGCCAAATTCATACTTGCATTAGGATCGAGAAACTGAAAAAAAATTTCCAGCCACAGATTTCTAGGCCACGTGTTTCGTTAGTGTGCACTGCTACGAAACTTGTATTTCTTTTAGGGTTTCGATGTTAAATTGAACAATGCGAATGATTACCAAACTGATCCGTATAGTATAAAACGTTTCTCAGAGAAGTTCGATGAAGCAATGATAGTCCGCTTCTGAAAACAAAAATCTACCAGAATTGGACATTGAAGACCAATGCCGTCGGTGGCGTTGCGGTTCGCGTGCGGACCCTTGTCATTTTTGGTTTTTTTTGGAATTTTCCAATTGAATTTTAAACAAAGTAAATTCAAAATGGGTTTCATTCTGAACATGTACGACTATTTTTCGGGATTTTCCACAATCCCATTATTGTTGCTGCGTGAAATTAGCGGTGGAGGCAATTCAAACAACGGGCGGTCCTGGGTCTCCGCTTTTTTTCTGACAACCATGCTTCAACCAACAACTTATATTGCAATAGAGATCACCAAATTCGGTAAATCATTTTCGCGAAATGATCACACGCGAACCGCAACGCTTCTGACCACATGCAGATCCATTTATTTCCAGAAGCGGACAATACATAAAAATTAAAAATGTTGTTTTATTCAGTTGTAAAAGGAGCATCGAAATATTCAGAAAAATTGGATATATGCATGAGAAATATGTAATGAATAAAGAGCCAGACATTAAATGGAAAAAATTGACATGCAAGGAGATCTATATAAAGGTTAAAGATGTCAATATCGAACATCTTGCGGTATTAAAAAGAAAAGAACAAAAAAATACATATCGAAAACGATTTAGAAAGTTTCTTTGGAGAAAATTCAAACAATTTTTTTGAATGTGCGACGATATTACACATTTCTTCGTCTTTTTGGTCCTCCAACAAGAGCTCAGGAAATCTTTGAACAAATTCGTGAAGTGCTTTTAAATGACAAGGTTTTGGCTGTTGCAGAATAGGTCCCCGCATACGATGAAACAGAGATCTTGCTTGCTTTGCCCTTACTTCTGGGTCCTACATCGGTTCGGGCTCCCAACTATTTTCAGCATCGTTCTGATATTTAATTCCAGGCAAGATAAGCGCTTCACTTGACCAGTCGTAATTCCCCCCGCGAAATCGCGTTTAAACTGCAAAGTACAATTTTCGAAGGGGATTTAGGCCAACCAAGAAACTGTTGAAAAATTAATCAGAACTCCTTCACACTACATATTTCGCTCTTCAAAATGTGCAGCATCCTTTATTTAGTACGTCGGCTCACATGCCATAAAAATAAACAAATTAAAATTGGTTACCATTGGCGATTTTCTCGATGTCGTCGAGACAGGCCTTAAATGGTTTTCTGATGGAATCGAAGAATTTCCGATTGAACATGATGTCTTAAACGGCGATTGGATGCAACTTGCCAAATTCGTCGCATTCTGCTATGACGCATTGGCGAAAATCAAACCGTCGCAAGAATTTAGCCGACTTCCTCTTCGCGATGTGGTATCGAAAATGTTTCATAGTGACTTGTATGATAACGTAAGTCTTTATTGCAAAAATTGATTGAGGAATTTCTTTGAATAGATTTTTTATCTGAACAATGAACATCTAGCGGTCTCGTATATGAAAAGACGAATCGACCTGGTAAAATTGATTTATTGATTTCATTAAGCTTTTGATAATTCATTTTTAGCTGTCATTAATAAGAACATTTATTCTCAAAAAATTTTTGGACACTGTCAATTTTCTATCAGACGCTGAGGAATTTGCTGAGGCCAAAAAATGTTTGTCGGAACAGTATGAGATGACGTGCAATGCGTATCCGAATCTTGTAAGTCGAAAAATGCTTCAAGACATTTCGTATTGAAATACGGGCTCATCGCCTTGATGGCAATGGGTCTCAGCAAGATCTATGCTCGTAAATCTACCCGGCGCCTTGTTGTAGGAATGCTCTTCGTCAAATTCAACCGATACTTATCTTCCTGAAATGCTCGCATTGCATATAACATATAAACTGGCAGAAAAAGACGTAAAAACGAATTTCGAAGACATTTTGCCTGTTTGATCGTCATTGTTTAGAATTTAAACGTTGAATTTTACAATATTTATTGGCAGTTTGGCGCATCAAATTATTGTGACGACGATTTGTCGGATTTGAGCAACGGAAAATTGGCCCGTTTGTACGTTCTCATGAGTCAATTTACGCATAAATTGGAAAACTTGTGTTCGGAAAATAGTCCAACGTCGATAACAACAGAGAACTATTGTCTTTATGAATAAATGAATAATTCAATTACTTTTCATTGTTGTTTTTGTTCTTCGCGCTGCAGATTTTGATAAATGTGACCCCTTTTGGGAAAATTGTTGAATTTGTTGGGATTTTGTCCCGCGCACATGGCAAAACCGTAGTGGCCGCGGCCGACAAAGGCGCGCGCCGACTAGGGCCGGTGTAGTCCACCCGGAGAAGTTCTCACTTCTTGCGCCGCCCATCCTGGTTTTCTTATTATTCTACCTTCATTTTTATCATTTCTACTTTATCTAAGTGTCGCCACGTCATCCCACGCGCAGTTACACGTGTGAGAGTCGCGCATTCATGATTATAGTGCGTTGTTTATGGATTCAAAGAGTTTTCATTGTTTTAAATTAAGTTAAGCTATTTTAAGTGTTCTGACTGATCGTCCCTATTGTTTATTGCCGTTATACTCTTTATACTCTTTTGTCGTTCGTTGCGTTGTTTATTTTCGGGTTTAATTACCCAAGTTTGAGGTTATCCAATAAAGCTTGGTAAAGTATTCTGTGCACGCGTGCAACATCCTAACAACCAACTAATTATTTTAGGCGATTATTATGAACCGGCATTAATAGGACGATTTAAGTATGTATATGGTACTCGAACAATCTCAAATTACGGCGCATTTCTGGTTCCACCATTTTTTTTTTCAACTTTTCCTTATATTTGAAACCTCAAATGTTATTGGGTAACTCAGAGAAAATAAAAGAAAAACGAAAATAATAAACAAAATTTCAACACAGAAATGTATTTTTGGAGGTTTTTTTAACCGATTTAATGCTATTGTGGAATAACACTTGTCTACATACAGTGCTCCACAAAATTATATACCCACCCTAATTTTGTCGAATAACTCGAAAACGCGAATAGCTCCAGAAATGGTTTCAATTAGAAAAATATGCGCATTTATTATTAGTTTCATGTTACATTCACAAAATTCAACAAAAAATAACAATTTTAAAAATTTCGTCATTTTCACGAAAAAGCGGAAAAAGTTTTTCCACAAAATGATATACCCACTTCATTTTTTGGCGTTTTTTCGATATTTTTTTCGTATGTTTTTGTATTTTTGCATTTTTTTTGCAATTTTACTGTTTTTAAGACATGTCTCGTGAAATAATGCCGCTCACCGACTTTAAAAAAGGTGAAATTGAAGCAAAACTGGCTCAAGGTCTCTCTTATCGGCAAATTGGGAATGATCTCGGACGCACACAAAATGTTATTAGCCGATATGCTAAGAATCCAGCCGCATATGGTCAAAAAAAGTTGACAGGTCGTCCTTCACTGCTCTCGGACCGTGATAAGCGCAAAATTTTGCGAAGAGCGTCAAATTCGGTCGTGTCGTGCTCAACGATTCGAAGGGAATTCAATCTCACGGTGTCATATGAAACCGTCCGGCGTGTTTTATCGAAGAGCAACTTCATCAAACACAGGAAAATGAGGAAGGCACCAATGTTCGAATACATCGTGAAAAACGACTGGAGTTTGCAAAAAAGAATCAACGAACTAACAGGAGACAAGTAAGAATAACGTCAACGTTCATTGAACTCTTTTTCTTCCTTCAGGTAGTCTTTTCTGATGAAAAAAACTTCAATTGTGATGGGCCAGATGGTTATCGTGATTATTGGTATGATTTGAGAATGGAGAAGCTACGGTTTTCGCGTAGAAAGTTCAAACGAGGATGCGTCATGGTGTGGGCGGCAATCAGCTCGCATGGAAGAGTCACGTTGTGCTTCGTTATCCGAAGATAAGTGGTTCTGACTACCGATACGTCATAAGACGTTCTCTGTTGCCATTTCGGCGTCGAAATAGGCACAAAAATTACTCTTTCATGCAAGATTGAGCTGCTTGTCATCGCGCTCGCCGCACCATCCAGTGGATACGCAGCCGTAGAATCCCAGTTCTCGACTGGCCAGCCTGTTCTCCAGACATAAACCCCATCGAAAACGTCTCGGGATTTATGGTGGAGAGGATTTACGATAGCAACAAGTCTTTTCAATCAATTTCGGATCTCAAAAAGGCAATCGTGGAAGCCTTGAAGCTTGTCGATCAACAGCTTCTTGACAACCTTTATTTATCAATGGACAGTCGAATTTTTTATGTAACACGACTCAATGGAGGTCCAGTTAATTACTAAATGTTCATTTTCTTTCAAATTCTAACTCTCGATCCTTTTTCTGAGTTTTTTATCAAGTGGGTATATCATTTTGTGGAAAAATTTTTTCCACTTTTTCGTGAAAATGACGAAATTTTTAAAATTGTTATTTTTTGTTGAATTTTGTGAATGTAACATGAAACTAATAATAAATGCGTATATTTTTCTAATTGAAACCATTTCTGGAGGTATTCGCGTTTTCGAGTTATTCGACAAAATTAGGGTGGGTATATAATTTTGTGGAGCACTGTACTTGTTCGGAGCACACAAAATAAAATTGTTTTACCATTTCAAGTTATGGACCTATTCATGCAATGAAAAAAATTAAAAAAAAAAAAACAATTTTTTTCAATTAAATTCCCTATGCACGCACGTCGAAAATTACAAAAAATTGACGCGATATATCGTAATTCTCCGCTATTTATTTTTAAAGGCGCACGCGAAAAGTTGCGAGGGTCACGTCGCGAAGTCGGTACTGTATTTTTTATTTTTCATTCTGTGTGCTATTTTTCCGTATTTTTCTAAAACTTTGAAGAGAAAATGAGTAACAGATTTAAGAACGAGTAAAAACAATTATTATTGGTATAATTACTTCTAATTCGACAATATAAGTCTATTTTTCGTCATTTAGATGCCAATTATCATAAAAAAGAGTGATTTTTGTGTTGATTTGAAGCAAACTTCGCTCGATGACGCTTTCAATGCACCTTTAGTGTTAATTAAACAATATACTTTTACAGATTTCCAAAAGAAAACGTTTTAAACGCTCAAAAAATAAAAAAATCAGAAAAAAACACCCATTAAAAAAATACAGTACTGACTTCGCGACGTAACCCGCGCAACTTTTTGCGTGCGCCTTTAAAAATAAATAGCGGAGAATTACGATATATCGCGTCAATTTTTTGTAATTTTTGACGTGCGTGCATAGGGAATTCAAATGAAAAAAATTGATTTTTTAAAATTTTTTTCATTGCATGAATAGGTACATTACTTCAGCTTCTTTCGTCTTCTTTGTCACAAAAAATGAAAAAAAAAACATTTTGTTTTATTAACATAATTGTAGCCTTTGTGAAAAAGCATATATCGTCTTTTGCGCATGACAAAAGTATGTAATCGACTAAAAAAATGATTGATATCAATCTTAAGTAGCGAACTATGTTCGACGGTTAAATAAAGACAATTACTGTATTTATTTCTGTCGTTTTTTGCGTAATTTTTTCAGAGGTCTCGACGATGGAAATTCTTGAGCAATAAAAAACACCGTTATCGTGAAGGAAACACCGTTATCTGCGTCCATGGATGGGAGGATGCGTGCTGGTGGCTTTGCCATCAATCTGGTTATAATGACTTGAGACTATACGCTATCATTAGTGTCGTATAAGCAAACTTATTAACATGAAATCTCTGTGATGCATTAAGGTAATCGTCGTTTGTGTCAATTCCTGGTTCTCCTGATTCGAAATTGCACGAAAAAATGTTGTTGGCAAAAACGTTTTATGGGAAACAAACAATGCGTTGCACCACTAGTACTAACCTGGATAAAACATTTTTGCGAAATAGGTGACCACACGCGAAACACTCAAATATAGAATAAATATGACTAAGGAATGCTTCTGGAAAGGGTCAGATCGAGATTTATGTTTATAGCCCAAATAAGGATTTGTAGTTCTGCTTTACTTGAAAAAAATATTCGATTTTTGCACTTTTTAAAAAAGCCACAATAAATTGGTTCTTATATGTTATTTCATATGCTGAATACGATTAGTACTGAATGGTCTCTTACTTACTTAGTCACTTAGTCGGTTCGTCCTTCGCCTGTTGAGGCGCGAACCACAGCTTTCCAAGCTTTTCGGTCCTTGGCTTGGGTGGACCAGGGGGTGATAACGGCTCCTTCAGCTGTTCTTGTAGTGATCTCCTTCCGAAGCGAGTCCGACCATCTCATGGGAGGCCTTCCTCTTGGCCGGGTCCAGTTCCACGGCCGCCACTCCGTTAGAAGAGTAGTCCATCTTCCATCTGTTCTTCTAGCAACGTGTCCAGCCCAGGTCATCTTCCTCTTCGTGATGTGGTGTAGGGGGTCCCGAACTTTAGACATGATGCGGATGTCCTCTCGATGAAGATCTTGTTCTCGTTGTTGTGATAACGTGAGGCCAACCAATCTTCGCTCAAGCGCAGCGTGACTAATTCGGACTCTCTCGGCAAGAGCTTTGGTGAAGGTCCAAGTCTCTGATCCGTAAGTCAGCGCTGGGAGAACGATGGAATCGAAGAGCTGTGCGCGGGTTTTGTTACAGGAAATCAAATCGGTGGTGTTCTTGATTCCATTAAACGCTGCCCAAGCTGCTCTTCTCCTTCGGAAGATCTCCTTGACTAGCTCGTTTTTGGGGGTGAGTAGTCTTCCAAGGTACACGTATTCGTCAACATCGTCAATGATACTGACCGAATTCTGGTGCGTTAGAGTAACCTTGGCGGTGTCTGCGAAGGGGTTACGTAGGACTTTGGTCTTTCCAGCGTTAATCTGGAGCCCTACTTGTTCGCATCTCGCAACCATCTCACTTAGCATACATCTCGGATGCCGCTCATCTCGGATGCTTGCATACATCTCGGATGCCGCTTGCGGACTGTGCGCTATGAGCACGACGTCGTCTGCAAACCGCAGGTGTGTGAGGTTGCGGCCATTCACTCGTAATCCTGGAGTGTTCGTATTGTCTTCTGAGTCGTTTTTGAATTGACTCCAAGACAATTCACGGAAAACTTGCTCCAGGCACGCGGAGAAAAGGTTCGGCGAGATTGGGTCACCTTGCCTTACTCCTCTTCGAACAGGTATCTCTACCTGTCGATGGAATGGCGTGATGCTTGTGGAACAGTCAGAGTAACAACTTTGGAGTAGCTGGATATACGCTTCTTCAACGCCTTGGTCTCTTAGGCTCTGCCACACTGCTGAATGCTCAACACTGTCGAACGCCTTCTTGAAATCAACGAAGACAAGTGTGAGTGGGATTTGGTATTCTCGTCCCACTTCTAGCAGTCTTTGGACAGAGTGGATGTGATCCACTGTTGAGAAGCCCTTGCGGAACCCAGCTTGTTCTACAGGTTGATTGGCTTCTAGTTTACTCCTGATTCTATTCAAGATGCATTTTGTGAAAGCCTTGTATAGAACAGGGAGTACCGTGATTGGCCTGTAGTTCTCCAGAGAGTATCTATCACCTTTCTTGAAGATGATAGTTGTCTCTGACTTGGTCCACAGTCTCGGTATTGATCCGGTTTCTAGGTAGCGGTTAAATCGGTCCGTTATCAGCGCGATAGTGTTTTCGTGGCAGCATTTGAGGAAGTCTGCGCTTATTTTATCACTACCAGCTGATTTCCCATTTGGGAAGGACCGAAGTGCCGAAACGATCTCCTCTCGTAGAAATGGAAGGGGCCTATCCTTGACTTGCGCTGTCGTAGGCGTAGGCGCTTGTGGGGCTCTACTCGCAAAGAGCTTCGTGTAGAACGATTCCACTTCCTTCTCCATTTCTGTTCTAGAGGTGAGAGTTCTGCCTGTAGTAGAGCATTTGAGGCATGGAATCAGTGATTTGTATTCGTTCATGTCTCGAGCTACTCTCTTCAAGCTTTTGCGTTGATCGGCTGCTCCTAGTAACCGGGAATTGGTGAACTCCTTGTGATCTCGTTCGATTGCTTCTCGGCACTGTTTTGAGAGGTTCTTGAAATTGGGATCGGACCTGCTCATGTTTCGTCTGCGCGAGAGCAATTGTTGTGTTTCGAGAGAGATCCTATTGGTCCGGTGGTTTGATGGTTTAACAATGGCTTGGTCTTGTAGTTTCCTGAGTAGCGTTGTTAGATTAGAGTAATCTTCGTCAACGCTGTTGGCTACTGGAAGACTAACAATCGAGCTTATTGTTTTAGCCATCTCCGGGTCCAATACTTTCTTCGGCGCCTTTCTCTTTCTGCTTTTATCGTACTTCAGCCAATTTATGTTGAAGTGGATGTTCGCACGGAGAAGGCGGTGGTCGCTTCCTACTGTGAATGATGGCAGCACCGAAGTATCTGTTACAAACCTCCCGTTGGCGAGGATGTGATCGATTTCGTGCTTGAAGAGGCCATCTGGACTTATGAAAGTCCAACGCTTATGGGCTGGCTTTTGGAAAAGCGAGTTTGTGTGCCATAAGCGGTTTGTTTCACAGAAGGTCGCGAGGAGTTCACCAGCGTCATTGCGCGGTTCCATCGAATTGACTCCGATGAACCGCTCATTCTCATTACTTCTGGCCCCTACGCGTGCGTTGAAGTCACCGATGACTAGCTTGTAGTCGCTCCTACAAGAACGGTAAGCTTCTTCCACAGCGTCATAGAATTGTTCTATTTCTTCAGGATCGGCGTCGGCGGTTGGAGCATAAACTTGCATGACTGTGCATTTAAGCTTATTTCCGACCTTGAATGTTAGCATGCCGATCCTGTGGCTAAGAAATTTTACTTCTTCTATACGGGGAGCGAGGGTGCTATGAACTACAAAGCCGACCCCTCCAACAACAGAAGTGTCATGACGTTTGCCTAGGAAAATCGCTGTCCCATCAACGTGTTTCATATGCTCTTCAGTTGGCCTTTTCGTCTCGCTGAGTCCAATGATATCGAATTTGATTCGATTGAGTTCATTGAGGAGCTCAGAGAGTCTGGTTTCTGTAGCGAGCGATCTACAGTTGAAAGTGCCAATTCTGAAGTGAACATTTCGTGTTTTTGGGGGCGATTTTCCATTAACCGAGACCAGACAGTTGCCATCAGGCCCGGGTTGCTCCCGTTCTGCTTGTCCTGTAACTGTCAATCCAGGGGCAGAGCTCGGGTCCGGGACATTTCTTCGCTTTATACTGTTTTTAGCGGACTGGGTCCCTGTTTACTTCTTCCGGCTTGCTAGGCCGAATCGAAGCCGCCCGGATGAGGAGTATTCGACTCTACCCTCGGCCTGCGTGGGACAGTGTACTGATTAGCCTGAGCATGTTCCACTGGGGTGACGAAATCCCCAGTTATGTAGAGGAGCATGAACAGTTTATCTTCTTCGCCACGAAGAGGCTCAGTAACAGAAGAAATGTTGAAATTTTCATCCGGTGCTGAAATTTGGAAAATGAAGAAACAAATTAAAAATGTTTTCAATTTTATTAGATTTTCCGTGTGTAATATCCATAAATGTGATATGCTAATTATACACATAATAAAACGTGTTTATGTATTACGCATATAATGTAATTTGTGAATGAATATTTTAGTAATAATCGTGTTTTCGCTGAAACTCGATACCCTTTTCCGGTGGTGGTGAACAGCTGAATGCCTTTTTTCGAGCGCCTCCATCACTTGGCAACAAAAAGTTGATGGCAGCAATAAATATTATTGAAGAATTGATTTCCCTCGTGGCGCCTGAGTTGCGTCATCTAACGAATCATTTCCCCCCACGCTTCTGAAATTTATGCGGTTTTTTAATAACAAAAATCGCTAATAAATTCGCTCAAAAAATGTTTTCGCCATTATTCATTTTTTTGAGTTACTTATTAGTTTTCGGCGAAAAACGAGACTAAATGAATTTTTCGAAAATCGAATTTCGAATTGACTCACAAATCAAACGCAACGCTTCAGAGGGCATTAATTTTGCAGCAGCCGATTCTACATATTAGTCGCGTTCATTATTTTCTGACATAAGAAAAAAAATCGAATGTAGCAAACCAGCACCAATTGGTTTTTGCGGGCAAATTTTTTTTTTGAATTTTTTTGCCACTATAATAGAAACCAAAGACAACGAATAAAAAAATTAAAGACTCGATGTTTTCAGACGCTTGGAAATTTGAAGAACAATCTTTTTGAACGCTTCGCATTTTAAAAAATTCCGAGGTCACACATTTTTAAAAAATTAAAACAACTAGAAGGCTTTCAAGAAATTCTGTACAAATTGGACTAATGCGTAAAAGATCATTAGATTCATCTCCTACATTTTGTTCCAACTATCTCGAAAATATATGTAGAAGAATATAAAAGATCAAACCCCAACGAATCGCCGTGTTTTTTTTTTTGCTTCTATGTATTTCATAAATGAACATGTGCGGAGGCACTCCGGCCGTATTAATAGAGTTGTGTTGATGATGAGCAAGCATCTCTCAATTGAATTAACCAACGGAAATGAGGCGTGAGAAGAGAAGAGCCAAAAAAGGGATTCTTTACAAGTTTCGACCCACAAAAAATTCGCTTCATGTTTTTTTTTTCTTTTTTTTCTCACCCAAATTACTTTATTTCATATTCTCGTATTTGGATTATTATTTTTGTTTTCTTCTTCTGATATTTCTAGCCTATGCTTTTATGTTCAACAAATTTGAATAGGATTCATCATTTCAAGTTCCTTCCTCGTTTTTTTTTTCATGAATTCACAGAAAATAAAATAATGAAGCAAGAAATAATAAGAATCAGCATTAAAATAATTCGATTTATTTAATGCGGTGAATGCAGTTTCAGTGAATGCTCGAATTTGTTCGATTTGTTAAGCTCTGTCGCATCCAGCAATGCGGTTTAAAGGCGCATAAGCGCAGATGGTATCAGAGAGAACAACTTGAAGTACACTTCGGTTGTAAATGGTATTTGCTTAGCATATACGTGTTGCGCAAGAACGATAGTACGCCAGAACTAAGGGTAATAAAACGACAGATCAAAGAGGTCCGTAGTGTAAGAGAGCAGACACTACGGACGGTCCAATCAGAGAGCAGGACCACGCCCACTGGTATCAGGAAACCAGTATAAAAGGGCTGATCTGGGCTAGTTCTGGGCTCACTGGCTCACTGGCTCACTGGCTCTCTGGCTCACTCAGCTCACTCATCTCGCTAGTCTCACTCAGGCTCGACCTCACGCTCGAGGTCTCAACAGCTCACGTTCACCGCCGTCTCATCTACTCTCCTCAGCCGCTTCCATCAACAACGACTACGACACCCGCGGACTCGTCGGTAAAGAAGCGCATCCTGGTCGCCCCACACTGAACCACCGAGGCACCACGATTTGTATATTGTATTTATATAATAAAGTTTATAATATACTTCGAGTTTGATTGTACCATCATAGTGTGGACGCCACATTATTTTGGTGCATCGAACAAATTACCGCCAACAACTTCGGGTTGATTGTTCGGGTCCCGCGCGTCTCTAAAGACAATAAGTCGGAAGTGGGTTGTAGCACCTTGTCCAAAGAACTTAACTGTTCAATTGAAATCTATTCCTTTATAAAGGAAGAAAGAAATAATGCTAGTAAACGTGCATAGACTAGTCGAGAACCACTCCTTGGTATCCAAGGAGATTCTAAGACTATGCGCGGAAGCAAAGTCAAAATTGAAAAAGCCATTGCTTTTTGTAAATGGCAGAACAACAATTGAAGAAATTGGGGAATGGGGGAACATTACAAAGCATTTCGCTTTGGAAATATCCTCCAAAGCCAATCAGTTAGAACTGATACAAGAAGAGTTTGACTCATTAGTAGAAGAAATTGATGAGCAGAACCAAGGTAATGCACTGGACGCATGGAAGGCAGAGCTAAAAACAAATCACAGTGAAAGTATCGCAACAGCAAAAAACTTACTGAGAAATCTGAAAGAGAGATATCAGGAAATAGAGGAATTCGGGGACAGAACAGAACCTGGATTCAGGCTGGAAAGGATATTGTTCACAGTAATAGACAAGAAAAAAGAGACAAAAACTAGAGCCATGACACGGGAGACAGAGAGTGAAACAGAAAGTGAGCCAGAAGGAATGCTCCTAAGATCTGGAAGACAAAAAAACCCACTACAAAAAAAGAGGAGTGAAATGTCTGAAAGGGAAAACGAAGTGGCTAAGCGCGAAGATGACGTAATTCAACAACTTCTATACGAAATGAAAAAAATGCGTGAAGAGATGGAGCAGATGAAACTAGAGAGGTTTCAGAGACCAGAAAACGTGGCAAATACCGAAGTGATAAGAGATTCACGACGGTCTGCGGCTAAAGTAAAAGCAGCAGAAAAGGCAGAGACCGAAAATCCGGAAGATTTCGAAGATGTAAATGTTTCGAATCTAATGGCTGGATCTGGAATGATCAATATCCCACATTTTGATGGACGTCATGAAGAATGGATTCCATTCTGGGATATGTTCAATGCATTAGTCCACAGTCAAAAGGCAGCAAATGTGCTAAAATTCAACGCATTGCGAAAGGCATGCAGTGGCGAAGCATTGGCCCACCTAAAAAGGTTTCCACAGGATGGACGTTCCTACCACAAGGCGGTAGAAGCGTTGAAAAGCATCTACGGAGATCCAAAGGTACAGTATAGGTCTCTATGAAAGAGCTATGTGGCGTTGTTCACGTGTTTCGCGTCAAGATTAATTCATCTGGAGACAGTATACTCCTTGACCACAGACGAGTTCTTATTAGCGTTATCAAGATTCACCTCGAGAAGAGGAGCACCTGATTCGATAACTTCGGACAATGGCACTACATTCGTCATGGCAGCAGAAATTGCTGAGGACTGCATGAGGATTGGAGCATGCGCAATGGTAAAACTCGACCATGCCATGGCAATGAAAAAGATTAAGTGGAACTTCAACGTTGCGGCGGCACCTTGGCAAGGTGGCGTATTCGAACGTATGGTTGGAACTACAAAAAGAGCATTGAAACATGCCTTGGGAAATAATATAATGTCACGGTCGAAGTTTGAAACGATCATAGTGAAAATTAACGTACATAGACTTGGAAGAAGTGAATGGAGAATCAATTGAGATGATACGTCCAATAGACTTAGTACTACCAAAATTTAAACAAGTCGCATTCCATGTTCAGAACATGGAAAACGAGTATGCAAGATACACAGAAAGTGTGAGAGAAGTACAGAAATATGTCGACAGATTTTGGTCCGTATGGGAAAATGAATATTTGAGAAACAATAAAAATTTCACTCAAATGGTCACACATCATGGAGTGACATCAAGTCAAAAGATTCCATGTGTAGGAGAAGTGGTATTCGTAATGCCAACGAACAAACATGCAGAACCATGGAAAATGGCAAGAGTCGAAGAGATTTTACCTTCAAGAGACGGAAAAATTCGTGCAGTTATTCTTAAGATCACTTATGGTGATGAAAGAAGCAAACGAAAAGTGGCATTAATCAAGAGAACGATTAACCAGATTATTCCGTTAGAAATAAGACCGGAAAACACAGTAACGGCAAAAACCAAAGGTCAAGATGAATCGGTAATACAGATAGAACATGCAGAATTTGAGGTTAATGAAGTCAGAAAAGACGAGTGCACAAAAAATCAGTCGAGGAAATCAAAGGACAGAAATAAATCTGACAAAAATCGAAAGAAAGAATGTACGGTGGTAAACACCGCAACAGAACAAGCATCGCGAAAGAATCCGATGAGATCCTGCAAAAGAACTCTTGGAAGTTGGAGGAATTCTACATTACTAGCAATAGTAATGATGATATCATGTTTTACAAAAGCAAATGCATTTGGAGTACGTGTAGCATTCGAAGTCGGCAATCAGGAACGACTCAGGGCTAGAGTGACAAATCCGAAGCAAAACTGGCTGTCGGAATGGGCAATGTCGTATAGAGATTCGAAATCAACGATTTTGAAATCATCATAACGAATATCTGAAAATTTGGATCACGTAATCGTTCCACATGGAGACGAATCAGAAATCATTTGTACAAACTGTTGGAGCCGTGACCTCGACACGTCACGTGACACACCGCGTGGCACACGTTTCATAGGAGCGATATAAAAACCCCTTTTTACGCTCAAGAATCAGTTATTCATAGTTGTGTCTAATAAATATATTCTCTACGTTGGCTCATTCACAAGGACACAACAACTGGCGATCAGGATCTACGCACCATGGACGTCAACACAGTCAAACTGCTCTTGGCAGAGCAAGCGAAGCAGCACCAAGACTTCGTTCGAGAAATCACCAAACTACTGATGGAGGGACGACCAGGCACTTCACCAACCGCTTCCGCACAACCAAACACCCAAACAGGGCTTATCGACTCGCTGACGACTCGACTACCGACATTCTCCTTCGACCCGGAGGAAGGAACCACATTCGAAATCTGGTATTCACGGTACGAGGACATTCTGCGACTGGATGGATCAACATTGGACGACGGCACCCAAACCAGGATCATCCTATCAAAGCTCGATGCCCTCGCTTTCGCCAAGTACGCCGACAACATCCTGCCAAGGAAACCATCGGATCTGACGCTCGAAGAGACCATCACCCGGCTCAAGACTCTCTTTGGACACTCGAAGTCTGTATTCCGACGCCGATTCGAATTTCTGCAATCGCAATTCACTGGTTCGGATCTTGTTCAATACACTGGCCAAATCAAGAGGAAGTTCGCGCAAGCAGAATGGGCAACGACGACGCCGGAGCAAACCCAGATTCTCGTCTGGATCATGGGTCTCAACGGACCGGAATTCATGGACGTACGCACCCGGGCTCTGCAGCAACTGGAGTCAAAGCCGAGCATCACTTTGGACGAATTGCAAGCGGACGTACTGCGCATTCTTGGAATCAAGGACGACGCGAAACTCCTCAATTCGCCAACAATCAAAGGACTTCACCACGACCACCAGCACATCTTTGCTATGTCGAGAGAGGACCACCACCAACAACGATCAACGACGTCACGAAGAACCTCGACCCCGAAGGCGAGGACACCCGAACCACAACCAGAACAGCCAACAACGCAGCAGAAGCCACCATCACCATGCAGACATTGTGGAGGACCTCACTGGAATGCTGACTGCAACCGCAACCGAACGGACAGCAGACGAAACCCGAAATCCCGCCGGAAACGCCAAGGATCCCGCAGAGGACGTCAAGGAGGACATCTGGGACTCATCTCAGTCAACCACGCATGGATCAACAAGAGCAACCGGATCTTCAAGAACGTGAACATCAATGGAACCGACGTCAAGATGCAATTGGACACTGGCGCCGATATCTCGCTAGTCTCAACAAAGGATTGGATTCGACTTGGGAAACCATCGCTCGAGCCTGCCAACGTCAATCTGAAAGCCGCTAACAACAACAGGATTCGCCTCAAAGGACGGTTCAACTGCAAGTTCATCATCAATGGACAACACGGATCCGGATATTGTCATGTAGCCGATACCGCCACACTCCTCGGACTGGATTGGATCCAGCACATTCCCCGCTCTCTCTTGCTCACGGACGATGCCGCTGCCGACGCACTCTCTCATCTCATATCGGAACATGCCCGCACTATGGAGAACGAAGATCGAGTCATTGCCGCCGTCGAAGCTGAAGTCATCGCCGATCGGACCGAACGCTGCTCGAACCTGCCCGTCACCGCCGACCAGGTTCGTCATCACACCCGCATGGAAACGCTTCTCCAAGAACAAGGATCGCGAAGCCGGTCAGACTACCACAGATCAATTCATCCCGAAACACCTATGTTTCGAACTAGCGAGGGAGATGTTGGAGCCGTGACCTCGACACGTCACGTGACACACCGCGTGGCACACGTTTCATAGGAGCGATATAAAAACCCCTTTTTACGCTCAAGAATCAGTTATTCATAGTTGTGTCTAATAAATATATTCTCTACGTTGGCTCGTTCACAAGGACACAACACAAACAATGGTGTAACATTGGTCGACAAGTATCTCAATGAAACAATGAAGTACAGGCTCTGCAGTCATACGTTTTGTCTATCAGACATAAATCCTGCGTTCGTGACACAAATCGCGTTACCAAAGGAGGAAATGATATCCTGGCACAAAATCACTTGGAAAAAGAGTGTTTATTCCGAATATGTGATTATAGAAAAGAATTGCCCACCCAGGGCTCAATGTAGTAAGATAAAGTTTTGGATGTGCAAAGATGTTCTCATGAATCCTCATTGTGCTCCAATAACATTTTCAATCATGTGTGGTATTATGATATTCATCCTCGTAATTGTACCAATATGGACACTTGTGAAGAAAGGTGCAATCATGTCGTGTTGCAAAAGAGCACAAAGAGATAGGGAAACACCGATCAAAGGTCATAAAATGGATATACGAGAACAGCCGAAGGATCATAAAAATATGATTACGAAGTGCCCTAAAAATGCACAAATCGATGATGCAACAGAAAGACTTGACGAACCAATCGAGGCCGACAAGATTAGCCAGAGCTCGAAGAGTAGCCTATGGGAACCTTCGATGATGATCGGTATTGTCTGTATCATTATTGTAGTCCCAGGAGTGTATAGTTGTGATAAAATTATACCGATATCACATACCGAAGCGGAATGTGTGAACAACTTATGTCGGGTCAGGAGCATCCAAGATATTTTCGTGCATCCACTTGTGAATACAGTATGTATACAGATCATGAACAAAGATCAGATCATTACAAAAATGTCGGTAAAAATCGATTATGCAGTCAGAAAATGCATAAAAGGACATGTGACACTGACCAGAAATTCCACTATTGTGACCCAATCACAAAAACGATGCGGAGGAAACGCAATGTGCAAAGGAACAAAATGTGAAAAAGTTCACAAAGATACGTATATTCCTGATTTGGGAGAAGCAAATAAGTATCCAGGGCATTCACACTGTGCTGACAGTTGTGGAGGCTGGGGTTGTGGATGCTTGTCACTTACGGCAGCATGTTTGTTTTATAGAAACTATGCTATCCCAACATCCGATGAGGTAGTGGAAATTTATAAGTGCGAAAACTGGTCAAAACAAATCGCTGTGACGATAGAAGTGAACGAAAGATTCAAACCAGAACCTCACCATTTAATGGTACAAGAAGGTATCCCTAGAGAGTTGAGGATGGGAGAAGATTCCCTCATAAGAGCAAACATCACACTAATTGACCTAGAAGACATCGATAGGACGGATGTAAAGCACAAAACATTTGTGCAAATTGTGGAAAATATTGCTATAAATGGCGAAGACCCTCTAAAGCCGAGTTTGATATGTTTCGCAAATCGAACATGCGAATTCATGCAAGTGTACGATGGCAGAGGAAGAGGCGATATGTGAATGTAAAAACACTGACTATTTCAAGTTGGTACATCATCCAGACCGGAGCTTACCGATAATTGGGAAAAATTATCATCTGTTGAAATCTGCTGACCGTATACCAATACTGAAAGAGACTCAAAACCGATTGCACATGCAAATCGAGTTTGACCAAGTGTACAACACCTCAAGCACAGTAGAAAGCATACCATGCGCGATAACAGATTATACCCATATGATCGGCTGCTACAATTGCATTCAAAAGGCACACATGAATCTGACGTGTGAAGCAGAAAAAGAAAGTTCAGCAATCATCAGCTGCGGTGAAAACGAATTTCTAGACAAGATATATTGTAGTCCAGAAGGGAAAGTGAATTCCATCACACGAGAATTTTCAAGACCCATTGTATCTGAACAATGCGAAATCAGATGCGGAGGAAAAAAGAACTTCGTTCTTATACAAGGAATTCTGGTATATGTATCAGCTCAAGACTACGAAGACGATCATTCGGAAACTCAAAGACGTGTCGGAAATGATACGCGGTTCGAATTCGATTTTCCAGAAGAATTGAATTTTTTCCAGAAAATCAAAAATGCAATTTCGATTGTTATTGACAAAGCCGTATATTCGGTAGGAACCATTGTAGTGTTGATCGGTATATCGTACGTCGCATTGAAATATATCCTTCCGTTGGTGATAAGAGCCATTCGGGCAGGTTTTTAAAGAGAAACATTTAAATAGAGGACTCTTATAGAGTGATACTATATATCTTTTTTATCAATATGTTATTCACATTATAATCAATTATATTTATATAACCAATTGGTGTCCCAAGTGGTAAAGATGTCGGCATCCAGAGATAAATGGGCGGAGCTCACTATGAGTAAATCCTAAAGGAAACGCCCACAAAAAGGTAATCTAGTCGCTGGGAGAATGCTCCGCAGTAAAAAAGAGTCGAAGAACTCACAAAACCCGGGGGAGTGTCGCATCCAGCAATGCGGTTTAAAGGCGCATAAGCGCAGATGGTATCAGAGAGAACAACTCGAAGTACACTTAGGTTGTAAATGGTATTTGCTTAGCAGATACGAGTTGCGCAAGAACGATAGTACGCCAGAACTAAGGGTAATAAAACGACAGATCAAAGAGGTCCGTAGTGTAAGAGAGCAGACACTACGGACGGTCCAATCAGAGAGCAGGACCACGCCCACTGGTATCAGGAAACCAGTATAAAAGGGCTGATCTGGGCTAGTTCTGGGCTCACTGGCTCACTGGCTCACTGGCTCTCTGGCTCACTCAGCTCACTCATCTCGCTAGTCTCACTCAGGCTCGACCTCACGCTCGAGGTCTCAACAGCTCACGTTCACCGCCGTCTCATCTACTCTCCTCAGCCGCTTCCATCAACAACGACTACGACACCCGCGGACTCGTCGGTAAAGAAGCGCATCCTGGTCGCCCCACACTGAACCACCGAGGCACCACGATTTGTATATTGTATTTATATAATAAAGTTTATAATATACTTCGAGTTTGATTGTACCATCATAGTGTGGACGCCACAAGCTCTTTGACAACAATTGCTTCGATGAAGTGATTCATTTGCACATGAATGTTTGATATTGAAACCACATTCTGAAATTTGATGCTCAAATTGTGCGTTTGTATAACATTTGAAGTATATAAACAATGAGAAAAACCAAAACGCTCTCTTATTTTATTGCAATTCATTTATAACAAAACATTCTCAGCAATTTGTCTGGTAATTTGTTTCGAATCGAATTCGACTGATCTGGGCTCCGAACTCGACCGAATTCGGTTCGAAATTCGTCGTATTCGATTTGAATGCACTGGAATTCGTTGCTGATTGGATTCAATAGTGAGATGTCAATTTCTTCGTTTCACAATCGAATTCAACGATTGATCACAAATGAATTCTTGTCGATATCCACACAGAAACTTAATGCGACAAATTTCGTATGTAAATCGGTCAATTTCGGAATTGAAATTTGTGGTTTTTGATTCTGCGTGGATTATCAGAGATGGCCTTTTAAAAGCATGACTCTATGAAGACTCTAAGTTTGGCGAAATCTGCATAGCACCATTGAACATTTCATGGCCGATGTTAGAATCTTCGGCCATACGATCACGGCCATGATGAGTAATATTTTGTTAAATTCGATTATTTCAATTGACCCTGACTGTAAATTGATTCCGGTTTCTCCAGAATTTATTGAGAATCATCATTTTCAGATGTCATAGCAATTTTATAGAATTTTTTTTCAAATTCCGGAAAAAAAGAGAAATAACCGCACGCGAAATTCACCGTGCTTCACAATGAAGATCTTGACTTCGATAGCCGCCTTTTTTTCAGAAGCGCACTATAAATAAAAAATATCAATTGAAAATTGGCATTTTCCCTAACAGACCTATCATTCAAATTGAAACCCTTCTGAAGAACTATTTTGAAATTCCCCATGGTAACATTACGTAAACATTTAATCCACTTGTCCGCCGGATATGATTTTCGGGCTCTTAAATCCGCTCAATTATTCATTCATATGACCTTCACACGCTGAAAACATTCCAGTCCGCCAGCCAGCCGTCGGGATTAGCCGCAGCGAACATGTGCGCGATAATGGGAGGAGTTTCGAGGGAAAGGGCGTCGAGCCGGACGGCAAGCTTCGCGCTCGCGGGCCGCCCAAAATTATTATAATGAAATGATTATGCAAATGCTTTATTATGTCTTATTCTGCGACCAATATGAGCGCCGCTGGCAATCGAGTACGTGCGTTTCGAGTTTTGTCTGAAAATGACACATCGCCGTCGAATGAGGACGACGATGAAGAAGACGTCGTTGTAATCGAAATGCATAATTTTGTTGATTCGTTTCGACTCGTCAACATGACATTTTTTTGCTGTTAGGCTTGAAATAAACACGCTGCGACACGATCGCGAAAACCTTGAAGCGGCACTAAATTGTGGAAAGGTTTTGAGTTGAAATGAATCAAAATTTTTTCTTTTTTTTTAATTCTGGTTATTTCTGCGCCTTCACTTAGTTGTCTCTATTTTTCTGAAAAAGAACGAAATATCTTTGACATTTGCGCGCCTCAAACTTCCAGCTTCTTCTTTTTAATTGAACTCATTCTGCCATATATATATTCAATTGCGAGCAGATATAAGTAATGTCAGACTATTTCAATTGATATCCAGAAATTGGCAATATTCATCGTTTTCTTGATTTTTCATAAGTTGCCGAGAAACCGAAAAAATTTGTTTAAATCCGAATAAAAAGAACCTCCAAACTGTCATTGAATATTCTTAAAATTTTTAGATTAATTCAAAAAAAAATCATAAATATTCATGTCATCTTTGAACTCGAAAAAATTGTTTTTTTTTTTCTTCCATCCATCGTCGCGCATTCGAAATGAGAGAATACACGCGATAAAACCCACCTATACACATTTGTAATAATAATAATAATAATACTAATAATGTGTACATATATATATATACATATATTGAATTAATCAATTTTGTGTCAGCTGTGCGTCGCCCCAAAAAAAACTATTATATTTTGGGCCATTTCTCACTCATTTTATTCCGTACGAATTTGTGCCAGAAGTTTTATACAACATCCGATTAGGCAAATTTGGCTGATTGTTTTTCATCTTCTCAAATACTGTAAACTTCCTTATAAGCTTCTAATTTTCTTCCGGTGTGTCCATCTAAAAAAAACTGGCCATTTCCACCGATTTTGTTTAGTCAAACCCAATTCATAAATTTATGAGAACAATGATAGGTTTCGGATGTTCGGATTGGCCCAACAGAATCCAAATGGATTGTGCTCGCAGTTGTGTGCTTTTCTCCGCCATAGTTCGTTTGAATATTTCATTAATCGCCAGAAAATCCCCGCGAAGAACAATTCGATTTTCATTCTAATCCGCTCGTTGTCGTTTTCTCATATTTAATTCTTGTCCAGCCAGATTTCGCTCTCCATTCAATCACTTCTCTCATTCCAGGAAACGTCGAGCTGATGTCGTCGAAACAAGATACTTCAGCTCCGCAGGGTTACAATATGGGGTAAATTGCGAGAATGCTAAACGTTTTTTTTTGATTGACTATATTAGGCATCGTCATTCGTTGACCATCGAAACGAATCCGCTTCACCTTCTACCATCAAACATGCGTCGCTTCTCGCAGGTTCTGCCTCCCCACAGTCGTTGATTCTTTCGAATTAAGCCGGAAAACGGAAATTGCAAAAAAAAAATGGTGTCGTCGATTCTGAGATGAAGAGAGATGACAGAAAATTGGCTAAATTTGGGTTTGACGCAAAATATTTTTGGCATCATCCGATTTGCAAAATCACAAAAAGAAAAACGCAAAACCCAACATTTCGAATGTCGAAAATTTGGAATTTCAGGCCGACACTGCTCGTCATCCAGCAGCACCATTGTTGTCGAAATTGGCTGCTCGACAGCAAATTCCGGTAAATTGAAGTTCCCGTGAGATTTTGCCGATTATTGGTTTGTAGGAAGCGGTTGCTGAGAAGAAGGACGACGATGAACAGCAACAACCGAAGCCAGAGGAGAAATGAGCCGGCCGACTTAATTGTGTGTTCAAATTGCGCATTCCTGTGAAATTCCCCACTTCATCGCGAGTTTAATTGCGTCTATCCCTTAAAAAAAACAATTATTATTATTATTATTATTATTATTATTATTCCCTTGGATTTCGTCAATGTTCATAATGGAAAAAAATAAACTATTCGGAGCAAGTTATTTATAGAACCATTTACGCAACAACATAACTTAATTTGCACCCATTTTTATTCTCTGCACCCAATATTTTGCTAATATTTCAAATATTGATTTGCTTCCAAATTTCTTGCTACCAGATTGGGACTTTCAAAAATTTGACAAGCTCACAACGGTTCGGAACCTTCGATGTCGGGACAAATGGAAATCGCAATATTTCAAAATATTTTTCAACTTTCATAAATTTCGTTAAAAATTAGATGAAATCTGATAATTACCTTCTTAATGATGTTGTTGTTTCAGACTTTTTTGTCGAAATAATGGACTTTGTGAGGCGTTCGGACGGCAAAAGATTCGATCCAAAGCAACAATTAGTTGGCCAATAGATCTGAAATTTTTGAACAACTTTAAGCATCGATAGAGTGATTATGTAACAAAATTAGAAGGTGTAAAACACATTAGGAAAATTTTTATTGGCAAAAAATCAGAAAATCCATAATAGCGAAAAACCGACTTAAATAATTTTGATACCGGTACGACTTGAAATGAAATGGAAAACAACAATTATCTGTCAGGAAACTTTAAAAAAAAACTCAATATCTTGTTGACATGTCATTTGCATCGATCACAGTTTGATATCGGAGACCCATGGCCTCGTCAACTTCGGGAGGGTTGAAACTGGTATATCCATCCATGCTCTCCTCAGCTGCTCGAACATTTCGGCACAATTTTGTACTGTTTGACCTCGAACACATCTACCAAGATCTTTCCACATATCTTTAATGGGGTTCAAGTCAGGTGACTGGCTTGGTCAGTCCATGACGGCCACCAAACCGACAAATATGGTCACTTTGTAGATAATGTTCCTAATTATCGGTATTATTTGAGAAACTGCTCAAAGTGTGCTGAAACGACAACATTTGCACGACGGTCTATTAGAAACTACCCCCCCCCCAATTTTTCATTCCCAATTTTTATGCTTCACCCCTACTTTTTCACTGCACTTTCATACCACTTTATACAAATTTATAACCTTAAAAAATTTAAATATAAATTAAAAATAAATTGTAAGAAAAATTAAAAATTTTTTTTCTGAAATACATAGTGGAGGTGGTTTCTAATAGACCCTTTCTTGAGTATATATTTCAACTTTCTAATTATAGTTCTTATGGTTTGTGTAGTATCGGGAGAGAGAGAGAGAGAGAGAGAGAGAGAGAGTTAGTCTTATTTATTTACATTTAAAGCAGATTTTAGCTGAAAAACTAAAAGAAAATAATAATAATTAATGTTTATATTCGCCTAAAAACCGAAAATTGACGCGGAAATATCAAAATTCGTAAATATACAGTACTGTGCAGTAAGATATACAATTTCCCTTTTTTATCATAACTTTCTGAAAAAATAACCAATCGATATGAAGTTTTTGGACAACCTTAAGCGTCGATATAGTGATTATGTAAAAAAAATTAGAAGGTGTAAAACCCATTAGGAAAAATTATATTGGCAAAAAATCAGAAATTCCATTATAGCGAAAAACCGACTTAAATAATTTTGATACCGGTACGACTTGAAATGAAATGGGAAACAACAATTATCAGTCAGGAAACTTTAAAAAAAAACTCAATATCTTGTACATTTGACAAAAATTTCAAAATTTCCAGATATCAATATTCTGAGAATGTGAATTAAAAAACATGGAACTAAACGAACAATTCTGGAACAAAAATGATTGTGTTGATGTAAAACATTCAGAGAAAATCACCGAGAGAATCGGTAATTTGAAAAACGTCAAGCTGGTTGTATAACTAATTGCATTAAAATTAAGAAATGAGAAAATCAAAAATAAAAAGAAATATGATATAAATTCGTAAAAATGACACGAAGTGTGCGACGTGAACTTACTTTAAGAAACCATTTCTGTGCTAAAAGTTAACGAACTAGCAAGCGATCAGTTTATCAAAATGAGCGATGTGTCGATGAAGAAGGTTGTGGAAGTGGAAGATGCCGCAGAAGTAGGGCCTCCTCGTAAGCGGGTGAAATTCTACCATTTCGCCGAGGAGGTCCTCTTCGAGGTTGTTGAAGGTCCGTCTGTTTCTTTTATTCAATGATGAGTTGATTGGATTTATGGGGCTCGGGTTAGGGGATTCGACACACCATCCTTCAATTCTGAAATAAGTCATTGATTTCTGATTGTGTCTTCAACCGGAACCATTTTTTTCAAACTACCAGTCGATTATCATTTTATTTAAAATTTTCGATATTAAAAAAATGAATTTAAATTATTTTGTTCAAAATTCGTCCTCATTATAATTCATACAATCAATGAAAAATCAATAGACAATTCAAGTGGTTTAAAATCCAAATTTCAAATTTTCAAAAATTTCGAATTTGGACATTCTAGGACTCTCTAGAACAATTTTGACAAAATTTTAACAAAATTTTCTGAATTACCAGATTGCAAGGAGCATTTTTGAAATTGAGTATTCCTCAAATTGAGCCAGAAATCACAAACCAAAAATTATGAGCCACTAAGCCACTGATTATGGGCCATTTCTTTTCGATTCCAATGTGTCTCATGAATAAATACTGAATATCTTCATATTAGGTCAATAGAAGGCTGCTTTTTGGATTTTTGTATATAATTATTGTTGTATTTTTTTATTGAAAGTTTATTGATTTCTTGAGGTGGTTAGGATATTTAAGATTTTTTCATACATATTTTTTCATTCGCCGAAAACTTTCAGCGAAATTCGCTTTTTTTGGAGCGATTTTTTTTTGCTTTTTTTAAAGCAAAATTTATCAAATTTGGGATTTTGTGTTTTTTTTTGGTTGGGAATGGGGAAGAGTGAAGAAAAAACTACGGTATAAGTCAAAGGTGCCTGCAAAAACCAAAAAAAATATGACAAAAATTTTTTTCTTTTTGAATTTTCTACTTCGGCATATTTCGGTGAAAAGTTTTTAAAGGCGCATATTGCTTGCAAGGAATACTGATTGTTGTCCTCGAAAATGTCCTGCGAATTCGTCTTTGTCGATTCTTTCCATATTGGTACTGCGAAATTGTCATTTGATGCGCCTTTAAAGGCTTTTCACAATCTGAAGCTCTTGAAGAAGTTTAGCGGGCATCTATAAGGTCATATGTTTAGGACCGCGGAAGGGATACAAGAGGACGAGAGTGAACGGGCCGGAGATTAGGAAGGTGAAGACGGAATTGAGCGAGTCGCCGACGAAGAGAAGAAGACCGAAGGAGGTGCCGCAGGAGGAGATGCACGCCGCGTTCGGACCCGATGCCGAGCCTGTTGAACTTGACATGACACCACACAGCTACTTCTGCTACCGGTACTGTGTGGCGGGTTGTGCCCACGACTGCCCGTGCCGAAAAGATCTGGTGCGGTGCTGCCCGCGGTGTCCGTGCAATCCCCGCACGTGCACCAACTACGACCTGGAGCGGGAGCAGCAACGGCGGTCGGCGAAAGCATCGAGGGCCGAGCGAAGGCGCACGGCGAATCGAGAGTGGGCCGCGATGGAACCCGTGACAGAGGGGATGGCGGAGCAGGAGCGACGGTTGGCGGAGAAGGCGGCGGCGGCGGCGTTGGTGAAGCCGAGGTGGAGCGTGTTTTCGGAGGAGGATGAAGAAGAGCCCGAGGAGAAGAAGTTGGCCGTGTTTGCGGAAGAAGATGAGGAGGAGGATGAGGAGATGGCGGTGGCGGAGGACGTGGTCGTGTCGGAGGGTGAGCAGGAAGAGCAGGAAAGCGGCGAGCTTGTGAGGACGCCGGAAGAGCCGGAGGTTGTGCTCGCGCGCACTCCGGAGGCTGAGCAAATGGCAAATCCGGCGGTGTTAGAGCCGGTCTACTTTCACCCTGAGGTGCGTGGCGCATTGCGCGGTCTGATCGCGAGTGAAGACCGGCCACAAGGGCGCCAATTCTTGACATCTGGCGCCGTTTTCGCCGGACTTTTAAATCTGGTGAAGACGGCAAAGATTGGTGTGGTTTGGCCGTCGGCCATGAAAGTAGTGGTCGACGAGGAGGAGCAAGATCCGGAGCATATCGCAATTATGCTCAAACGGTGCACCGCTGGGGTGCGCCGTGAGGCTGAGGTTTTGTTCATGCCAGTGCATTTCCATCAGCACTGGCTCCTCGCCTCGTACAAGACGGCAAGTGGCAAGTGCGTCATTTATGACTCACTTGCTGCGAATCGCCTGCCGAGCGACCGCAAGAAGATCTCGGCCGCAGTGAAGCGGGCGTTGGCGGCGTTGTATCCGGAAGTCTTGTCGTCCGTGCGCTGGGCGCCAAAACACCACCAAATGGCGCAGACGGACGGATACAACTGTGGCATTCATGTCATCGAGAATGCCCGAAGAGTCCTGGAGAGAAGAAACACCAACCTGGCCGGAGGAGAAGACATCGACATGGAGGGCGAACGGAAACTTCTACGATTCGTCGTGGAAGGCTTCATTCCGCAGCTGGGTAGGTTTCTTTATATCGTTTCTAGCTTGGGACAGAGTTTCCGTTGAATTTTCGTCGTCGATTTTCATTTGGGAAAATTTTCGACTTTTCCTGCGAAACAAATTACGGAAATTCAACGATATTCTGATTTACGCTAAACAACGGTCGCTGTGTTAATGGCGGAGTCTCGTAATAGTCCGAAATTTGCTTGTGTTGCAGAAGCAATTGCGGATGAAGCTACGAGAAACCCGCCATGTCAGGATGTTGGCGTGCAGACCACAATAAGACCGACGAGACGCGCGTCAACAGACGCCAAAGGCCGCATCCAGAGGCTCTACCGCCAAAATCTTGTATAATTAAAAAAAAAAAAAAAAAAATAATTAAAAAAAAAAAAAAAAAAAAATTAAAAAAAAAAAACAAAAACATTAAAAAAAAAAAAAAAAAAAAAAATTAAAAAAAAAAAAAAAAAATTGAAAAAAAAAAAAAAAAAAAAAAAATTAAAAAAAAAAAAAAAACATTTAAAAAAAAAACTAAAAAAAATAAATAAAAGAAAAAAATAATAAACAAATAAAAGAAAAACAAAAAACAAATAAAAAAAAAAAAAACAAAAAACAAACCGATATTATTGTCCTATATTAGGACACCCTATGGGAACGACTGTTGAGCAATATAATGCTCGAAAATTTGATTGCAACATTGATGGTCGAATCGGCATCAACTCGAGCCATAGGATATTTGAATTCCTCGATTTTATGGATCAAAGAACAAACGATATCGATCCGAAAGAAGGAATGAATGCACAAAATCAATGTGCTCATGGAATGGTGAGTATTCTGACAACAATTCCCTTCGAACTTATATTTTTCAGTTGGAACTGCATTCGAAAATTATAAACGAAGGCAAATAGACCAATTTGAAAAGGATTTCATCAATTGTACGGAACGATTCGATCAAAAGAATGGAACGATATCTGTCGAAGAAGCTGAGCACGGGATGACGGTGCTAAACGAATGGTGAGTTTTAGCCATTTGCACATTGAGTAACCAGTGTCTCACATCAGGGTTAAATTCAAATCCATAACATAAAAGGATCAGCGGCTAATGCTCTGAAGTTGTAATTCCTGAAACGGCTTGACCAAAATATCACTCCCCCCCCCACAAATCCAATTAAATTTCTCCTAGTTTCCTTACTAATTACTATTTTTCCCACTTATTTTCTTTTTTTTTTTTTAACTATCCACTACCCCTTTTTATTCATTACTTCCCAATGACATATTTTAAAACGACGGACAGTTTTTATTGTAAAAAAAAGAAAAAAGATCCAAAATGTCGTTGAAATTGTTTTCGTTTGATCGTATTTTATGTGTTTATGTTTGATTATTTTTTAAGCTATGATGATCCTTAAAAAACTATTATGATGATCCTTAAAAAACGACAGGACAAAATGAGTTGTAAAAAAACATGAAAAGATCCAAATGTCGTTAAAAAATCGTTTTTTATTCTATTGATTATATTATTCTGCTTGTATTTTTTTGTTCGATTGGGATCTCTGACTTCTGCAGAGATCGGATGAGTCACATCGTGGCTCTCAAATGTACGACATTCAATTACCGTCTCAAACCAACAGATAATCTAATTTCAGATTGAAACTGACACAAAATACCGAGTTAATAAGAATCTGGTATTGAAGCCGATGGTGTGATTTGGGAATCAAATAACCAACTGATTCTCATTTGAAAGCGAAGGACGCAAAAATGTAAGAAATCACTTTTGAAAAATGATTTATTGATTGATTTTTTGCAGTATGCAGAAGCGTCTTTACTTCGACAAAGATGAAACGAAAACATTTGATTGAAGCTGGAAATATCGAGAAGTGAAATGATGTCTGAAGGATGAAGCACGATTCGTAGTCAGATTCAAAGTGAAGAACATTGAAGGTGCTCATTTTGTATAAGCATCATTCCCCTTTTACCCTTCCCGTTGTTTTTAAGACTTAAAAAGATTTAAAAAAAGAAAAAGAACGACATTAAAAAGAAAATGCATTTGACATATTTGCTATAAAGCGACGGACAATCTAAATTGTAAAAAAAAAACATGAAAAAAAGATCCAATGTCGCTGCATTTGTATCATTTTTGTTGTAATTTTTTCAATTCTTGTGTATTTTATTTTTTTTTTGTTTCACTCTTCTTGGGGATCCTTGCTTTATAATTTGAAGGATCGGGTGCAACACTGGAATCGAATGAAATGTAAGCGATTCTTTCGAATTTCTCATCAATATATAGTTTTTCAGAGCGAAGACTTCAAAAAAGCAAAAAATTGTTCGTTTCGAAGAAAAAGTTTGCAAGAAATGAAAATGGAAAGAGGTCACGCGAATTGGAGTTCAGCAGATATCGATGGGTTTTGATTGATTTCTGATGGATTCGAGTGGTCGAGGATGAATCGTTGATGGTAGTGTGAGCAAATGATTCATTGAAATTTTATCGAAATTCAATTTCGCGGCCAAGCCGAAAGCCGGCCGGCTTTCGGCTTTTTGTTGAATTTTCGCGCCACGGCTTAGCAGGCGCAATCACACTCAAACACCCTTGTTTTATTTCTACTTATTTTTGAATTCCATCGTCAGAATCAAGTGTCGAAAGGCAATTTTCGTTGATCAAGCAAAATGTATGACACAAACCATATAGAAATGACTTAAAATTTGATGAGAAGCTAGCTATTGTCCATTTAGCTCGAATTAAATTAATTTGTTTATCGTTAATTTCGAGGAAATATTCAAAATGCTCGATTAATTTTCAAATTCGAAAAATCGTTTTCTATTTTTCGTTTTTTTGGCCCGATGATGATTTTGGAAGGTAATGTCCCACAATCGGAGGGCAGTGGGTTTAATGGGCGGATTTAGAGATTAAAAGAATAAATTTAATTTGATTCATTCTTGCAACGGAGCTGAAATTCACTCTAAGCATTTCCAATCGTACTACCTCAAATGATTATTCTCTGCGAAATTTGACTAGAAAACATGTGATTTGAATAGAAAAACAATTTAAAATTATTTAATTAGAAATATTAAAAAATTTCGCACGAATGATTTTTACATTAATTTTTAGCCCGATGATGATTGTAGGCTCTCACAATCGGAGGGCAGTGATAATACCTAGAAGATGTAAGAAGGGTATTATGCAAAGTTCATTATTTCGCATCGTCCATAGCCTCCTGCAAATCAATAAATTCTTTCGCTTATACCAAATAGGCATTTAACCGCTAATCGGTTTCCGTCGAGATCGCCAAGATGAATCGACGAATAAGAAAAGAATAACCGATCCGTGCCATGTTCGCTGTTTCTTCTATGGGTAAGCTTATTTAAATATTTTTCAATCAAATGCTTACCATTTTTGTTCGCTCTGGTTGGTGTATTTATATTTGTGAGTTTGTCGAACTCAAGAAAGAAGCGAGGCTATAAGTACTTTGATTATAAGCGATTAATTAAAAAATAACTTACTCGTAGCTTTCAAAAATAATCACTTTCAAATTATTTCGAATTATTTTACTTATAATTAAAGTTCATATCTAAGAAAATTCTGTTGGCAGAATATAGAATTAAATAGCAACTATGGGAAAAGTTCGAAACCCTGAAATTTACTTATTTCAAAATAATTAACAATTTTGACGAACCAAATATGCATATCTTGCAAAGAAATCGATGAATCTGATGAAATCCGTGAATTCCTGATCAGCAGCCGCACGCAAAATTATTTTCAGACCAAATCTGTTTCCGTTTGCGTGTTTTCTCAACCTAAAACAATCATTTTAAGTAAAACAACGAAAAAAGTAGCATAGAAACTTGAAGTTCAAATGAAGAAACGTGCTGAAATAGTGGGCGTGACCATGATCGCAATTGCCGCATTCATTTGAAAAAGGTTCCGAACCGCTGTGAGCGTGTCTCGAGAACATTCGTTGAGTCGGATTTGAGAGAGCCCGCACGGACGCCGCGATCTCGTGCCACGAGACGCGGACCAACGTCCCGCTTCGGTGACCCATAGGGTCCGACCCAGGAGGGAAATGCCTGGGAAGTCTAGGCGCTCACGGTGGAGTGGCGTCGGGACTATTCGATGTAGGGACTGCCAAATTGGCAACAAATTTTTGAAAGTCTCCATAATTTTTTTCTTGAGAGCGATACATAATAAATTATGCTCAAAATAATAATAGGATTTAAAAGAAAATTATTTTCAATACAAATTCAATAATTTATTATTTCATGGACAATGCGCAATGCAATGGATGGTCCAAGAAAACGAGGATGGCGAACATGAATGGCAGGCTTGGAAGCAGTGACACTTTTAACTTATTTAATTTTTTTTAATATTCTGTTTTAGATCGAAAAATTTCGAAACTTAATGGAACATGTGAGCGGATCGAAGGGCAATTGCACATTCAGTGACATTACTTTCAAGTTAATTCAAATTGAATTCTTTATTTCAGATCAGAAGATCGACGGGATCATCAGACACTAGCCATTATCGATTGGTAGAGTGTGAACAATCTTTTGGTTCTCTCATTAAAAAATTATTTTTAGAATTTCGAATTCCAAGTATCAGGCGATCAAGCTCACCTATGTCTGCCTCAGATGAAGATTGGTCTCTTTCGGTTCGACCACTATCCAACAAACTATAATCAATTTCTATGATTTTATGGCTAAAAGAAGAAAGAGAAAAATGATGAATAAAGTGCATATTTCTGGCTGAGGTAATTTTCAAAAAAAATTTTTTTGGAAATATTGTTTCTCTATGTCTGACAAAAATTTGCGAGTTCGCGCATGGTATTTTTTATCTACTTTATTTTTTTTTCCATCCCATCATTCATTAAAAATCTCGTTAATTAGTCCTTTCTAATTAGTTTATAAATTGTAAATTGAATTAATATGCAAACAAAGATTAAAAAATGAGAATAGGATAAAGACGCACATTGCACCCCAAGATTGTCAAATTAAATTTTTAGGCAATATTCCGTCATAGCGCAAAAATAATCCAGCGTTTAAAAAAAATCTCAAAATAAATTTTTTAAACAGTATTATCTTGGTATAGTCGACATCCGGCGACTGCCGTAGATTTACGCGCATGCGCCTTTAAAAGGTCTCCCGTGCGAGACCAAGAGAAAGACGCTACCTCGTAAATCTACACGCCTACAGCAGTCGCCGGACGCCATCTATAGTAACCAGATCCATGATCATTTTTTGTAATGATTATTTTCGTACTTTTTATGGTGAAACTATTGTGATGAGTATTCAGCCTATTTCCGACGGGGCCGATTGGTGTATTTTGAAACCACCGGTTTTTATGATTTTCTAAAAATTTCGATAACATTCGGAATTATTGGATCTCAAGATATTTTTATTCTTGTCGACCCTTTTTATTCTGAAACAAACCATAAAAGGATGAAGTAGCTTAAATCAAATTGTAACATCATTTGCGGCGAATCAAAATTTGGCAATTCTGATGAGAATGCGTTTTATCCGTGTTTCGGTAGTGAAAAAAAAGCATCATCTCACGTTTTTCTGAAACAATTTCGAATATTTGCAGGAAGAAACTCTCGATGATCTACCACTACATTCGATTCAATTTGGATGATAATTTTGGTCTCTTTTATTTTTATTCTTGTTTTTGCCTATTTTTTTTTAATTTTTTTTATTAATATTCCTTTACTGGAAGTTAAGTAAGTCTTTTTTTTTTGAAAATGTGAAGATCGTGTTAAGCCCTTTCAAAAGTGCTCAAACCGTCAAAACTGTGTAATATGTCTATTTTTCCATTTTTGGTATTTCGGAATATTGAGAAATTTTAAAGGTGTTTCACACGAATGGGCCTACGGTAGGTTGGTATTTGGTTCCCCGCCTTCTTTTTAAATTCAAAAAATGTAATGGACACACTGGAAATGTGTTCTGGGGGTGTTCTACGGGTGCGTAAAGGTACGCGTACACTTGATAGAGTCTTAAATACAGCATGTACATATGTATACCATCATTAAAAATTGGTCTTCGTGCTCATTGTATAGTCGGCGTCCGTCTTCTGTACGCGGGTAGATTTACGGGGATGCGTCTTTCTCTTGGTCTCGCGCGGACTAACCTGGTATTTTGCATCGGTTCGATAATGTTTTAATCGAATGACGTTGGAAATTCAAGGAAATGCGAAACTCATTACCGTTCACGTGAAAACAGCAAAATAAGAATTCACGCGTGGCGAGACCTTTCAAGGCGCATGCGCGTAAATCTACCACAACAGTCACCGGACACTGACTATATATCAACAATAGTGAATTTTGCTACTGTAGCTACAGTAATCATGTTACGATAATAGCGGTATTCTTACGGAATTCGATTCCAAAAATTTAAGATTGATTCGATCAATATTCACGATTTTCACGATCTAAATAATCTTTCTGGATTGGGAAAAATTATCCAATAATGGCCAACGTTGGTCTCTTGATAATTCATTATAAAATTAGTCAGATTTGACACAAAATTTCGCGAAAAATCTAAAAATGATGGTCCCATTATTCACTTGACCGATTTCAACTTTCTGCGGGGACTCTGCAGATAGGGATATTGTAACATTTTAAAAAATTCCCAAATGTTCAGTAAAAATATCACAATTTTTGTTTCGCTATGATCGCTTTAGGCAAAATTTTTTTTGATCGAAATGCAATTTTCTACAAAAAAAAATAATTAAAAATTACATAAAATGTAAATTTTTTTCGAGACTTAAAAAACGAACCAAAACACTTATAATTTAATTTTTAAAATATACCCTTTCTCATTATGATGGTTAAATTTAGCAAAACTCGTTCCTAATAAATTTTCCATACGAGATCTCAGACAATATAGTAATCGCATTTCAAAATACTCGCTCGAATTTCAACTATGCCTGTTTTAGTGTAATTAACAACAAAATTCATTTATTATTAAAAAATTATTATTATATTAATTAAAGTATGTATGTGCCTTTAAAACCGGGTTAAATGAAATGGCTCGGATCGGTGTGTACATGGAATGTGATGGGGGGTGGGGGGTTCGTTGAGCATAAAAGCTGGATAGAAGTTGAGGATCTAGAGAAGTAGAACGAGTGGGACGAGAAGTGCCAATAACAATGCTGAGATTTGGCTCGAATTCGGATCATTTTCATCGCGAACAACCGAAATATTTGGAGCTGGAGCACCTCGGTATTGCGTCACATTCGCCATTTCAATGGTGCCCCAACCTCGGGTTGAACCATGACTTGACATTCCTTCATTGATGCCGACGGTAGTGGTGACCGTCAGAAGTTGCTCCTCACTTCTACAAACTCAATACACGAATTATCATTTCTCAAATTCTCTAGACGAACTCTGTGTCCGTTTTATTTCGATTGTCTGTCACGATTGCTTCAAGCTCAGACGACTTGATAATTTCTTCATCGTTCGACAAAACTGTTCCATTCAACGGATCCAAATCTAGCGGCTCTTCTGTTCGTACTGAAATTTCTCGAATTAAATTCTTAAATTGTTTCATTTTCAAAGAATTTCTTACCAGTCGCCATTGATGGCTGAATTTGAGGCACCCATTGATAGTCACCTAGCACCGGATTCTCAGTGAATGTGAATGATGAGAGTTTGGCTTTCGGATCATTGCACTTATCGCCGGTGTCGCATGCGCATCGATTGTCGTAGGCTGTCCTGAAATTATAGAAATTAATTGTGACAACAAATCGCTTTAATAGGCAACCTTTGGCATACAGCTTCTTCAGTGAATTTGTCGTCGTCGCGCAAATGCATACATCCCGCGTTGATGGTTCCGTTGAAGAACTTGTTTACAACTAAACAATTTTTATCTTTTACTATTCCACATTGCCAGTCATTAGTTAAACAGTTCCAAGCCTTTTGGATTAAGGGCTTCATTAAAACACACTTACAAGGGAAGTCATTTTAGCTCCCGTCTTAGGATTTTTTGTAATTTTGCACACGTAAACTATAAGGTATTTTGAGTGTGCTCACAAAATTCCAGCCTGCACTGGGGGGTTACAGGCGAGTTATGGCCGTCTGAAAATTCAAGGTGTTTTTCCATTGTCAGCAACTATTTGGGCAAGGGGTTACGCATACGCCTCTTGGGGCCCCAATTTGGCATCCAGGGGAAGTGAAGTGGTATGTGTGCGGGGCGGTGACTTTATGATGAAGGTTCGCACCCGGCCCACGCATTTTTTGTTTTTTTTTTCTTTTTGCCACAGAAAATTCCGCTGCAAATTGGTTTCAAACGCATAATTTCATGTAAAAGTGTCGTTTCAACATTATTTATTATTTTTTTTGCATTTTACAGTTTTTCGTTTTTTTCAAAAATTTCCTGAACTCTATTATTTTCCACTTTATTGTTTTGTTCTTGGAGTGGATGTCGAATTGGATGTCGAAAACTCACTTCTGATCGTTCAAACGCATAATTTCATTTTTTTTCATATTTAACAATTTACTCTTTTTCGGAGTTTATTTTGCAACACCAGGTCAGCAGCGGGCCAGGCAACCAACAGTTCATGTGATTGTTAATAATCATGAGTTCGAAACATAAGAATTTCTCAAAATACAAAAAACGAATGAATGAGTTATATCAATATATTGCTACATTCTGGCGTTTGGCATTCTCTGGCAACGTCTCTCGAAATGAGTTTCTGCGCTGGAATGAGGAATGGTGGAGGCCGTGAAACATTATATCCACTCGCAGCCCAACTATGTATGCTTGATCCAATCTTGAAATTTCGGATAACACAATTTCCTGTACACGACGTAAAGAATGTGTAAGAAAATAATGTTATAACATTTTCATTACTGGTTTTTACCAAAAGAATCGACTTTCGCTTGTGGACCTTGAATGAATGTTGCCAAAAGTGGGCGTATTCTCCGATGGATTTGATAACTTTTTTGGATTGGACCCTCCGAACACTCCAACATTTCACAAATCCCGTATATCCAGTTGGAATAGAACCTTCGAAATGTTGGAGTTGTATTCGTGTCCTTGCAGACCATCCATTCCTTTCCATCCACTCCAAGAACCAAACAATATGGAAAATAATAGAGTTCAGGAAATTTTTGAAAAAAAAAGAAAAACTGTAAAATGCAAAAAAAATAATAAATAATGTTGAAACGACACTTTTACATGAAATTATGCGTTTGAAACCAATTTGCAGCGGAATTTTCTGTGGCAAAAAGAAAAAAAAACAAAAAATGCGTGAGCCGGGTGCGAACCTTCATCATAAACACAGGTAAAACGCGGTGACTCTGTGGTGGGTAGAAAGTGGGTAGCCAGTGGGTAGCTTCGCGTACACGAGTTGGCACAGAATGGGTTGCTTGCGTACGATATTTAACCCACCACGTACCCATCGCGTATGACATTTTTCAACCATTTTAGACCCACTGCTTTTCCATTTTTCAACCATTTCAGACCCATTAGCTTTTCAATTTTTTTTTTGTTTTTATATATTAAAAATCACTATAACTATACTTTTCATTTATTCATATCATTAAAACCAAAATTCAATTAAAAATAACAATACAAACCACAAAATAAAGCAAAAAAAGAGAACAATTTTTAAAAATCGATATGGCCTTCGTATCGGAGCAGACGTGTTCTCCTGGGTTGACTTGATGGCATCCTTTAAAATAAAAAAATGTGTTTAACAGAAAGGAGATTGCATTTTTCATTACGTGTTTTTATGGAACTCCGCAAGAAACATTTCGGCGGTAGTTTTGTCCGCTATTCTGTTTCGGTTGCTGAATTCTGATATTTACGGCGAAAAATAGGTTCTTACATAAAATTCGTGATAGCTAAGGACCAGTGTGTACTCCCAGGAGGAAATCTCCCGGGATGTATTCGTTTTTTAAGATTCCCGGTATTCCCGAAAATTTCGGAAATTTTCAACTCCACAAAATTCCCGATAACTCCCGAGACTTCCCGGGCATTTTTCAAAGACTCCCGGGAATTTCTCGAAGACTCCCGGTAGTATAGTTTAATGAGAGAAATGTGAAAAACTTATATACAGGGTGCGGCAAAATTACGGGTTTTGGCGCAAGCTCATAGTGCACTGTCGCATTTTTTGTGCAGTTTTATTTTTTTATTTTCTATGATGTTTTAATCATTTTCTGAAAGTTTCATGAAAATCCGTTACGAATTAAAAAAAATGACAGCTCATTCTATTCATCGTGCGGCCATCATAGACTTGAAAAAAGGGAACATCGTTCAAGATGATTTCTAAATTCCTTGGAGTTCACCACAACACCGTACAAACAACATGGAAACGCTTTGATGAGATAGGAGGACTCTCTAGCTGTCCTAGAAGAGGAAGAAAATGTTCTTTAATAACACAGGAGCGAGTCAAGGTCATCAGTTAACGAGTTCGTCGGAATCCAGATCGTAGCATCAGAAAAATGGCGTCAGAAGTCTATGTGAGACCGAGATGGTGGGAAGAATTGTAAAAATTGAGATACCTTATTGTGTCAGAAAGGCCGCTATTCTAATTGAAAAAATTAAAGAAAAACGCCTAACGACTTTCGTCATGGATGAGAAGCTGTTTACGGTAGAAGTTGCTTTCAATCTCCGAAACCACAGAGTGATCGCCAGAAGGTCTGAGGAAGCTATGAACAAAGGCAGAACCATTCATCGTGTTTCCCATTCTCAGCAGATCATGGTATTCGGTGGGATCTGCGTTGACGGCAAGACACCATTGATTTCGTCGATTGGCACGCTTCGTCGCCCGACCTGGACCCCATGGGCTATACCTGCGTGCCACCGTCGACGCCTATCCGAAGCGTCTGACAGAATTTATCAAGAATCGAGACGTAAGAATCGAACAACAATAATTAATTTGTGATTGTTATGTGTTGAATAAATTTTGGTATTAACTTGAAAGAGTTTTGTTGACTCTCTTTCATCTTCATTCTCTTTTCTCACTCTACACTACAAAACTCACAGATTCCCTAAAAATTACCGGGAGCCTTCGGGATTTTCTCGGGAATTTTCTACATTTCCCGGGAGAAAAACTGCTAGGAAAATTCCGCACCTCATAATTCTCGGGAAGGACTAAAATGAAAAGACGAAAACATAAAAAAATAAAAGACAAAGTGAAAATCCATATACATATTACCATAGTTTGTATTACGAATGCGGGGAAATTAAATTTCGACAAATAATTTTTCGAATGTTTATTTCGATGTATTTATTTGAAAAAGTTTATTTTTTTTTATTTTCTTCGACTTTTCTTTCAAAAAATTCGAACTAATTCAAGTCATTCGATTTTTATGGTTACATTCTCCTATCACAAGATTATCTAATTTTTTTTTTTCAATTTGCGTTCGAAACATTGAACAATTCGAAAAACGATTTGTTTTATGGGTTTGACTTCTCATGAAATAGTTTTAAAAACCTACATATCTTATTGTTTTTTATGCGTTAGGTTCTTCGTGACCATCAAAAAATCCAATCTTGTTTCCATCATTTTCTTCATTTCCTTTTTCAACTCTCAATTCCTTTTCATTTTCTTCAGCGTCTTCACTATCATCAACAATCATTGCGCGCTAAATGTATTTTGTTTCGAAAATATGTATATTTTATATCTATAACCTTTCCTTGAAAATTCCTTCCATATTTTTTCTTTTATTTCAGCCTTTCGACAACTGCAAGAACTTGTATAGTTTCCTCATTTACAAACCATAAACTTTGAACCAAATGGCCTCACCATCACGGATGAAAGAAGCAAACGTAGCCTGAAATAAATATTAGTACAATGGACATATCAGAAAAATTAAATCGATTTACGACTCACAATCGGATTCGAAAATAATTTATTTTTCAATCTAAATCGAATGTAAATTAATCTGTTTCGAATTATTCCAAAAGTTCAATCGAATTCACTTTCAAAATTGAAATTGAGAAATAAATCAATCGATTTCCAAGATTTTTGAATCGAAACCAAGATTTCAAATCGAATTTGAGCGTTTTCTCAATCGAATTTGAATTATTTTTCAATCTAAACAGGTTAATTTATATTTTATTTTTCTTCGAATCCGATTGATTTTCATTTACCTGAAGACGAAAAGGCCATAAGCAAAAAAAAACGAAACACGACATTAATTCATTAATGATGAAAGGCTAAATATGATTCAGTTGACACATCTATAATTAAATATAAAATAATATAGAAAAATACTGAAGAATTCGAAAAAAACGAGAAGAAAACGAGTGAAAATAATGTTTTCGAAAAATTAAATAATTCAAATCCACGGCACGCAACGCGTCGCTGTTCCACCGACACGCGTTGCGGTCCCGCCGAGTGCGCTAGAGCGGGGAAGATTCAAACGCTATGGCTATATAGTGGCTGACATTCTACCCATTTTGGACCCATCGCGTATGTTCAAACGCCATGGCTATATTGTGGCTGACATTCTACCCATTTTGGACCCATCGCGTATATTTGAAAGCCCATAGATTTTGCTGATACGCCATGGGTATATAGTGGCTGACATTCTACCCATTTTAGACCCATCGCGTACGTTCAAACGCCATGGCTATATAGTGACTGACATTCTACCCATTTTGGACCCATCGCGTACACTTACCCACTTTGAAGCCACCGCAGAGTCACCGCGTTTTACCTGTGAAGTCACTGCCCCGCACACATACCACTTCACTTCCCCTGGATGCCAAATTGGGGCCCCAAGAGGCGTATGCGTAACCCCTTGCCCAAATAGTTGCTGACAATGGAAAAACACCTTGAATTTTCAGACGGCCATAACTCGCCTGTAACCCCCCAGTGCAGGCTGGAATTTTGTGAGCACACTCAAAATACCTTATAGTTTACGTGTGCAAAATTACAAAAAATCCTAAGACGGGAGCTAAAATGACTTCCCTTGTTAGTGTAGATTTACAAACTTTTCGCCTCGAGACCATTGGCCCGAAAATCGTTTTTCGTTCATTGAAATAAATTGATGGACGGTGACAATATTATAGAAAATTAAAATTTGAAATTAACAAACCGATAAAACAAACGTCCCCCTCGCAGGTTTCGTTGCAGCTCGTACTATGCGGTGGCAACAATTTGAATTCGCAGACGGTGCATGTTAAACCGAGTACGGTAGGGAACAGTAATGAAGCAAAAACAAGATTCCGCATCATTCTGAAAGCTGCTAATTGAAATTGGTTCTTTTATATAGATTCAGGTGATCACTGAGAGTTCAACGGCATGACAATATTGACACAATGAGTTGGAGAAAAGTCAGTCGCAAATAGAACAAGTTCAAGATTGAATAAAAATATTGGGCGGTTTGATTCAAAATGGGTGAAAATGACCCTGAGTAGGCGATTCTGCGAGATTTCCGGTTGTGTTACGCAACATCGTCTTCCGCGCGGTATGCTAACTATACATCGCATACATATATGTACATATATATACATGGTATAAGCGTGAATGCTGCGGGATTGTAATACGTGCGTATTATTGACATCAACTATTAAGCGAGAAAATTGTTCGACCTGGTAGGCATTGAATGGGAATGAATTGAATTGGTGGGCACAGACCGAGAAAAAAAAACACCCACTGAATACACGCCTCGAGAGGCGGTCAACTTCTAGGTCACACAAATCGTACTAAAAGAAAAATTGGAAGATTGACGAAATATTGGAAAACTTTAAAAGTTTGAGTTTGATGGAATATGCAGCATAGAAAATGCTAAAGATATGTATAAGGGAAGAATCAAAAATTTAAAAAAAAATCAGCAAGACGATTTGGGTCCTGACACGAAAGATGCCAGTTTTCTTCGAAAAAGTCTGATCGTGTCTGGGGGCCATTGATGGCTATTCAAGAGGAATACGGTAGCAGTGAGTCGTATGAATTTCGAGAGAGAGATGATGTGTCTTGAAAATTTGACGAGCAATGAGTCACTCGAAATATATATCAAAAAATTGTCGTCGATCGAATGAAACGATGAGTGCGGACCTGTACGGTAATCCGAAATCGACACGAAACAAAACCGGCTGATCGTTAGACACCGCGAAAAAAAAAACACACACACATCGACACAAACACGAGAATTGAAATCGAGACATCGTTCCGTGATGATTTCCATTTGTTTTGTTTTGGTATCGTTGTAAGCTGAAAAGCCAATAAGCGCTGGCGGAAGCGGGGTTCGTTCGTCGTCGAGAAACGACGAAACGGGTCGGGTCGAGCACAATTTTCGAGGCGCCCAATTACGAACGACGTGACGACGAGAATAATTACGACGATGAGCAGGTGTAGGTTGTTGCAATTCAACAAATTCTCGTCCGACCTTGACATCGCCATTTTTGGTTTGACGATTAAACATACAGTAATAAAAATCGCGAGGAGGCAAAATTCGAAATGCGCATTTTGACAGGCTTTTCACGACTGATTTGTTTGATTTCAATCTCATCGACTATTCCATTTCTGACACTTGCAAAGCGTGAACTTGAAGTTGACTGAGAAGGACAAAAAATTGAGTACTCGTTCGTAATCGGTCGTTTGATTCCTTTTCGGATATCAATCGCAAACAAACAATGTTGTTGAGCAAACTTTTATAGAAGGTTTCAAATAATTACAAGAGTTTTGCAATATATCTATTGCTATATTCAATTACTTACATTAATTCCGGAAATTTGAGAAGGCAAAGCGATCCATTGGTTAACAAAATAACCACGATCGGAAAAATTAACGGACCCCCCCCCCTGGATTTTACGGACCAGTGTATTTTCTTGTCAGGTTGACTTATGTAGATTTCGATTTAAACAATGGAAGATTATTGCTCTCTCTATTTAGTTTAGAAACAACAAATTAATGACTCAATTTGTTTTGTGGTACTCAATTTCTTCGAAAGGAGATCACCATAAGAACAGCTGAAGGAGCCATAATCACACAATGGTCCACTCGAGCCAAGGACCGAAGGCTTGGAAAGCTGTGGCTCGCCCCTCAACAGGCGAAGGATGAACCGACTAAGTGACTAAATAAGTAAGTTAAAATACCAATCGACCAAATTCAAGTTTTCAGCAGAGTTTCAATGTTTGGGAAAAATCATAAATTAAACATGATTTTCTAATTATGGGCTTATCTATAAAAAGGAATTTCTATCTTCGCGAATTTTGGTGTAGTTTGATCGGGGGTTTGGGGCAAATATTGCCTCGCGTTTGCCTTTCTTCTCCCCTGGGCTGCCCGATGCTTGCCCCGATTTGCCCAGAAGCATCCCCCTCATACAAAAAATTGAAAGGCTGAAATATGTAGGCTGAATTTTGAAGCGTTGCTTTCGCAATGGTCTCACGCGGACGAACTAATTATTTTGCGTTTTTGAGATGATTTCCAATTTCAGTTATATTAAGTCTCTCTCTCTCTCTCTCTCTCTCTCTCTCTCTCTCTCTCTCTCTCTCTCTCTCTCTCTCTCTCTCTACATAGAAAAATTAAACAGCTCGCGTGAAAATTTTAAAATAAGCCTTTACTGTGACGAGACCATTTCGAAAGACCGACTATTCATACAAGACTTGATCTATCAGATGTGTTAGAGATTTTTTTGCTCAAAATCTAGTTTGCATAGTAAAAATTTGTGTGATTCAGTCTGCGCAGGTACGATGAAATGCCTACTCATTTTGTTGATTTCGCCCTACAATTGGCACTAGATTTTTTTTGCTGCGAAGAACAAACAAAAAGCGGAGGGCATAAATAATAACTGTTCTAATTACACGAAGAAAAATGATGGCGATGCGATTTCTCCACCGGCGCGAAATTAGTCGGCAACTGGAACTATTGGCGGACGATGAAAATGATGATGATGAGGCCTCGATGAGGAAAAAAAAATTAATGAGACACCATCATCAATATACGGTTGTCTATGAGAAGGGGGGGGGGTGAGAAATTCGAAGGTCTCGATTCACAATGATGGGCGCGCAAAAATGAGTAAACATTTTCATAGATTTTGAGAGTCACCGGAAAACTACACACACATATGCATGTATATGCGCAGGACATGTTTTGTTTGCATATTATTTCATGAAGAGGATTGGGTCAATGTGTAAAATCGTAATAAATATGTGCAATCAGTTCATTTTTTTTTTCGTCGAGAGTCGAGCTGAGCAAAAAAAAAGTGGGGGAACAGAATATCCAGGAAAAAACGTGGAAATTTGATACGTGTGGTAAAGTGCTTTGCAAAAAAAAATCGAAAAAAATGAAGTGGAGACTTAAAAATACCAAAATCATTATTTTGGTGGTCCCTATCATTAAAGGATCAGTTTGTATTTTAAAAATAGAAAAGCGTATAACACACCCAAAAATACCCAAAAGTGGTATTTAGCGTTTCACGAAAAAAAAATTGTATGCTCGGAAGCATTCTTTTTCGTTCACCAACACGACAGGGAAAATTTTAGCTTCGAAAAAAAAGCTGAGGGTAATTCGATGCATAATTAAACGCATAAGCTAAGCGATATCCGATTTTTCGGCAGAGAAATTCGAGACGTTTGGACGTCACCGATTGTGATGTTTCAGCGATATTCAAAGATCGTCACAAATTCGGAAGGACGTCAAAGAAAACCGTGAAACCGAACACCGAACGATTTGAAGGGAATCAATTTATTTCAACGAATATACAAATAAGGAAAACAATCGAACTCGCAAAATCTATTTTCTGCAGCACTGATTTCCGCATGGCGAATAGTTTTGTGGGCAACCGCATGGCTGTTGAGCGATTGGCTCGCAAGGCACAGTGGCTGGTGGTGAGCATGAGGTCGAGCAGGATTGCTGACATGCTGGCTGGCACTGGGCAATTGGCTGAAAAGAACATTCAACTGGACACTAAGACAAACGAGATTTTTACCTGGGTCTGAACACATTGGGTGTTGCAAGCTTGCTCGCATTGTGGTTGGCATTGGGGCGAGTCCTGCGAGACTGGAATGTTGATGGTCAGCTGGACAGTTTGCTGTTGTGGCTGCTGCTGCGGCTGCGGCTGGCAGACTGGCTGGCATTGAGCATCGCATTGTGGAGTGCATAAGGCGACTGGCTGTTGCTGCTGGCACTGCTGGTTGCACGTCGTCTGGCACGTGTTGCATTGCGGGTTCTGTTGTTGCGGCTCATAATACGGCTGGTAGGTCTGGGCAGGTTGCTGGTAGTTCTGTTGTGGCTGGCATGTTGGCTGGCAAGTCTGGGTACAAGCGGCCTGGCACTGCTGAACTGGTTGTTGTGGTGGGCATGCGCTCTGGCACTGATTCTGGCACGCATTGCACTGGGCGGATTGTTGTGGCTGCTCGTAGTATGGCTGGTAGACTGGAGAAGATGTCGATGACTGGTAAGCTGGGATCATTCCTGGCTGCTGGTAGTTGTTAACCAGCGATGGTTGCTGGTAGTTCTGCTGTGGCTGGCATGCCGGCTGGCAGGTCTGAGTGCAAGTGGCCTGGCACTGCTGAACTGGCTGCTGCTGTGGGCAAGCGGTCTGGCATTGGCTCTGGCACGTATTGCACTGTTGATCGTACATTGGCTGTTGTTGGATTGGAGCCGGAGACGAATATCCGTAGGCTGGGATCTGTCCTGGCTGGTTGTAGGTCTGTTGCTGAATGAGCTTCTGAGCATACTCATCATCCGATTGGCAAGTCGTCTGGCATTGTTGCGAGCAAGCTGGCTGAAGCTGTGGGCTACAAGCGGCATTACAGTCCTGCTGACATTGCTGTTGAGCTGGCTGTTGAGTCATGACTGGCTGAGCGCACGCAGTTTGGCAAGTGGTTGTGCATGAGCTCTGGCATTGCTGGACTGGCTGCTGTTGAGCGACGCAAGTCTGCACACAGGTGTCCTGGCAAGCTGGAGCACACTGTTGCTGCTGGTATTGCTGTGCACATCCGCACGATGGACTTTGTCGTGGCTGGGCACATGAGCAGGTCTGCTGGACAGGATTGGATTGCACTGGCTGACAGCTACACGAAGCTGTGGTAGGAATAGCACATCCACAGGACGATTGGCGTCTGGCACGGATTATCTGAAAGCGAAAGAATGACTCAAAAAAGAAATGATGATTGAAAAAAATGACTATGAATTATCTTAGGTTTTTATAAGGATTGAAATATTAAAGCACAAGTTTAAAAAATTGATGGTCCTAAATGGAAATACCCCAAAAATGGAAAAAAAACGAAACCCACCGCGTCATCAGCGGCGAAAACTGCAGCGATGGCCAATATCGCAAAAATGACGCTTGCGGTGTTCATGATTGCTCGACAAGTGCTTACTAATGCTCACAAGCTTGGCCTTTTATCTATAAGCATGAAGGCGACACCCAAATGTCGGCGAATCCGCGAAGCGAACGATATCTCGTCGCCGTGCTCATCACTTCAACATTGTCGCGATTCCGGTTCGACATTCCTCCCAAGGTTTTTTTTTGTCGAGCGCGTCAAGCATATGTGTGTGTGTACACTGATCATCCATTTATTTGATGTGGTATTACTTTTCGGCATCGATGACTAAGTCGATTCAAATTAAGCACAACTGTTTCAGTTGATTCAATATTTGCGCAATCGCAAAACTTGATTTACATCGATATCAACATGAATTAAGATACGAGATTAAGCGCTGAGCAAATAATAAATGTGCAAAAAGCGATGAATGCAACGCATTTGGAAGTTCGATGGTCAATCGGGAATTTTTGAATGTCGACGACTGATTTTTCAGTGGCCCCGTAAAATATATATTGTTGAGAAATGACAAATGTATCTAGGTGTCGTGGGATCCTGCGTTTTGTACGCAATGCTAAGAGACAGTTACCGTAATTCTCTCAGCGATTTACGGAGTTTTTTTTTATTTTCTTTCAATTTTTTTGCTGAATTTTCTTATTTTCTTTAGAAATCTTATATTTAAAACCTGTAGAAACCGAGTTTAATTATTTAATTTTCAAAATATGTACTTTTCCACTTGTCCAGTTGAGTTGGGAATTATTGTGAAGATTTTGACGCTCTAATAATTATTTTGAAAATGAAGAATACAAAAACAAGATAATAGAAACGCATACAAAAAGCAAAACACGATTAAATAATTTTATTAATGACAAAAGTGTTTTCTTTTAAATCTCTGCTGTTTTTACCAAAAAAATGTCGTTTAAAAGTGCTTATTCTGCTAAATAAATTATTAAATTCGGTTTCTGCAAAATTTAAATAACAAAATTTCAAAGGGAAATACGAAAATTGAGCGAAAAAATTAAAAAAATGAATATGCGAAATTAAATAAAATGTCCCCGTAAATCGCTGCGAGGATTACGGTAACTGTCTCTTAGCATTGCGTACAAAACGCAGGATCCTACGACACCTGGATACATTTGTCATTTTTCAACAATACGCGCACGTTCGATTTGTATTTCATTTTTTGTCCGTAGACACACACAGACGCAATTTTGCACACTTTTCACTCCACACCAAGGAAACGAGAATTTATAAAAATGTTATTTTAAAATTTAAACTTTACTATATTTGACTACCAAATTACTTATAATATTTTGCATATTATTTAAGGTTGGAAGCATAAAATGCCAGAAAATTCTATTTGAGACCCAAATTCAAATTTTCAATTAATTTCTCATCAAATGTCCGCGACAATAGTATTTAAACCAGATTTTTATTTTCAAAATCGATCTTCTGAAGTCAAAAAATAAATTTTAAAACGTGTTTTTTAATTTAACATTCTCCTCTATTATTAAACGTTTCGTTCTGCAAAAATTCAAAAATGATTTTTCGCCAACATTTTTGTTTGAGATAACTGGATTTACTATGCAAATAAATAAATGACTAACTACACTATTCGCAAGTTGTTCTAGTAAGGATCCGCATAAATTCGAAGGGATCGTCGAGTTTGATATGGAAAATTTTTATCTTATAATTAAAGAATCATTGTTCAATTTTCTAGATTTTAGACGAAATTCCTCTGAAATTGATTTGTTCTTAATATAATGATTAACTCGTGCAAAACTGGAATAAATCACAAGTTTTGTTTCCATTTTCCCATCAAAAGATTACATTTATTTATTAATTGGTGTTTAATTTATTCCCTAAATATTTGCTTTGCCATTCTCGAACGGCGATCAGTTTTTCCGAAAGGTAACAAAAAAGGGGGATGTTTTGATTCTTGAAAACTTGACACATGAACAAATAAAGATTTTTATGTTTCCCACTTGATGTTTTCTTTCATTTTCCACCCTTCTTCATGGGCTCTCGTGAAATATGTTCGCGCAGTTTCAAGAGCCATTTTCCGGTTAATAATGGCTTGCTAGTTACGAAAGCAACATGTAATCGCGACAACGAGTTCTTTTTTTTTTTCGGATTTGACTGGCTATCTGTCCTCTGGATGAGCACTTTTGGAACGGAAAAACCAACGAGCACTTCTCTAAAATTGAATGAGCAATGCAACATACAAATTTCAGCATACGCCAGTTTTTTTTTCAACTCATTTATATTATTTTTCATCAAACTTGTGATCGGTTTTTTTTCATTTCTGATAGTGTAGGTGGCATGTGAACACAACAAGAGGCAGCGTTCCTCCGGAATTGAGAGACTCCCCTAGAGGAGGGGAGAGGGGGGAAGCTGCAGGCGGATTCGCTCGCATCTCGCCTCTAACTAGCATGCGTTCTCGAGTTTCTCGGAGATACCGACAAGAATTTTTTTCAACTGGAAACATTTTCAAGTTGTGCCGGGAGGAAAACTGCTCAAATCCAAAAAAAAACGCTAGAGCAGGCAATCAATGACACCTAATTTAGTGGTCCCTGTCGCAAGTTGATTCAGCATCATCACCTTCAGATATCATTGGGATCCTTTGGAAAAAATGCAAGGAAACTACGCATCTGAATACGATTCTAGAATCTGACTAGAATATTTTTTGTTGAATAATTAGCAGCAAATTAAAAAAGAAAGTAAAGCTCCGTTTTGTTTCAAGAAATAATTCATTACAATAATCATTAATCCAATTCAGTTTCCTCCGTGTCTTACTTTATTTGAATTTTCAATACCGTATTTAGAAACAGGCTCCATTGCGTTCACAATTGGCAATGAATGGAGAACTGGCATGATCGTTTCGTCGGAATCCAGTATTTTCTTGACCAAACCCAAGAAGAAGGCGACGGATACAAATGGCGGCGTATGTTTCAGGATGACGCGTCGTTTCGAAACCGGCTCGCTCGCCTATGAATTACAATGAATTGTAGTGAGCTCGCCATCATAATAGGACAAATATGGTTGCTGCCCTCCCTCCCCTCCAAAAAAAACGCGCCGTCATAATTCTCACTCCATCAAACATTCGGCCAATCTGCGTATTATGAGCACAACCGAAGAATTTGTGCAAGAATGGATTGAAGAGTCGGCCGTTGAAAGCGCGTTGCCAATGGAACAATTGGTGAGTCGACGCACTTCTGGATCATCGTAATCGATTGAATTTAGGTAACCCAATATGGATATGCATTAGTTGGATTAGAAGACGAGTCAAAAAGGAAATGCACAAAGAAGAAAAAAGAGGAGGGGAAGAAGAAAAAGGAGAAAAAACATGTGGGTATTCTGTTTGAATTGAAAGGTTTTGAAATAATTGAGTGCAATCAATTTTGATTTGATCTATTCCAAACTCAAATTAAAATCAAAATTTGAATTACCGCCTCGATGGTCCGCAATTTGTCAAGGTGCTCGTTTAATTCTAATAATACGAAATTAAAAAAGTTGAAAGAGAGGAAAAATTTGAACTATTCAACTTAATCTCCTATCAATTTACGATTTGGTTGTCAAGGATTTGCAGAACTACAGTGTACATCAAAGGCGCATGCAGAAATTGTTATAGGGCAGAAAAAAAATTAAAAGAAAAAAAGATTTTTTTAACATTTTTTTACTGCATTGAAATTCTCTCTTCTTTTTTGGCCTTTTAGATCAATGCTACATATATTATGTCTAAATTCGTCAAAATTCCGACAGTTGTCTATCTTTAACAATATTGCCTTAAGCTTAATGTTTTTTGTCTTCGACAATATGAAAACCTCACACTGATAGTTAATATTTTAGTTCCGGCTTCTTGAAATTTGTGTTTTTCATAACAAACTGTTCCAAATCTGATTGTTTGATGCTACTATACGGATTTTTCAAAAAAAAAAACATTTAAAAATCTATTTAAGCGATCAAAAATTCAAAAACTTGAATATTTTTATTTTATCCTTTTATCCGTTGGGAGCATTTTATGAGAGATTTGGGAATAAAATGTTTAAAAAATATATTTAAAAAAATAGTAGTAATTTGAATCTGGGATTTTAATGGTTTTAAAGGGCAGTCAGTTTTTAGTCAGTTTTTGAGTTTTAATTTCTAAAAAACTGCTATCTCCACTAACAATTATTTTTGCCAATAATTAGGTTTTCTGTGAAAATCTCATGGAACTCCTTATTTCGAACATTAAAAAAATATGCCAAATAAGTCGTAATACTGCACAAATAAAATCTGTTGAGCATTAAAAATACCAATTCCATTCGATGTCTCAAATTGAAAAATTTTTTGTTGAATTTTTGAAATTTGGTTTATGAATATGTAAGTGTCCAAACGACGACGAGAAATCTTGCTTTTGTTGGCTGCCTTAGACCATCAGCATTTTTCTTGCTGACAATATCAAATGAAGATGTTCAATTTGCCAGTTTCTTTAAATAGTATCCCACTTCGAGTTGTAAGTCGGTTAGAACAAAGCTAATTGCGTTTGAAGAACCACCATTTAAGGCGGTTTAACGCGCAACGCAAATAGGTGAAACATTGTGTTTTTTTCGGTGTGCGCGCGCGCCTCAGAATCGGTGTTTGTTGTCCGCACGCGTTCATCTTGCTCATCTTCGCTCAGATTACACCTCACCGAACCACACACACACATACCGAAACTGCGGCCGACTTAATTGTTCTATTCCTACAAATGATTTTCGAGTTTTTACCGAACGAGCACAACAATTAATTTGTGTGTAGTCGAATCCAGAATGGAAATCAACGATGAGAAAGTGGCGATCGTATGCGAGTCGGCCACACCGACGACATCCGGAATTGGTGGAGAGACGGTAGGTCGCCTTTGAGAATCTTCCCAAAGAATTTCTAAGCATTCTGTCTGACGTGCGAATTGAATTGACAATTTTCATATAAATTGAAAAAATTAATTTGAAATGATAACAAATTATAATTTTACGAGTTCTCATGTTTTTTTATTCGGAAACGTAGAAATATTTTTATAAATTATCTTCTATATTCATTTCTTAAAGAATGAAGAATTGCGAACTTCAAAAGTTTTAGTGGAAAGCTAAATTTTGTGTGCACTCTCTAATGTGCATATGAATTCCCGAACGAATTTTATTAGTTGTTGATTTTTTTATCATCACTGCCATGCAATTAAAAAACCAGCGCTGAGTAGTTGTGGACCATCGTAGTTTTTCTAGGCGGTATTTCAAATTTCGATTTAAGTAATGTGAATTCGGGTACCGTAGTCTGGATAACCTGCGAATGCTCGTTTTTGGTGGTTGCAATTAGTTCGTATAGTCCCCCCGTCCGGCAACTGTTGTAGATTTACGCGCATGCGCCTTGAAAAGGTATCGCCACGTGTGAACGCTTATTTTGATGTTTTCACGTGAACGACTTATTTTTTCTTGATGAGGTGTGCATTTCTTTGAATTTCCAACGTCATTCGACATAAATTGCAAAAAAATACCAGTTATTACGCGCGAGACCAACAGGAAGACGCAAGCCCGTAAATCTACCCGAGTACACCGAGTCAGTCGCCGGACACCGACTATAATTCATTTACTGTTTACGGCTACGGGAAGCCAACAGAAAACGCGCTCACAGCTCCTAGGGTATACGGTACACACTGCGGTGTGCACACACAAAATGTTAATCATTTATTTGAATAATACAAATTATCAACATTTGCCGTTCGCAACGGTTACTGTAATTTTCGTAGACCTAATAGGATAACACGAAGGTTGATTGCTTAAACAATCGTGTGCCAAAAAGTGCTAATCAATTCGAGCCGATGTTGATGCTCAAACAAACCGTCCGAATTGGGTCGCCGAATGTTTTTGAACATGTCAAAAATTTTTTCGGGCCAGACAAAATCGCCGGCCGCCCGGCCGCCGTCATTATCACGAATCGACCTCGAGCTAACCATTTTCATCAACGAGATCCCCGGAAAAAAACACAACCATATGATCTTGTGATATTCGCTTTATTTTACATTCCCCCCCCCCCAAAATACAATCGTAGGTTTTCTCATTTCTGTTTGTGGACCATCGAATGTTTTCGGCGCGGTAATTTGAATTTTCACTATGAATAACCAGCTCTACGGTATTTCACACATTTCCATTGTTTGTGTGCTGAAAATTGTAGAAGACGTAAAAAGTATGGAAGCTGAGAAATTCTTCCAGACGAATTCGGGTTGCAGTCTTTAAAAAAAAAATTCCAATGATTTTTTTTTGGTACAGTCGAAAATGACATTTTGCTGAAATCTGGAATGAATTCTGTCGACTGATACAATCTCAATTTCAAAAAAAAGAAAAGCATACGTGCTCTTTCCGATTTTGACAGCCGATTTGTGATTAGTGGAAAATGCAAAGATCTGCGTAGTTAGGAGCCTCAAAGTTTAATAATGTCTGTACAAAAGTTGGCTAATTGCCAAAACTCATTTAGCCAATTTTCTGTATTGGCGTCAATTAAATATTTCGGGTAAATCGATTCCAACAATAATTATAATTTAATTATAGCTCGAGATGGATAAAACAATGGATCGTCGAGATCGCGACGACACACATTCGCACATCTACGTAACCGAAGGGTAAGAGCACAATTTGATTCGAGCTTATTGTTCACTTCGAATAATCATGTTTGCCATCGCGATTACCGTCACATTTCCGGACAGTTTTCGCGATTTTTGATTAGATCGACTTCCGTTGAGTCCCCCCCAATCATTTTCGTCATCGAATTTCGAGCACAAGATGCTCATGAAGAACACCGTGTCAGAAAACAATAGCTTAGCTTCTGGATTATGCAAAGCAAATAGTACGCAAATGTCAAGTCGCTACACATTTTTGCCACCTTTATGTTTGCCGTCGGGTTCAATTTTGCACTTGAGCCTATTGTTAGGAATACACCTTGACTGATGTCTACAACGAATCGACGATCGATTCTTAGTAGTCGACGAGTTGAATTCTGCTATAAATAGGCGTTTTTGGAAATGAGGGGGATGAAAAGACGAAAGGTGTCGAAATGAGTATGCATACAAAGAATTGAAATTCGATTCCGACTCGATTGGTCAACAAAACATCACCGGAAATGTTGAGTTTATCGGCTGGAAGCCGGTGCTCGTTTCGAAATCGGCAATTCCTTCGAACTTCTTGAAGATGATGTTGATGCAAATCAAAAACCGAGATTATGGAATTAATAAATACTATTTTTTTTTTTAATTAATGATCAATTCAGACCGATTACAGTATAGTGTTAAAACCGGCAAAAAATAGTTATTTCGGTTGTAAAAAAAAATGTTAAAAAATTATTTTTAATAGTTTTTAAGCTTCTAATAAAGATTCGGCGACTGCTGTACGCGGGTAGATTTACGGGGATGGTCTCGCACGGACTAACAGGTTATTTCAAATTTTATGGATCGGTTCGCTAATTTTTTCATCGAATGACATTGGAAATTCAAGGAAATGCGAAACTCATTACCGTTCACGTGAAAACAGCAAAATAAGCATTCACGCGTGGTGAGACCTTTCAAGGCGCATGCGCGTAATTTTACCCGCGTAGAGCAATCGCCGTACGCCGACTATAACTTCTTCCAAGATATAATTAATTCGATCAAGTCAATTGTTGAGCAATGCCTCGAAAACTCTCCATCCTCTTAGAATATTTCTGGAAACAGTTTCAGTCATCATGAATATATTTTAATCGAAATCATCAGAATATTGTGACGTCAGCGTGAAAATGTGTGCCATTCGTCGGTCAATTCAATTCGCGCAACGGTATTTTGCATGTGTCGATTGTCGTCCGGTCGTGTTTGCGCCGCCGCTTCATGTATTTCGCGCACATGCGGGAGCCGCTGGTTCGCCGACTCGGCCGCCGGAGCCCACAGTCCGGTTGATACATTATTCGGCGAGAGACAGAGAGCGCGCACGCGTAAGAGTCCGGTGGCGAACGCGAGGCCCGCGGCCATTTCGAGTGCCTTCTTCATCTTCAGCTTCATCTCCTTCTTCGATATTCTCTGTGTCTGTGTGTGTCTTAGTTTTTTTTCGCTGCACCGTCGGGTCAAATACTCGTCATAAATCCTATCATCCATCCATATTTAGCCATCCATATTGACTAAATTAGAAATGCCGTTGTGATCCATCGTATTATCGAAAATGCTTAATATGCACACTCTTGACCACCGTCCAATGTGTCGAATGAACACATTGGACAGTAAAGAGTCCGGCGAGGAGTCGTCTGCGACCCCGTCAACTTCACATAATAAAGGCTTCTATTATTCGCACGACAGCGGTCCGGAGGCGACCGAAATCGCGCCCGTCAAACATTCAGCGGCGCCAAAAATTGTCCAAAGGGAAAGTGATGCAAATATCTCGTATGGGTCCTACACCGATATCGCAATTCTCGAATTCTCAATGAATTGTGTTTCAGAACAGTTGCCGAGAGCAAAGGATGGGATATTTTTCGATTACTTCCACCAAAGCCGGACAAAATTGGACACGGTAAGCAACTTCATTTTTCAAATATTTTTTTTTGAATTTCTTCTGAGATTTGTTATATAGATATACAGTGCTCCACATAATTATACGGTCAACAACAAAAATAACAAAACCGGAGTTGCTACATGGGAATACAATTTTGTTTTGGTAGCAAAAGGAATATCCCGAACCATCCAGTTTGGGTCCTGAAGCGAATACGAAATTAACATGACCAACGAATTTTTTTCCATTTTTTTCGAAAAAGTGCGAAAAAAAAATCCACATAATTATACGGTCACTTTTATTTTTTGACCTTTTTTCAATTTTTTTTTTCAATTTTCAAGTACTCGAAAATTTTTTAAATAAACGTTTATTGTTTTCTAGGTATGAGTAGAGGAAAAAAGCTCACAGAGTATGAAAAAGGTCAAATTGACGCTAAATTAGCCCAAGGGCTCTCTCATCGTCAAATTTCGAGAGATATGGGCCGTTCGCAAGACGTAATTTCTCGATATGCGGCCAACCCAGCAGAATATGGCACGAAAAAGTCTACTGGCCGCCCATCTCTCCTTTCGAACCGAGAAAAGCGTAGAATTCTACGCAGAGCATCAAACTCAGTCATCTCCTGTTCAAAAATCAGAAGCGAACTCAAACTTCCCGTCTCCAATGAAACCGTCCGACGGGTTTTAAGCAAGAGCATGTTTATTAATAACAGGAAAATGAGGAAAGGACCAATGCTGACCCGAATCCACAGAGAAAATCGATTGCAATTCGCCAAAAAGAATCAGCATACTGATTGGACTCAGGTTAGGATTGCAGCTGCACTCTTTAAATTTGGTTTCATATGTCAGGTTATTTTTTCCGATGAAAAAAAGTTTAACTGCGATGGACCAGATGGATTCCGCAATTACTGGCACGATCTTCGTAAACAGAAACTGCGTTATTCCCGCCGAAACTTTAAAGGAGGAGGTGTAATGGTTTGGGCCGCAATCAGTTCACACGGTCGCATCAAATTATGCTTTGTTTCGAAAAAAATGAGTGGCTCCGACTACAGATATACACTGAGGCGTGGTTTGATGCCATTTTGGCACCGAAATCGCAACCGCCAGCTTATTTTTATGCAAGATGGAGCGCCGTGTCACTGTGCTCGTCGAACAATCAAATGGTTAAATGACAGAAAGATCCCAATTTTGAATTGGCCCGCTTGTTCTCCTGATTTGAACATAATCGAAAATGTGTGGGGATTTTATGACAATGTTTCGGACCTCAAAAAAGCGATTATCGCTTCATGGAAACTTGTTGATCAAACACTTCTTGATAATCTATATATATCAATGGATAACCGTATTTTTGATATAGTCAGACGCAATGGTGGTCCAGCTGATTATTAAGAATTGTTCTTTGTTTATTTTTACGTTTTTGAATCGTTTTGCATCATATCTCATTACTGACCGTATAATTATGTGGAAGAAAATTTTCAATTTTTTTGTTAATTTTATGATAAGATTATGTACAATTATTTTTGTAATTTTTTGTTATAAACAGATGAAATGCTGCTAAATGTGGATAATTATTCAATGGGAAGATTTCCCGAAACTTTCAAAATTTTCGAAATTTTGAGAAAAAATCAATTGACCGTATAATTATGTGGAGCACTGTATTAGAAACAAATAGAAAAAACCCTTATTAACATCTAGTAGCGACTAGGTTTTTCGGCACAATATCGAGAATTTCACTTTTATCAAGAATCATTTTTTAATGAATTTTTTTAAAGAAATTAAAATTATGTAGTCTGTCTCGACAAAATTGGTTTTGATATATTTATATTAGTAAATCAGTTTTGTTTCAGCTTGTAGTTAAGTATCGTCTATCAAAAGATTTTTCAGTTTTCAAATTTCAACTAATTTTGAACCAGCTAGAAAATCACAAGTTTCATCGCAAATATTTTCTGAAATTTTTTTGACCACGTAGTATTATCGGTGCCAAACGACTGGACGAAATGAAAAAAAATTATTGGCTATGTGCCAATGGGTCTCGGTGCAGTGAGAAGTACGCGAGACTGCGTACATTGCATTATAGTGTACGCGCATTTAATATTCAGTCCACGATAAATTTAAATATACACAAATTTCGCGAATTTGAAGACTTCGTTTCTCTTCGGTCGTTTGACGCCGACAATATTTTATTTATAATTTATTTTTGTTTTCTCAAAATGGCAAATCAACGAAAAGTTTGTGGCCAATCATAATTTTAAAAAATCGATTATTTCTATCTCTTGTTCAAAGAATTTTCGATGTTTTCCCCCAAAATCCCCCCCCCATTTATTTGTGCTTTTCCACAAAAATTGAATAATACAGTGTGGAGGGTGATATGCGAATTTTGTTTGCCGCGACATTTTTCGGCTCAATTATCTTGTCGTGTTTGTCTTGTATCAGTCGCCGGCGAGATCTCTCATTCTTCGTTGCTTTTTTTGCTGTGAGAAACGTTGGAGCCAAAAAACAACAAAGTGTCAATCGGCCACAGGTTTTTTCTTAGTGTCGAGGCGCTCGAAGATCTCAGCGACTATTTCGCGCGCGCGCGTTGAAGTCGCTTCTCATTTTGGCTCGTCGTCGACCCAAATTTGTGTTTGTACACACTTCTCGTGCAGTTAGCTAATTGACCCATCGCACGACGAGCGAGTATTGTGAAATTGAAAATGAATAAATAAATATTGTGAAAAAATGACAAATGTGAAAAATTGCAGCGATTTCCTTTGCATTGTGTGCGTACACCGAGTCGCACATCTCAATCTTAGCTACAGTAATCTCAACTGAAAATTATTCAATTAATTATTGATCGTTTCTTTTTATATAAAACAATTAACTTTGAAAATATGCAAAAATGATTACTATTACACTTTTTGAACACAACAGTAAAACCATAAAATCGCCAAGAAAACACAGAAAAAAAATGTTTTAAAAAATTGATTAAATAATTTTCAGTTGTGATTACTGTAGCTAATGTCGAGATGTGCGACTCGGTGTACGCACCCAATGCATAGGATATCGCTGCAGTTTTTCACATTCCTCATTTTTTCCACAATACATTGGGACGGGTTAAATGAAATATAACAAAAGAATAAAAATAATAATAATAATCATTGCCGGCAAGAATTTCAGGGTTTTGGCACGATGCCAGTCTTCAAGTTCTCAAACTCGCCACTTTTATTGTATTATTCGCGCTCACACTCGGATCAGCGGTTATCGCGAAAATCACATTCATCCTAATGGCTTCTGCAATCGGATCAGGCGGACAGACCGTCGAAATTTGCAATTTGGTCATCACCGAGGCGACTCGAAATACTGTGAAGCTGAAAAATGCGCACATTGTGAAATGGGTGTGGGCATTGCTGATATCGCTATGCGCTCCAGAAGCCCTCTGTTTTGTCAGGTTCGATTCGTCGAAATTGGAATCCGCAATCAAATGACTGGTTTCCAGATCGATGCATCGAACGATGTTCCGAAATGTCAAAAGACCGACGTTCATTCAATTCAGTGTGGTTTTGGTTATTGAATCTCTTCATGCTGTTGGCGTCGGAATTCTTGTGTTTCGGATTCTGCCCGATCTCGAAGCTGTCACAGGTAGTCGAACAATCTTGAATCTCGGAATATGATTCGTTTTGTTCTCAGCGGCACAGCTCACAAATGCAATGTGCTTTGTGCCAGCAATCTTGTCATTGATCAGCCGGCGACCGAGCAAGGTTTCTCTAGTTCTGGTCATCATCGACATCGCGGCGATCGCAGCGCAGAGTAGCGGCTTCTGGGCATTCCCTGTTCGTCAAATCTTCACGTACTCATGACCACAGAATCAAATTAATATTTTCAGATGTTCATGCCTACCCTTCAAAAACACTCTGTTGCGATTCCAGTCTCGCTAACGCTGATCTCACTGATTTGGTGGCAAAATTTCGTCCATCAGGATTCTGTGTTTCCTCCTGTTCGCAAACTCGCCAAATTCGGGCAGCGTCTTTCCGAGAAACGATCGAAGACGTATGCGTTCGTTTCGCTGTGGAAAATCAGCATCTACATTGTGTTGTGTTTTTTGTTTGTCTCGAGCCGCATGAAAATCGACGATCTCCTTCAACGAAATCCGTTTGGCGAAAAGTTGCTGCCAGTCGTCGGACATGATATGAATCAGACGCAAATTGAGAATTTCCAGACGAGAATCAATAAAATGATTGAAGAAGCGAATCGCGGTAAATTCCGAAAGAACGAATAGGATGTATTTATTTAAAATGTTGACTATTTGAAGAAGCCGGATATCATGCTCCGCCTCCAAAACCAAAACCAAAAAAGCAGCCAACTGCCGATGAAGCTGAAGAAGTGAACACCGACGATTTTCGAAGATTCAAACGGTTTCTTGGTACGAGTAGGGAGGAAGTTGAAGAGGAAGAGGAGGAATTTTCAAGTTATAATGTAATATTTTTTTTTCATAAACAAAAAAGTTCAAAACATAAAAACTGAAATATTGAAGATATATTCGAATTATGTTGAGCGGAATCAATTGACAATGCCTTATGATGCCCTGTGGGCAGTTTTTATTCAAATCGGAGCCGTTTTCATTTGCTATCACAGCAGCAAATTCGCGTGCAAGGTCATGATGCAACGGATGGGATTTGCTCTGCCGATGGCGCTCTCGGTCCCTGTTACCGTGTTCTTCCTTTCGTTCGCATGTGCTCAACGAGCGAAAGACGCCTGCTATCTAACCGAGATTATCACATTCGTTCGTGCTCTTTTAATCATCAAAAACATATTGGTTTTCTTCAGGAGCTTTTTTGGCAATGCTCCGGCGCCTACACCTCTTTCGGCGACTTCGTTTTGAGCCCACAAACTTGGATTTGGCTCTGTTGGCTTGCTTCTCAATTCTGGATCACCATTCATCTTTGGGCGCCGAAACACGAGCGGCTTGCGAAAAGCGAGAAGCTATTCATTCTGCCGTACTACACTAGCGCATTTGTGGACCAATCATTGGCATTCAATCGGCGACGCGATGACAAAGCAAAAATCAAAGCCGAAGATCTTGAGTTCGATCTTGAGGATTCGTCGTTGACGTATGAAACAATCCCCGGACTTCAGCAAAAAGCGCCACCGTCGGTTTGCTCGGCTAGTATGGAGAATGGATTAATAAGGCAATTGGCATAAATTGGGCATAAGGCAATTAAAGAGCGATTTTGTAGGGATACGGCTTCCTCGGCTGACGCGATCACCAAAATCTACGCGTGTGCGACGATGTGGCACGAGACTGGAAACGAGATGACTTGCATGCTGAAAAGTTTGTTCAGAATGGATGAAGATCAATGCGCAAGAAGGAATGCCCAAAAGTATTTGAAAGTCATCGATCCGGACTATTACGAGTTCGAAGCTCACATCTTCTTCGATGACGCCTTCGAGATCAATGAATACGGCGAGCCGGAAATCAACAAATTCGCTCGTCAGATCGTCAATGTGATTGATCAAGCGGCGAGTGCGGTCCATCAAACGCAGATCAGGCTGAAGGCACCGAAAAAGGCGAAAACGCCGTATGGTGGCCGTCTGACATACATAATGCCAGGAAAGAACAAGTTGTTCATCCATTTGAAGGATATGCACAAGATTCGGCACAGAAAACGATGGAGTCAAGTGATGTACCTCTATTATCTTTTGGGGTACAGACTAATGATGAAGGTTGATGATGCTGCGAGAAAGGTAATCAATTTTAGTGTTTTCAAATTTCTGATACTAATAATTCATATGCATTCAGGAATTGATATCAGAAAACACGTTCATCTTGACCCTTGACGGAGATGTCGACTTTACGCCACAATCCGTCTACCTTCTTGTGGATCTTATGAAGAAGAACAGAAGACTTGGAGCCGCTTGCGGTCGCATCCATCCAAGAGGAGATGGAGCAATGGTGTGGTATCAGAAGTTCGAGTACGCGGTTGGGCATTGGCTTCAAAAGGCGACTGAGCATATGATTGGATGTGTTATGTGCTCACCGGGATGTTTCTCGTTGTTTCGAGCGTATGCATTGATGGATGATAACGTTACGAGAAGGTATCGATAGCCAGGCTACCAGATATTGAGTCCATTTTTAGATATGCGATGAAATCCGAAGAACCAAAACACTTCGTTCAATACGATCAGGGCGAAGATCGTTGGTTGTGCACACTTCTTCTTCAACGCGGCTACCGTGTCGAGTATTGCGCGGCTTCAGACGCTCAAACATTCGCTCCAGAAGGATTCAACGAGTTCTTCAATCAACGTCGTCGTTGGATCCCATCAACCATCTTCAATATCATGGATCTTCTAAAGGACTACAAGAACGTTGTCAATGTGAATGAATCGATCTCGATTTGGTACATCATCTACCAACTCGTCATGCTTATCTCATCAGTCCTCGGACCTGGAACCATCTTTGTGATGATTGTCGGAGCTATCAGCATCTCATTCACTATTGATACAATGATCTCGTTGATTATCGTCTCCGTGCCAGTCATCATATTCATCGTTGTATGTTTGACGGCGACTCAGGAGAAGCAGTTGATTGTGGCGCAGACGATCGGCGCCGTGTTCGCGATGCTCATGACGGCAGTCATCGTCGGAACATCGCTCCAATTGCAAAAAGACGGTATCTTCTCGCCCCATTCGATGTTCTTGGTCGCCGTCGTCACCAGGTATTCTTTGTGCTTCATCGAATTCGAAAAATGAGCCTGTTCAGTTTCCTCACTGCCGCCATTCTTCATCCATTGGAGTTCACGTGCATCATCCCGGGAACAATTTACTTCTTGGCTATCCCATGCATGTATATGCTTCTTCCGATCTACAGCGTGTGCAATATGCAAACTGTCGCTTGGGGAACTCGCGAAGATCCGAGGGCCAGCGAGAAGAACGACTTGCAGTCGAAACCGAACAACTCGAGACTCGACGCTATTGAGGCATCGAAGACTGACAATTTCTGCCAACGATTCGTGTGTTGTGCTCGCGACAAGGTTGATCCGATGGTTTGTTCATTTTCAGCATTTCTATGAGATTTCGCATTTCTCTATTCAGACTATCGTTATCAATGAGAAATTGAATGAGCTCGGCAAAAAGATTGACAGACTTGAAAGGAAACAACATCCGACTCTTGGCCGACGAGCTTCGATTCTTTCCAGCACCGGAGGAACTATTCAAGTCGACAAGTGCTCAGAAGCTGATGAGGACGAGCAAGCCGAACTGGAAGACGCTCTTGAGATGTCGAATCAATCGCACGCAGCGAAGAAGAACCAGAAATGGAAGCAGGCGCAAAGCGAAGCCTGGCTCGCTGACAAGACACTTAAACGAGCCGAGCGCGAATTTATCGATCCTGAAGAGGAATCATTCTGGACGGATGTCATTGATCGATACTTGTCGCCGTTGACGATGGATAGTAAAGAGATGGACCGATTGAGAGCTGGACTATTAGCATTGAGGAACTCCTACACGGTCTACTTTTTGATGATCAACGTGGTCTTCATAATTAGTGTGCTTGTGCTTCAAATTCACAAAGACTGCTTGAACATTGAATGGCCGTTCGGTCCGAAATTCAATCACACCGTCAAGACTTGCTACGGGAATCACGACAATCAGAACGAAGATGTTTGGGTTATGACGCGATTGCAGCTTGAACCTATCGGACTCGTTTTCTTGGTGTTCTTCGTCAGCATTCTGGTCATTCAATTCCTTGCAATGATTTGCCATCGTTTCGGCACACTTGCCCATATAATTGCGTCAACTGAGTTGTTCTGCTTCCGGAAGACGATGGATCGTCTAAGCGAAGATGAGCTCGTAGCACAGAATGCGGTGGAAATCGCCAAGGAGTTGCAACAGATTCGCGGAATTGACGAGCATACGCATCAGGCAGACATGGTAGATTATATGATTGATATTGAGACAACCAATCCATTCATTCGATTTTAGACGATAGAGGATCGCGGAATCTCGCGACGTCGTGTGGTTCAGAATCTCGAGTCATCACGACGATCGATGATGAAACAGAAGACGGAAACACTCGATGCGGCATTCCGAAAACGATTCATGGCGTTGTCGAGCGAACAAGCGCCCGATGCCGGATTCTCAGCTCGAGACAATTCGAAACGATTGACGCTTCGCAAAGGAACGATACGCGCATTAGAGCATAGGAGAGATTCCCTGTTTGGAACAATTGATAATCGAAAAGCAAGCGTCCCTTGGATGCAAACAATTGAATGATTGAATAATTTAGGATGACGATATGGGAGCGAATGGAGCATCAATGCGTGGTCCAGCTCAAAGAAGGTTGGAGAGGCTGTTCAATGAGCAGCATGATAGTCCAATCGAGAAGAAAAGGTATATTCGGGAGCTACAAGTTGTTATTAATTTTCGGTTCAGATCAAGTGGCGTGAACGGTTGGGATCCATCCGGCGACGTCGAATTGCGACGTTTCTAAACCCCGTACAAAATTCATTCAAAATCCTTCCCGATGATCTTAAATCTGCCCATCCTATTGTAGAACATTATAATTTATTCGTTTTGTATGTATCGATTTTCATTATTTTTTGTCAGTTGTTTCACTCTTTCTTCGTTCTTTCATTCACAGTATTTGTTCTAGAATACTCAGCTCAATTCTCGTGTCTTTCATTAATTTATTAATTTATTCGAATTTACTGTGTTTTGATGAATTTGTGAACCGCCGCAGAAACCTCGTCGATGTCCGCAGCATCGCCCCATTCCTTCTCGAGGTGAGTGTACACGATCTCGTTATTTGCGATCAAGTAAACACCTGCGAAACTTAATTTACTTGATATTTTAAGGAAAAGCTCGGCTTACCTCCCAACAGTCTTCCTTCGCCCTCAAGATTGCCGTCGATTTTTGCTTTTTTGGCTCTATAGACGTTGGCATATGTTCCGAATCTTAGGAAGCCCATCCAAATCGGAAGCCAACGCTCGTTTGGTCCGTAGAAGTGACGCTCGGTATCCAAATAGACGTCAGATGGAAAGAATTCCTTGAACTTATTGGCCCCCAAAGTTTCGTGAACAACAGCAGCCTGAAATTGCAGCAATTTGCTCAACATTCTTGCCAAATCGATACCATTCTGATTCCATGTTCCTTTAAAAATGGCTGAAGTGTGTAAAGTTGTGCAGCTTCTCGTCGACATAATAAACAGCCGGGTCTTCTGACAGCCATCACCAAAATTGGTCCGGGTTCAAACAGTTTCGCACCCTGATCCGAATTTTACAATTTCTACTCAACAAAACAAAAAACTCGATCTTACACTGATACTTTCACTCTCGTCCACACTTTCAGCATCATTCACTCCTCCTTTGACGTTCAACAGCTTCGCTTGCGCCAAATATGAAAATGAGGGCGCGACTGCGCCAATCGTGAGCCTTGTTGGTAGATTGGCGTAGAATATGGCGCTGCCAAGCGCTGCAAGAGCTCCGAACCCAAGCATTTCCATTCTGAAACCAAATTTCCTCTTAAAAATTTGAACGCAACGGAGAAATAAGATTGGAAGAGGCGAATGATAGTGTTTGTTGACAAAGAGAATCGGCCGTTTCGTTCTCTGCGTCTCTCATTTTTCAATTATATTTACAGATGAACATATTTTTGTACAAATTGCTGCTGTTTTGGTTTATGGCATCCGACAGATTTTGAAAAAAAAAAATACTGGCAAAAAAGTAGTATTCCTGCAATTTGCATATATTTATTATGATCCTATACACGCAATAATAAACTTTAAAAAATAGATTGTAATACCATTAAAAAAACGAATATCGAATGAAAATTGATAATCTCAGTAGCTGATTTTGACTGGTAGGCATGAAACACTGGCTTAATGAATCTCTCAAACAGGAATCTCGACTGAAATTCATATATAGGGCTCAGACGATCTGTTGAATTGGAACTCATCCTAAACAGGCCGTTTTTTGCTGTAAACAAGTTCATATAATGCGTAGCGAAGAATTCAAGAATAGCAGAAAATCAGTGTAATTTTTGACGAGAAGGGACAGAATGGCTGTCATTGTCAGTTAGTTTATCACGAGATGAACTTGTTAATTCCACCAATAACTATTCTATTTCTCATATTTTCGTTCTTCTTGAAATTTTCGCTTCAAATTGCTGTAAAACATAAAATTCACGAAGTTTGCTTACAAAACAGCGACTCGTCCAATTTTTGCAAAGATTTTACGCGATTCCGAAGAAGTGAGTTCACGTGACTGATGAAACATTCAGATAATTCCGTATTTTCAGTCAGACAGAGTGCTCAATCCCTTAACAGAAATACGAATCCAATTGGAATCAAAACAATCGAATTTGAAAAAACGCAGGAAGTTATTAAGAAAGTTGGCAGCACGTTGAACCCACAAGGTTTCAGAATTATAATAATTCTTTCCCTTTAATTTTTCAATTTTAGAAAATTTTGATCCGTTTCGAAGCGGTCGAACAGGGATTAAAGTGGTTCCGAATTTGAATCAGAACCAGGAAACATCTCATCCAGTTGAGCATGTGGTTCCTAAAATTCATCCAAATTCGGCTTCATCTGGATTCATTCCGCTTAATCCCACAAATTCGAGACCTGTTGCAAACGATCCTGGAGTAACACAACAACAACAACAGACAATGGCAACTACAACAGAAAAAATGGAAACTAACCAGGCAATGAATTCGACAGAATCGGATGAGATGGACGAAGGAGAACGGATTCTGATAGGTTCCGACGGCGGAAATGCGACAAATTTTGACGAATTTGAAGACGACGGAATGCCACAAATGAGCAAGTTCTTTTTTTGAAATTCGATTGTCTAGAATAATTCTTTTTTTTAAAGCTTATGAACAAATTCGAGAAGAGTTGTTGAGAATATTGGAAGAAGAAGCTATTAAGAAAGAATTGGCTACGAAAGCAGATGACCCTGTAATAAATTTAAACAAAGAAACGAAATTTCAAATCAATTTGCAAATTTAGGCGTGTGGAAAACTTCGCCAAGAGTATGACGATGTCTGTTTCCAGACCCCACCGCTTGCGGCTTTTCAAGAAACTCGAGAATTCTGTTTAGCTTTCGTCAAAAATTGCAGGAAAACGCTGTCTACCAACTTATTCACAAATTTGAAGTAAGTTTTGATTGTCGAAATATTTCTTATTTTTTTTCTTTAGAAATTTCAAAATTGATTTCTCTCGATATTGTAAAAAGCATCGCGAGCGGTTCCGCTACGTTTGCCCCGATCCACTGCGATTTTTTACTTTTGCGGAAGAGGTATATATGAGTTGTGAAAAACTTTGAGAGAATAACAAAAATATGTAGCACCATCGAAAAAAAAATGAGCAGATTGAACAATTGTGGACCATCGTATTTTTCGGGACGGTTATTCAAATTTCTATTTAAACAGTAGTGTCGGGGAAGGTAGAATGGAAGGGTGGAGTGAATATTGGTCCCATCTCCGGCCTGTTGCGCCGTCGATGGGCGGAGTCTGTCGGTCCGCATGTAACAGTTAGAATTTTGGCCAGACAAAGAATACTTATTTTTCTTTTTTTTTGTATTACAATCGCAACAAAACAAGCGCCCTGTGCCGAATTACGGCGCGCGCAGGTAAATAAAAATGAAAAAGAAATTAAATATAAATTAAGTTGATTCGATTGAAAAAAAAAAGAATTTTTTTTCAAAACTAGGTTTCGATTCAAAAATCTTCGAAATCGATTGATTTATCTCTCATTTTCAATTTTGAAATCACTACCAGCTCCACGAGTTATCCGTAACACGGCATCCAAATTCCCACAATTTAAATTCAAATTTGAAGTACCGCCTCGAAAAGTGCGATGGTCCACAATTTGGCAAGATACTCGTTTTTTTATTATTATAAAAAATTACATTTTATAAATAGGTCCATAATTGTACTGCGTTGATGTTAGAAAAAAACTAGAAAACTCCATAAACATTCAATTTGCAAAAAAAAACGAATTGTTTTTTCGTGTTTTTGACGAGCTTTGTAGTTATTTTTTGAAAAATCAGCACAGCATAAGAAAAAAATAGTCCGCAACAATTCGTTTCTATATTTGCGTACTTGCACATACCGTAACCAACATTGATTTTTCTGTGTGCGTTTCCCACAAAAACGCGTCTACAACAATGTTTCGCTGCGAGACCCTGTAGTTCAGACCTGTTGCGGGTCTCGTTTATAAAAATAATTTCAAAAAAAAAAGAAAACAAGCGAAACGCAACGCGTCTGACGACATAACAATTATGGTAGCCGTTTTTTGTTAAACAGACTACATATATAACTTCAGGCAGTTCAATTCTGCATTCGATACAAAGATAGATGTGCTGGAGAGCCAGTACCATCGGAACCAATTGCGTTCAAGCGAAAGGTAAACTTCGTCTTAAACACTGAGCTGAAGAAGATGGATTTTAGGACGCTGATCATATTTACACGAGAGAAATCGAGTATTGGTGCACCCGCGAAAAACGGACAGCATACAATTATTGCACAGAACCTGATTTGATCAAAACTCCACGTTATCAGCCGTTTTGTTTTTTGTACAAATACGCATGTATTGATATCTATCAACGAGTCATTTATGGATAAAACAAATTGAATCAACACGTATAAAATCATCATTTTGAATGTAAAAACTAATCGGAAAACCATTATTAATATTAAAATTATTATTATTATTATTATTATTATTGCTGGCGAAGCATATCGAATTGTTGCGAGATGCTTCGCGGGAAAAACTGCGAGTTCGCTGCAACCGGCTGCTTATAGTTATTGCTCGAACACACATTACTCGCATCGTCGCCACATTCAGATTCTTCCTCGATTCTGAATCATATTAGATTTGAATTTCTTTTTTTTGAAGTTGCTAACAAAAAACCTGTGAAGCTGAAATTTGGACATCACATCAGATTCCCCGCAAATCGACGCTTCGAAAACTTGAGAATCTGATTTAAAAACAAAATGAAATAATTTTGCAGCTGAACGTTCGCTTACTTGCTGCAGATGAGATGATATCGTAATTATTTGCATAGACACTATCGCTGAGAGATGCTGACGAATGCGGTGATTGAGTTCCAGTATTTCTGAAAATTGTTGAAATTCAGTTCATTTTTGTTTTCAGCAATTACTCGTAGGTGCTTTCTCTATCGCCATCAGGTGACAACGGCCGTGTGATCGGCGATTCGGAAGGCAAAGAAGGTGGCGAATAGGCGGGAGCGGGAAGCTGAAAACAATCGAATCTCATCGAACATCGATTTTCGATTTTTTTTTGTGCGCGAAACACTAAACAAAAATCATATACGAATAAAGCGTTTAGTCGAGATTAGAAGCTTTAATCATACCATCGGCGAGAAGCCTGAAGACGTTGACTGAAATGGTGATTAGAATGAAAGAAACAGTTTGAAAAAATAAGGAAAATTGAAGAATCACAAGCAAAATTAATGTTTTATACCTGAAATTCTGGCATTGGTTGAGGAAGACTCAGTGTACACGAATAATAATACCTACTCGATTGCTGATCAGGCGCCGAAATTGACGTCTAAATCAATTCCCTAATGCTTAGAGGCTCTGTTTAATTTAATTTTACCCTGTCAATTGAAAGAAGCTCGTCGATCTCATCTTCATCGTCTTCGGGAATCGTCGCACAACTTTTAGTTGTTCCGCATTCGAATGATGTCAGCCGACTATCTGGAGTGCCCGCAGTCATTACCAACGGTGTTCGATCTATTTTCATTATTTTCACCAATTTCTGGAATTTTTTTTTGTCTCAACTCACATCTTGAAGCATTTAATGGGACAATGAGAGTTTTTCCGCTGTGTGGCCGACGAGGTGGTGGAGGTGAATCGGAAGCCGACGGAAGATGAGGAGGGATCAGTTGAATTTGCGAATCCGACGAGACGCTTGAATTCGATGCGCTACCGTACGACTAAAACGTTCATAAACTTTTTTTGAAAATACTATAAAATTGATTATGTGCTACCTTATAAGGTTCTGTTGCAAGGCTAGTTGAAGGCGTTGGCTGGAGAGGAGTCAACACGTCAAATTCTTCTAATCTGGCGAACATTGGACCAGAATTTGTCTGAAATTCGGGGAATTTTTAAATTTCCAACGACATCGACACCTTTGTGAGATTTCCCAAAGTGTTGGCCGCTTTTTTCCGCTGCGCCCGCGTACAACAAAACATGATAATGACGCGAATCGCCTGAAAATTGCCGAATTCACTAAATAAATATTAGAACCCCCTGAAAGCGAAACACTTGATGATGCTGATGATGTAAGCCGGAAAACCGCAATAAGGCGACGACAAAATGAGCGCTTTTTTGTCGTCGCGGCGAGCACACGAGGAGCTCAACAGACAAAAAGAGGTGAGCACGACGAGCCCATAATTGAAAGCCCCCTCCCAACAAAAATGATGGCGACACCAAAATTTTAATTAAATCGACTCCATTTGTGCCAAAGCAATGATCAAAGCGTGTTTTGGTTTGAAATTCGAGAATAAGTATTCAAATCAGACACCGATAGCTTTGTTTTCTATGAAATTTGAGCACAATATATTCGATTTAAGACACTTCATTTCAAAATTCTCTTTTTTTCTTGTTCGTATTGGAGATCTGATTGGAAAAAGAAAATTATAGATTTCAGAAAGTTGAATTCAAACCGAATTTTTTTAAAATTATAATCTATAAGAATTCCTATTTATTTTTCACATTTCGGGAAATTTTGAACGAAAAAATAATAGTTTTAACATTATCCAGCTATACTTAAATATGCCTATAAATAAAATCGATTTTGATCTTATTTTTTAAAGTAATTCCATCCGTTTACTGTCTTAATACCAATATTTTGGCATCATCTATCATCATTTTTATATGGCAAAAAATATGAAAGCATGTTCAATTCAAAAAGCTGATTTCAACATTTTTTATTATTTTAAATTGAATCAAAAATCTATGATTGAGATGATTTGGGAAAAACAAAACAAAAATTGTTCACATGTCTGGTCTCGACGATGATTGAGTAAAAAAAACGCGCAAAATGTGGCGATCGAATTTCGGCATTGTTTCAGAGTGTTTGTAAAAAGACAACGGAAAAAAATTGGAGAAAATGCGCGAGGCAACGACTCTTGAAATGCGTGCTATCCTACAATAAGTCCCTCGAGGACGAATGCCGAAACAATAACTATTCGTCTTGTTTTTTTTTGTCTTGCTTGTCTCGTTGTTTCATGTTTTTTCGCCTTCGCTGGACTCCACTTCTTCGGTGCCTCTTTTATGGGTTTGTTCCAATGAACGCCGCCTCATAAATTGCCCATTATATGCGTACTAAGCGATGCACTTTTTTACCCGAGAGAACCTCAAAATGTTCTCTTGTTTAGATTTGAATACCATTAGGATATAGAGATTTTTAAGCATAGTTTGAATATTCCGTTTCACTTTCTCCTTATTTGTATTTAAAAAAAATGAAAGCCCTCTATGTAAATAACGGTGAATATGATGGGCAGGTTATCCGAAATATGTTCCATTACATAATTCCCCCGAATTAATTCGAAATTTGAATTGCCGCGCCGAAAAAATACGCTGGTCCGTAATCACTCAACGGCCTAATTAATTCAAACAAAAAACCGGGTTTAATTGTTTTTTTTTTTAATCTCAAATCGGTTTTCATTGGATTTATTCAAGCTATTCTCTTTTAAGTACGTGTTTGAATACTATTTTTGCTATTTTTGGCGTTATTTTTTGGAAAATTTCATTTATGTCATTTCCTCTTATTTCCTGTTTTTTTTAGCTCTACTGATCTAAAAATGAACTCTTGAAAGCAGAATTTCTGAAAACTGTGTGAAACAAAAGATTGAATTAGAAATACAAAAATGCTAATATAAATAATTCATTATTAAATTTTAAAATGCGGCGTGTTCTCTAGTCAAACTACGATTTCTATAAACTGTTATATTTTTCAAAATGTTTCGCAATTTTACAAAAAACTCAAAAGACTATGGAAATTCAATAAAATTCAAGATATGAAATAAAGCTAGCACAAAAAAAAACTCGAATCGCGCTTAGCATCTACTTGTGGTTTGATCCCAAATATGCAAATGAAACTCTTTCTTTTGAATATCATCATTTTCTCAAGTGAATGTTAAAAAGTTGAAAAACTCACAACAACGATGAGAATAATAACGGCAATGATAGTAATCGGTAGAAGAACGCATATTTCGAGTTGTTCTCGATCGAAATCTCGCAACGAATCGAACATTTTTCGTCTGAAACGCGAATCAATTTAATTAACACAAAAAGACACTAATGGATTCTTCCTTATAAGATAGTTTTTCAATGACATCATGTACTTTTAATATTTGTATACCTACTTTAAATTTCAATATTTGATTAAGAGATTTTTCTTTTCCTAATGCTGTTAAAAAAATTAAAATTAAAAAATTAAAACCTAAAAAAAATTAAAATTTTCCCTTTTCTTAAAACTTTGCTTAACTACCAAAAAAATAAGGACGAACAAAATTGTTCAATAGGAATTCGAATTTTGTTTTTTTTAAGACGGCGAAATTTGTACAAACCTGACCACTTAGAATAATGAGCGAAATGCAACAACAATCAGTAAATGGTTGGCTCAAAAAAGTTTGGCGAAAGAGCAATTCGGTTTGTTGTCGACGCATCACATCTCAGCCCATTTCGATGCATTCTTTATGTATCGCACGTCAATTCCTGATAATAAACAATCGAATTAAATCAACCACCAAATATTGGCGTAGAATGAAAGAATGTTGAAGCGGCAACAAAAACAACAACCGCAAAAAAGGGTGACGCGAAAAGAATTGGAAAAATGAAGAATCGGATATCAAATTTTCACCCATTATGTTACGTACATCGATCATTCTTTGTTTTTTTTTTTGCACAATTCTCGTATGAAATGCAAATGAACGGGTTATACGCGAATAATTGTAGGGAAACAAATGAGTAATATGTTTTCTGAATTGGCAGTATTTATTTAAGCAAAAACATATGGCAATGTGAAAACAGGGAAGCTAAATCCAGTTGGGATGAATGAAGACATATCTACACGATTCAGAAAATTCATGAGAGAATTATGCATTTTCATGGGAAATCCTTGGATTATAGAACTGAAATTTTATGGCATAAGGTTTGTTTAAAATTTATTGTTAAAAAATATTGATGATTGAAATTCTCTCAAAAAAATAAGATTCTAAAATTGTCGATTATTTTTTTACTGACTAATCCAAAATTCGAAAATACCAGTAATTTAACTAAAACTGAGATCAGGAAATAACAAAAACAAATCTAAATATGCTTTTCCGTTTTCTAAAAATCGATAATTAATTTTTTTATATTTCGAATCGAGAAAAACCCAAAAATGTTGGCGTCAAAATTTAATATATAAGAAATACTAAATTGTTAAATTTGAAAGGACAGCAACTGAAGAGAATAGGGAGGGGGGGGGGGGGTTGGAAAATAAATTTCGGAACGCGTATGAGGATTCTGATTAGCACAGAGGGCAACAATGCGCGCAAAACGAGTTAAATGCCGAATTGGCGAATGCGTGTGCGTGCGGGTGGGCTCGGAAGATAAAAGAAAATAAGACGGGTACAAATTGGAAGCCGCGCGACGGCGCGCAGACACCTCATTACGATTTCGGTGTGTGTGTGTGTGTTCGTCTTCCGACGGCGTCATTCGAAACTCCTCAATTGTTCGATGCGAGATATAAAATCGCGATAAAAAGTTGCGGTTTGGCAGCCGCGGAATGACGGACACGCTAGTGTTTTGCGGCTACGCGAAGAGTACAAGTTTTTCTTCTCCGGGGAATTATTCTGGGGCGACGACCAAATGACGAGACATTGTTTTACGATGAGAATTAGCATGCGTTTTTGATTCCGACAATTTTTCTCACATGCTCTCATTCAATCGGTTAGAAGAGCGAGTTTGGTCGAAAACACAAACTGATCTACACAATAAATTACTCAAAGAAAAAAAAACGAAAAATACACTTCATGTACACGCAAAAATACCCATAACAAAACGGAGAACAATCTAATTATGTGTATGCGTTGATATCGGCAATTAAATTTAAGGAAAAATAGGCGAGAATCAAGAGGAAAACAAATAGTTAAAGCCCAATTTCAGAAATAAAAAACACATACAGGAAACAAATTCTCGAACGCAAAAGATTCGCTACTCGATTAATATGTTTTTCACAGAAAACAATTGAAGAAACAACGAAAAACAATGAGAAATGAATAAACCGAAGATGGTCCCGCACAAAAAATCGCGTTGATGAAATGGCAATAATTGGAGAAATTGAGTTGGACAAAAAAAAAGAAAAAAGAAAAAGTAAAGAAGATTTAGGCAAACGCGGTTCTTCCGGACGCCGACGAATCGGTGGGAAGATCGCGTCGAATAATATCTGCTACCGATTCGAAAACTGCATTTGATGAATCTCCAGACAATGTGATGCACTTATTCTGCTTCCTAAATTTCAATCAAAACTCAAATCAGTCCGTAAAACATCAAAAACATACTTATAATACTCGATAACTTTGTTCTCCGTCTTATCGTAAACCTCCAATCTCCTTCTAGCCACTTCTAATTGATCCTCGCTTCTTTTGAATAATGGCTCGCCAGTCAAATCATCTTTTCCCTAAAATTCGATAATTCTTATACTTGATAAAACAATAATAATCTTTACCTCTTCTCTAGGTGGGTTCACTTCCAAATTGTAGGCTCTTCCTGATGCTGGATGCACTAATTGCTTCGATAAACGATCAATGAGAACTTTTCGAGGAACCTAGATGATGAAAAATCCAATAATTTACATAAAAATAATTAGAAGTAACCTTCAATTCAACAACTAATTGAAGTGGAGCCTGTTCTTCAACCATCTTAACTTGATTCAAGTTTCTTGGATATCCTTAAAAGAGCAAAAACAAATATTATAATAAAGAAAATGACCTACCGTCTAAAATGACTCTAGGTCCAGCTTTGATCATTTCTGCTAAAACTGCTCCATTTAATAAACTATCGGGCACATGCTCTCCTTTGTTCAAGAATGCTTTTGCGCGCAGTCCGAATTCTGAATAAAATTTAATTAATCACCTATGGATCTATTCCAAACAGAAAATTGAAGAATTACAAATTATTTCAATGCAAGAATGTAAAAAATTTAATGAAATGTAATTTTTCCATAAGTAGGTCCACTACAAAATGTAACATTCAGGCTTTGATAAAAACTGAATAAAAACAAATGATAAAATATTAATTATTTTTAAAAAATAAAAATACAAACCTGTTCCTCTAGCAATATGATCACGAATAAGTTCTCCGGCAGCGAAATGTGCGAAACCATACGGCTCGAATTCTCGAACCAACATCTTGGTAATCGTGCCCTTACCGCTACCAGCCGGTCCGCTTAATAATACTCGGTACATCTAATCTGAAAATCCATGTATAATTTTCCGTGAACATACATATATTTTAAATGACGAACGTTAACAGTTGAGAATGACGGAAGAATAATAAAGTGCATAAAACAATCAGCTGACACCACTACATCAAAATAGAGAACGGCTAAACGTGTGACTCGAAAACGACGTAATAAATATTTACAGTTCGCCTCCTTTTTTTTAGTTCGTTCTTTGTTTTAGTGGTCATAATTTGAGTGCAACTACGAAATCAAAGATAAAAGTTCGATATACAGTCATGCGAATATGTACGAAGCGCATGAATCGATGATAAAAATATAATGGCGTTGATCTCAAAAAACCTTGGTTCGATGACGAGCGAAAGAAAAGAAGAAAACTACTCTGCAATCTTTGTGTGTGAGAAACCGGGGTTTTTCTCGCGTTTGGAACAAATCGTGGAGTTTTTTCTGCCGTTTAACGTGGAGAAAAAACGCCGTCGTTTCGCCCGCACTGAATTGCCACGGGTCACCTGAAGAGTTTATTTCGAATCCAGATCTTGAGGAAATCGGGAAAAAGTCTTATGATATTTTTCGCAATTAGTTTTTCTATAAACTGGGTACACGACAATAATTTCCAACAACTTCCGCTGGTCGTCCTAATTTTTAACACGACGCTCCAATTAAACATCACCCACAAATTAGAGTTTCAGATTAAACCCAAAAATGTCCGCCATTACTGATTAATTTTTGATATCCCAAGATACATCCTACCGAATTTCTCAATTTTTGGTACAAATCCTCTTGCAGACCCAAATACACGCTGACTATTAAAAAAATGCAACAATGGGAAAATATGCAAGAAAATAATATCAATTTCCGTAAGAGATAAGAGGAAATAATTCAACATGGCAAATAATGACATGTTTTAGGCCGCCATCATTTTTACAACAACCGTACACTAATGGGATGTATGCCCAGTCACATGTTCCGTTTTTGATAATAAGCCAATTGGAGAATAATTATCAATGAGAAATCAAATGATGAAAATGAGAAAAAAAACTCGCACAGAACCCAAAAAAATGGGCGAATTTTCGTTTCGAAACTCGCAGGTTCGTTGGGGTTGCGAGAGAAAGAGAGAGAGAAAGAATCGGACGAGAGAGGACCGACGAAATAGTGAAATGCGCCGTCTGCAGCAGGCTCCGATACGTTTCTAGAATGATGAAAATCGGCGCGAAAAAAATCGCCATTTTTTTTTGTCGTCCGCGGAACACTGTTTGCATAAACGAAAATGTCTACTACTGAAATGCGGAAGAGTAGTAAACAAAAGTGCGACAAAATTAATAAAAAACCTTCCCATGAGCAATATGTCGAAAAAAAAAACTAGAAATCTGGAGAGAATGTTCTAGAATTAAAAAAAAACTCAAAATAAATGTGATTGAGGAAGTCACATCAAAGTCAATTATTTTGCCGAAAATTGAGGCGTTGGACCTTTCGAACCAATCATGAGGCTCCGCTGTGATGAATGCAAGCAAGTCAGTCACAAGATATTTTTGATCGGCCACGGAAGCTTCAACCAGCATGTTTAAAAAAGATGAGAAGACAGATATCACAAAGTTTGAACGCAAACATTTACATCCATTGAACTGAAACTCACGAGTTTGTTTACGAGATCATGACAGTGGGTGGAGAATCGATTCTCGATGACGGCGACTTGTTTTGTTCAATGAGATAAATGTCTACGGAGAATATCAACAAAAAAGCAAAAGGTCAATGGCAAAGTGCGATTTTTCTGGCGTATCAAAATAGGAATAGAAGAAAGAACGCGGAATTCGGAAAAATTCTTCCTATAGGAACTAAAAACAATTTAATACCCCTTTCTCAAATGAAGTGGAAGGAAGGAACCAACATTAATATTTTCTTACCGCCTTGAAAAAATAATTAAATGTTTCGAAAAAATCAAAAACAGCGCGAGAAAATAAGAAATTAACATTCTTGTTTCCTTTTTCACGCCACGCTTCAAATCGAAAAACCAGAAACGTTTACCAGAGATGAGCAAAAATTAACTTCGTGAGCTTAAAAAATCATTTCAATCAGGGAAAATCGTTAAAAAAAAAGCTACTGTAAGAATTTTCACAAAAATAATTACATGTTCCTTTAGGATTACGGTATCTGGTATAAAAAATTTAATAAATAGAATAAATTAGATGAGAATTATTTATCTCCAAACACGAACCTACCATTATATACTGTAAACTTAAAAATAGCTGAAAGTTTCAAAAATAAATAATTGATGCTTCAAAAGCGTTTTTTTTCGCAGAAAAAAAGGTTATGTGCAAATATGCGTTTATTTCGGCAATATTTATCCAACGCGTGCCAACCGTTTTTTTTCTTCGTTCATTTCTCTAAATCTACCCAATCTCTGTACTACCTTCACGCCATCAGCTGCCGCGTTTAACTGTTTTTCAAAAATTCGGAAGCGTCGTAATGACTCTCACGTGTGTCTCGAAACAAACAATTCAAGATAAGATGAAAAGCGTTTAAACGACCAAAAAAATTTTGACGGGCCGATATCACGAGGAGAAAATGTAAAACATTTTATTAATTAAAATTATGATTTACAAAAAAACAAAAAAAAAACAAAAAGAAAACCACAACAGAACTAATAGCGTAACACACAGGTGAATCACAAAGAAGCAAAGATAAAAAGAAGAAACTACACAAAAAGTACAATCGGCCTTAACTCGTGGCGAGACCCGAAAGTTTCGGCGTGCAAAATTAAGATTCTTTCCCGATTTAAGGAAGCCATCGACGTGAGTTTTTTCGAACACCAACGAACAGAACCATTTGATTTGCAAGCTCATCGCTCCTATATGAATTCAACAAGCTATTACAACGCTAAAAAATTTTCTGTCGAGATTCTTTTAACTTTTTGCTGTTTTCTTTTTCTTGAATATTTTGTATATAAATAAAGAATAGAATAAAAAATAAAGCGAATCGAGTGTCATCGAGATTGCGAAAATTGTTCGAGAAACAGTTATATGTATTAATATATACACTAACTAGACTGAGAAAATCTAATACTGTAGACGTGCGGCAAAACAAAAATGAATAAATAGTCTGATGTTTGATTGTAATTATATGTATATGTATATATATATAAGATATATATGTAGAAGAAAATTTTTGGGGAAAAATGTATTACAAGTGTTTGACGGCGTGGAAGAACCAATTGGTTTTCGTCGACCATGAACCGTTGAATGCGTCCTCGAAAATGCCGGTGAAATATTTTTCAGCAACTTCTTCTTTTTCGGTTCCAACACATAACGTTTTCTGAAAATAAGAAATCAAAGCTCATATAGTGAAACTTTGAATTCAAAAAACTCATTCAATTTTCATTTATTTTCCTGTAAAACGTGAACACCGCTCACCTTTATATGTCCCAAATCCGCTTCGGTCGATAATTCGGGAAGCTCCATTCCTTGCATTAAAGTGAACAATGATTCAAACAGATTTCTCTCTTCCCACAAATACAAATAAGCTTTGATGCAATTTTCGCGGAATCTAGAATTATGCGATTTGAATCGTCATTATCAAACGTCGCCTACTTTTTGACTTCATGCGAATCCTTATCAACCGGTTTCCCTTTTCGAATAACACACAAAAAGTGCTCAGTGAGCACGAACGGTTGACGATCTCTCTGAATACCAAGTTTCGTTTTTCCGTGCCCGAGGATATGTCCAAAGTCGATGTGAAAGATTCTTCCATCATATGTCAACATGATATTGTCGCTATGGCGATCTTTGATGCCCATTATGAATGTCGCCACCGAATATCCAATACAAGACCATGTGAAGCGCTCAGAGCACTCCAGGTAGCTGCAAAAACTAAAAACGAACAATTGTTAGAAACACGCTCTTCTGGTGTTGAAATACTCTTTAGAATCTCGCGAATGATGACGAATGAATTTGTTAATAAACGACGTTTCCAACGATTTTGAAACGGTGCCCATTTTGCCGCCTTCGGATTGAATTTCGAAAATTGTGGCACAATTCGGAACCACTCCAATTATTCCAATCTAGAATTTTCATTTTAACGAATTCTATAGAAATTAATTTTTTAATACCTTGGTACCCATCGGAAGAACCGGATATGGGCTCAAACTACAGTCGAAATCGTTCTTCTTCCAAATATTGTCCATAACTTCCAAGACTTGAAGCACAAGCATATCTTGGCGCAAATCTTAAATTATTCAATAATTTTAAGCAAATAAATTTAAAAAATAATTTACCATCTCCATTTTTGAAAAGAATTTCATAGACAGGCTGATGAAATTCGCTCATCGGATTCAGATTTTTCCAAGCTAGTCGAAGTGGCATTTTCGCGCTTCCAAGCACTTTACACTTATCAATTCTGTAATTATCAATCAATTATCTAAAATCATCGAATAAATGTGTTACACAAGCTCTCCAAGAATATAAGTTGGATCTAAAGGCGAATCCATATATTGCATTTTCGCATAATTATCGCGAAGTTCTTTTTGCAATTTGCGTGTCGCCGCGTCTTTCGGAAACGATTTGACCATCACACTGAATTTCGAGAGCAATTCGACCATGTCGACCTGACGAATCATCATTTTGATGTGATCCTCATTTCCACGCAAATAAGCTTCAATGAGTAGCGCGATACGACGAAACTCCTCGCTTTTGGCCTGAACATCACGATTCAAATTGCGAAGTCCGGCAATTTCAGCGCGCAAAAGCCAGAACAATTTGTGACCAACACGATAATCGGAAAGCGCTTTTTGGAGAAGCAAACGACCGACATCCGATTGAGCACGAGGCTCGTATTTGAGAGCCTCAAATTGGTAGAGTTTCGAAAGAGTTGTCAAATCAAATGTCTGATACCTGAATTAGCGGTAGAATGTAAAAAGGGAATTGGGTTGTGTCGAGAAGAGAATCCAATTGCTCAACGGCAAACTTTCGCAAAACTCTATCAGTACATCTAAAACAATACCAATTCTCATCAAAAGAAATGGTTCCACACAAACACTTACCGCTTCCCAAGTAATGTCAAAGCGGCACCAACACTTAATCTTTGCCATGTCTCAAGCATCATATACAACTCGGTAAAGTATTCCCTCTGTTTCCAAATCATATGGAGTTCGGAGATCACCGTAAGGTTGTCGGGTCTTTTCTGCGAAATGTATTTTCGCCATTTCCAAATGAAGTGCTCTTGCTCATCATTCAGTTTGCCGCCCGACTCAAATAACGATATATAACTGATAAGCTTCTCGTGGTCCTTATCATTTTCCTAAAAAAAAACAACAATTTTATTTTAAAGATCAAAATGAGAAGTACAACAATACTTTTGGAACGTAATCAGCTGGCATTGAAAAGTCGAGCTCTTGCCACTTAAACTTCTCCTCCATATAATTCTCATACTGTTTTCTTGAAGGCATGCGAACTCGCGCTTGGAAATGCTTGATTTCGATGGTCAGCTCACAATTGAGACCTATTCTAGCGCCGTTGTCTCCAATCCTCGCGCGATTCGCATTCTTTTCCGGAGCCCAGAGATGCAATGTAACCTCTCCTTGTCTCAATTCGTCTCGCCAATCCGTCAAACTGATATTGACCCATCCAATCTCAACGAATTCGGCCTTCTTTTTCGGATTCTTCCAGAATAGCACGCGAAGACCCAATACAGCCGATGGCGGCATATCTTTCATATACAAATCCGATTCGATGAAATCCTTATTCCATTTCGCATTTGCTGCGTAAACTTGCTTCGACAGTTTTTCGACGAGCACCGTCTCGCCGCAATAGACGCGGAACTCAACAGCCGTCTGTCCGAATGGATCCGGGAATGCGACGTTCGACAATGAGACCGCACGGAACGAAAGATTCGCATCGACATCCCAAAGGGTCCACATCATAGCTGCACGAAAGTCCGACAACACCAAATCATCGTCAACCGGTTTGCCTTAAAATTCATTTTTAGAACATTGCCAAAATCGCTTATTCCGCTACTTTTCTTGAACAACTCCTTTGGATTATTTTCAAGCGAAATGCTTAAACCATCAAGAGCGATTTTTCTCTCTTGCGCCTTCACATAATTTGGCTGCAAATTAAATTCAAATTCGCCGATTTTAAAAATATTTTTGAATTACCACATGAACAGTTTTCGGCTTTGGAAAATCTCGCATAACCAAAGCCTTTCGACGAATAATGAATGTTGGACATTGATGACCCTCAAACGCAGATTTCACAACCTAAACAAATGTCTTTACTATAGAATTTAAAAAATATTATAAACCTTATATCTAATAAGAGGAATGTCTGAAGGAAGCATATAACTCTTCTTTCCAGCAAGTTGAAAAAGGAGCTCCTCATCTTCCGCATCATCCGGATCCGCAATGCCTTTATCTTTTAGCTCTTCCTTAAACTTCCATAGAAGTATTGTTGGCGTATCCAATTCATCGAAAGGAATTGTAATCTTCTGAATATTATCAACATCTCTCTGCGTTTCATGGAAACGCGTTTGATAATATAATTTGTACGAAAGTTTCGTTGCTGGAAAATTACGATCAGAAAATCGATATTTATAAATTCGCGTTACATACATCGAATTTTCGCCGCAAATTCGCTTTCATTGTTGCTCAATACAGCCATTGTGATTTCTTCGGGAAACGCGTAGTGGTCATAACCCTCAGTTCCGCGAGATTGGCACGCCTCACGTGTAATGGAGAACAACCATGCACGAAACTGACGAAGCTCGTCGTCCAATACGTCTTCGAGCGACTCAAGTGGGAATCCCAAGCAATGCCCAATATTCTTGCAAAGCTCTTTGTCATGATTAAGTCCATCAGGCTCGTACAAAAATAACATAGGAAATGGAGCGCTCAGATCGATCGCATTACATAAATATACCTGAAAAAAAAACCATGTTATAATTGAATTTGTCTCATAATAACGCACGTCTTCATTGAAGACACATTCCATTTCAGAAATTTCAGTGATGATCCGAAAGACGTAGTCTTTTGCATTAAACGAATATCCTTCATATTTCATGCTGGAATAAAAGAAAATTATTCAACTAATTGTTTCTAAAACATACAACTGGAGGCGTTTGAACAGGGCAATCTTCAGCTCATTCAGTTTGATATCTGCGGGACACTCGACAGAAGCGACAAACCATGGAAAGACAATCTTCAAATGATTCCGCGATAAAATTGTTTGAGCTTCAAACCCACCGAAACAAATTCCGTTTCTTTTCCTTCTTCGAGTATAAGCACTTTAACCAATTTGTCATCAGGACATATGTACATTGACGGTTGCTTGTCACAATACAAAGTGCCTCGTTCGCGATTGTTCCATTCATCAATGAGTGCTTGAAGCTTGGGATTCGGCAAACTTTGCTGCGACAATCTTCTATGTTCACTTTGGCTACCGACTCGAGCCCTGTAGAATTACTATACCAATGTTTCTAAAAAAATAATAATTACCTGTAATACATCGGTATATTGTGATGCGAAGAGCATCCTGGCAATCGACTAGTCGTCATCTCATCTCTGTTTTCCGAACACTAAATTCCCATGTGAGCCAAGAAAACTAGTCCAACATTAAAATACGACAATTGTAGTGAAACAATTAATAAAACAAAAACAGGCAATTCAACGAGAAGAAACCGAATGTTTATACGCAAATAAATACATAAATAGAAAAACCCGTAATCGATTCATCGCTGAATCTGGATATGCGGCATCGGATGCATTGGAGGTGGTCGTTGTTGTTGAACCATCATCGGGTTCATTGGATGCCCCATTTGACCCATTGGTCCCATTTGGCCCATCGATCCCATAGGTCCCATTTGATTCATGTGCTGCGACATTCCAGGATGTCCCATCATACCGGGCATCATACCTGAATCATTCAACTAGTTTAGTTCGTAGGATGCAGGGATGCGCGCTAAGGAGCACTTTTCGAGAAGACTTTCCAGTCCCAAAATCCGGGAAATTTCGTTTTTGTTTTATTTTAACACGTTCAGTTAATTTTTTAAACTAAAATACACTAAGCGCTAAGCGCATTTGAAAACATAAGCCAATTCTATTGGAATAGAATACCGAAAATTGAACGAAACCTAATCTTAAATTTAGAAAACCTGTTTTTGCTGCTTAATGCTTTAAGGTTTTTCTCCATGTATTTTTAAACCAACAGAAATCTTTGCTTCAAAAATTTTCCGATTTTCCGTCTGAAAAAATTTAGGTCTGACCGCCACAGGAAAAACGCGAAATTAACCACACAATCCTGGTTCTAGTTTTAAAAAAAACCTTCACTGAACTTACGTCATTCCACCGAGTAAATTTACAGACATTTTCAATTTCAACTCACCCATTTGATTCGGCATCATCATTTGCTGCATTTGCTGTTGCTGCGGATTCCAGTTCATTGGCGGCTGCTGAAGTTGATGCTGTATCATTTGCGAATGTTGTTGTTGATGATGATGAAGCTGTTGAGCATGTTGAGGTGGCACAGAGGGATTCGAACGAGCGCTACGCAAATTCTCGCCATTTAAAAGAGATGCCACTATTTTGGCAGTGTCCTCGCGATTGTATGTCGGCTGAAATAATATCAAGAAATTTTTCAATGGAGAACGAAGGAACCGCGCGAAATTGAAAACGAGAACAAAATTATGCAAAAATGTGTCACATTAGAATTGCATATTAAACATCAAAGTCTTTGTATCTCTGCTCGAACACGCGCACAGCCATCGTTGCTATGTCAACCTTATTCACAAAGACTTTTCGATGACCGTGATATGAATAAGCTTCCAATCAGATCTTATCGTACAGATATCATTCTATCCGATTTATTTTATAAGAGGGTAGTAAAGCCTCCAATAAATCAGACTCAATAAAGTTTTTTCGTCATTTTGGAAGCAAAGCTCGATTTCGCGACCGCCTTCGCATCATACTAATCCGTTCGCACATTCACATGGCGATGCAGCATAATGCATCGCTAATCGGTTCTTTTATTCACCTTCTCAATAGCCGCCTCCTGCTGCATTTTGTCGATAGTGTTCAGATTCGACAATAACAATTCGATGTTCTTGTTGAATGAATTAATCTGTCGAACAATGAGATCTTGCGACTTGGTCTGGCGCTCGGCATCCAATAAATTTTCCTCGTTTTCCATTTCCGGATTCGGTTTTGTGCGCAAATATTCGGGAACAAGGTCATGATTCCACGACACTACTCGATTTTCCGTTAATCTCTTGAAATAGGATTATTCTTTTAGAAAAGCATTGTGTGAAATTACAAGCAGTAATGGATCAGGTTCATATTGTAGTCGTTGTGGGACCAATACGTGCGAGCGGAGAAATTGGCCATAATCTTCGTGTCCTAAAAAATGAAATAGTACGAGAAAAGTGTCGGTCGGAAATATTGAAATGAGTCAACCGAACAAACAAAAAAAAAATAAATGACAATTGTGAATCACTAAACACGGTTATTTCTTTTGCGCAAAACGAAAACATTCCATGATTTTGAAAAATATACTGAAAAATAATAGCGAAACAGTTCGAATCAAATGAAACAAAAAGACACGAGTTTCGAATATTTGCGAATATGAAAAATACGGTAACGTAAAATAAAGCTTTTAGAAATTTTAATAATAATCGAAATCGCTCGTTAAATATTTATTTGTTTCAGTTTAAACCAATAAAATAACCCCAATATGATATTTTACCTCTTAAATTTTTTTTTGAAAAATGGTAAATTCCATTACAAGTTTGTCGACATAAGTTTTTTTAAAACTTATTGGAATGGTGATTAATGTTCATCTCAAAGTTTAATTTAAATTCTCTTCATAAGTGTATTTTCTTTAAAATACAAAACCAAACATTGATTTTAAAAGAATTGACGAGATAATTAAATTAAAAATAATGAAATTTAGGTAATATAATCAGGAACCATACCTGATTGTAATCCACTTTTTCGCAGAGATGATTGCAAAACTGTCATCGCGGAGGCAAGCGCCGAGAATTTCTCCAACATTTCTGGCCTAAGAATCAATAAATCAACTCTTTCGCCGGTTTATCTTTTTCCATCGCCTCACCATGGACACCGTTCTTGCATGTTTAACATATAAAGTAGCTCTTCAATAAGCTTTTTCGCGTCAAGAGTTTTCTTCGCAACGAAATCCACCGCTTGCATGATTTTCTCGGGCTCATTTTGAAAACTACTTGGATCCGGAATATTTTGCATAGGAAATGACATCTGTAACGTTGTTAACATTTTTGAATGAAAGAGAACGGGTTGAGACAAAATAATAGAGAGATAGTTTTTTTTCGGCGAATAAAAAAACCGATCAATAATTATAAAATTGTTCAATGAAAGCAAATTTATTGTGAAAACACCCGAATTAACACATTTATATACAAACATAAGATTTTCGTTCCAGAATTATCGTTTTTTCGCAGCCATTTGTGCTTCGATATTTTTAATAAACTCGTCTTGGTCGAAAGAAATCGGTATCAAATCATTGAATTGCTGATGATTTACGTTGACCACGCTGTTCGCTACCTGAACTGTTAAATCGTATAGAAAGGAACAACAAAATAAGTTATCAATTCAAGTACCTGTTTCAACGCGGCTTCAGCGATGTATCTTTCGTTGGTTTTCATGAGATGTTCGACAATATTTGCAGTGTCCGGTGCAGTAGCAGACGTAGATGGATACGAGTGTTCTGTAACGAAAAAATTGAATTTAAATGAACGTAAAGTATCATTTCATTGCTCGTTGCCAACCCTGAACTATATCAACTCACTGTGAAACAGGCGTTTACAAAAACGTCTATCTTTATAAATATTTTTATTTAAAATGAATTTTGACAAAATTTCAAATTTCTGGAGTTTATTGAATTATGAAAATATTCTACAATTATATCATGTTAATACCACGAGTTTCGTCTTCTCAGTATATAAGTGAAACTTTTAAATTTGTGGTATACCAGAACTTTCCGCAGTACTCGCGGTTTCATCAAATGCCGACCCAAGATTTTTCTGCAAAATTTGCTCATAGAAGTTGTGATTTAATGGAACTGGTCTCATTGGATTGCTGTGCAGCAAACGCTGTTCATCGTCCATAGTTCCATTCATTGCCTGAACAAAGCCAATAAATACATAGCAGGAAAGATAATAGACAATTTTTAAAGCGAAGAAAGAAAAATTAACAATCCAAAATAAGACTATCTGTTGATTGCGAACTTTTAATTAATTTTTCAAAAAAAGAGAAAAATATAAATCAATAAGAGATTTATTTTTAGAGAATCATTATTGCGTGTTTCAATGAGCACACGCGACCCAATCGTTTTGAATGCATTCGCCCATGGATTTTCAGTAGAGGTACATAATGAGTGCTCGGTGAATGCACACATTAGTAATTTCTTTGCGCACCGTAGTCGCTTGCGTTTGAATTAAATATTTAAAAATTTGCAATGTGAAAAACTAAAGAAAGAAGTCAAAGAAGTCAAGTCATAAAATATCTGTTTTTATCTGGAAAGAATTACCAAAATTGTGTTATCAATCTCTTCTTTTTTTTTAAGAAACTTGAACTTGTTTAAAATTCTTCTTGAACCAAATGAACTAAATGGAAGATAGGCAAATTGTTTATCAATTTTTAAGCACGCGATAATATTTGCTGCTCAATCGAGCCATCGTTGCTCAAATCCAATTTGAAACATTAAAGAAAGGTCATTGGCATCAGCATCGAGGTCATAAATAATGTTGAGCAGCTGCTTGTCGTTCAGACTGATCCGCGTATCCCAATACTCGGCGCGATTCTTTAGTGTTGCTTATAAAGAGAAATGCTAATATTAAAACTTTTCTTTGTAATTATATTCATTAATTCAACTGATTCTGAAAAATGTACCATTCGGCCGTATGAAGCCAAAGGTGAACCATCACCAGGAAGCAATGGATACGTAATTGAGGTACTTTTCAATGTTTCATATCTGCTAATGGTAGATTTTTTTAGATTAACGGAACAAATGAGAAAAATCAAGATTTGAGGCTCGGTTTCTTACCAGGAGAAGTTTATAAAAGTAAGAAGTCACTATTTTTATTTTTATTTTAAACATTTAGTTTTGATTTGATCAATGAAGAGAACATTTCGAAATTATTGACTAACAAACGTGTATTTTTTAGTTATCAGAAATATATTGAAAACAATATAACCGTTAAAACGTGAAAATACGTAATACTCTGTTTTCAGTTTCCCTTCGTGGATGGAGGACTCAATACACTGTGAAAACATTCAGAGGATTTGTTGTGACGACCCGATTTGAAGACAACACTCCAGCCGGAACTTGGCAGGTAGGCATTGTCACATTCAATATTAAATTTTCTAAAAATCATCTTGGTGAGAATGAAATATATGTGATAATACCTGTTATTTTCAGGTTATCAAAGGTCATGGCGATGCTAGAATTGCTCCAGGATGCCGATCTTCTGGCGTTAGCCATGCCAATCTTCGGTCGAAAACATCTGCACACATGATGTGGAAAGCTCCTGAAGTATCATTTTCTTCTATTTAAGAATGCTTAAAATCGACTTTAGGTTTCCAAAGGCTGTGTTATAATTCGCGCCTCGGTCATCGAAACAAAGTATGTGTGGTTCACGGAAGCAGAAGGACTTACAATGAGGATTTGCGCAAAACGTAGGATGTTTCTGCATTAAATAAACTATAATTTGATTTTTGCAGGTGGTGCTCAAAAGATGAAACCATCGGATGATCCGAAAGCCCATTGTTGTGCTTGTGACATTGCTGAATACGATCTAGAATTCACCGGAATCTGGAGCAAAGAAACACATCCCAAAGATTATCCAACATGTAGGTCTCATTTAATTGAGCTATCACGACATTTCGAATTTATTTAGTGGAGCATTTGACTCATTTCACGGATATGCTGGGACTTGCTCATTCTTCCAATTATACATTGTGGAAGATTGGAGAGATTTCGACTGATGGAATGAAGGAAATTGCGGAATGGGGAAACACGTACAAAGGAGAGGAAGAAGCCAAAGCAAAAGCTGCCGAAATCCGAAGTTTGATGAAAATCAAAGGATTGTGGTTCCCTGAAGTTCAAGGAGTCACCAGATCGAAATTCGTTGTCAACAAGTAGAAAAATAGAAAAAGAAAATAATATCTTTGATAAGATTTTATTTTAGGTACCATCATTTTGTTTCCCTCGCCACCATGTTCGGACCTTCTCCTGATTGGTGTGTTGGTCTCTCATTCATTAATTTGTGTCTACCTGATTGTACGTGGATTGATGAGCGAACTTTTGAACTTCAGCCATTCGATGCTGGAACCGATTCGGGTCCAACTTATATGGTAATAATTTAAAAATTAAAATTACTGCAATATATTTATTTATTTAGTCACCAAATCAACCAACAGAACCAAGAGAACCTGTTCATTGGATTACCACCAAGCTCAATCCATTGAGTCCATTCTACAGCGAAACCAGTGACACGATCCCAACTCTAGCAAAAGTTGTCTTAAAAAGGAGAAATGTAAAAATATATTATTTTTATTTCTTAAAACTATTTGATTTTGAATAGGTAACAACAGCCAATTGTCGTAGTGATGAGGAATATCGTGCCGAAGCGCATAACATAACGAATACAAGCGAAGACGAGGAATACAAAGATCGTCGCGAATGCATGATGACGGAATGGGAACCCTGGAGTTTATGTTCAGCGACATGTGGCAAAGGAATCCGAATTCGTAGTCGCGCCTATGTTTTCCCAATCAAAGCTCAAGTGTTCAATTGTCATCGCCAAACGAGCGAGAAACAATTCTGTAATGCAAAAATCAACGAATGTGCCGATTCGGAAGCATTCAGTTCCAAATGTGCGGTCGGATCATGGGGACCGTGGGGCGACTGTGATGTACAATGTGGACATGGAACACGAAAACGTACGAGGTTAGAATTTTGAACATATGATTAATATTGGCGTTCAAAAAGGTATATAGATAATTAGACCCCTAGATGGTGAATATTAACACTATCGTAATCTCTGCAGATCCAGTTCGAATCGAATACGATAAATTTCATCTTAACGATTGGTCTATTTCGGTTCGACTCAAATCGTATAAGATTGTTAAACGTTCATATTCGACTAACATTTGGAATATCGATTTGAATCGATTCGAAAAGAATTACTAGTGAAATTAGAACAACCGAATAAATTGATTCTTTTTTCACAGAAGTTTCTTGAATCCGGCCACAAAACCTGAGGATTGTAATAATGTGGAGCTTGTGCGGAAAGATATCTGTGTCGGTGAGAACGGAGAAGATTGTAACGTAACCCCAGATCCTCTCTGCAAGACTACGTCTTGGTCTGACTGGTCGCCGTGTTCTGCATCCTGTGACGAAGGTGTCAAAGTTAGAACAAGACTTTTCTATTATGCAGAACACGAGAAGGTACGATTTAGAAATCATCACTAAATTTATCGAAGCGTTATTATTCAGAGATGTCTTCATGTGAACTTGCAAGAGAAGGACTCATGCATGCTTCAGTCCTGCCGCAGATTCATTGAAATTAACTCTGAAGGTTTGAAAAAACGGCAAAACAAACAAAGCAAAAGTCGCTTTTCAGAAATTTGCAAAGAGGAGAAAGCTGCCGGACAATGCGGCGGAAGTTTCCCGAGATATTGGTACAACGAAATAAGGAATCAGTGCGAGCGGTTCATTTACACCGGGTGCAAGGTTCGCTCTTATTGGATCTTTCTATCGAAGGAAATTTTGTTTTAATTATTTTCAGGGCAATCGCAATCAATTCGAAACTGAAGAGGAATGCAAGCAGATTTGTGTTCCCGGTTACGAAAAAAACAAAGCACTGGTTCCAAATCATCAATTATTCGAAGAATTCGGTGATTCGCAAGTGAGCGACGGCGGAAAGAAATCAGACTGCGAGCTGAGCAAATGGTCCGCTTGGGGATCATGCTCGGTGAGCTGTGGGCGTGGAAAGAAGATGAGAACACGCGAGATCATCAAATTGCCTAGAAACGGAGGTCTCGCATGCAGCGGACACATGATTCAAGAACTCCAATGCCGACTTCGACCATGTCGTGAGTGGCTCATTACGTTTCTTAAAATTTATATTCGCTAAGTTTTAGCGATTCGACTTAAATGCCAAGTTGGTCCCTGGTCACGTTGGACTCCATGCTCTTCCTCTTGCGGAGAAGGATACCAAACAAGAAGGCGAAGGGTCATTCGGTAGTGAAATCTGTAAAGAATACAATTAGCATTCTATAAATTTCAGCGCCAGAAACGAGGATTGGGAAGAGATTGAATGTGCCGAAGCTGAAACAGAAACCCGCGAATGTCGAGGACGCCATAGTTGTTAAACATTCCAAAATTTATCAGTTGCGTATAAATTGAATATGAATGATATATGAAATACAAATATATATTGAAATAAAACACAATCAGCCATTAGTATCGAGAAAAATCCAATATTGAGATATTGATTTGTGAGTTTTAGGATGTAGCAACATAGAGATCAAATAATTAATAGTGTTTCCTAAAACATTGATTAAATGGTTAATTTAAGAATTCGATGAGGTTGTTGGGACGTTTGCAAAATTTTCTTGCGATAATGCATGGGCTACGACAGCCGCCGAGACATGTGGCTGGACGACAGTGACGTGTTGCGGATGAGCTTCTCGCCAGATTCGGTACGCTGGTGTCATTTTCCATTGATAATAATATTCTACTAATTCGCCGACTTTGCGATATGGAAGCTGAATGAATTAATTTGGTATTACATGGAAAAATACTATGAAATACCTTTAGGCGGCGTATTAGCGAGAAATCTTTTCCATAAGTTTCTAATGATTCTTCAAATATTTTCGCTTCCTTTTCATCCCATGAAAGAGCATCAGGACGAACACTTCGAATAGGAGCATTAATTTTCGGGAATGGATACGATTTTAGTGCTTTCTCGGCATCACAACCATGTCGGAAAAACGCGCAAAGGGCGTCTTCATCATCACGAGTCTGAACCAATTACCAATTAATAATATGGTCATTTTTTCAGCCTACCTTGCTTGCTCTCGGCGAAATGTATTGATCATGCGACTTACGCAACATGCCGACCTTCGTTAGATAATCGTCAATGTGCTCATCACTAACTGGCAAAGTCTTCTCCCACGACCATAGACAAATAGCGTCATCGCGAACATCTGATGCCAAACGTTCAGCCTCAGAGAGAATATCGGGAATTTCCGCCTGATATCTTTCTTGATCAACACGAACATTTCTCCGCCAAGTGTCTGGTGGAGCATAATCCTCATCATCATCATCGAGACCGCTTAGAGAATTTGTGTTGATATCAAATAAGTATTGATCAGTTCCACGAGCGGCAGTCGAGGAAGAAGGACCATCCTGAAATTTTAATAATTCGAAATAAATTTATTTTTAAGAACTTACATCATCGTTCAGATCTTCCTCCTCCTCATCTTCGTCATCATTTCCATTTGAGGTATTCAAGTCACCTTCTGGTGGATAACCATACAATCTTCTCAACTCTTCAATTGACATTTCTCCCTCGTTTTGAAGATCTTTCAGCTCATCCGCATAGTTTCCAGAGCCGAGAAGCTCTTCTTCTTCAATTGTTCCTAAGGAAACAAATATTTCAAACCGAAATTAACTATGATATACCTTCGAAATCTTCACCGTTGTCATTATCCAAGGCGTTGTCATAATCTTCGTCTCCTAGCGGATCAGCATCATTCTTAGCGGCCATTGTCTTTTGCGAAAATTTCTGTAAAATTTTTATATTTAATAATTTAATAGACTATTAAAAGAACTTGGTTAATGAACTTAAACTAGAATTTTGAAAGAAATTGAGAACTTGAATCTAACGTGGAATTAACTGAAGCATACTGTTAGTGATTTCTAAAAATTGGAATACGAATACATTAATGGTAAAATGTGAAATATATAATTTTAAATAAACAGATTTTCCAAAATTTTTATCGATTATTAAAAACTCTAATCAGCAACAAAATATATACAGAACGCTCTAAACGCTCGAACTTAAAGATTATTAAAATTTCGGAGGAGGCGGCTACTTGACGGTGTTTGCGGACTCACATCGTAATTCGCACTATGAATGAACTTTTTCGCGAGGCAAGAGATATAAAGAAAAACAGTTAAACGCTGAATGAAGAAAAGATAACAATTAGCTGCGCGCGATAGAAAATGAAGTTATGGAAACAATAATTTAAAATAATTGAAAATAAAAAATGGTTAAAGGTGCATTAATCTAAAAATTAACAATAATCCTATTTGGAAAATCAGTACTGTATTTTTTGAAATTTGAATATCAATCGATTTTCAGTTTTCACTTTCGTGTTTTTCTTGGAAGTTGCTATATTTTTGATCGCTTTGCTTCATTTTCTTGGAAATTTGGCAAGTTTTGAATACTAAAGGGTCATTATACCATGTAAAAAAATTAAATTTAAAAATTGTCTCCTGTGAAACGAGTTAATTAAGAATTTCTAATCATTTTTTTTGAATCATTTTCAGTTTAGTTCGGACTGATATGTCACTAAACTACTAAAAAAAATTAAAATTACGATTTCAAGGAGGATGGAAGATAGGAGCCGAGACTCACAACTACCTGAAACTTCACAAACTCGTTCGTTTTTCCGAAATTGCACATATGACGCTCAAACGCGCTTAAAAATGGCTAACGATATGATTGCGTCAAGGTTTGTTTTGGTGAAATTTTCCTATTTCATTAATATGGTCGTTTTTAAGAAATTTAGCATTAACTAAAACAGTTGCTGATTTGATTACGGAGCCTTCGAACTTCTTTCATCAGAATCAGCAGTCTGCAATGGTAGGTTAATCTGCGGATAAAAAAATAATTTTAAAGTAATTTTCAGATGCTGAGCGATTTTCAGAGCAGAAAAATGCATTCATATGAAACAATGCGAAAAGCAGCTGTGAAGCAGAAGCGAATGAAGAATGAGGAACTGCCTGCAAAAATACCAATGGTATTTTAATTTTCATTTTCATAACTTTCTCCTTTCAGCTCGAAGTAAATCCATTAAAAATCACACTCAGCATGGAAGTTGAAGCGCAGTATTATTCGATAATGATGAGGTGGTTATATCTTTACCCAACGGTCATTTTTATATTTCCTTTTCAGCAGAAGAGGCGACGACAAGGAAGACATATCCACAATTATGTATAAAACTAACACTCTTATCCAATTGCCTGACAGACCAGATGACGAAAACCCAACACCATACGTACAACAAGTCACAATAACAGGCTCCTATCGCGAAGTGGAACGAGCACGGATTCTGATACGAGAAAATTGTCCAATGTTCATTTACCTCGAAATCAGAAAGTCGGAACTCGTTTTGGATCATCTGCTCAGCTTGATTCAGAGCGAATCTATATCACTTAAAAATGTGACTATCGAGTTTCACAGTGAAATGACTAATGAGGTTTATATCCTTTACTTAATACCTTGCGTTGTTGCGGAAAATTGGCTCACCAAAAAACTGAGAGGTCTTGGCGCGATATTGAAAATGTATAAAGTCGGCGTCCGGCGATTGCTGTACGGTAGAATTACGAGGATGCGTCTTTCTCTTGGTCTCGCACGGACTAGCAGGTTATTTCAAATATTATGGATCGGTTCGATAATTTTTTAATCGAATGACGTTGGAAATTCAAGGAAATACAAAACTCATCGAGAAAAAATTAACCGTTCACGCGTGGCTAGACCTTTTCAAGGCGCATGTGCGTAAATCTACCCGCGTACATCAGTCGCCGGACGACGACTATATTCACGGGGTAATTATAAAAATAGAATACAGATGAAATAGCACATATACTTAAAATTTTCTGATTTTGTTAATTTTACGCAGTCGCGCGGAGCCGATAATATTGAATCCGAATATTGTTGTTTGTTTCAGGGAGAACCAATCCCGTATCTTAGACTGATCTGCTGTTCTAAACACGAGGAATATCTGTTGAATGCATGTGAGGAGCTTGGAAGGATCGTGTTTAACGGAAATATTCCAGAAAGAGTTCTTTTCGATATAAATTATTTCGCACGAATTTATAACGTTCAGGCGTTTGTTTACAATTGCGATATTGCTACTTACCATGTTGAACATATTGTTGGAAAACCGGAGAAGAATATATGGTTGATGGGTTTTATTGAAGACGCTACGAATACGAAAATTTCGTGTCCGCCATATCACCGCGACGAATACAAACAATGCATGTTCCCAATTACTATTCGTGGAGACCTTAAAGGAGTTCTTCGAGCTCGTCATTGCCTTTTGGTACTTTATTTTCTATTGAGGTCTGATTAATTTGTGTTCGCAGGAATTATTCCCAGTAACCGTCTGCTTCAATCTGAATGACACTGATATGGCTCACTCGGTAGATTCCGCGTACCGCTGTATGGAAACGTACCATCAAGATGTGAAAGTGTGTATGAGAATCGCTCCATCGCTTATGGAGCCCAGCGAACTGCTTGCTGATGAAGTCCAACAGCACTGTGTTACGTTGAGAACGAAGGAGTTCAACTTGAAGGCGCTCTATATGCTTTATGGGCAGTTGTTGAAGGTGACAAAATTACGTTATCGTATATTGTTGGTTTCAAAAGACTGAAAGGAACCAGGTTTTCCTTCCTACAAATGCTAAAACGCAACGTTCACAACCACATGTATTTTTAATCGCCTGGAAACATTATTTCCAGAAAGAGCTTAATGTGGATCCTCCAAAGCCAGAATGTTTTGAAAATTCGATGTGGGTTCGTGAGCATCAACTTGATAAGAATGTTATGAGCTTCAAGCTACCGGTGAGTTTATTTTCGCAATACATACTTATTAGCTTATGTTAAAGTGTCGTGGTGAAGCGCCGCTACCGGATAAACATAATCGAGTGTCTACACGATCTCAGTTGAATTCGACGTCGCATAAGCAACGAAATAGTCAACCGCAGCAGCCAATCCAGCAACAACTACAAGAAAACACGACCATTCCATTAAATACGGTTTATCTCCAACAACAAATGAAGCAACCAGCACCTGGTGTCATCCGGTATCCACCAAACACGTTTGAGGGGCCTGAGGGAGCCATTGCACAAGCAATGCCATCAGCGCAAGTGATGCACTTTAACCCACAGGCTTTCCACATGTTCCAGCAAAGATTGGCATTAACTGGTAAAATGGGACAGAATTACTCTGCAAAACCACCACCGAACATGGGTATTTTTTGTGTTTCTAATGGACATTTTTAATTAAACAATTAAGCACCAGCATTCATGGCACAGCCTCAACAGCAGCAACAATCGAATTTGATGATGACAACGGTGGTTCCGCATGCGCCGTTTTATTATGTGCAAGACCAAAATTTTGTTGGTGCGCTTTATCAACCCGCGTACCGCAATGAATTCTATCAAATTAATCATCCGCAACCGGCTGCATATTTATACACGTGATAATCTCTAATTATTCTTTTTATTATTTTGATTCACTTTTTCTTTCTTTCTTTTTTTACAATTCTCATTCTCATCGAAAATAATCATTTACGGCCCCAAAAGTAAAAAAACACGCATCATGTAATATTTTAATCTTGTTCAATTGCATTTCCTTGTGTATTGTTTCTAGAAACGTTTAAAATAGTCGCAAAAAATCTAAACGGGGGTGAATATTCGCCGGTTTAAGCACAAAAAAAATCTTCATGTGTCTTTTCATCATTGCTTTCATGTTTCGCTAGTTTACAATCATCAATAAAGTTTTTTGGAATCTGTTAATTTTTCATTGAATTTTTGTATGGGCTCAGTTTTGAATGTGTAATTGTGGAATGTGGCGAGAAAACATGAAAAATTCGAGAAACTCTCGCGAAGCTGAACCGGCACATGAATTCAATGGAAAATTGGCAGCGAAATTGACCTCAACCAATTTTGGATTGTTTTCAGTTCCGGTGCCAATTCCATATACGGATGAAATGCTTCGATTCTTCAAACAAGGCCTGCCACCAGGATCACCGATTGTCAGTGTCGCTGAGCCACGTGAGTCCCTTTTTTTAATTCCAGACTTGTAGTTTTGAAGCCAAACCCGGCCTAGGTCGAATAAAAATTAGTTGACGTATTCCTTGAAATTTATGTTATGGGAATAATTTTTCTTCCATTAAAATTTCTGATTATTCGACTAAACGTTAAAAAAAATTTCCTTGTCCGGCGAAAGTTACGAGCCTGGTGAATATCCGGAAATCCGTTGTGAGAATTGGACGAAAATTAGAAAATGTGAATATTCTGAAACCGTTTAGAACAAATGCATCCACAACAACAACAACGCGATTCTTCGCAGAGCCGGGCGCCATCGAACTCGAATCCGAACACTCGTTCCAACCCAGCAATTCGTCCGCAGCTAATTCCGCCACTATTCTCTTCGGCTTCAACGGCGTCATCTTATCGTACGCGGCAATTCGAAAGTGTGAAAGAGGATGAAATTAGTAATCGACAAGATTCGCATTCGCGACGAAGTTCAATTGGAGATGAGCCGACTGCTGGTAGTTGCGACGGTATGTGATAATTGAGAAAGAACTGAACAAATTGTACTTTTAGGATATCAAAGTGATAGAGCTTACTATCGTCATAGAATGTCACCACAGGAGAATATTCCGTCTCATGCGAACAATGGAGATCCTCATTACAAATGGGGACAGTCCTCAAATCGTGTAGGTGGTGATATGCATTATGGCAGGAAAACGCAGGTTACCAATTATTTCTCAATTTATTAACTAGAGAAATAAAATATTAAGAAGTTTCAGGCGAATGGAAAATCGTTCGTGAAAAATCCATCTTATGGTGATGGAATGCATCATGGAAACTCGAATTCGCAATCGGCGCCTAATATTGAGCATCATTACTTTTCAGGAAATCATGTGCTCAAGTTGAAATCGAAAGACGTAAAATCATTTATTTTCAATATGTCGCTCTTTTTTTTTCTTTTTAGCCGAATCCGATCGATTCGAGCATGGATTGCGACCGATTGTTCACACAGGACAACTCGCAGACAGAAGATCGTCCCTATTCGCCAAGAAAATATTTTCGTAGGATTGGAAAGTTTAATATCGAAACAGAATATGCAATTGTTTTTAGCGAGTCAATCGCAGAATGGCGGACCCGCTTTTGACTATAATGCCCGATCGCGAACTGGAAGTGTTTCGCAAGTTGAGCGTGAGGATGCTAGAGGTAGAAATTTCATATTTACGAAATAAGTTGTGGACTTTAACATCATTTTCATAGTGATTTTGAAATACAGGGTGGCCCAAAATTATGGAAACACATGTTGGAAGCCTTCTGGCAGATGCTGGCGCATTTTTCGCGCACCAATTTTATTATTTTATTTTTCAGCATGTTTTAATTACCCTTTTCCCAAATTTTCTAGTTCTTAGCGTCATTTTTACTGGAATGGTAGCCAATTCAAAACACCGAGGTACCATTATCGAATGGTGACGTGAGGAAAGAGCGACAGTTGCATTGCAAAAGTTCTCGAAATCTCTCGATCAACAATTTGTAAAACCGTAAAACGATACAAGGAGCTTAACACACATTAAAACCGTCCGAGAAGCGGAAGACCGCGCAGTTCTATCACTCCGGAGAGGATCAAGGTCGCCAGAGAACGAATTCGTCGAAATCCGCACCGAAGCATGAGAAAGATGAGCTGGGACCTCAGAAGGAGCAAATCTTCGATGGAGCGCATGGTGAAAAAGAAGCTTGGACTGACCCCGTATCGTGTTCGGAAAACGGCAGTTTTAACTGAAAAGAACAAGCTGGGCCGAATGCAAAAGTGCGAATCTCGTCTTGCTGACACGCGCCGAAATGAACATTTGAAGATGCTGTTTACGGACGAGAAGCTCTTCACCGTGGAGGCTGTATTCAACTCGCAAAATCATCGGGTGCTTGCAAGACAAAGCCAATAAGCACGGAAGAACGATCAAAAGAATGTCTCATCCTCAACAAGTCATGATTTTTGGGGCGATTACGTCTGATGGGAAGATTTCGCTTGTTCTTGTGGATCCCGGAGTCAAAATCAACCGGGAATACTTCACTTAGAAGAAATTCGAAGAAACACGTGCTTCCACGGACCCAAACACACTTTCGACACCAGTTTTGCACTTTCCCACAGGGCTCTGAACCGGCTCACAAAGCAAAAGTCGTTAAATCCCAGTGTGCCGCAAATTTTGCCGGTTTATTTCTTGTTCAGAATGACCAGCGTCGTCGCCGGATTTGAGCCCACTCGACTATTATGTTTTAGGTGTACTTTAATCGAAGGTCCAGGCACATCCCTATACCAATTTGGAGTCATTGAAGAAATGTTTGGTTGAGGAATGGGCCAAGCTATCTCCAGAATACCTCCGTGCCACAGTCGAGGCATTCCCGAAGAAACTCAAGGAAGTAATGACGAACGAAGGAAATCAAATCGAGTAATGTTGATGTATTTTTGTTTATAATTGATTCAATAAACTATTTCTGAATTTTCAAGTTGATTCGATCATTTTTTAAAAAGCCACATCACTTTGAAAATGTGTTTCCATAATTTTGGGCCACCCTGTAGACATTTTAATTCCAGCTCACGCTTTGGAGAATTAACAGATTTTTTTTGATTTTAGCAATCACTAAAACTGTGCTCGAACCGCGATATAAAATGGACAAAAATTGTCCGAAAATTCAACTTGATTACAAGGTAAAAGCGGCTGAACAAGGGCATGCTTCGAGAAATGAAGGAGCTTCTTATGCGCACATAGCTGCCGAATCGATCAATGGAGATAACAAGTTTGCCATTCTTCTAATCAATCAAACCAAACATCAATTCAATTCAGAATAATTGATTTTATCAAAAAGGTACAGGAACAAACGGAAATAAATGGGCACACGGCAAACATTCCATTGGGGTCAATGAATCGAACGTATGCGGATATACTGAAAGAGAAGGAGCGCGAACGAGCCGATAGAAACTTCGAGCGAAGCGAGAGCGAGGATATGGTTAGAACGTATGCAATGTATGATTATTATGCGGAATTTTTGATTCAGGTCCCAACAGATTCTATGAAGCATTTAAATCTAGGTCATTTTTCTCAAATTCGCGATCGTGAAGGTACTGTTTCAATTATTCTATTATAATTGCGAAAAAAAACGAAACCCGGGATAGATTTACGATTACTTTGATTTACATGTTATCCGTAGTACTGTAGACTAATTACCATCGATTAAGTTCAAATTTGAATTTTCGCTTAAATACCGAGGGTATATGTATATGTACAGGGTGTCATTTAAGTTCCCGCACAAAAGTTTGACGCCATGAAGAGCTTGGCTGTCACACTTTTCGTGCACCAATACAATTTATTTTTGTTAAATAAGGTATATTTTACTTACTTTCCAAGTTTCACCTCATTCGGATGTGTTTCCGAGAAATGGTGAAGGCTAACATCCATCGCGCTTCCATTATCGAACTTCATAAGCAAAATGTGAGCCCGAGAGACATCATTCAACGGGTCGGTGTGCCTTGTAGAACGGTTTATGACACCATAAAACGATTCAAGGAGCTAAATACGACTAGTGACCGTCCCAGGCAAGGAAGACTCGTCTCAGTAACCACTCCTCAGATGATAAACGCCGTTAAATCGAGGATCATGCGAAACCCCCACAGGAGCATGAGAAAGATGGCATCAGACGTGGGAATGAGCATCTTCACTATGGAACAAATCGTCAAAACGAAGCTTGTACTGACCCCATATCGTGTCCAAAAAGCGGCAATTCTATCAGCCGTCAACAAGCAGAAACGCTTCGAAAAAGCAAAACGACTTCTTTCTCGCACGCGGTCTGGAGAACACCTCGTCACTGTCTTCTCCGACGAGAAGCTGTTCACTGTGGAGGCGGCATTCAACTCACAAAACCATTGAGTACTTGCCCAGACATCCCAGCAAGCTTCTGAGAAAGGAAGAACAATTCATCGAGCCTCACATCCTGCCAGTGTGATGGCTTTCGGTGCCATCTGCTCAACCGGGATGTGCCTCCTGGTTTTCGTGGATCAGGGGGTGAAAATGAACAAAGAAGTCTACGTTGGGGACATTTTGGAGAAGCATTTGATGCCCTGGACCCAAACGCATTTCGGTAGGCAGAAATGGGTCTTTCAACAGAACGGAGCACCCGCCCACACTGCCAAAACTACTCAGGAGTGGTGCCAGACCCATTTTCCCGACTTCATCAAGTCATCCGAATGGCCTGATTGCTCCCCAGATCTGAACCCGCTTGACTTTTCCGTGATGGGGTCTTGCAGGGGAAGGTCAACGCAAAACCCCATTCAAGTGAAGAGGCTCTGAAGAAGACATTACTGGCGGAATGGGACAATCTTTTCATCGAATACCTGCGTAGCACAGTCGAATCCTACCCGAAGCGTCTCCGTGAAGTCATAGCTGCGAAAAGAGGCCGAATCAAAAAGAGTTAATAGATAAATATTTGTTATACTATAGATAAAAAATATTTCGAGTCTCGTTTGATTTGGACTTTTAGTTTCAGAAATATACGTCTTCAAAGTTGTGCGGGAACTTAAATGACACCCTGTATATGGATATCTGCGGAAAATTGGCAAAATGCCAAAAATCTTTAAAAAAAAAAGAGGTCTCGGTGCGCCATTAGCCTATCTTTATACTTCGGCTCGTAAATCTACAATCTTTATTTGGCCCCAATATCACTTTCATTGTTTTTTTTTTTTCGGGATTAGGCCAATTTTTCGCAGTCGCGAAAATCGGCTACTGTAGATCTGACAATGCAACTACATATTTCTCGAAAACCTCAATAATTGTCGATTAAAATAGAATTCCGCTAATCGGTATTATCATTAAAATACGTAGTTTACAAATTTCTATAACCTGAAAACGGACTTTGGTTTAAACCATACAATATTTACGTAAAATTCCTAGTATCAAGATATTTCGTTAAGAAAATATAGATGAGCTGCACTGTGTGACTTTTAATGCTCTTAAGCGTTATTTACCGGATTTGCGATTATTCAAATTCCAAATTATCTAAAAATTTCCGGTAGAATTCGCATATTAATTTTGGAATTACATAAAAAAATATTTTTCTTTTAAACAATCCCCGGTTTTTTAGATTTATTTATGATTATTTTTTGGTCTTTTGTAACTTATTTGCATTCTTTTATTAATTGCAATCAGAACCTACATAGTCACGTAATATTTGTCTTGTTTGGTGCTATGCAAGAAAAACGCATAATTCATTATTCCGTTTTTATGCGCACTTCGATTTTTGATTTTGTGCCATGCGCACCCGCTCGCCCGAAATTGGTGGTTGGTTAGTGGCGAAATCGAGAACAAAAAACCAATCAAAGAAACGGTTGTTTTATGCGTTTTTGTTTGTTGCGATGACTGGCTGAAACGAGTGGAAAATTGGTTGAAAAAATTGGCGTTTGTTTTTGCAGGTGAGAACAACGATCGCAGCCGGAAATTGTCGAGTCGTCAACGGACCATCTCATCGCCATTACTATGATTTCGTTGGGTTATTGTTCTACCATTTATTCGTCTTCCTTTATTCCCCCATTGTTTATCACTTCATTTTTATGCGCTTCGTTTTCTTGTTGCCCCACCCCCGGCTGAAAATTGACAATTCATCGTACTAACGACGTGGTACCACCAAAATCATTTTCATCGCGGGTTATTGTTTCCTCTATTCTTTTACCGGTTATCTTTTTCGTTTCTCGCCTTTTTTCCTCATATCATCGAGTCGCGTGTAGATTATTAATTTCATTAAAATGGCCGCCCTTTCTCTCTTCAATATTTGATGCCGTAGGTTTTTTTGGTTTTTTTTTTTCTTGAATGATTCCTCACTCGTATTTAACATTCCTTCTGCTTCTTCCATTATTTTTTTTCTGGTTTTTTTTTTGCTTTTGCGACCCGCACATCTTCTCTTTCAACGATTTTTTCGGTGTTTCTTGTTTAGGCTTAAGTATTTGAAAGTAGTATTGTATTTATGGAATGAATGTTGGAAAACATTGGAGTCAAGGACGCGACGCTTTTATGATAACCGATTTCGCCGTGAACACCATCGCCACCGTCGCGCATTAGTCGCCCGCCATGTTTGGCTTCCTGGCATTTCATTTATGAAATTAGAGAGCTGGAGGTTGTCAATGGAAATTCCGTCGCTCCTTCAAATTATAACTGTTGAATTTTGCAGGGAACCCCGTTTTCGAATCCCATACCCTAATTCTTGAGAGTTTTAAGTTTGCTGTTCGATCGTCTCTTTTTTTCAGCTCAATTGACCGAAGTTTGTGGTGTTTGAAAGCTCTTCACGAAAATGCCACCTCTGTTGAATTTTTTGAGATTTTTAGGAGAAATAATCAATTTTTTTCAATATTCCTTTTGTTCAAAATTTGATGAAAGGTAAAATTGAAAATTTTTGAGAGAGAATTTGTTTCTTCAAACAACGAATTTCTCTCCAAATATGGAAATGTTTGTTGCAATCACATGGCATAATATTGTTTCATTTCGTGTTCGAGAGAATTTAAATACATGTGCGTTCTCTGTGCAATGCTCGAGTATTCCGTTTTTGAGGAGGGCGGAATCAATGGTATAAATATGTATATATTGTTTTGTTTTTGAATAACCAGAATTGGTCGTCATAAGACGCAACTCGAGTTATCAGATTTAATCATTTTTTTTCAATTTCTCTGATTTTCACAATTTCTTACTTAAATTAAAATAATTGAACGTTTCAAGGCAATTTGATAAATTTTCAAAAATCATTCTGAAAATACTCTTAGGATATAGTAATTAATTACGTGTGCAGTTTTCGAAACGATGGCGCAAAATTAATAATGTAGATTTACGAGACTTAAGTACAAGGATAGGTTAAAGGCGCTCAACCGCGCATCGAGACCTCTCCTTAAAAATTTTAAGAATTTATCCAATTTTCAGCAGTCGCGCGGCATCGACTTTAAAAAATAATTTTTAAAAACACAAAAAAAATGGCAAAATTCGAAATACTTTATTTATTTATCATTCATCATTGTTTGGTATCGATTCTCAAAATATTTTCATTGTTTTCCGCACCGTTTCGCCTTTCCAATTTCTTTTGTCATGAGGAAGAAGAAAACGGGAAACAAATGGTTATGAGACGCGCAAAAATAGAGGCAATTTAAGGCAAACGGTTTCGCTATCGTGCCAACTATTCGGCGATGTTTCACGATGAAATTTTTTCCGAAAAAAAAATCCACGTCGCCGGATAATCTCGAAAAAGCGTCACAACTCGCCGCCGCCGCCGCTCATTTTGAATTTTGTTGCAATTCGGATGATTCATTTAATTTCTCTCGAATTTTTGCTGTTTTCACCTTAATATTTTTTTCATAAAATTAATTTCTAAAGAATGCGAACTAGTAATGAAACCCTTCGAATGAAAATATTTTTTAAGACTATTTTGGCGAAAATGAGAGTTGAAGAACACCTTCATTTTCAATGTTTCATTTATTTTAACGAATCGATTTCATACAAATTGCATTGGTTTTCTTTTTTTTTTTAATTTGAGAATTGTTGGATTCAAACTCAAATTTTAAATAATTGCCTCTATGTAAACTGGCACATTTAATACTCAGTCAACGAATAAAATTTACCCGCTCGTAATTTTTCAATGATTCCTTGAGGATTTTTGAATGATAATCAAATAATATCCATCACTCCATCGAACACTTACTCGTTTCTTCTGAAAAAAATATCTACTGGAAAGAACCTTCAAACAAATGTTAATTTATATGACATTTCTAAGCATTTTCTATTTTTTGCAATAATATCACTATATTAAATACCTAAAATCGTTGTTATTCTTACAACAGAAAACTGAAAAAAATGAACGAAACCCTATCTTGATGATTTAAACTTTTTTGCTTCTAAATATATATTATTCGGGTTTTGGCAATTGTGCATTTGTTTCCCCGCTAATCTCTGTAATAAAAAAATGTTTTTTTTTAATCTTGAATTTTATATATTGCTGAAAAAATCCAATTTATTGGGAGCATATTGGCCAATTTTCAAAAAAAAAACATTTTTAATAATTATCAGAAAGAAATTGCATAGTGACTGAAAACGAATATTTTTTAGAATTTGAATTGCCGCTATGGGTCTTAAATGACAAAAAAAAATCACTTAAAGTCGCGCGTTTTGTACTTGGCGATTCCTTTTTTCTTCATTGTTCCAATAATTTGTTTAAGATGCGCATTTCTATAATTCGAGCCAATTAATGTATCAGTCAGAGATTTTCTAGACATCATTTATTTTCAACTACGAAATCAATTGGTGTGTTAATTCAAAGATTGCCAATTTCATGATTTGTTAAGCAGAAAATTCGAAAGTATGAAACCACTACTTGAATAATCAATTGCACGTGGATTATCTTCAGAAAATGTCACAAGAAAATGGCAAAATGAAAAAAAATGACACGAATTCAACGGGTGATCTTTAATTTAATTGTTTAGCTTTCTGAAAGACCTGGAAAAAAATAGGAAAAATTGAATGAAACCATTCATTGCGGAAGGCGAACAACCGATTTTCCGAGAATTCTCCCAACAATTTCAATATGCCGATTTTCGACGCTCGAAAAATTTTGACCAAAATACAACTAGGAAACAATAAGTTTTTGGTGTCATCGAGACTTAACGCATATTGCATAATAAATGGTTTGTTCTTATTGAAACCCCTCCTCTCTTGTGTCGAATGCTCATATAAGGGCATTCATGCTTCGTGTTTGACAACAATGTATTCTCCCCCGCTCGATTCGTTTTGTTTTTTGTGTGTGCCATTCAATTTCGCTACAAAAATCAAGTATTCTGCTTCTGCTTCTGCATGCGCCTTTAAATAAAAATTGTCTTCGGTATAGATCAAATAGGGAATTGGTGGCAGTTAGCCATCAGAATCGTTGATTGCCTTCAATTTAAGAGAACATTGTCGTTTCGGAGCGACGGCAGTCATCCTCATGGTTTTTCCTCGACAATTTCTTGAGATATTTCGTTCGAAAAAATGATAATCTAAATCATTAAGAAACTTTAAGAAGCTCGAAAGGTCAATTTTCTATTTTAAAAAAATTGTTATATTTCCTCATTCCGTGAATTGATAAGCTTGTTCCCAATAATTTACTCCTAATCCGCGTCTCCTTTTAAAGGAAAACTGACTTCCTGTTGATGAAAAACAAATCAAGTTTTGCGCTTTTTGCGCTCAATTTCCATATTAGTTGAAATCGAGCGATTTTTGAGCATTTTTTCTCAAATTGTTTTCCATCGCCTCGAAATTCGTCAATTTGTACTCTATTCGAATACGAACATGTCAGGTGCTCAAAATTCCAGCTTCTTCTTCTTCTTCTTCTTCTTCTTATCATGCTGAAAAAAATACGCATGATTTTGCAAGATATGCGAGAAAAGGTTATTGCGTCAGATGCTCATACGTTCTTATCACACAATTTCTAGTATAAGATGCGATCTGAAAGTAAGGAATCTAATTCATTCTAGCCTTCTGATCTGTTCTAAAATGTTCCGTGCTCCCAAAATTCTTTCGCTGAACCCATTCAATCAATTCTTTTTTGTCCATTTTGCTTCATCTATGATTTCAAAAAAATAGAAAGAAATTTCGCATCCATGTAGGTCGTAATAAAAATAAAAAATAAAATAATAATAGTGTTCCGAAAATTTTAAATCGAATTAAAAAGATTAAAAGATCATTTCTGTTTGAATGTATGTGTGTTTTTAAAAAATTATTTTGCAAAATTTCAAAGGCAAAATAAGGAAAGATTTTTACAATTAAAAGCGCTCTTCGAAAACTCATAAAAACCGTTTTGAGTTTTCGCAGGTTCGAAAAAGTGCCTGCTGAAAGTCTGCGCAAACTGGTTTGGAAACATTCCAGCAATTGGTTGTTCTGTTTGAGAAGCAGACTTCAGACGAATAAATCAAAGTTAAAAATGATTTTTTGTGGGATCCCATCTAGAAAGGAGTAATTTTCATAATTTTTTCCAAATAAAAATGCATTAAACAAATAAATTGATGTAATAAACTTCAAATTCTGTGTTAAAAATCAAATTCCTCTCGATGTAGACTATTGTGACCAATTTTTGGAATCACAATGAATCAGACAACTTATTACGAAGAAATTTTTAAATCCACTGACTCCGTCAGCGAGAATTTTTTTATAAATCTCTAGACATCTTCACGAAAAGTTGAATAATCAAAAATTTGAGAAATTACTGACTAATCTGTGTATTTTTTACGGGCATGCGCCTTTCGATGTGGTCTCGCGCGGAACCGGCTGTTCATGGTTTACTTAAATTGGTCGTGGGGAGACCATGTAGATTCGTGTCCGTAAATCTACCCGAGTTTAGCGATCGCGGCATAAAAAAATGCAGAAATAGGAAGGTTCACATCGGACGATCGGGCGTTCTGCAGGATGACGTCTCACCGCGAGCATTCATTCATTTATATTTCAAAAATGTGCATAAGAAAACTTCATATTCTCATCACCGCTACCACATATCGCGCGGCTCCTCATTCAGTTATTTTTCATGAATTTCTGATGATTGTTTGCATTTTCTTCTTCTGTCAGACCTGTGCTCGATTCTTTCATTTTCATTTGTCTACAAAAATTACCAATCAATCCTCTCTCTCTATCTGGAAATTCGAGCTAAATATGAGCAGAAAGCGACAACTCAGTTCTCTCGTTTCTCGGCAGTTTTCTCGTTTAATCCATCGACTATCTAATCCGTCGTTATCCGTAACAAAAATATGAAGGATGAGGAGAAGAAGACCAAATCATTTTGTTCTTCTCACCTCCTCATGTTTCTTTCCATCTTTTTTCAATTCTCCCATTTATCACCAATTGTCTGACAACTTTTCTCGTAATTCTACAGTAATCCGTTTGGATCTCAACACGAATTGATATACTCCGGAAATCTGGATTTCTTGTTTTCATTTGAACAAATTATAATAATTATTATTATTTTATTGCAAATGTTTACTTTGAAAAAAAAAACAAAAAAAAATGTTGATTTGTTTTATTTTATGAACTATGAACCAGAACTGAACATTAGCAGCTTATTTCGAATTTGACTGACCAAATAATATTTTAAATTATATATTCCATCTGCGGACACTTCGACACCCACTTTTTCTTTGATAATTCATTTCGTTTTTGTTTTGGACGTTTAATTTTTGAACACTAGGTTTGTCGGTGTGCAAAAACTACATACGGATGTCATTTAATGCAAAATTTTCTTATCTCGCCCTTCCATTTAGAGTGTTGACTTTAATCAGCATCGTTAAAAATTTTCCTCTTTGCGTTTTCCGCGTATTTCTCTGCCTCGTGCACATTTGTGTTTTTCTTGAATCGTCTCGCTGACTCCGCCTACCGGGGCGACCTTAACTAGATGTATACAATTAAAAAAAAAACATTCGCGGATTAGTAAAATCGAGGCGACAGAATAATTCAAGCCACTAGAAATTAATTGTTTGCAGTTTATTATTTCATCCGAATGATCTCATCCTATTTCGCCGGATGCCTCTATATTGTCACTGTGTTATTGGGCATATTTGGGAATGCCTGGGTGGTCTGCTCAGTGGCACGAAGTCGAAAGCCAAAGTAGCGAATTGGCGGCTAATTATCGAGTAATTATCTCAATTATTATAGAAGTATGATGGTTCGGAGTTCGCCGTCCGACCGACTACGAGCTTACATCTCAGTGCTCGCCGTCATCGATCTGACAGTCCTCATGGCACTTCTTGTCAGAAGCATGTATTTATTTCTACCGCATTTTATGCTAGGTACCTTATTTGTTCTTTTTATTCTCTAATAAACCGAGTTTTTGCAGATTCCAACAGTTGTCGGGCATTATTTGTTCTGGAAAACAGTGTGAAAATCACCTCGCTAACCGTGCTATCATGCATTTCAATTGAACGATATATCACAATCAGGAAGCCATTTTGTAGTCAGGTTTGTTTTTTTTTTTGAAATTCCTCTTTTCAATGATTACACCTTCAATATTTTTGCAGCGCGTGACATTTTTGATGAATAAAATCTTAAAATTTCGAAGTGAAGCCTAAAAATTTTTGAAGTTTGATGAAAATCGAATCGAGAAATTTAAGAATACTTGAATCTAGCTGATTTATTGTTGCTGAAACTCCAATACTTTGATATACATTCGAAAATTGTTTTAATGGATCAAATGTCAGAATGGAAAATTGCAGATTCGACGCCAATTCATCAATTTGACACCATTGACCGCGGCTCTTTTTGTGTGCATTGTCGTCGCATCAATTATTGTTCAGGTATTTTCTTCTTTCTTTTCGCACAACTTTCCCAAATTGAAATCAGATAATTGATCTCTCATATGACATATTCTATTCCGAAGCCATTCAATTCATGATGATATTTCTGTTGATCAGCTGAGAAAAATACTAATTTGGAAAGGTTTACAAGTTGAGCAAAGTTCTAAAAATTTCTGTTTTGCGTCTGCTCTTTTTAGACTATTCTAGAGGGTTTTTGAAAAATTCGAAACCATACATTCTTCCCCCGCAAATCTTACATTCCAAATGTGATTACCACATTCATTTCAATTCAGAAAAAGCCAATTCGGACCCATGCGTGTAATTATTGTACTCTATATATTTTTCAGATCAACTCGGTTACCGTATCCACCGACGGCTTGAACTGTGTTCGGTCATATCGCGGAAAAGCGGCGCCGCGAATCGCCTCGTATCTGACGGCCGTCGCATTCCTTGTCGATTTGACGCTCATCTCGCTGAATTACTCGCAAATCGTTCGACACGTTCGGAGGAAATTCACGAAGCGAAAAGCGCGAGGTAGCATTTATTCAGATTTGTTCGTCAGAATTCGAAACGACCGAAAATATTTTCGACCAATCGTGCATTTCAAAAACAGTGATTGCAGTGCAAGCGAACTCGAGGGTCCGCGAATCGCTGGTAAACGAGCCTCGGTATATGCGAGAAATGACCGCTGCCATCATCCGAGTCGGTGTGTTCCATGTCGTGTGCTGGCTGCCAATGTCCCTTCTCCAGGTAACCCAATAATCCGATTCAATCCTATCCAAACCATTTTCCAGATCATTCCTGATAATACAATTCAATCGGAGCTAACCGCCGGTGTTCGAATGTTCAACAATTTTCGAGACTTCAGGTACCGTAATCCAGAGCGATAGGTTTTCACCTGATGCACTTTTTCTGATGAAAGACGGACATCTTTAAAAATGCCCATGATAATCTTTCAACAACGACGTGCTGTTGTTCATTTTAATCCTTTGAAATGGAAATTTTCAAAAATTCAAAACTAAATTTATGCATTTTTTTTCACACAAATGTTGTATTGATCATTGAGAATTGAAATCACAAAGTTTGATTTTTTCAGCATCACCCGCTGGATGATCTTCATCTCAAGCTGGTTGACGTACACGAACGCGGCTGGTGATTGGATTTTTTACGCAGCGATGAATCGCGATTTGCGAAATCTCATCAGGTGATCATTTTGATTCATTGCTCGTCGTAAGAAGAAAAAAAGAAAACGTCAAAAACAACACCAATTTGATAAGCTGATTGGATTAGTTTTTTGGTAATGTATATCGTCGACGAGGCCTGCAGAAAAAAGTGATCATGTGAACAGGAACAAACTCATTAAAGGATTGGAGGGAGGAGGACAAACAAAACAGTTGTATTTCTTGGAGGGATTAAACGTAACAATAACAAATAAATAGGATGATATCGTTTAGAGCTTGTAGAGTCGACTTAAAATGTTTATGATGAGAATTAATCTGGAATTGGTCTTGTTTGTGGTTCAAAACTTTCAACAAATGCTAATTAATCCCGCTTGGAAAAGGATAATCAGTGGACTAATAAGGAAATTGAAAGTACATTCAACGGAGTGACATATTATCAATTGTAGAGGGCGGACCAATTTAGAGAAATTTTGCAGAAGATTTAAAATTCAGACCCACATTCTTGAGATTGTTCTCAATTTCATCTAGTATTAACCTAGCAGTATTTGTGGACCATCGTATTTTTTTCGTGGCGGTAATTCAAATTTGGATTGAAATACTGCGGATAAACCTCACCGAAAGGGGCACTCATTTCTTGCCATTTAAATACAACTTTAAATATATCTTTCTCGAAAAATTTTTTTTTTGAAAAACTATATAACATCAAATTAATTGGTGGAAGAGAACCCATAAAAGTTGACGCAAACTCGAACTATTTGAGCGCAATAGATTTCCATAATAATTGTTCAACTCTTTAATTTCTAAACCATCTGAAAATCATTGATATCATCTCAAGAATCGGACTTCTACTAATTCATTATAAATATTGATTGATTTCAGATTCGCGACTGAACGTCGAAAACGCTCAACAATGTCTCACGCAGCTTCTCCTTCAACCAACCGAAGTCTCCGTCAGCAGATTCCTTCGATGAAAATCCTTCACTCAATCTCCTATCGCAGCAGCGTCGGCGGCTCGATCGATGATGCCGCTGTCGCCTCATTCGTCCAAGGCTCGCCGAAAGATTCAAACGTCTCGCACGAGATCGGCAGCACATTCGGAATCCGCTCAAAAATCAGCATCATCTCAAAAAAGGCATCCGATGCCGAAATGGTGTGATATTATATGTGATATACTTTATATTTATAGAATTAGTCAAATTTTAACCGCTCCAAAATCTATGGGTATTTTATGCAAAACGGGTATCATAAAACGCGTTCAAATAAATCATTTTATTTATTTATTGTGGAGACACGTAAAAACATCCAATTCGAGCTAAAAGTAACACAACAATTGGAACCCTAAGATTGGAAGGAATGTTCTAAAAGAAATCGATATGCTAATCAAAAAGTATTGAAAAAATATATAGTTAATACTCGGGTGCAAACACGGACATTATAAAGCTTTAATGATAAAACATTAGTTAGTCTAGAATTGCTTGACGACGATCTCCGAACGCCCTCCGATCATCGTGATTGCCCATCTGAAATAATCACGAGAAATGTTCAAAATGAATGATCCATGTTTACCTCCACCACCCGACAGCTTGTTCCGGAGTCTCTCTTCTCGTATTGATCAGACCTCTCAACTGGCGAAGAGTATCTGTATCTTGGAATGTTCCATGAGCATAGTGAGTTGCCACAGACAATTCCAAATTTGGTTCCACATTTGGATCAGGAGATTTCTTATGAGCCTATAAATTAGCAATTAATTCTTCTTCTCGATATCCTTTAGTTACATTTTCGAGAAGAATCCAAAATCTTCGAACATCCGGAGCTTCATATCCATAAGTCAGGAAGACGAAATAAGTTTGGCGTCTTCCAAATTCGTCAAGGTCGATGTCTGTGAACGACCATGCCGAAAGCTCGTAGGAGTTGAGTGGGGTAACATGAAGCGATAGTTTATCGAATCCACCACGAAGCTGAAATCTCAAAAATAAAATCGCTACGAAATTCAAAACTCGACCTCAAACGTGAGATTTAATTTGTTCTCTCCGACAAGTTCCTTAGATACGAGATCTAGTTTAATCGGATGTGGGATGACGGCTGGCGACGGAACAGGAACCCAGAGAGACTGCTCCGGTGGGAACAACTCATGAATAGCAGTGTAATACGGCATTCGGCAGTATTCGTCAAGAATTCCTGTGCAATTCGGCGGGGAACTTCCCTGCAGGAATGAGTGGGCCGGAAGGTCAAATGCACCTCTGAAAACATGAAATCGGGTTGACATAGTAGTCTTCAAGATTAAATCAGCACCTGTAATCCAATGAGTGCACGAAAAGTGCGTTGTCCCTTTGCTTCAACTTACCGTCAAAGTCGTAAATCGATCGATTCGCATGCTAAAAATCATTACATATTTGCGATATTTGTTTCGAATCTTAAATACCAATGCAATAATTCTTCTCAATCTTGGATCTTCCTTGGAATAATGATAAGGATGCCCAACACGGGTTGTCAACAGAATAAGGAAAAACAAGAAGGCGATTGCAGACAACACCTTGATGATGTAGTTCATGCGGCGAGAAATGTAGAACAAGTTGTTCTAAAAATATCGACGTTTTTTTTTTAAAAATGAATCATGTTAAGAATCTTACCACAAAGAGGATAAAGCTAGAAGCGATGACGAGTCCAATCGGTCCAATAATGAATTCCGGATTGATCGCATTTCCAAGTCTTCCCATCACCGGAACAAAGAAGTCAACACATTGACTGATAGCGTACGCGGCGAATACGAACGGCGGAATAAAGCAGAAAAGCTGAGTGAAGAACAGCACTCGGGGAGTTACTCCTATAATTAGCAACATTTCGAATATTAACATATTCGAAGAAAATCCAACTTTTAATAATTCCGAATAATCCCAGAATATAAATAATCGTGTCTTTGAAAGCCGGAAGAATGAGATAATTAAGGACGTAAAATGCGGATGCCAAATTGTACCAAGTCATTAGGAACAGGATGGATGCGAACGAAATGAGAATCGAATCGTATTGCACCATTTCAACATTTTTGATCTAAAATTGCTCCAATGTGTTGCAATTAACCCAATTCGTGTACCTTGTTCTTATCAGCGTAATGTGAATGTACAATAGCTCCAACAATAAGCATTGGCAATACATACAGTGGTCCGACAATCTCCGGCATCTTATACCTAAACAAGAATGTATTGGACAATGATCAGAATTGATCAAATACCAGCACATGACCAAATCGGTCGAAATCACGAAGCAGATGATGCAAATGAGGCAGACAGTCATCGCAAGAAGAGCATGAACATGGTGTTTAAATGCCTAAAGCGCAAAATTTGAAACAAAATCTTTTTGAATATTCCTACCTGAATCATATCTCGGAATCCATAGAATCCTTTATGGATTCTTCTAAGGACCAGGAGTATTGTAAGAAGGCATGCCGAATAGTTGATGAGTTTCCCGACGGTTACAGTATAATAGACGGTGAATAATCCGACAACATCATAGAATACCCAACGGTTCTCTTCTTCGAATGTTGTGGGCTTCTCCAAATATGGTGAAACAAGAATAGCTTTGACAACAGCGAGAACATTCTCTCCGGCTCTACAAAAATTCAAGCATTTTGATTTTAATAATCGTTTAAACCTTTGAATCGCTCCTGGCTCGATTCTCCATTCTTCATCGAATTCGGTGTGATAAAACCAACCGTTTTTGGTATAGGCTATGTCAAGTCCCGAGATTCTTCCATAATCTCGGAAAATTCGGAAATCGGTGTCAGATGGTATGATTCCAGACTGGAAGATCTCCTGTGCAAGAACTGAGCAGAAAGGATGTGGTGCATTCTCAAGGTACGTTTGAAGAAGCCAAGAGTTTCCGGGTCCCGCCTGGAACAGAATTTCGCGGCCACCGGAACCGGTTCCTTCAAGATTGATGAACGCCCGAATATTGTGGCGCCATGGGTGCTGATTGATAAAACCATGGGCCGCTTGCAAAAAGTTCTCTTCAGCTAAAATAGCTCGATAAATGCGATTTTCAAAACAACAAAATAAATTCAAACCTCCATTGAACAAGAAAACCACATCATGTTTCAGCTCCTTCTTCGAATTAGCAAGAACCTCCAGAACATCCATCATAATCGCGCAGGCCACCTGAAAGTACATTAATTCCCAATTCAAATCGATTGTGAACCGTTTACCGCATCATCAGTTGCTCCCGGTGTATCTGGCATCGTGTCAAAATGACAATTAAGCATTAAAGCGCTATCAGTCGGGCCCGCTTTCGGTCCAATTCGGACCGCAATATTTGTGATCTTGTGGTAACAAAGTGTGAAAGAACTCAAAAATTTGAGATCAAAACATCCCGATGGTCTCTAAATTTCTCATTTCGTTAATTATTGCATTGAAAATGCCAAAAACCTGAACATCAGATTCGACCCGGTTGATTCCTATGCTATCTACGGTAGTCTGAACCTTTCCTATTCTATCCTGAATCATTCCAAACGCTTTTACCTAAAAACTTTAATCAAATTAAAAATCAAAATGAACCGACTTCGAGATTTCTCGATCCACTTGGTCTAGGACCCAATGCGACAAGTTGTTTGAGGAGAACACGAGCCCGCTGCTCGCTGAACTCATCAAACGACGAGCCATCCAAAACAGGTGGCATTCTTCTGAAACATCAAATAAATTATAAGAACTTTGCTAAAAAAAATGACCTGTGCAAAAACACAACTCCGCCATAGACAATCGCGATAGTAAGAATGAAAATTATCCAATGTCTGAATCCAATGGCTTCCTGAATAAATACAATTTTCGGTTCCAATCTCCTTAATTAAAAACGTAAAGGGGGACGCCAGAAAAATTAAACACAGTAAAAATGATGATTGTTTTTTTTCGATGTGTAGAATTTTGAGATTTTTTTCTGCATTGCCCCTTAAAACTATACAATGTTGACCAAAATTCTTCAAAAATAGTTCATTCCAAAATTTAAATCTAGGAACAATTCGACAAACCGGAGTTCTCTTCGTTTTGCCATCCGCAAGAGGATCGTATCCTTGATAATTCACGGATTCCGCGCTCTGTCCGTCCTCTTTCCTTCGACGCACACCCATCTAAAAGATAAAAGTCAAGCAGGTAGCCAAAAAAAAACAATGAATAGGACGATTTGAAGCAATGGATATGTGAAGGAATGGTGTTGGTGAACGCTAACGAAAAATTCGGACAAGGTCAGCCCGCCTCGCGTTTTTATCAATTCAAAACCATTTATTATTACGTCTGCAACAATTCAAAAAAGAAATATGCGAATGTGTCATTTCGAACACAAATCGAAGTCAATTAATTAAAAATAAGAGTCCAGCGGAACCATTCAAGTTTATTAGAAACATAGAAAGCGACAGAGGGACACTGAAGGAGAAAATGGTACTGTGCTGAAGAGAAGGCGATGTGACGGAGAAACGATTGAAAGAGGCGGAGAGAGAGAGAGAGAGAGAGAGAGAGAGAGATGTGGTAGGGAGGAGTGATCACAACAAATCATAATAACAATAATAATAATAGTAAATGCAACTCCCTGGGATTATAACAAATATATTTATTATGGTACTGTGCAAAATTAGCAACAAAACACTCAAAAAAAACCGAAAAAAATATTTAAAAAACTCTATGCAGATTGCCCAAAATTTTTTTTTGAGTTTTTCGAGTTTTCTTCCTAAAATCTGCATAGCACCATTATTTTATAAATTATTGCTTATTCTAAACAAGCCGATAGTAGGAGTTTATCAGTGACGACGATCACGATCGCGGTTCCTATCGCGCCTGTAAACAAATTGAATGGAAAACGTGCACGATAAAGGTCAAAAATGTTCATACCTGTCCCGATCATCGCGATATCGTCCATTTTTATCATTACGACGCGAGCGATCGCGTGAACGGCTGAAAAAATAGAAATTAAATATGTATATATAGTCGGCGTCCGGTGACTGCTGTACTCGGGTACATTTAGGGGGGTGCGTCTTTCTCTTGGTCTCGCGCGGACAAACTTGATATTTTGTATCGGTTCGATTCTTTTAAAATCGAATGACATTGGAAATACAAGAAAATACCAAATTCATCAAGAAAAAATTAAAGAATAAATTCATAATAGCTTACCTCCTCTTTCTGTCCCGATCACGATCCCTTCTGTCATGATCACGATCACGATAATCCCGCCTATCGCGATTACTGCGGCTACTGCTGTACCTATAGGAGTTGGATCGATCACCAAGTTTCTCATCGCGCTCTTTTTTCCGCTGCTCGATTGTCTCCAGCATTTTCTTGTACGTTTCGCGAGTCTCCACCATTCCCAAGTGCATTTTTCCGTTATAATGATCAGCAATCCGAGTCTCATGATCGGTGATATTGAGTTGCGCACCGCACTCTTCGCATACACGCAATTTCGCTGCATTCGACCCGGGACCCGCCATTTTCACATCATTCTGCGCCTCGATTTCGGCGATTCGATCGCGCATTTCCTCGACGCTTCTCGACAATTTCATCGATTCTTCGATTCGTCCTTCATTTCCAAGTTTCTCAATTTCCTCGAGTTGCTAAAAATATAATCACTTTTTCGAATTTGAAATTGGAAACGTTTTCACAAACCAATTGAATGGTGGCCTCAATCTCTGCAATTTTCGATGCTTTTGAATCTGCCATTATACTAGTCTGATTCTGAACGTCCCGTTCCAATTTATCGCGTATTCGCGCTATTTCTCCATCAACCTGTCGAACGGCAAATTCTAGAATATTGAATGCCTGCAATCAAAAAAAATTATTTTAAAGCTTCTCACCATGAATATTAATTATGTATATGCTAATTTGGAAAGTAACACATTGAATTATTAATTATAAACTCACATCGATATCATAAAAATGATCCCGCTCCTTTTGTGCTCGTTCGAAATCCGCCTTATGCGCCGGCTCGTGTACTTTTCGGCATGAGACCATACTCTGAAAATAAATAAAAATGAAGATTGAAAAAAATCTTCATTCAACACACGAAATATCTAGGAGACTTATTGAAATATTGAAACTGAACTCACATCGGACTCCAATTTTAATCTCGTAAACTCACGTATTTGTTATTTTGGGAATTGGATGAGGAGAGGGATGAGTAGTAGAAGAAGAACGTGGGCGCAGTTGTTGTAAAACAAAACCCGAATAACAGTTTGTTGTGTTAATTCAATTAGTTATTTTTAATCAATTATTTCTTCCTTTCTTTTTTTTTTTTGATAGCGAGTTTTCTGGCTCGATATCAACACGATTATTTAATAAATACATGAAAATATTACATATTTATATAGAAACTCACAAAAAAGGAACCCAGTTGAGAAACCCGAGACGTACGTAATGCGGATGGTGCCGCGCGGAGCACTTATTTTGGTTTGAGCCTAACATTTTAGATATCGGTTTAGGCAATATCGGGATGCTAATTGCGCATTTAATACACTCACCTGTAATCGACTATCAGGTACTAAATCGTGCGGGCATACACCGAGTAGATAAGCGCGGCATACTCCTGGATGATCATAAGGGATCTCCGGTTTTCCTGAAATCGTCTTCACTCAAAACATTAATTATTAGGTTTTAAATTATTGATGGGTAGAGCAGGAACGCACTTTTTGCCTTGAAAAATAATAAAAGGGATATTAAAAAACTAGAAAGATTATTATTTTACTCAGGAAATAAATTAATTAAACATCCGTTATTTCCTATTCCTTAAAAAAAGAAACTACTCACCACCATCTTCAACATGTTGGCTTCCCATTAGCTGGGCGATCATTTCGCGCATTTGATCGGTCATCCTGAAAAATCTGAAATCGATAGATCAACCGAACTTTAGAAATGATTTAAAAGCGTGAATATAATATACGAGATAGAAAACTCGTAAAAAAAAATACATAGAAAACCGGTAGAAATAATTTATCCGCCTATGTAAGAACTATGCGCACAAAGTAAATATAATTATTTCTTTTCCGCTGCCTGACTTTCCAATAGTCGTTTCCTCAAAAGACGACCGTACTGAGTTCCAAGCCAAGCCAAAATCACAACTCCGATTATGAGCTCGACAAGCCTATAAGTTTGATAATTTTTGAAAAAAAAAAACGCTATAAAATTCTCACTTAAACGTGGTCATTCCTTGATAGAGATCAATCCTCACACCCTCCGTTAATCCAATACCCAATTCGCCTTCAGCTTTTCGAATATCCGCCCAAAACTGTTGAGCATTTTGCGGGTATTCGACGACAATTGTGCGTTCTTTCGCCTTCAAAATTTAATAGTTAAAAATGTAGTTTTTCCAAAGAATAAGCGTACTAGTTGCCCGTCAATAACAGCATTCGGGTGCAAGAATGCGATGGCTCGCGTGTTAGTTGGAACGAAAATAATGCGTTGGACTTCGCCGCGGTTGAGATATTTCTCGATGAATGTGTTCATCGGAATTCCTTTCCTAAATTTGCATATATAAAACTTCGTATGGAATACTTCTAACTACTTTGTAAAATCTTCAGCGGTCAATCCCTCGGTTATACTTTTATCTGAAGTGAACATTTGTGAAAGCAGGATGAAGGATGATACAAACGATAATCCGGCAACGATTAGAACGTAAATTCGAAGTTTTCGAACTGAAATTTTGACGCATTAGTAAATGATCATTGCTTCACTCCTACTAAGTGCTGGATCAACCTTTGGTTTTTCCGCGTTTTCCTCAGAATTTACCGTTTTCGCTTCTTCAGCCTTCTCACCAGTAGATTCCTCATTTTTTTGAGATCTATCATCAGTATGACGTGTTCTAATATTTTTTAAATCTATAAAAACACTGAAATTAAAATAAATGTTGAAAAAAACTCACCATTGAAAAAGAAGAACTTTGAGCGAGTATCGAGTAATTGCGTTTGTGACGCTGGCATGCTGTGAAATCCGCTACAACAGGCAATTGCAGAGCATCGAAGTTGTAACAATCCATTATATTGCGATCGCCTGAGCAAGTATATTGGAATATTTAACCGCATTTCGGTTCAAATTCCGTCGAAACGAGAAAAGATGAAAAATACGGGAAGGCGGGACGCAGAGTGTTGATTTTGCAATTGGGGACGCACAATGTTGCAATATGAACGCATGGTTTTCCACGAGGCTCACGCATGTCTCATTCTCTTCTTATTCATGCGAATTTTTGTTTTCTTCGTATTTTGACTGGAACTAGATGCCAAATAGCTATTTTAAATGTTAAAATTATAATTTAAATGAAAATGGTTATTTTCTACAAGTAAGTAATTTATATAGAGAAAATTGAATAAAAACTAACTTTTTTTCAATCGAGTTAAAATATTTATAAAAAATGATTGTATTCTCGACGTCGCACGACCGCGGAAAACTGGCTCAATGCCAAACAATTTAAGAAGAGGGCTCGGTCCCGCCTTTGTTCTACATTATACTAAAGCCCGTAAAAACACCTTTAAATTTGCCCCAAGACCATGATAATTTTTTGGACGTCTGACCAATTTTCCGCTGTCGCACGACGTCACTTTCTGATTGTGGAAAAAAGCTACAATTCGGATGTAGGTTTTTGAAATTCTATTTATTTGTATTATTTTCGGTTAAAATACTTTATTCAATCAAATCTCCAACTGGTCTACTCACAATAGCACATGGATACAATTTTATCAACCATTAATAATTAAAACACAGAAAGTTGAGAAACCGGGGAATAAACAAAACGAAACAAAAAATTCGGGAGCTAAGAAAATCTCAGAAAGCGCACTGGTCCTTCAATTATAATAATTTAGTGTAGACAAAGAATTGGGGGAGAATAAACGAAAAGAGAAAAGGAAATGAAACGAACAATCGATAAATAAAATTGAATAGAAAAGAATGGGTAGCAGGAAAGGAGGAAATGTAGATTTTAGGTTACCCGATGCCAAGAAACGAAGGATTTGCCTACTACTAGAGATTGAACGGGGAAATAAAATAGAGTTGTCGGACAAACTTTCGCTATTCTGCATTGCAGAAATTTGTCTTTTAAATAGTGGCGGAATGCATCGGCTGCTGGAAGTTGTTGAGCAGCAATCCCTGAAGATCGTGAAGGATCGGGTTGTTTTGGTTGCTGCTGATGGTGTTGGTGGTGCCGGTCGCCGAAGAGCAGCTGATGATCGCATGGATCGCAGACACCAAATTCAGGAGCGACGAGTTTTGCGGCGGGATGTTGACGCCCAATGACTTAAGATATGTTTGATAGTCCGGGACATCGCTAGGGTTCGTCTGAACCTGTTGTTGTTGTTGTTGTTGTTGGTGGTGGTGGTGGTGGTGGTGTTTCAATGGTGAAGTTGGCGCAATTTCTGCTGGCGACATGGCCGGATTCTGAACGAGTGAAGTGGGCGACGAGATGCTTCGTGATGGCGACGTTCTTCTGGAAATCGCCAACGGAGATGACTCCGATTTTCTATCTCTCTTGTCTTTGGCTCTACGGTTCTGGAACCAAGTCTTGACCTGATTCTCTGAGAGATTAAGTGCCATGGCAAGAATCAGACGTTTCTCGCGGCCCATGTAGCAGTCGCTGAGGTATTCCTAAATTAGCAAAACTAGAAGATTTCAACGATTTTGAGATTCGCACGTGTTCCAATCGAGCTGCCTGATCTGGCGAGAACGTCGTCCTCTTACGACGATGTCTCTCGGGTGGTGGTGAAGTTTGATTCATCGGAAGTTCAGCTACAAGTTCCGGTGGACTGGCATTGTTCGACGAGACGATCGATGCTGGAGACACTTCTCCTTCAGGAAAGAGCTTTCTGAAAACGAGAAATTGGTGATATTGTGCGTTTCCCAATAAATAAAAAGCGACTACCAGAATTTTTCGCTGCAAGACCTAGTCAATTAGACGCATTGCGGTATTCTTTTGTATTGAGACACAGTGCAGATAAAAGTTAAAAAAAGAAAAGGTCAAAAAGCAGATAAGAAAATTTCAGAGGCATTTTGAACAGATGAGGTCCCTTACACGCACAATCGTGTCGGCATTATTATTATTAGACATGGAAAGAATTCATTTTATTTTTTTTTTTTCATACGACGACAACAACTGGGCGAATGTTAAGTACACAGCTATCCTAGAGTGAGTTGTTCACCGTGCAGATTAGTTGAGATCCCCGCAATGCGCAGATGAGGTTCTCTATTTCAAACTCTATGGGGTCTTATTTGTAATTTTGTGGAGACCTTGTAAGATGAAATTTTCTCCTTGAGAACTATATTGCACATGTCGAGGACATAATCTGTGTTTTCGCCTTTAATCGTAGATCAGGTCTCCTTACCATGGGAAACTCGTTCAATATAAGTTCCCGTAGATCAGATCCCCACAGCCAAGAACACATCCCCTCATTCATTATAGGTCCCCATTTACAATGTATTTGGGGACCTATTCTGAAAATGTGGGGACGTGTTCTTGGCTGCAGAGAATCTTCTATAGTGGGAGTGGTGACCTAATCAGCGTTTTCGCCAAAGAAATATAAAAAAATTTTAATGTAGAAACAAAGAAAAATCTTTTCTCCCCTTTTTCTACTGTTCTTGGTTTTTTGCGATGGGGGCAAGTAAAACCTGTGTGCTTTGATGTCGCGATGTTTTCACACATACACTCAATCACAAGCCTCCAAGTTAAAATTTATATTGTTTGTTTCTTTTTCGCTTTCATACAAATTCTCTCAATTGCTCAAAAATAGTGTATTCGTCATTTTATTTCGGTCATTTAATACACACATCCCTACGATCATTTATTTTCTCTCAATTTTTCATTTAGCCGAACTTTGCGCTCATTTTCGATTCAGCTTCATTTTGCTCAGAATATTTAATGAAAATGTTCAAGACTTTCATAAAAGGTTCTCAATGCGCTAGAGTACGTACAAATGTGTATTCGTGTTGTTTTTTTTCTCCTCTTCTTCGCCCACAATACAATGTTACGACAACGTAGTCCATTATGAGCGTTCCTTATATGCACATACATATTTCCTGTCCACAAATAGCAGCAAGCAAACTCATAAAAGTCTATATAAGAATGTGCATATAAAAAGTGCTCCCGTAATGGAAAATATAGTGGACGATAGAAAAAACTCGCATAATTAGATTTGTGTCAATTACACCTGCATTTATATATACATAACTCTAATTGGCATGCACACTCATAAATATATCTAGCATAATAATAATAATAATAATAATAATAATAATAATAATAATAATAATAATAATAATAATAATAATAATAATTGCAATTATTGAAAAGAGACGCTGATTTTTGAGGTATGTAGCTGGATTGGATATCCAATTAGTCACTCGCGCACACATGACACTTTTTCGATTCGCAATTTCGCAGTCGACATTCAATAAAAAAAAAACTAATTATAGGAAATGTGTGAGGCGGAGCTCTATTATGAAAACTTTACCCAATTTCTATAAATAACTCGGGTTCCAGTACAATTTTTGTTGAATTGTGTAAATATGGAATGATGTGATTTGATCGGGCTGAATGGAATGCCTAATTCCAATTTTACAAATCATTCGAGTTGTTTATTCAAATATTTTCAGTTATACTGCCGGCTAAATTAAAAGTATAATAGAGTACACAAAAGGCTATTTATGGGGGTTGTCTGTTGTGCATTCAATCCTGATAACAATAAAAATCTAATCTTTTGCTTCTGAAAACTTTGTGTTTCTAAATCCATCCCGCTGAATCTGCTAAATCTCAACGGTTCTCAATTAATTCTATTGGCTTATTGGCTTATCCGTAGTGAGCTATTATTATGATTATTATCTTCAAGTTTTTACCGCATTTTTTAAAAATAAAACATGTGAAACCATGGAAATTGTATAGTAATTTTCTCATGCATGGGTTTGTCAGATGATCGTGAACAATTGGGGAAAAAAAACGCTCACCTGAAATTCTCCAAAGCAAATGTGATATCTTGCGACGAAGAATACGGTTGAAACGCGGACATGTTGCCTGCAAAAAAAGAAGGAAATAAAAAAAAGATGAGAGCGGCGGGTAAAAGTATACGTAGGTACAAATAAGGAATGTTTGGCATGGTCGCAATTCAAATGTTCAGTTTCTCATTAATCGTGTGAAAATTGCAAATTGAAATGAGAAAAAGCGAAGGCAGCAGCAGCAGCAGCACACATACACATTCACACACACCAAAAAATGCCACTACTATCTATTACTACTACGTCGAGAATGCACAACTCGACTTTCATTACGGATATTTCAACCCGCATTCGTTCTTTTTTTTAAACGCAGCATCCTGATCCAAATTTGTCGCATTAGACACCTGAAAAATGGCGAGAGCGCATAATTAATAAGGGAATCGAAAATAGGCAGAATCGGGGCGGCGGCGCGCCGTCAGGAAATGAGTTATTCAGATAGATCAGCTCGCCGCAAGCCCGCCCGTGGAGCTCCGCCTACTATTTTACCTCATTAGGCAAGTCGGTGGGATTTTTGAAAGCGAATGAGGTTGGCTATATCAAAATCGGAGCTAATAAAGGTCCGAATACTGCATGCATATGGTGGCCGAAAGACGGAAAGGATTAAGTTTGCGCAATCTAATCGCGAGCTCGAACTTCTGGAGCTTTCAAATAATATAGGAATAATTCTGATTGGGAATGAATCTCAAAGATCTCGTCTTAGTCACTGAATCATAAGTTTTCTTAATCTTCAGGTTGTATTATAGCGAATTATTGTGCGGTTCGAAGCCCATAAATTAGTCAGTCAAAACAAGATCATCAATTTTTGATGAGAATGAAATTTGAATTGAGGGCGTCAAAATTCCAGAAATGATTCAATCAGAATATTTTGGTCGAAAAAAAAATTGGAAAAAAAAAGAACGCGTCGTCCATCTCCCGAGAAGCCGAATTTATTTGCAAGCAATTTAATTCGCGAATTTCTTGAATAATTCATTGCGCATTTCACGAACAAACCAATTACCCAAAAAAAATGGAAAGAAAAAAGAAAAGCGAACTGACTAAATAAGGCAACGGTTGTGGATGGGCGTTAAAACACGAGAATTTGCGAGAGTAGCACGAGAAACAAAATGAGAGGTGAAAACATAAAACAATTCCAATTTTCTGTTTGATTTATACGGTAATAATTCGGGTTAATTTATGGCAAGAGTTTGATGTTGGCAACATTTTTGGCTGCAATTCAGAAATTGAAATATTGGCTCACTTACAAAACGATTTTTTTGCAGCAAAAAAAAACAAACAATTTGAGGGGGGAACGTCTTCGATAGATTCTCATTGGGTTCATCTCAAAACGAAATTTTCGGGTTCTGGTGATCAATGAGAGAACCCTAAAATTTATTTCAGCATTGGTGTGATACTGAATATATGGCATATTGAATGTGATGCACTACATTCAAATAATTATAGGTGTTTTCTTCGGGAATCTAGCCATGTTAAAAATAGCTGAAAATCGGGTTACGGTAGTCAATATAGCTTACTGTAATCCAGTAGAAAAATTAGGAATTTTGTAGGTAGGAAGGAAGATGCAAAAAAAAATGACGGCGGTGAAATCATTGCGAAAGGAAGAGAAGAAAAAAAAAATAAATAGGGAATTGAATGTTCATCGGAATGCACTGAATAATTCATGTTGTCGTCTCGGAATATCTCTCTCTTCAAATTTAAAAGGGAAAGAGAACATAATGAATCGCCTCAAGGAGGAGAAGCAGAAGAAGAAGAAGCTGAAGGAGCGCACGGAGTGAAAAGATCCAAAATTGAAAAACGCCTCTTCTCGTCGTTCCCGTCATCATCATATATTATTTTTTTTTCGTCTTCTTCTACGAATTTTTTATTTGCTATGTAGTTTTGCCAGCATCCTATTTAGAGCTCAATTGACGTTGACGAGCCTTGAACGAATTGTATAGCATATGTCTGTGTGTGTGTGTGTGTGTGTGTGTGTTCATTTTAATTAAAAATTTAACAGGCCTCAGCGAGCATTGCTCTTTTTGCGAGAAGCACATACAAACAAATGCACACGAAAAGAAGAAAGCACAAAAAACACATGTTTGCAGTTACGGGAGAGTGGGCGTGGCTTAGTGAGCCGTCGCTCGTTTTGCTTTATGAATAAACATACTAACAATGTATAAATATGAATATGAGAGCCTGAGAGAGAGAGAGTAGTGAATGAATAAGTGTGAAATGCCTAAATGCCTCCGCCTGATGAGCGCAATTTTCCCGAACATTATTGAGCCAATTTTGATCTACCATTTTATTTCAATCACAATTTGAGCACTCAACAAGAGCTAATGAATCAAACGATAATGTGAATAACGTGCTATTCAAAAAAAAAATGAATCCATTGAGAATTCTCCAGAAATGAGTGAATCTCGAAATTTGCCTAATTGAACTTGACCAGCCAAAGCCTACTGTACTATGGAGCTACCTAATTGGCTCTTTAATTAGCCTCAAAACATTGGATGAATCTTATTAGTCAGTAATGAATATGATAGTAGTTTTCTCAAGATTTCTGGAACGAGGGAAAATCTGAGAAGAATAGCGGGATTGATTGGGATCCGATTTGTATCAATATCAGCAAAAAGCAAACAATGCAATATTGGATTTTTTGGATTGAACATTTTCAAATTGAAAAATGATTGAGATGAAATGAAATTGAAGACAATCACAAAATCTGTCAATTTCTTATGGACCCCTTTAAAAATTGTTTTTTGAAAAAAAAAAATATTGAAAAATTGACCTAAACTTTGGCTGAGAAAAAATTGCGCAACACTATTTTTGTGAAATTCGATGAATGAAAATCCAAACATCGGAAATGTGTTGGGAAAAATTTGAACCATTCTTCGAACAATTGGATATGTTGCGCAACTTTTTTCGGATTCCCATCGCTCATATTCAAAGGCAAAAGAATTCAATTCCATGGGAAATTAGTCCATGCTATAAACATGGGCATTCAAGATACGAATGATTAGAAATCGGACCATAAAGAAAAAAAAACGTACCTTGAAAATTCGAAGCGATGAAAAAGTCGAAGGATGACATTATCGGTGTTTGTATGAAATTTGATCGCAATCAGTGTGTTTATATACAATTTGATTTATAATTCGAATAATGAAATGATGGCACCGAATTGATTCGATTTGAGAAAATCGAATTAATTAGATTGCTTATTTTTTTTTCAAAAATTGATATGTGAATTGAGAAATGAAAACGAAATTCGTTGAATTTTTTTTGACACCAAAATCCATCAAATGATGTGGCCGTAAATAAAAAAACAACAAAAACAAGGGCATAAAAAACGATGAAGCAGAAATTGCAAAATATGCGAACGGATGCCGAGAAAAAAATTTGTATGACGAAAAAAAAAGCAAAAAATCAAGGCAATATTCCTTTATGACCGCCCATTTTTACGATCGTTTAGAACTATATTCTGGAAGGAAGCTTGACCTACAAAACACACTTCAAAATCGATTCCATGCACCTTTTAAGGCGGGACTTTTCAGAGCTCTAATTAGCAAAACGCCAGAGATAAAGCTTCGTCTGTGTAATCCACACGGACAATGTCGATTGACATCCATTTTGCGAGAACCAACTCAGCCCCATTCGTAGTGAATTCGCCAACATGTTTTTACAGTTTAAAATTTTCTTGAAAGATACATCTGAATGTTGGTAGATCATTTCTTCATAATTTTCACCGAAACATTTTCTTTCGTATTGATGAGTTTGGAATTTTCTAGACGCATGCCCATAAATCTTGACCTACACGGCGACTATATTTAATGTTTAAAGGCGCAAGCGTTGATGGAAAACTCAAACCATGATTTTGCTGTGACCCCCGTCAAGATTTTCAAATCGACTACCTCAATAATCGAAAAGCGCAATAACTGAAGATATTGGCCGTTATTGCAAATTGCGATTTGTGCAGACATAATGGTTTGTTTGCTCAACAATTTGGTACCACAATTTAATATGAGCCATCATTTCTTTTTTTTCCAATTTTCTGCTCCAAAATCAATTTTTTTAAACGCGCATATTACAGTTTAAGAACAAAATTGGCTGCGGCCAAACGGAAATTAGTAATAAAAATAAAGGTACGAAATAATTGGCGGCGTAGAAATAATATAAAACAATTGGTGCTGATTCATATTCAAATTATTGTAATTTCTGTTCCATTATATTTCCAATATATATAATACACCAATGTGTACATGAGTTTTGTGATTCACACACCAAAAATGGCAGCGAAAGAAACGGGATGAGAATAACAATTATATTAATCATTTCGTATACATTAAATATATTATTATTATTATTATTAGTGTTAGTAATAATAATAATAAGAAGAATAATAAATAATATGTGTAAATTGAGGTTTGTATATGATGCTAATTGTAAACGCTTTTTGCTCACCAAAATATGCAGTAGATAATGACTCCCAAAGGAATACTAATTGCAATTAGTATCAATAATTGGCCGAATGAACCATCTACTTCTATTTGAAGCTAATTAGGGTTGAACGAGAAGAATACATGTATACAACAGTTAAGAAGGTCTTTAATTTCCATAATTACCAAAAAAATTATGCATTTCTAATTTTTTTGCCAAGATTCTCTCGATTCGCAAGCCAATATGTATTCCACATAAGGATTTTCTCTAGGATCCCCTGGATTATGTGTATTTAATTAATAATTTGATTTGGAAACCTGGCATACTTAATCCTTCTGCAATTGACGTATCTCCAACAAAATTTAATTATAAGCTACCGTAGTTTGTGCAAAAAAAAATTGAAACCCATTATTATGGGGTTAGGATTATCTATAAATATTTTTTTGAAAAATAAAGCAAGTTGAAATTTAAAATAATTATTCTGTAAGCGAAAATTGCAGAAAATGGAGATGGACAATTTAAAGAATTTGTTTTTTTATAGCTTTTTCTTCACAAATAGGTTACGATTTTTGCTGCACATATTGCTAGAAATGCTTTGAGCATCTAACCTTTGCCGCCTTTTCATTTTTTGTCTGACATTTAAGTTTCTCGTTTTCGTTTTCAGAATGATGTTTTTTCTTCTATAACCAACCTAGAAATGCTTACTATTCACATTTAATAATGGGGTTTCTGATTGGTATTGAGTTCTTTTTTGTTCAGAATAATCACTTCTTTTTTGAGTCTGACCTGAAAACGACATTTGATGGAAATGCCGCCACAAAATGCCAAAAATTTCGCGAATGAAAACACTTTTCAAAACGCCGTCGAAACCAAAAATTTCGGGCGAAAATAATTTCGTCGCAAACCTATATTTAAAACCAAATCGAATGAAAAAAAAAACGCATGATTTCATAATTCATCCAATTTTTGAAAAGCCGGGGGTTTTCAAATTCGATAGATTTTGTGTGAAGAACGACGAGAGCCAATTGTGCCTATTTAGGGAAGAGAATCAAGCACTGTGTCAGTCATGTCTGTATTTTTTAAATTCGGTTTTGTTGTGAAAATTTCCTGTGAAATTTATACAATGCACGCTTGGGTATCTAATTGAGAGTTTCGGGTGGTTTTGAGAACACATGGCGTCTTGCACTTTTGATTTTTTTTGCTAATGGACATTGTGTGAGGTGACCCAATGTCTCCCATCAATAACACGCCGTTTGCGAACCCTCGAAATTCGAGAGGAACGTCTTGTTAATTTTTTTACAATGGCCTCCGAATTGTGCACGACAGAGACTTTAATAAAAAAAATTGGAAAATGCCAATCAAATAAAAAAAATTTGCTGTGGAGGCCCTAAAGGAAGTCTCATCTTCTAACAAAAATTCTTACTTAAAAAGAGGTTTTTTTCGAATTTAACCTATATCCGAATATATTCGACGTCCGGCGACTGCTGTACGCGGGTAGATTTACGCGCACGCGCCTTGAAAAGGTCTCGCCACGTGAGAACGCTTATTTTGCAATTTTCGCGTGAACGGTTAATTTTTTTTCTTGATGAGTTTCGCATTTCTTTGAATTTCCAACGATATTCGATTAAAAAATTATCGAACCGATCCATAAAATTTGAAATAACCTGTTATTTCTTACAAGACTTTTAGTTTCAAAATTCTTGACCTGCGTAAATAAAAAGACTAATCAAAGAAAACATCTGATGTGAATAATCGAATAAATCCAAAATCAATGATGAGAAAGGTGAATGTATCAAAAAATAATGCATCGATGGAACGTGCTTCAATAAAAAATAAAATTAGATTGACATGGAAAGAGAAGCCCTTTTATGGGCAATATTCTAGTAAGACTCATGTTTATTTGGCCAACAATAAAACGAAAAAAAACATACGTGAGCTCAGCTCCAAATTATTGAGATTTTAAGCGATTTAAATTTTAAAAATTTGAGAATTTTACTCTTTAAATGGATTTCCGGACACCGCATTTTTTTTTTGCTTCATTGCTCTTTAAAAGTGTATAGTTGGCATTATTTTTCTTTCAAGACGGAAATAACCAACTGCAATAGTTTCAAGAAGAGAGTGGGGTGAATTTGAACAAATAACCGACCACATAGCTCTTCCAACTAATTAGATTTTGTGCTTCATCCTATTTTGCCTTAGGTTTATTATTATTATTATTATTATTATCATGCACGTATATGGAATAAATTGGAAAGAAAAAAAGAGAAAAGACCTTCATCATCGTTATTTGTTTTTCTCGTTTTAGAAAAAAAAAAAAGAAAAGATGCCATTATGAAAATGGAATTTAATCAACGAAAAACTGAATGCAAAGCACTTTATTTGCGTGTGCGAGCAAAAGAAGATGGGAGAAAAAAAGGGGAGAAGGAAACGGAGCAACAAGAACCTTGCTCAAGGGGTTCGAAATGAAATGGAAGTGGAATGGTGCATCTTGTCGTAATTGGCGCTCTTTGGGCCTTCCAAATGAATGTTTTTAAGTCGCTTGTTCTTTTATCGAAAATGGAGCCACCGAGGGCGGAACTAATGAGGAAAGAGGCGAGCACTTTAGTTCTTCCAAGAATTTAATTTTCAGACCTAAAATAATCCACAGTATCCTCAATTTATCGATAATTGATGTGCCGTGTACGTGAGTATTCATTACGCCAAAATGCAGAAAGCTAGTTTTCAATTTTTTTTTCAGCAAATCGTGCCGTAAAATCTCGTTACGGTGAAACCCCTGGGAAAAGAACTGTCTGTGTCTCTCCAAATCACACACTCTTTCAAACACTCTTCTAAAAATCGTTTCTACCGATTTGCTGAACTCCAAAACGAGCCGGCTCAAATAATACGGCAATCTTCCTTTTTTTATTTTCAATAATTATTCTAACAATAATAATAATAATAAGAAATTTCTTGAAAAACATATAGTTCTACCTAATTAATATCTGGAATTATTGCTTCTTCACATTTTCGTATATATTTCAATGCAAACCTAATTAGCTGCAGCTTTGAAATAAATATATAAACTAATTAGGAAAAATAATTATTAAAAGTTGTAGATAAACACGTTGCAAACTAAAAAATTCGGGATTTCAGGGAGAAGTTCTGGACTGCAAATGTGTTACTGGAGATTAGCTCAAAATAATTTTGAATTCTCAGTCAAAACCCAATTCATTCAACTAGATATATCCATAGATTAATCGTCGAAAGCCCATATCCTGTCAGTTTGTTGTGGATAATCCCTTGCTCATCCTACGCACAAAAATTATGCGCGCGTATTGTCTGCAAACACCGACGCAAATATTCAAATGACCCGCCCTCATCATTTTGCCAACGACTGGGGGGTGAGATCTTTCTTCGCCATCCGTCGCACATTCTTGTCAATCAGAGCGTCTTCAATATTCTCGTCGTCCTCTTTTAAGAATTAATCGCAATATTTCGCCCACCCACGGTGTGCCCACGCTTCTAACGAAAAGTGCATCAAAAAACGCGATGCACAAAGAACACGAGAAAAACGAGGCAAAAACTCGCCTGATTTTTTCGTGCATCTCTCTCTGTGTGTGTGTGTGTGTGTATGTCGCTGTTGTGCCAATTGTACTTGTGTCATTCTTTCTGAACACCTCTTTTTTCTTCATGGTTAAGAATTTTTGCTAGTGTGGTCGATGAGTGATTTATTGTTTCTTTTGCATATAATCCCCTTGTTTCTTTTTGCCCATCTTAAATTGTCGTTCGTCTTGTGGCCACCAAGTTTTACGAGGTTTTTTCTCTATCGCCGTCAAATTTTGGCCGCACTCGATTCGATTCGATTGCGTGGGCTGTCATCTTCGCATGATTGTCGCTTTTCACTTGTACGCCTAATGTTCATTTTTCGTTTTCTTCACATTGGGCCTGCTTTATGTTATATCTGTTTCAAATTCAAGTAGTTTATACCGATAAACTGTTTATATAAATGCCGTATTGTTTACATTCAACACCTTTTTTAATGAGTAAACAATGATATCCATTTCTTTTAAACGTATCAGAAAGTTTATTATGATTGAAAATCATGTTCGAATACTAAATGTTTGATTTCTAATATCATAATTGAATCATTTATCAATTAAGTTTACAATGATCAAAAATAAAATTTTAAAAACGAACATTATTAAGTTCTTTCTCAACATTACACCGTAATCTCGTGACATCCATCCATCGCATCTTTGTTTCACGAGTTTTTTTTTTCAACTTCTGTTAACAAAGCATCTGGTATCATTTTTTCTAATTGATTATTGATATCATCTTTCTAAACTTTTCTCAACTCTTTTAATTTTAATGACATCTTCTAATTGAATATTATTTTAATGAGATTTTCGGGAAATTTTCTGCAAAGAAAACGTGATGGTAGAGGTTTAAACAACCCTCAAAATATTCTAAACACTTGCAATTTATTCATACAAAAAATTTTCCGAGTTTGAAACTGATGCATTAGAAATTTGTATTTGGCCATCTATTCAAATAAACTGTTTGGCTCACAATACTATATGACAGATTCCATTAAACATTCCATACGTTCTCCAGTGAAATAATTATTTTTCGAAAACTTGGCTAACTTCATTTTTAGCACATCTCTCGCCGATTTCCGCTCAGTGACTTTAAATATTCGATTTCTCACGCTAGTGCGGCATTACGTTGTTCACACGTCGAAAAAATACTCATTTATTCATTCATTTCCACTGATAGGAATTAATTTTTTGCAAAATCTGCTTTCTTTTTGCAACATCCATCTGCTTCTCAAATTTTTACGGACCTTCTCGTTTAAAACTTTCATAATCGACAATTTCATGACAAAAAAAGGAAAAGACAAAGATGCATAAAATTAACGACCAAACATCTTTGGTTATGACTTTGCCGCTCTACGATTTCCTTTCTCGCTTCACTTCAATAACAACATTTCCGCTTTTTGATTGTGTGTTGGTATTTCTTGCAATTTTGAAGCTTGAAAAAAATGTTGAAACAGGTTAAATGGATAAAAACGAATTAATTTTTTATTTGTTTGAAACGTTTCTTATCTTTATGGTCTCGTTTGTTCGAACAACGTATTCTGTTATGACTTTCAGCATGACTGAGCCTCCTTTCTGCGAACAGGCTCTTGTTATTGTCCTCGCCAAGGAATTGGTCCTCGAGTATTGCAATTATTGTCTTACGAAGACGCAGGCTCTGAAACGATGCAGTGCTTGTAGAATGATGGCCTATTGCTCGCCACAATGCCAGAAAAATGATTGGAGACAACACAGACCCGAATGCAAAGCGATTGTTGCTCGCAGATTTGTGGCGGATGATGGCATTCGGTTGGTCATGCGTCTTGTGCAGCTCTATGAGGCCAATATCATCACCCCAGCGACTGATCAAGAAGGTCCAAGCGGTATGTTTCATATGCTCATTTCAAATTTTAAAAAATATTTTTCAAGGAACTCGAACCTTCTACGATCTTGAAGATGGAGGGGATCGACTAAATAGTTCAGCAGAGGCTTTTCTGGACACATTTAAGAAGTTCGCGATCGCTCCATTCTCTACAGATGATGTTGTGAAACAGTTTGTTTCTTTCTCTTATTTTATTGTGCATTTTGGACGATGTTACAGCATGTATAAAAAAGTGGCGATGAACAGTGTCTCGGCCAGTAATCCATTCGGGTCTCATATTGGAATCGCATTATGTATTAAGCTCACTGCGGCGAGACATTCGTGCAAACCAGCGACCAGAGTGGCGTTTAGGTAAATCAAGAGTTTATTATGACATCTTTAAATAACTAGTAAGTATCTAGAAATCGTCTTGTGATGTTAGTGCCTACCTCGAAGTGCCCAATGAATGTTGAGAGTGCCTGTCATTCTTATATCGATGAGTTACAACCGGTAAACACGCGTAAGAAGATTCTGAAGGTAACTCATTTTTTTTCCAGATCATATAATGTAAAAATGAAAGAAACTTATATCCATTAATGTTTAATTTTAATTTGGCCGACATTTATGTATAGGCTATGGCCTAACATTATTCGGCCGCCACCGAAATTTCACTACTCACTAGCTAGTAAAACAAAAAAGCAATCGTGCTCTGAAAACGGCTCTGAAAAGAGATTTTCGTTGAAACACTGTTTATAAAATCTCGGCTTCTCTCTCTATCTTTATCTCTCTAGCAAAAATTCTTCCATCACAGTTTGTGCTGAGTATTTCAACATACAATAACTTATTGCGATTATATTTTTCATTTACTAATTTTTCTATTTAGGAAAAGTATGGATTTGATTGTGATTGTGAAGGTTGCCTTGATAATGAACGAAATGATCGCATGGAGGCATTCTGTTGTGGGAATTGCACGAATGGATGGATAAAGAATGCGGAAAATGCTACATGTTCAACGTAAAATTGATTCGTAATGTCGATTGTTTAAAGAATACGAATATTTCTAGATGCGACTGGAAAATGACTCCTGAGCATTTTCAAATGTGTCAAATTGCGGAAAATTCTGCCATTCAAGGCGAGCCGATTCTAATGCAGGACGATGTTCCAATGAACAAGCGAATTGATATGGGGGAGAAGCTGTTGTTCATGGCGAACAATACACTTCATCGATACAACGTGCTGAGACTTCCCATTTATCGTTTACTGTTCGGAGCATCGGTGGTGACCAAAAAGTAAGAAACATTTTTTTTTTTGAATTTATTAATAATTGTGTTGCTGTTTTTAGTATTCCGCTTGCAAGGAAATACGGATTGGCGATGTTGGAGTTGCAACTCCAATATCAAAATGAAAACGATCTTGCCATTTTGTACCACAAACTTCGCCTCGCTCAAATTATGATTGCTGGAAATGCGATTGATATTGCCAAACAATTATTGGAATCTATTTATAAGCCATATGTCGAGATTTTCGGAATGGAATCTTTGGCAACCAATAATATCAAATTAATGCTCAACGGGATTAATCAATCGGCGACTTCTTCAATTCCTTCGCCACCATCTTTATAACAATTTTTGGTGCTTCTTTATGGGAAATTTATACGGAATTTTTGAAAATCTGGTGAAAAAAGACAGTATTTGTAACTACCCAATCGACTTGGTTTTCGTGTTGTGACATTTTGTGTTATTTGCTTCTTCACTCACGTTTCGTAGGTAATAATAAATAGTTAAACGCTTCTTGATGGTTATTGTGTGATTAATGTACGTTTCAACATCGAGTTTTGATACTTCTGGGATTTTATGTGATGAATAAATCATTTATTTGTTGTAAGAGAATGGCACAGGACTTTGGGTGGCGAAGGTTCAACTTTTTCGATAAAAATTTGGTTTTAGAAAAGGAAGAACCGAAGCAGAAGTTTCTGGGATTGAAGGTGTGAAGTTTATTTTTTTAGAGACTAAGGAATCCAGACAGAGAAAAAAATAAACACAACTTTAGTTAATCCTTGTTTTCTAGGATGTCAAAGTGGATTGCTGGTGTAGTTCTGGGAATTCGGTATTCCTTGGTGAGACGAAAGGAGGAGTATTCAGATTAACGAACCAATTGGACGAATTCTACTGGAAAGCTTATCAGAAGTCGCTGGCATGCCTTCATTCTGCCGGAAAATATTTATTTTCCATTGGGGTTTTTTTCGTCATAAAACCCACAATTTAAAAATGAAAACTCTTAGGAAGACGATGAGTTGATTAATTCGATGTTGAAGATCTGGGATCCGGATGTTGTTGATTCGAACGAGCCTGTCTTGAAGCGATGTGTGAGAATGTCGCCTCTTCTCACCATCTCATCATGTCATGCATGCTGTGTTGCTGTCCATTCGACGTTGAGCGCCGTCGTTGTCGGATTTGCCGATGGAGCTGTTTTGTTTTATCATGGAGACGTTCTTGCCGACAAAGGTCTCAACACGCGTTGGACTCGAATTCGAGATCCAGCCCCATCAGAAGGATCAATTTCCGGATTATCAATTGCCTATGTACCTGGCGGAAAAACGGTGATATTCGTGATCACACCGAGGCACGTATTTTCGTATGTGCTTGAGAATCGAACGGTCGTCAACGTCAACAAGCACGAGGCAAATGGCGCTTCGCCGGATTGTTGGACTTTCGATGAAAGTACTGGACAGCTTGTGGTAGCAAGTCGCGAAATGGTCTACTTCTACGATGCTGATCAATGCCGCGATGCCGATGGAGGCGTCGGAAGATGTTTGCAATTGGGAAGGAGTCAGGAGAAATTGCAATTAGTGGCGTCAGGACAATACTTGGCTCTACTGACCAAACAGACTTCTCTTATACAGTAAGTATAATATATAGCAAAACACTATAGCAAAACGAAATTATAGGAAAAGCGAGTTTATGACAATGATGACCGTATACGACATCAAAGGCCAATATATTGGATTCGCGTGTTCTCTTCCATCGTTATGCAGGTTATTTTTAAAATGTAATACAATTAGAGCGAAATATTGCAGAGGGTATTGCTATTTCAAACAATACCAAAACGTCTTTTCTATTTAACCATCTCGTTCGTCATGTTTCATTTGTTCCAGATTGTTCGTCATCGGTTCAACAATGTATGTTCTCAGTTCGGATGGTACCTTATCGGATCTTACCGAGAAGAACCTCAACACGAAACTTGATATTCTATTCAAGAAGAATCTATTTGACGTTGCGCTGGGAATTGCGAAAAACTCAAAAGATGGATCCGATCATTTGAAATCAATCCATGCGAAATATGCTGATTACTTGTATAGTAAAGGAGATTATGAGAATGCTATCGATCAGTATAAGGAGACAATTGGAATGCTCGAGCCATCATACGTCATCAAAAAGTACTTGGATGGGTCGAAATTGGTTCAACTTTGCATTTATTTGGAATATTTACATGACGCTGGCAAAGAAAATTCGCATCATACAAACATATTGCTTAACGCATATGCTAAAAGAGGAGAGAAAAAGAAAATCATGAATTTTCTTAATAGGCTGATTGATGGGACGCGAAGAGCGGATATTTTGGATGTTTTCAAGGTCTGAATTTTTTATTAAATGTCAAATTATGGTGAAGAGTTGCAATTGTTGCAATCGTTGATACAGTAAATCACATTTACATATTTCAGATTCTCGTTCAATGGAATTATCTGCAAGAAGCATCTCTTCTAGCGACGAAGTTCCGTTTGGATAATGAAGCGCTTTCCGTGATTATTGAGAAATCCCATAATTATTCGCTCGCTGTCAAATATATTTCGAAGAAGAAAACGGAGGAGGCGCTCAAACATTTGGAACGATTCGGAAGAATATTGTTGCGAAAAGTGAAGGATGAGACGATTAGTTTACTGCTTGATGTTGTGTCAAGATCTGATCAAGGTGTGTTGTTCACTTATCTTAAAATGTGTTATTTCAAATTTTCAGAGAATATCGAGATTTCCAGCCTTTTGGATATTTTTATTGGAGAAAATGAAGCTGCTGAGTCGTTTATCGAATTCACGATGAATCGATCCGAAGGTATCAATAAAGATTTTTTGACAAAATTGTTCTTGGAAATTCGATTGAGAGCTTATGATTCGAATACGGTATTACTCTTTTTCTGTTTTATTTTTTTTCAAAATTTTACATTTCAGACCACAGAATCCGAACTGTCAGAAAATATATTCCCTCTGATTAATAAAGAGAACGAGGTGTTTGCTCTTCATCTCGCCGAGTTGTTCGATTGTCCTCCAGTTGTTGAATACATTCTGAAGCGATCTCATCGTATTAATGAACTTATGGCGTTTTATCAGAAGAAAAATGATCTACGATCGATTGTTGAGTTATGCAAGTCTAGTGAGGCTGATCGAGACGCGATTTGGCTCGATGCTCTATCATTTGTTTCCAAATGTGATTCGATTGAGCACGAGGGTCTTATTTTGGAAATGCTTATGGAGATCGAGAAACGACAAAGCGTTCATCCGCTAGTTGTTTTGGAAATATTGTCGAAAAGTGAGAATTTGACAATTTCCGCCGTCAAATCCTATGTAATCAATTGGCTGCAAAAACAAGAAGCCAAGGTTTGCGATAAATGAAAGAGTATTCTCGTATTGAAACATTTTAGATTGCTCAAGATAAAAAGAAGATCGAGGAAAATGAGAAAGAGATGAGAGAGCTTGAGCAGAATATCGAATCGCTCAAGTTCAGTGCACAGGTCCTTCAAGTCTCGAAATGCTCGGCATGTGATACCAGCCTCGAATTGCCAACGGTTCATTTCCTCTGCAAGCATTCATTTCACGTGCACTGCTTCGAATCTCATTCCGAAGGAACGGAAAAGTGTCCCGCATGTGCCAATCAAGCAAGGCAAATTTTGTCATCAAGTTAGAATCGTTCAGTGTTAATTCTTATTTTCAGATCTAAAGAAAGGGATAGCCTTAATGATCGGGGGGCTCATGGTAAGTTCCAGAAGGAATTGGCCACGTGTGCGAACAATATTGAATTAATTGCCAAATACCTCGAAATGGGTTTATTTGACGATAGGAAGTCCAAGCCGGCAAAAAGTGATGCCGCTCGCCGGGTTTCAAATCTTTTCGGAGAGTCCCGTCGAAGCTCATTGCCTGATGACGAAGAATCGTGGCCGGCTTCTCGAAGCATGTCGACGGTTTCAAGCATCCCTGCTTCACGCTCAACCTCGTCGAAACCACGCGAACTTAATCCTTTTGATGAGGATAATGACGACAAAAACCCATTTGGTTCGACCACTCCGACCTCCACTAATCCATTTTTCACAGATTAAAATGTGTACAGTAATTATGTATTTAGCGGTTAATATATGCGATATTGTATATGATGCCTTAAAACATTGTGATATGTGCCTTTTCAATAAAATATTTATTTTTTATGCCTTGATTTGCACTTTACGATTTTGATCGCCGAGCTGCGTGTCGGATTTTGATTCTTCTCGATGAGCTTGAATCGCGCTAAAAGCTGTGTCGAACACTGGAAAAAAAGAATGGAATCTATCAATATGATTGGGACATACATCCGTTGATCTTCTCCATATTCATGGCTTATGGATCTATTCAGTGAATGTAAATTAAACAAAAACGACAAATTTTCATTATGCAGCGATGTCGTTTTTGTCGCAATAAGCGCTTAATTTTACTGAGGGGTACTGTAGATCGCGGGTCGATATTTCAAAAAAATTGGCACATGCTCCTTGAATATCGATTTTTTTAAAATATTTTTTATATTAAAATTTTCGTATTTTCACTCGTTTTTCGCGGATTTTTTTAAATAATTTAAACTTTTTTTTGAGTAACACTTGGTGATATTCATAAAAACTACTAATTTGTGCATATATTTCCTTTTTGAAGCATGTCATTCGCTGAGTATGAAGGAAACGACTCTTTGGTCGAAGACGTGGTGGAGGCACATGGGCCAAGAAATTTGCCAATTGCTGAACAGCGTGAAGAAGCTAAGCGCACGAGAAGGAGAAAGCCACTTGTAGATGACGGATATGAAGCGGTGAGTATTTAAAAATGAATTGTTGGATTTTATAAATTAATTAAATTTTTTTAGTTTCCACAACACTTTATTGTGGACTTCATCAAGACCGTTGAGCAGTACCCAAGTATTTGGGACTCATCTATTAAAGAATACCACAGGAGAGAATTGAAGCTTAAGGTCTTTCAGAATATCGAAAGCATGTGCAAGAAATTTCTCCGCGCCGGAAGACCAAATGGTATTTTCAAAACCACTATCGGTAAAATTGAAGTTTTAGGTATGACGGCTTGGAAATTGTGGGATTCGATAACGCGCGATTTCAATAGACATGTGTTGCGAATCCAAAATGCTCGATCTGGAACTGGAACATTGGAATCATCATTTCCGTTTGCGGAATATTTACAGTTTTTGGATGGAGTCAGACACAAAAGACAAGTTAAAAAGTAAGTTTACCTGTTTTTTGTTAATTTTTTTTTACTACAGTGCCTTCATATGCGGTGATAAAAGTATTGAGTTGCTTGAATCGCGGGGACCCTCGGATAGTCCGAAGACTGCTAAACGAAGAAAATCAGGTTTCTAGCAATAAAAAATGGAGTTTTATGGGTATGTTTTAGACAGCGATGAGCTGATGAGTATGTTGCGCGAGACGAACAGCGAAATCAAGCAGCTGCTTAGATCGAATGATGAGGAAGCCAAGGAAACCCCCAAATGTAAATTTGACCGATTGTGCAGGGTCATGGCCAGCCACGTTGCGGATTGGCCTGAATTGGATCAAATTCAAGCCGAAGCGAAAGCGATCGCTTTCATCATGGATCTCCAACCGACGGGCAAAAGAAATGAGCAGACGACTTCTCTCAGTTTGTTGGACGAAAATTATTTTTAAGTATTTTTTTTATTATATTAACAATTAAATTTAAAAAGATAAACATTAAACATGATAAAGAAGATAATTTTTTAATGCCGTTCTTTGATCTTCGGCATCGCTGTATGGGTCTTGAAGTAAGGGAAAGTTGTGGTCAGGTGGAAGATCGGGAGGAGCACCTAGTGATATGTTATGTACAACTGAAAGTGCTACAATGAGGGCGCGCGAAGAAGACGGGTCCATATTAAGGGCTTTTTTGAAAATCTGGAATTTCGACTGCATCACACCAAAAAAATTTTCAATTTTCACCCTAGTTGCCGACATAATCTCGTTAAAACGCATGTTTTCTGGAGTCAAGGAAAGCTGCCTATAGGGTTGCATAAGAAACTTAGATAGTCCAAATCCGTTATCAGCAATTATAAATGGAGGCATTATAATGGATGAATTCGGAAGCGGGCGATATCCACCTATTGTGGCTACATTTTCGAGGAGTGCTCCCAAAGGCCCATCTCTGAACATTTGGGAGTCCGAATTTACTCCAAGCTCAGAGATTTGCAAATATATAACACGCAAGTTTGCATCACAACAAAAAAGAGAATTAAATGAATAAAACGACTTATAATTATAATTTAACGATCCTGTATGCGCAGGATGCTCGATCTTCCAATGCTTTCCATCCAATATGGCAAAACATGGAATTCTTCGACGAGGAGTTCGATCAGAAGAGTTCATAAATCCTTCTTCCAGACGAATTAATTCTCTTCGATTTTGTGGCAATCGGATATTCTCCGGCAACTTGGACGATATCCTCGATTGTATCTCTAACTAGTCGAGAAATCGTTGATTGCGAAACTCCAATTTCCTTCGCAAGAAGATTTTGGCTAATACCTATAAATTTTATAATTTTAATGCTTGTAAAAAACTAACAAACAACTAAAAAATAACCTTCTCTTGTGTATTTTAAGAAAACTGCCAATCGAATTGTCGCATTGATTCGACCTTCGTGATTTCGGCATATCTTCAGAAGTTCCATGAACGTGCTGTTAGAAACGCCGGTCACGAACTTAATTTATTCTACATTACTTATGCAGAAATTCACTTGTTTTACTTGTTTCCTTACCTCAATACCACCACAATCTACTAATCGGTTGACTTTTTCACAAAAAAGATCGAAGCTCTGTTTCTTGATCACTTCAATTGTTTCAGATGCATTCAATGCATTTTGTTTCAATATCCAAACTAAAATAATTCGTTTTTTCATAAGCAGTGCAATCTATAAATTCATTTATTTGTTTTTTGTTTAAATTGTATTTCTTACTATAGCCTTTTTCTTATTTCGTAACCTATCCAAATTAGCCATGGAACGATCTGAAATATTCAATTTCTTTAAATTAAAACAATATTCGAATAAAATCGATTCAGTTTTGGAATAGAAAAAAACGAAAACGATATGAAATTATTATTTAAAAGTGTTACTCAAAAAAAAGTTTAAATTATTTAAAAAAATCCGCGAAAAACGAGTGAAAATACCTGATTTTCTAGAAACCTGATTTTCTTCGTTTCTAGAAACTTGCAAAGTTTGCTAGAAACCTGATTTTCTTCGTTTAGCAGTCTTCGGACTATCCGAGGGTCCCCGCGATTCAAGCAACTCAATACTTTTATCACCGCATATGAAGGCACTGTAGTAAAAAAAAATTAACAAAAAACAGGTAAACTTACTTTTTAACTTGTCTTTTGTGTCTGACTCCATCCAAAAACTGTAAATATTCCGCAAACGGAAATGATGATTCCAATGTTCCAGTTCCAGATCGAGCATTTTGGATTCGCAACACATGTCTATTGAAATCGCGCGTTATCGAATCCCACAATTTCCAAGCCGTCATACCTAAAACTTCAATTTTACCGATAGTGGTTTTGAAAATACCATTTGGTCTTCCGGCGCGGAGAAATTTCTTGCACATGCTTTCGATATTCTGAAAGACCTTAAGCTTCAATTCTCTCCTGTGGTATTCTTTAATAGATGAGTCCCAAATACTTGGGTACTGCTCAACGGTCTTGATGAAGTCCACAATAAAGTGTTGTGGAAACTAAAAAAATTTAATTAATTTATAAAATCCAACAATTCATTTTTAAATACTCACCGCTTCATATCCGTCATCTACAAGTGGCTTTCTCCTTCTCGTGCGCTTAGCTTCTTCACGCTGTTCAGCAATTGGCAAATTTCTTGGCCCATGTGCCTCCACCACGTCTTCGACCAAAGAGTCGTTTCCTTCATACTCAGCGAATGACATGCTTCAAAAAGGAAATATATGCACAAATTAGTAGTTTTTATGAATATCACCAAGTGTTACTCAAAAAAAAGTTTAAATTATTTAAAAAAATCCGCGAAAAACGAGTGAAAATACGAAAATTTTAATATAAAAAATATTTTAAAAAAATCGATATTCAAGGAGCATGTGCCAATTTTTTTGAAATATCGACCCGCGATCTACAGTACCCCTCAGTAAAATTAAGCGCTTATTGCGACAAAAACGACATCGCTGCATAATGAAAATTTGTCGTTTTTGTTTAATTTACATTCACTGAATAGATCCATAAATATTATTGAAATAAAACATGTTTATGAAATATTTAAGAGATTAAACGGTTTGCAATTCTGGGGCAGCATCTCCCTGCTGAACCTGCTCCGTTCTCTGCGCTCTGATCGTCTTCAGCGCATTTCCGAGCACTGAAAAAATATATTGTTGAGACAAGTTGTGGAATTAACAAGACTTACTTCCTTCGACGTGTCTCATGCTCTCAGCTGAAAAAATTTTTTTAATCGATTCAACATTGTAAAAAATAATTACACTGCGATCGCTCAAAAAGTTTTTTCATTCGTGTCTTTCTATTTTAAATCAATATTAGACACCTCTGCTTATTCAACCCAGACCAAATGCGGAATACGCAAAACAATTTGTTGATGTCTAATATAGATTTAAAATAGAAAGAAGAAACAAGTAAAAAAACAAATAATGAAGTAGTATTGTTTTAATTTTTACAGAAATGTATCCATTTTTGGAGTGTCTTAAACGTTTTTTACCGACCTTGATTTTTTAACCTCATACAGTGACTAGCTTTAATATATTAAAAATACCATTTTCGTCTGCTGGCTTAGCATCAACAAGTTGAAGTTCCATTTGTCCCTCATCTGAAATTATGTGTTGCCGCTAAGATTTCAAAAAAATTTTAAAAATCGGTAGAACCTATTTTTCAAACTCAAAAAACCATATGCAGATTACTAAAGAAGAAACTAGCTTTTTGAGTTTTTCGAGCTTTCTTCCGAAACTCTGCGTAATAAAGAAACTACAAACCTGCGAGTGGTTGATTCAGTGGAAGCGGTCCTCCGAAGGTGTTCGAATGCCTGCTTTCGGGCAATCCTAAATCATTGACTCAAATAAAACATTCCACAAAATTTAGGATTTGCATTAAATGAAACAAAAATAATTTGATAAAAAATGGGAAACCAACCAAGCGCAGAAGCATCCACTTCAGCGTTGACAGAAGCGATCGCGACCAAAACAAGAGCCCCGAGAATCTTGATCATCGTTTTTTCGAATTAGCTCGACTAACAAAAAGTGTCATCAAACGCCCATAATCGCAATTTTATATTCAATCATTTTTTGTGGGCGTGGGATGAGGGATTATACTAAAATTCCCACAAAACACAGAAAAATGTCGAAAGTTCAGCAGTCTACCGATTTGGTAAAGGGCAACGGCCAAATAACATTTCTAAAAAGAATTCGTAAAATCCTTCATCGTAAGCTTCTTACAGGAATAAACATCGCATAAATTATCAAGAGGAGGGAAAACAATTCAAATAGTTATAATAATCAAGCGCTCAATTATCAATCGAAACAAACCACACGGATTGGGACAAAAAAAGATTCTTGGTGTTAAATCAATATGATACAAATGCTAAAAAGAAGAAAGAAAAAATGCAGAGAATAAATTTTAAAAAAGCAATTTCACCGAACTAAATCGAAAGGTACAAAAGAGAGAGAGAGAGAAAAAGAGAGGAATAATGAAGAGCGGACAATTTATTCGCGAAAAAATAAGGACATATAATTATGATAATGAGCAGAAAGGGTGATTGCAAATGGTTGAAATACAGTTTCTGTACAATACAGTATTCGTGTTCGTTTTCGGAGGGGTTAAAAGAAAAAAAAGACAAGGGAAGGAAGGACAGATGATGGAAATTTCTATCATGACAATATCGAGATCGAGTTATAAAAATTCAATAATTTTCTTGCAATTTACAAAACAACAAAAAACGAACAGACAATTACAATTCGGTGATTTGGCTCGTCGTTCGCGAACGGAAGCCTTCCTTATCTGGATTGATCGTTTGCCGACGAAGGGATGTATTCCTGTTCAAAGTTCGATTCAGAAACGTCGATGATGTCAAACGAGCTCTAAAACCATTCCAAATTCGATTTCGAAGCAATTACAAATCTCTAAATTATACCGCAATCCCCGTTTTGGTGTCGACGTGTCTCGTTCCGAGTCTTGACGCGGCATTCGTTCGACAGATGTCATGTTCGCGAGAGCTGCAGGATCACAAGACACTCGTGGTGACGCCATCATGGATGAATTCTCATCTAAAACCATTTTCCCATTAATTTTTACTTTTTTTTTCTCAAAATTTTCTAAATTTTAATTTCCCACAAAAAAACTCGCGATTCTTAATATCGGTTATACAACAACGTATTTTATTTCTAAAAAGGAAACATTCAGAAAAAACGCTACGAATTCGATTTCATCAAGTTTCACGAACGAATTTTAACAATATTTCCGCATTTTTAACCTCATTTTCTTCTGAAACAATTTTGAAAATGTTTCCGCAAACATTAAAAAAAATAAAACAGAAAAGAACATACTAATTTGACCAAGGTTATTGCGACTCGAATATCTTCCAAAGCCGAATGTCGACGCCAAAGTGAGTTGCGCATTGCTAAATGCTCTCCGCATTTTACTCTGTTGTGGTTGAGGAGGCACATTGATCGTGTCATTGAGATTATGCGACCATTCCTAGAGAATTAATAAAAAAAATATTGCTCTTAATCTAATTGATGTGTACGTACCACTGCGCCATTCCTTGGTGTTCTTTCACTCATTGTGGTGTTCGCTGGCACCGCGTGTCCAAGCATTGACCGTCGGAAATGCCGCATCGTCAAATCCGCAACAGTTTCATCGAGTGATGATGTTGTAGCCGGCTCAGGCGACAAGAAGAATCTTCCATAATTGGTCATAATCTGAATTCAATCTCAATTTCAAGTTTTCCTAAATACTAACCTTAATATGAATGTCGTCAAGGAAATCCCTGATCGCCTCATCATCCATCGATTCGAAAACAGTTTCTGTGTCACCACCTTGATCATCGCGATGAATCAAACACCAGACATATGGTATATGCACGTTTTGGAGATTCTCCGTCGCGCTCATGAATTCATCAGACGGCCGTATTCTCACAGCGCTTCGCATCGCCGACAACGGAATCTGTTCAATGTACTTGTAAGGTCGCCGTGTTCGCGAATGGAGGCTGGCGAATGACGCGTGTCGAGCAAGTCGTTGCATTGTGTTCTTCTCGCTTCGAATCTTGGTTATAAGCATCACGTCGTGGAACAAAAACAATTTCATTCGATAGAATTGATGAAGACGCGGCGCGGTGCTGGCTATAGGCATCACAACCAACTCGCGTATGAACATTCGATTAGCAGCGACCAAGTGCGGCTTAATTAAAGCAAAAATAGTCGAAATTTTTAGCATCAAATTGACAAATGTCAAAATTTGACAATCTTGCAAGTGCTGAATATAGCAATCAATAAGAAAATTATATTTCGTTTTTTTTTTCTCCAAATTTCCGTCAATTTACTATTCAAGAGAACTAACCGGAACATTTTCGATATCTGTAAATTTGCTCATATGCGTAATCAGATGATCGTTGCGTTCTCGGGTCCGATTGGCAATTCTTAACAATGCGATTACAGTCTGAACAAACTAAATTCCTTACTTGAGCACATCATCCAATAGTCTCGTTGCTTCATCAGTATTATTCTTGACGCGATGCGACGTTGTCTTTTTCGACATTTCACGGAACAACAGTAGAACACTTGGTAGTCGCTGAACAGGCTTTACCATCATGTCATTGATCTTGAGTCGATGGTATTCGGGATTGCACTCTTTCGCCTTGCAGAATGTGTGGAACTTTGAATTTTCCTTGTCAAGCGTATCGAACAAACTGCGAGCCGTATCATATGAGTTCAAATATGGCGGATAAACTCGTTTGAGCTCTTCTCGCATCTCCAGCCACACCTGGAATTCTTAATGGCTAGGGGGGAAAAATCAAATTGAAAATATACTCCAGCAAAGTCCCATTTCTTTTCTTCGTCTTTTGCATTCGCCAAAAGTGCAGCTTTTCCTTCAGTGTACATATCACGCATATTCTCAATGATTTTTTCGTGAAGTTCGACAATCGGCTCCAATTTTCCGAAAATCATTGCAACGTCGGACTTTTTGATAAATTCGTTGTGTTGGATTTCTTCTTCTAATGCGTCCCGAAACTACAAATTTTGAAAAAAAAATACGAGCTACAATTGAGAAAGGGAAAGAAAAACCTTGAGCAACAATTTGAGCACTTTGACATAATTATTTTCGGTGTCGAACATCTCAACGCATATCTGAAGACGTCGCGGCGATGTGACTTTCGGTGATTTGACGGCTTTCTCGACATCCTCGTTCGAATAAATGTAGTCAGGAGTCGCTGAATTTAAAGGATTCATCACGTCAATTAATTTGGTATATTTTTTGCAAGCTCATTATTCAAAAATTTTCTATTTTGAAAAAGCGATGCCAATTTCTATTTGACAGTGAATATCATAAGAAATGCTATTTCAATGTTTTTTATTTGAATTGTCTTTCGAATTATCCGGGTAAATACAATTTTACCTCCGAAATCGATCAAATCCTCACCATTCAATGAGAGCCCTTCACCACTGCAATCCAACATTGACGACGCCGACTTCGAATGTGCTCGATGCGATCGCGTCAAATTGGACGCTATCGGGCTGTTCATCGTCTCGCTCGCGTCAAAATGCTGAAAATGAACAGTTGATTCACGCGAGACGATATACTTTTCTCGTTTCTCACCTTTTTGCGAAGCGACATTGTTGGCAGTGCGAAATTCTCCTCAACGGCACAGCTACCACGATGTAAGCTCACCCAATACCACTGAAATTAGAATTTGAGCATGATGTTAGGTTCAAAAAAGTCTACCTCTTGTGTGACATGATACTGATTTGGAAGTGGTTCCAAAGGCGGAAAATCATTCGGAGCCGAGTTGTATACAACATGGGTTGCTTTATTCGGCTCGAATGTGAGAATCGCGCCACTTTCTTTAAGATTCTCCAACATATCAACAGCTTCTTCGCTTTTAAACCCATGGAAGTAGATATGCAGTCCTTCGAAAACTTTTAGTCGATGTTTTTCGATCTGGAATTTCAATTTTAAATTTCGTTGTTTATGAAAAAAAAGCATTTTACCAAATCCTTGTTAAAAACATCAAAATTCGGATCGTCGCGAAACTTCCAGCATTCGTGGATCCACGCTGGTCGTAGTGTTGGAATGTCGAGGTTAGATGTCGACTTGAAATATTTTGAATTGTGTATTTTTGAATAAGAACAACAAAAGTGTAGCGGATTCACAACAATTAGCATGAAAAACACAAAGGATAGATCAAATTTACAAAGACTCACGCGAAAAGCTTACTAAACACACTAGAATATTTTTGATCAAAATTTCTGAAAACATTCAAAGCTTAATGAATTAATTAAAAATAAAGAATAATGGCTTAATGAAAAATAAAGTAAATTTCACATACAGGTAGAACAGATTTCGTCGCTTGTACGGCAATAAGGACATTAGTCCGAGATACTCTCTAAAAATACTCATATCAATAATATGAATCCGATTTGCTGAAATATTACGTCTTTTCGTACACTTCCACCCATAAAATGTACTAATTCGACAAGTTCTCGTTTATTTGTAACTTCAGAACACAGTTTCATTGTGACGCTTTTCATTAATTCACAGTAGAGGGGTCGACATGGGCGCAGGGTCATCATTTCCTTAAGAAAACGGATAATTAAATCATATGAATTGGTTGAAATCGTCAAAAATTACTTGATTTGTTCCTAGACGATGCCTCAAAACTGCAGGTCCAACAATAAGGTGTGCGCTTCCAGCGTCATCTGCGGACTGCTGAAAACCAAAAAATATATCAATTTAAAACAAATTAATTGAATATGCTTTACTTTTAAAATCTTTTTCTCAATTGAAATATTATAGGGCAATGTAGAGGAAATAAAAAAGGCAACATTTAAATTCAGAAAAAATTATTTTTTTTCTCCATTTCTTTCTTTTTTATTTTCTCTGTATTAATCCTTAAAATGTTTCGTCTATTCCACATTTACCTGGTTTTTGGTCAATTCTTTATAATAACTCGATTGAAAATCGCCGCAGAAGAATGTGCATTCACTTCGATCCTCATCCAATTCATTCAAATTGTTAATTACGATCATTTGAATATCGCGATTCTAAACAACAATAATTTTAAAAATTAATATAATCGAATATTTGCAAATACCTGCTCCTCTATCATAGTAAAAATATCGCGATATTTATCAACATCTTCGCTTAAAACGATTAGTTTTTGAATGCTTCGTTGTCGCCTCGGCGGCGATTGCAGCATCGAAATGTCCATGATGATACAGATATTTCACAGAAAGCCCCGCCAAACACAACGTGTTGGATTATTTTCTGAAATAAAAAAAACAAACAATACGTTGAGGAGAAATATAACGCGCTTGGCCAAAAAAGGGGCGAACACATTCAAAAGTTGGTGCTTCGCGCGGTGAACTTGTGCAAACACTCAGACGCATATTCACACAAGCGGATTTGAGATGAGACGCTGTCCGCTGTTGGACCGGTGACGTCATATAACGGTTTTATGAGTATGGTTGGGAGAAATACGATCGACAGCGCGCGCTGCGTAATCCTCACACAAATAACAACGACTTCTCAAAAAGGTGACAGAGAGATGATTAGTGTGTTTGAATTAAAGATTCCTATATGACAATGAGGCAGAGATACTGATCTAGTCGATATCGTGGTTGATGAGTTCAACCAAGGTTATGGAGAAAAACCGGACAATCGAACTATTAAATTTCAAAATTATTCAAGCAAATACGACAGTTAATTTAAATACGGAAGCTTTGTGGAAGCGATTTTTTTTCGATAAATCATGGCGATAACTAATTCCGCATATATGTATAATTAATACCACAGAATAGTCGTTTTTTATTGTTTTGCATTTTATCAAAGCTTTGTGTTGGCCACCAACATGGAAAATCAGCGGGTGGCCAGTACGACCGCCTTAACGATTTGCTTTTAGGAAATATTTATTTTAGACGCGAGAAGATGATGTGGGAACTTCGGTTACTTTCATTACGAGAATTGCAGTGATTATTGAAAACACAATGGTTATGCAAATCGACACCTGAATATTATATGTTAGTTGGAGCCAAATGCGTTTTTTACTATTAAAAACAAAACAGCATCATGGAGCATTTGAAAAGTGACAACCAATTCGGAAAGGAACAAAAATGCAATAAGGACGATGAGAGCAATCACTTGGAATGCACTGCCAATGAAAAGAACAATGGCGCTCTAGAAATCATTGAGAGAATCGAGTATATCCGATAAAATATATACCGGAATCGGTTTCACTTGAACTTGAAGTTTTTTGTGAAATATTATAAGCAGCGAGGTGAGCCATATTACAATGGAGACTGCCGAGATTCCCATAAACACGAGAAACTAAAATTAATATATTCGCTAAACTCCATATTCTGTTAATAATTTCTACTAGTTTGCTCATTTGGCTGTATCTTAAATAAGACCATAATGAAAGGGCTTGCAGGAGGGTTCCTATAGCACCGACCTAAAAATTCGAAAAAGTATTTAAAACGTTCTACCCGAATCGATTAATACTGTATTCGCTAGATGAGTTCTTCTGATACACGGTTTTAATCTCATCGTTTCCTTAGATAGAAATGGTTACATGTGTTGAAAAATGACATTACATGATGGGTCACGGTGCACACTCCGCCCAATTTACAGGCATTTCCTCTGCGTCTCGCGCATTTCTTGACTCTCTTAACGTTTGGAAGTGAGCCAAGTCGATTGCGCGCGAAAATATAGACAATGACGCGCTGGATCAACAGATGTCTGGTTCAAACGCCATTAATGTAAACCTACATCAGCATGACGCGTCTTTATCTATATTTTTCAATCGATAACTATGTTCTTAATTTAATTTGCATGATTACATAACGCTAATAGAACATTTAAAAGATTTTAAGATACATTGAGAAAGTAAAACATTGTTTTGCATTATGAAAATTGAAATATATCGAAGAGAATTCAAATTCCGTAGATGCGCGCGTTTTTACTTGTCTACGGTACGCAAAATCGTTGCGATTTCGCGTCTCCGTGTACATTGAACCATTTGAATTTCGGCGCCAGAGGCATTCTCATTCAAATTTTATTGATTGTTGCTGCTTACGGAAATATGTTTTTTTTCTTTCGGTTTCGACCGTTATTGATGAGAAATAGTTTTCTAAATGTTTACATATTCAGGAGGCGTATTTATATTACTAAAATTATACAAAAAATCCCATAAAATGGCACCTTCTCCTCGCAAGCAGCCAACGGAAGGTAGTAGAACTCCACGCAAGATTGCGCAATCAACGCCTACGAAGAAAACACGCACGTCTCCTCGCAAGAAGGCTTGGGCTTCACCGCCAAAGGCAATTTCATCGAAATTAAATAGCGAGCTATTCGTGAGTTTTGATATGAATTTGCTTTTAATTATTAATAAATTTAGAACGAAGAAGATTTCGCCAATATATCAAATCGATCGTGGGCAGAAATCACCGAAGAAGATCAAGAGCTCAACGACAGTTTTCGACGTGAATGTGAGAAAAGCGAATCAAGACGAAAAGGAGTGCCACGACGATTGAATGCAACACAGACGAAACCCAAATTCGTAAAATCACTGGAATTGACGAATCAAGTTTTTGTGGCAACTTCGACACGTAAATCGACGAGAATATCAAAAATTGCTGGAAAAGTTACTGCGGTAAATGGAAAAAATGTTTTATTGTTATTGATAGAATAATTCGTTTTAGAGTGAAACTGTTACAACCACCACCACTATTGAAGAAACGAAATCAAATAGTAATCAATATAGTCGAAAGCGTTGTCTTTCAAATGCTTCAACTATTAATGAAATTACATCACCGACGAAAAGAAGGCAAACGGAATCCGCCAGTGGTAAACCTGTACGAAAAACTGCTCGCGGACGTCTTCTCGATGAAAGCTCTTCAAGAAGCGTATCGGGAAGCCCGTCAAGGAAAGAAGGTTGGGAAGAGCCAACACTTGGATGGTGTACTGATGAGGCCACATTGAAGAGAAGAACAAGAGTAACATCGTTTCAAAAAATCACCAATATAAATTTTTTTTAGGAAATTGAGAGGGCCAAGGAAAAAACAGCATATCAGAAGTACATTACGGAAATTCCGTTCCGTGATCGTATCAAGGGTGTTCATCCAAGAACTCCAAATAAGTTGATCAACTATAGCAGACGTAGTTGGGATACTCAGGTATATATTATAGATTTAAGTAACTAAATTAATAATCATGATTTCAGATTAAAAAATGGAAGAGAAGCCTTTATGATTGGGCTGGAGAGGAGCCATCGGATTCGGTAAACACTTCATTCTGCAGTTATAATTCTGACGATGCGATGAGCGGCAAAGAAGATGACAAGGATTTGGAGAACACCCCGGTATTACGCGATCTTGACATTCCGGTTCGCCCAGAAGCCGATAATATGGCCTCGCTTCTTGGAAAATTCGACATCGATTCTCAAATGGGCATTAACGAAGAGAGCACACTCAAAGCGATTAACCCGAAAACCGATCCAAAGGCGCCAGTCGACTTCTCGCATGCTGTTGTTTAATTAACATCCCTTGAGCTCTTGTTTCACGAAACGTGTACGATTTTGCATTTCTTTTCTTTTTCTTCATCCGCTCTTTCGTTCAATAATTCCCAAATATTTAATTGTTTCTGAATAATTATATATAATAGAGACAAGAAGTAATCGGCAAAGAAATTTCTTAATACTGTCCAATTTGTTTGCCCTGTTTTATTATCAACAATTTTCGATTGCCTTCGTTTCTACATATTTCCTGGTTCAATGTGGATGCTCAACGAGCAAAAAAACACACACACACAAGCAAGTTACTCATATGAATTTCTATTTTGTGCGCCTTATTCAATTTGTTTCAAACTTTTGTTTCTGAATGAAATTTTGTGCTATAAATCAATGCTTTTCTATATGTTGGATGAATTGTGTTGATATGAATTTAATTGAGAGATAATTTCACGAATAGGATGAATTATGTTTTGAAGATTTTGTTTGTCTACTGCAGATTTAAGCGATGGCACAAGATTGGTCTCCCACATCAACATCTTTAATATATAATTTACAAGGACAAAATTTCTTGTAGAATTCTGGTGATCTTTTCTTTGAGTACTGGTGAGAATCAAGATGAGCTCTGGTAATTCGTTGCGAATCGAATCGAGTAAGAATTTCTGGTTTTACAATCGAACCATATCTGATTGGAATACGATAATTTTCGCATCAAATCTAGTCAATTTCGGAGCTGAATTCGATTTTTTTCGTACTATTCGAAACGAATTACAAAAAAGGTTACTACCGTGGTTGTTGGGAAAGCCTCCACAAATTCTGCAAGATTACCTACAAAATGATAATAGAAATGAATTCCGTTTTAGGTGACCACATTCTTAAAACTGTTAGTGATTCTGAGGACATGTAAAATTGCATAATATAATAATTTTTGATGTTTTGGTATAAATCATTCTGAATAGGAATCTCACCTCAATGTTTTTTTTCGTGGGACCCGTACTATGTGTGTTCTAGCCATATGACTCTGCCCAGACTCGATTTTTATTTTTAGCAGCTTCTAATAAGAGTCTGCTGAAAGACTGCGAAAACTTTGCGATTTTCCCGAGCAGCACTTCATGGCTCACCAATGCATATTTCATTTGAAAACTAGGATCCCGAGTTTGCTCATAGAAAAGATGTCAACGAATTGAATGAAATTCCCACCGAAGGGAACGTTTTCAGGCATTTATTCGGATTTGTAACAATTCCTGAAGAATTTCAATCAATAGTATCTTTTTGGGGATTAAATTCTAAGTAAATTGACCAACATCAACTGTCCGTCGCAGCGGAAACGAAAAAAAAATCTATTGTTCATCAATTAGCAATGAAAAGTGCGCCGGAAAAAAGACGAAGAAATCGGCGTCTCCGGGGAGTTGATATCTCGAAAAATGGAAGAGCTGCTCCAGAGGAGCATTTCCATGGCCGCCACATTCAACTTTATATTTACATTGTGAATTATTTATTTTTTTGGTTTAGTTTTCAGGGCTAACATCTGAGAAATATCGGGGGGGGGCATGACGGATGGCGACGAGGAAGCCAAGTGAGTTCTTTTTGGTGCACCCGCCGAAATTATAGTTTCGCCGGCAACAATTCAAGAGGCGTGTGAGACTACAGATGGTTTCGCCATTTTCTTTTCATTGCCATCTCTTTTCAACCGCCTGAGCCAATATTAGTTATATTAAGTGCGTGTTGAAGCTCGTCATTTTGCTTTTTGTGACAAAAACAAAAAATCGGCAAAAAATACTCGTAAATTAAGTTCGATTTTACGAATCAGTTAGGCTCCCACAAGTCTTTTTTTTTGTGAAGCTTTTAGAAGCTTATTGTCGGAGTCAAACGACTCGACGTAATTTTAAAAAAATTATTGGCTATGCGCCAATGCGTCTCGGTGCAGTGAGACGTACGCGAGACTGCGTACATTGCATTATAGTGTACGCGCATTCAATATTCATTCAACAAAAATATTAAATCTACACTGATTTCGCGAATTTGAAGGCTCCGCCTCTCTTCAGTCATTTGAAGCCGACCATACTTACCTTACTTGCTTGATCACTGTTTTCTTATATTATTATTGACGAAAAAAAAACATTTTTTTAACAGTTCAACTAAAAAAAAGGTTTTCCAATATTCGTAATGTGAAAAGGTGAATATAATTATTAAAAATTAATTTTTTTAGGTATATTGGTTAATATTAAAAATGTAAAATTGAAGAAATAGAAGAAGCCTATTTTGTTTTACAAGACCAATTAGAATAATGCCCCCGTGCAAATTCAAAATTTTTTTCTGCAAATTTCAAATTCGTTCGTCCAATGCTATATTTTAGAAAAGAAACTCCTCATTGAAATGAGTATAAAAAATGAAAAAAAGCGATTGACGATTTACGATGAGATGAGACTTCAAGTGCGGCAAAGTGTGTGCAAAGTTTTGGACTTTTTTCGAATAAAAATTTTTTCTGCTTTTCCTCCGAGCCTAGCAATCGTGCTGTGGAACACTTTCAAAAATTGAAGTGCTCCAATTTGAAAGTCCCACGCCTTTTTTCCGGTGTTCTCGCGCATTGAGCTTCTACTTCAACTAACGACGAAAAACGACGAGAAGAAAAGTGCGACAAAAATCTCGAAGTCCATTCATTATGCCCTTCTTTCCTCTCGTTCTTCTTCCCCTTCTCTTCCTCTTTCCCATCTGTTTCTTGTTTTATTTTTAATTTTTGCATTAGTGTGTGCATGTAGACTAATCATATGTCCTAATATATAAACACCCTTTTTGTCGAAAATTTTCAGAACAAATGAAAGTCATGGGTCGGAAAAAGGGGCTTAGTGGCTTATGAAACGCATCAAGAGTCAAATTATTGTTGTGTTTTTTTTGGTGTAGCCTCCTCCTCCTCCTCCTCATCCTCCTCCATTTCTTTCTTTCATCTTTTTTTTTGCAATGCATGGTGTCGGATTCAATTAGTTCATCAGTCGGGTTTCCAAATTTGGTTCCTACTATTTTGTGTCATTTTCCTCCTCTTGCTCTCGGCTGCTTCGGGTTGGCGTCGATGGCGCAAAAACACATTGCGATTCGTCTTCAAAATAATTCAACGGATTACTTTTATTCGCGTTTTAAGTATTATTCGAATAGATTTTATAAAAATCTTATGACTATGCCTGAATAGTTTCAAGATGAGCCAATTGTACCAGAATCGCCATCTCTCGGAAAACGAAACCCATTGTTGGCGCGGTTTATGCATTATTCATAAATGAAATCTTATGTTAGTGGGGGAAAACGAGAAAGATCGAACTTTTGACTGGACCACCATTTCCTTTTGTAAAAATTCGCGTGGACGTCACTGTGACGTCACTAAATTCATACATGCATTTAGTTTTTTCGCGACATTCGAAATTTGTAGCATCAATTTTTTAAATTGAAACTTATCCATGAAAACCAAACAAAATTTAGATCCGGAGAAGTTGTATATAGCAAATTTAAAACATTTTATCCAAACATCCTCCACCTTCTTCCCCCTCTCTTAATAATGTCTCGAATCGATATTTCTAAATTTCCAATCTTGTCGAAACTTTTAATGATCGCAAAATTTGTGTAAAAACTACACACACATTAAAAACTATCAGCTTCATCGATTTTTAAGCTCACAAAGTGACCGTCTATATTCAATACAATTTGTGTTATTTTACACTATGCGAACTACAAATATATAAATATATGTGATAAAGATCATCCGACACGCGTTTTTTTTTCGCGACAAACAACACCAATTGATGAAGCGGGAGGGCGGTGAAATGAGCTGTTCACAAATCATTTATCTCAACATTTCTTCCGTCTCTTTTTTCCGTTTCAATCGAAGACGTTTGCAGTTTTGATATACTTGAATTGAATTCATAATTGAATGAAGACAAATTTTAGCAATTAGTGTGAAATTTGGCCGAAATTCTCATCATTTTCTTGTTTTTTTTTCAATTTGCATCCTTTGGACCTTCTTGTCATCTTTGAAATGCCTTACTAGATTCCAGAAAAAGTTTGTACCGATGCCAGGTTTGGTGTACCATTTCAATAATTCTGTGGGGGCAATTATAGTCGAGGAACCTTTTCAAATGTCCACAAGATCTTTAAAATCCAACGGAGGGAAGTGATCTTTCCTCTCATGTTCTCTCTCCCCCCCCCTCTCTCTATCCATTTCTTTCCAATTTTCTGGTCTCAATTTTCCACATAATTTGCTTGTTAGGTGAGTAGAATGCACCTTTAAACGGACATCAAACACAACACGAAAAAAAGCGAATAATTGTCGCGCGCGTTTTACCCTTCGGTCGGTCTCGGCGCAAACATAAAATATTCGAGAGACGCTTGACAGGGTTCGGTCATTTGGGTCCCATATATAGAATACATATGCCAAAATTATATTACGAATTTTCGAGGACTCCAAATGGAATTATATTGGCGATGAATTTGAATTGAGATGAAACGGATTCCCACATTCTTTTCGCCGATTTGTTTATTTTTCCAGTCGTGCCTTTCCGTCATCGCTTTTTTTCCGGTGGAATATTCATTAGAATTTATTGAAATAATATTTGCTCGACGCTGTTGCATCAAAATTGCATTCGAGTTCTCGATGCAAATCTGCTTTTTTTTTGTCTTCAAAAAGGTCAGAAAGGGCCGGCAGGTGCTGATTGCTAATCCGCCGCCGCAAAGGCCACGCCCACCCCGAACGATATGTCCCTCGTTTCTCGTCATTCGAAACAGATGTTTCCAATGATTCTGTATCGATTTACGGGTGTGCAAACTCAATCCACTTCTGTTTTTGCTGGAAAACTAAAAATCTAGACATATGTATTTTTTAGCTCTGAATTCAACTTTACAACAGAATTTAAAAATTTTCACAATTGTCAAAGGTGATCTTTTGAGACGATGAAACTCCCACCCGTAAATCGACACGAATATTTTCAACTAATTAGTAGAGAGAGAGAGAGAGAGAGAGAGAGAGAGAGAGAGAGAGAGAAATCGGTTTAAATACGATTATTCAACTCGGAATCGATAAATAAATCATTGGCATTCATAAAATTATGTCTTATCGTAGACACATCTCAAAATTTGAAAAATATGTTTACGACGGAGCAACTGGTCCGGACGGAAGTGGATTAGTTCAAGTATTGAAGTTTTCAATGCTTCGAGACAAAAACAGAAATAATTGAGGCCAAAAGAGGAAGAAGAAACGCCGAAAAATTTTTTTAAACGAAAATTGTTTTTCTCTCTTCTCTCTCTCTCTCTCTCTCTCTCTCTGCCTCGAATATACCAACATAAAATGAGGAATTTGTATTGAATTTTTCGGTTTTTGTGAATACCAGATCTACCAGCATTTTGTAGTCTTTTTTCTTTATATTGGTTTTGTTTTGAGATTCTCACCAGTCTATCTCAAATTTCAATTCTTGACTCTTATTGCCATTAGAAAAGAGTGATTTATGAGAAGCATATCGATTTTGAAGCACTATGGAATCGGAAGAATCGGTTGATTTTCGAGCTGGGATGTCTCATGCATCTCTTGCTCCAAATTGTGTGCTCGTATCTCTTCTAGTCCTAATTCTAGTCCTAGTTCTTTTTTTCGCATATGTCCACTGCTCTCAACTATTCACTTCCAGTTGTTCTGGTGCTCTCATCTTCTTCATTTTTCTTTTTCTCTCCATGTCTGTTTCGGTTTTTTCTCTCGCGATTTTCATCCGTCCGTGCTCTGAAATTATATGTATTGTATGCTGGTTGGCATCTGGAGAGTTCCGCGCGCAACCGCGTTTTTATTTATTCGAAAAAAATTGAGGATTATTAACAAATTTGTTGTGTAATCCGATTTCCAGAGGAATTTTGAATAGAGCTATTTTCGGTTTCAAATGACTGATCGGTGGCGGCAAATTCAATTCCGGAAAATCAGTTTAGATCTAGAGAGACCAAACGGATTTCCATGAAACTATCAGAAAATGATGAAAAGGTCACAGAAAATGAAATAAACAAATCAAAAATGCGTAAGGAGCTTGTGTTAAATTCATGCACAAGTAATTTTGTCGCACCCTGTACAAAGTAGGACATTTTTTCACGACCTGTTCAGACGCCATGGCACACAACCGCTATTTTTCTTTTCCAACTTCGATCAGACGTTTGAAATCGACAAAAAACGACCAAAAATGGAATCGAACATTTCGTATTTCGACAAATTTGAAAAATCAAAGAAAAAAAATAAATGAACATAATTTGCGTGCACCTTTAATTGATGAATAGATGAATACACAATTGGACTCTTTTTAAAAACTTTTTGATATTTTGTAACTTTTGAGGTCCAACCCGAATAAACATAGAATTTCGATTCACATAGGATTCTCATTTTTTCACACTGATAGAAAAAATCGTTGAAAAAAATTAGAAACAAAAATATTTATTATTTTAGAAATATGCACCCGAGCCAACCTTGCTGCTACCTATAATTAATTGTGTCCGTGTAGATTAAATCGAAAATAATTTCAACGCCAAAATTTGAATAACAAGCAGCTCGCTCTCTACAAAACACTATGGATCAGGGCTATGCAGAAATTAAATTGTTATCGAAAATGACGCCAATAAGCTAATTAATCCTCAAATTTTGTTGAAAAAATTGCTCGGAATAAAACAGTCGTAATTTTATGTAAAATGCGATGAAATACCATGAAAATTGACTATTTATATTTAACTTGAAAATTAAATTTTTTTATCGGAAAAATTTCCGTATTGCCGTATTGTCAATCCCATTGCCGAGCAGCCCTGGTATCGATTTGGTGCCTTTATTTAAATTAGGAGTTTTTTAGGAACAAGAAAAACAGTGTAATTCCACACATGAAATTTTATTTTTAAAGCATTCGCTGCGCACTTATGATAACTCGCATTTAAAGCATTTTTCCAAAGTCAAATAAACGATATTAATAAAATTGACAGGAATTATTCGAATTGAGCTGAACGGAAATGGAAAAGAAAATATCAGTATTGGAAAAATTTCAGGCCCATCATTTTTTCCAAATAATTACTATCCATATTTGTCGGAACTCGAATAAAATTAAGGGCATGTTTTATCGAAATTGTGCACTAATACCTCCCTCCCACGCCCCGTTTCCTCTTTCTGTGCCCATCTATTCGATGCGAGCGCGTTATTCAACAATTATGGGACAAAGAAGTGCCAGAAATTTCATTAGTTCGACATTTTTGTGCGTGCGAAAAAAGAACCCTCTTATATTCCGTGTTGTTCTTCTTGTCGTTCAGCTCTTTCCGCCACTCAAATCATAACAAATCAAACATTGTCGGAACCGCGAAAACCACTAAAAAGTGTAAATGTCACAATATTGGGAGCTCGGCTGGGAGCCGGGGCTTCTTCGCCATCCGATGCGATGTCTCTTTTTCATTTTTGCTGCTCGCCCAACTCATTTGATATAGTTTGTGTAACAGGCACTCATCATTAAATAATTCGGCCTCCTCAACGATTTTGTTTCGTCATTCAACAACTCAATTTCAGGTGCTCGACAGGCAGCACGGAAGGCCTATGGCCGATGCCGTTTCAATCCGGTCAGTTTCCCTTTTTTCCTTAAAATCTCTCTCCAGCTTTTCTCATGTTCGTCTCGAATTTCACTGAAAGTCATTTGTAGTTAAATCGTTGAAACTCGAAAGAATGTCGAAGCTTTGAAATTGTAAATAAGGCAGTTGCAACGATCGAAAAATCACAAGCTGGAAATATTTAATTTCATTAATTATCCGAAAAAATCGTTAATTTATTCGTCATATTTTCGACAATTAAAATAAAACCCAGATATTGCATATTTCATATACAGTGCTCCACCTAACTATTAGGTCTAGAAAATAATTTCCGCGTTTTTATTAAACTATAAAAAGCTGGACAAACTTAAACAAAACCATTAATAATACAAAGAACATTATAACAAAAAAAATAATTATATAAAAATAATTTTATTTTGACAAAATATCAACAACAAAAAACGCGGAAATTAATTTCTAGACCTAATATAAGTATACCCACTCCAATTTTGTCGAATAACTCGAAAGCCTCCAAAAATGGTTTCAATTAGAAAAATATGCGCATTTATTATTAGTTTCATGTTACATTCATAAAATTCAACAAAAAATAACAATTTAAAAAATTTCATCATTTTCACGAATAAGTGGAAAAAAATTTTCCAAAATTGGGGTGGGTCTGTAATTTTTTTATGTGGAGCAGTTTTTTTTAAATAAGATATCATAGTTTTTCGTAAATAAAAAGTTGAGTTTGGATATTTCGAACGAAAAGCGAAATTTGATTTCGTTTGGTTTCTGAATATTTTTTAAAGTTTATTGTTGCTGTTGGCGAAAAACATTTCGAGCAACGCATTACCTCTCATGGAATTTGTTGGTGTTCGAAAGAAGAAAAAAAAACGAATATGTATTCTTAAAAATATATCGTAATCTTTACTTTAAAGTTTTTCGAGAATTGTCAGACTGAAATATGAACTCGGAAAAACCGCGAAAATTCAAGCGCATTTTTTTTTAAATTTACAAATATTTGAAGAAAATGGCATATTACACTCAATAGGGAATTCAGCGAGCTATTTGTGTGCAAAATTAGAAGAAATTCCAAACGGCAAAAATCTTTCTCTTTTTCAGAGTTTCGTACATTAAATTGTGTTAGATTTAACAAAAAAACTATAATATATTAAAATTTAAGGCTGAAATTTTGGAACTTTCGAAAACATGAATTATCTTGTTACATTATGCATATTTATGTAATTTCTATGAAGCAAAGTGTCATAAATTGAAAGGTACGCTAATAATTCGCATTATTTTTCATAAAAGAGCAGCTTAATATTAATTTTCTCAAGATTGTTTTGGTCCTATGGATCACAAAAGTATCCCGTGAAACAATGGTCCCTAATAAGGCCGTTCGCACAGGGACCATAACCAATTATCTGAAAATAATAGAAAAACGGAAGGGAAAAATTTATAGTAAAAAAAGCGATGGTGAAATTTTGGTAATGAAGAATCATAGTCGACATCCAGCGACTACAGATTTACGAACCTGAGTCTTTTTGGACCCCCTCCCGTTTAAGAATACTTATTTTGGAAGTTTCTCGCGAATTGTCATTTCTTTGAAAAAATTATGCAATCTAGAAAAAAAAGCAAATAATTTGAGAATGAATCTCTTTAAAATTTTTTCAAAACCAATTAAATACCTCAATTAATTAATTATAATTTTGCGATTTCGAAACTTTCAAATCAAAAATTTTTTCTCGAATTTTACAGAAGAAGAAAGAATTCGTGAAGTTTTGCGTGATTTGAAATCCAGAAAAGAGGGCGGCGACGTGAAAGAAGACATTGAACGAATTGAGAGGATTCTCAAGGATCCACTTTTTAAGCAACTTTCCAATCAAGCAAGTCCCACATTTTTTTTCGTAAATCAATTTTTTCTTTCTTTTTCAAGAATAATTCATTCGGACATCAATTCAACAACGGCGCTCAGCAAATCGATAGCAATTGTGAGTCGAGACGATATTAAATTCGTTCATTTCAATATTGCAATATTTATTTGAATCGCTTCACACTAAAAATAACCAAAAACGAATATTTAAAATTTTTTGGCTTTGAGATTGAAAATAACAAAAGTCACAAAATTCTTGATGGTTTCGTCAAAATTCAGGGACCTTTTTTTCCAATTCGAAAGCAGTAGGCCACGCCCCTTTTTTGACTGGTTTATTATATTCTGCTAGTATTTTTTTCAGGGTCTGTGGAACAAAGTGTCGAGAATTTCCGCAAAAAATTTGACACACCTGATTTCAAAAAGGGTCTTAAACCGAATCAGGTTCGATTTTTCATTTGTACACAATTAGCGATATTCGTTTTCAGAAGCTTATCATCTGCTCGTTTGATGCAAAACCGGTGGAGCTAATAATTCTTGAGACGAAAGAGAAACAGCCACGATTGCTAATTGTCGGGCCGAAAGACGTCAAAACCAGGTATTGTTGGTCTATTTAGTTAATTATTCATTTATTTATTTGTTGTTGTTGTTTATTTCTCGCCTACTCGTCGACCCCCCCCCTCCCTCCACACATTAATTTCTGAAATTAGCGATATGCACAAACTCGGCGAGCCGCTGAGCGACGATGTCATGTAATCGCCTCCAATGTCTCAATTTCGTCTCGTTTTCCTCATCTCTGTTGTTCACCAATGCTTTTATTTTATGCCCCATTTTACTAGGGCGCTCGTCGGCACCAAATGCTAGTCCGTAAAACTTCTTTTTGTTCCACACGAGGTACAATCAATTCAAAATCACGCCTTTCCAGTGGTCGCCAATCAAATATTGAGAAACTTTTTATAAAATTGATAGAGTAGGTATAAAAAAGCTTGGTCAATTTCCAGTGGGACCATTGAAAATTTGTCGAATGACATAACTTTCGCTGTTTGCCTCGTTTGTCGGTTAGTGACGCAGCGCCGTTGAACATCCCTTTGTTCGCTATCGATAACAAACCGAGCCAGCATGTTCGTATCATGTATTAATGAAATAGTTGCGTGCATTTCTTCCGTTTTTCTTCTTCTTCTTCTTCTTCTTCAGCTTTTTCTTCTATTTTTCCCGTTCTCCACAGAAAACGATATACGTTCGTCATCGGCCAAACTCATTCATTTTTTCCTTCGCCGCCGCCACTGCCGGACGGCTCCGTTCCACTGTTTTCTGTCATCTTCTCGTCATTTTTCGCTGCTTTTGCCTTAAACGAGTTGTTTAGCATTGAGCCACGCTTTCGCGGCTGTTCCATTTTCTGTCGGCGCCTGTTTTAGAGAGCCAATTTGGTTTATTGTCCACATTCGTATTTCTCGCCGGGCATCTGCTTTATGGTGTCATTTTGACGTATTTTTCTTCGAATCAGCTCTCAGCAACTATCATTTTCATCAAAAATTGTATAATCGAAAATGACATGAAACATGACCCTAGAGTTCGTCATGGATATCCTAATTAGGACATATCATTTCTCATGTTATATTCAACATTTTGGTCGGTAACTTAATAATTTTTTCATTTCTCTAAAAAAACTGAAGTTTCCCAACTTTTAGTGGTTTTTCAAAAAAAAAACCAATCAGATATTTTTGAATTAAATATTTCGTTTTACGATAAACAATGGGCTATCGTAATCCGGAGTGTCGTTGTTTCTTTTTTCTATTTCAGAAAATATGTGCTTCTATTGAATTCCCTGTGTATAATAGGCTTTTTTTTTCTGAATATACCAACGGCAGGTCTGCGGAAATTGCGCATTAATAACGCAAAAAAACTTAGAGTGGTGCCAAAAAAATTTTTTTGTTCGACCGAAAGAAATGAGAGGATAACATCAGTTCTACGAAAAAAAAACACCGCGAACAAGAAAAAAAGTAGCTGAGCTTAGGAAAAAAAAAGAAACGTGTGATTTTTCCATGTTTCAAGTGACACCCCGGAGTTGGCCGGACTCCAAAAAATGTGGCAAATAGAGTGATTAGCGGCTAGACGCAGACGCACATATATACACGAGTTTGTTGCTCGGAACGAGAAGAAAAATTCAGCGGACATGAAAATCGCGGCTTCGACCAAAATTGAATGTTTCGAAGTTTGTGCTGTCAGCTTTTCACTTTTTTTTATATTTTCATTTCTTTTTTCAAACAAAATACCAGTATTGTCGTTTTACAATTAACTAGAGCAGGTGGCCGCCATGCCGAGACCGTCTTTGGTCAAGCGCGGCCACGGCCATCTTGTGAAAGTAATACATTAAAATTGCAAAAAAAAACGAGCACACTCGTTACTATATTTTATAAAAGATTGTGAGGTTGATTGACAGATTATCAGAAATCATGTTACATTGACACATATTCCTAATAATTCAAACCCATATTCCTAGAATGCGTTTCTAAAATCGCCCACACGAAATTTTCCCCATTTCTTCATTTGTGATCGCTAGTTGTAATGAATAATGACGGAATTTAATATCCGAAATGGAGGCGTTACACGTGCCAATGCGAGTTTCTTAAAGATATGCGCATACTCGACAAACGGTGTTTGTATGTTTAGCGAGGTGTCTGATTTCAACTGGAAGCTTGACAAGACCTCCATTAATTAAAAGCACGGTCCAACACTGATTAAGCGCGACGCAAGCATAATGGAAGCATTGTGGGAAATCTGTGGAACGGAAGCATAATGCTTCCATATAGGAAGCATAATGTAATTCTTAGTGGCTGTGGAAGAATTATGGGACGAATATGGATGGAATGAAAACGGGATGAATATGCTTCCGGTGTTTGCGAGCCGTGGAACAAATATGGATGGAATATGGATAAAATAATCATATGTCAATAAACATTATACAATTGGCGTCTGGACGGCAGACCAAGACAATTTCTAGAAAAATCAATACAAAAAAACTTATGCTATCATATAAACAATGAAAATTTGAAAATTACATGATACACAACGGACGAAATTTAGCTTCTACCATTTAATGACTTATGTTACTCAGATTTATGTTAATTCAGTCAACTGTTCCTCACTTTGTTTAAAGATTGCCAACTACAATTTAGTCGTATTAATATATTTTTGCCGGTTTTTCCGAAATTGGCATCGCAAACTACTCACAATTTGCTCCAAACTGGTAGCAGACGCGCGTAGAAGAGGCGTGCCGCAGCATTGCAAAACCGTGCGCCGCTTTGCACAATGCGGCCACGCCTCACATTTTCGAAATTCGTTTTCAAAATTTTTGTCCTTTTGCTTTTTCTCAATGAATTTTCAAGATTTTTTGTGTTTTTTTTTTTGTCAAAAATTAAAGAATTTTTTTCAAAATTAAAGGAAAAATGTTTTTAAAAAATAAAGGAAAAATTTTCATATTTATCATCAAAATCGAAACCAAAAATAAATTGATAGCATTCGAAAATTTTAAAATCGATACGATGTTTTCAAATAGTTTCCGACACTTTTAAAATCGAATTTAAATATTTTCTCAATCGAATTGTGTTTAATTTCTCATCGAATCCGTTTTATTTTTATTTACTTTAACATATTTTTTATTATCGCTCGCTTTTTTCTTTTAATAAAACATAATGTTTTGAAATTTTTTACAGATGAAGACAAGATCGAGAGTGTTGTCAGATATAACTGAAACTGCTCTAGAAGTCAATAACAAAGAACCAGAAGTCCCTAACATGGAACCAAATTCGCTCGACACTTCAGATCCAGATAGTCCAATTTACTCGCCAACTCAGCAAAAAAATTTTTCTCCACAGTCCTCACAAACAACAAAATCAACGCCAATTCCTAAACCTTCGTACGCCCAATTTGTAAGTTGTTATCATCAAAAATTGGCCTGTTCGACTCCAGAAATGGTTTCAATTAGAAAAATATGCGCAATGAAGTCTTTATAAAGTACTTCCTAAGTTTAAAGCTTGTTGATTATTTGGTTCCAATCAGGGCTGTGCGGCAATGGAATTGCCGATTGCCGAAATTGCCGGTTTTTCAAATTGCCGAAGAAAATTTCGATCGGTAATTTGCCATTAGCCGAATCGCCGAAATTTCCGATTGCCGTACAGCCTTCGTACCAATATCATTCAGTGGCATTTATCTTTTTAAGTGGGGCTCTAGTACAGAAGTCGCCAGACGCCGACTATATAAAGATCCTATACTTTATTGCAAATATCTATATTACAGATGCTCTTATCCATGGCTTTGGGCAACAACCGACAAATGACTTCAAAGCGAAAGCATTACGCATGGTTCGAGAAGTCATGGATAATCTTCTGTAAGATTTTGAACTATGACTATTAATTTATTTATTTGATTAAGCGATAGAATGCGCCAACGACTTCAAAGGAAATTTGGTGTAGCGCCGGAAGCGCTCGCGGCGCAATTAAGGAAGCTGCTTGATTCTACCAGCAACCCTCAGATGTGAGTATTCATATGTCTTTGAAATTTTAACCAAAATGCCTTTTTGCTTCAAATTTTGGAGTTGTTCTTTCTTCCGCCAATTCACTTTTTATTTTGTGCACTAAAGGGTTTCCAAAAATGCAATAAAAATAAATTATTTTTATTTTTAAGAAAATTATTGATGTAAAAAAAACTGATTGTATTTTCTCGAAAAATTTAGTTTACGTAACAATGGTTTACAAGTTTTTCAAATTAATAGGCCCATTATAATCTACTTATTACAGCGTCCCGCTCGATGTCAGTACTGACAATGATTCGAATAGTTCGGCAGTTGCCAGTAACTAATGGTTTGATTATATCTTAATTGAAATTCATTTCATTGTTGTTTTTTTTATTTTAAATTAAATAAATGTGTTAATATGAAATAAATTTTGAATACAGCAATCAAATTGTTTTCTTATTTTCCCATATGGAAGGCATACGGCTCATTCCATATACGAAACACGCGGTTCCGCAAAAAAATGCTTCCATTATGCTTCCATATAACTTGCATATAAGATTCCTATGATATCCACAGCCGTTCCACTATGCTTCCATTGTGCCTATGCCGCCGTTTATCTGTGAATTAACAGTTTTTAGAGTTTCACGGTGTGGTGTCGTTTTAGATTTTCGCGTTTAATTAGATTCTTGACCAACGCGCTGCACAATAGCCATTGGCGAGAGCGCGATGACGCCGAACAAAACCTCATAAAAATGCCCAATGAGGAATTGGTTGCTGGTTTGGTTCGGCTTGTTGGCAACCGGAAGCAGAAATTCGATTTGAATCGGTTTTTTTGGCTATTGGAGGCGCTTCTAAAACAATATTCTTGTTAGCCCTAATGTATGTATGCATAATCAGCGTGTCAAAGTTTTGAAGAGCAAAAGTTTTAGTGGAAAGTGAGCACCGTGGGAAATGGATGAATCGGCGCGATGTTTTTGTTCCAACTCATTCTCCAAAATTTTTTTTATTATGTTTCGTTTTTTTTTCGCGTTTCTCAGACGACACCCCTAGGCTTTTTGTTCAATTCTGCCACGTTTTGTGAATTTTTTCTTGAACAAAAAATTGGTTTTTTTTTTGCCGCTGATTATTCTAGGCGACATGTGATACTTTGCAGTTTGAAAATTTTACAAAATTATGAGCCCAATGTATGTAAATATATTTCCATTGGGTGCGCTCTTCGATAGAGTTCTACTCTGGAATTTTCATGAGCTGAATGAATTCATTCGTTGATTTTCTCTGCACCTAATTGGTTGACTCGGCGAGCGTTGAGCAATCGTGTGTGACGGAAAAGGTCACATTCAATTTTTCTCACTAGAATACGACTTTGTCGAATGTCTTTCTTACACCCCACTAGACGTTGTTCTCTCTGATCATTCGTTTTCGATTTAATCAAAGCTTCGCATTTTTGAATTGTTCGCACATTTGTGGTCTTGCCGATTTTCCATTTTCCTTTCACCAATTTCTCACACCCTAATTATCAGTAGTGCACGTGACTCTGACATGAGTTTCCATTGGCATTATTTATAAATATTACTTATTATATATGCCCAGCATATTGTAATATGAATTTCCATTGGTCAATCGGTGATTTGCAGATCATCGGGAAAATTGCGAATCGGCGACAGTGTGCTAGCAATCGATGCACCGTGCGCCGCCGCTGCCACGAAACCGTCACCCGCCCGAACCACCAACGACAATCAAGGAGCACCTTCTTCAGGAGCAGCAGAAGCAGCAGCAACAGCTTCATCACTACCGAGTAAGTCATGCCAAAAATCTGAACCAGTCACCCCGCGGGGCCCTTTTGCGGCCGACGGATTGATTCAATTTGTGGCCAATTCTTTTCGAGGATAAACTCTTGCCTTCTCCCTCGCCCCATTTTTCCTTGTGCACCCATCACACTATTCAAAAACTTTTGAACTCTTTTCGATTTCTTCTCCCAATGTTTTATTGTGTGTTTGCACACCCGCTGATTTATGATGCTCCTAAAGTTTTGGAGTGATTTTGAAGACGAAAACCGCGCGAATTTATAGGTAACAATTTTGAGAAAATTGTCTTAACGCTTTTTTTTTTGTATTTTTAGAAAAAATTGAATGAGCAAATTGAATAAAAAATAATGGTTGTTGTGTTAAAATATTTTGGAAATTTTAGATTTTTTTTTAAAGAAAACAACAGTTGGAAAAATTAGAATTTTTCTGGGCTCCACATTCTTGGAAAATTGCCGTTTCAGCCGGTCCAAGGCATTCTTCTCACATTTCGGATGAGTATGACGAAAACTAATACCGACTTTAACGGCCAATTCCAAATGGGACCGGTCAGATGGGGCCAAACTAACCTTCAAAGAATTAGCGGTTGATTTTGAAAAATGAATTTTATTTTAGGTTTGAAATTAGGAAAATGAGAAATTGATTAAATTTGCCACTTTTTTCGGCCAATGCCAAATGGGACCAGCCAAATGGGACCAATAGGGGGCCAAATGACAAATGGGGCCAAAATGACAAATGGGACCAACCTCTATTAAAAAAAGGACCCTTTTTGCCAAATGGGACCTTGATTTCAGAACTGAAAGTGACAAATGGGGCCAAACTCTTTTTTTTCAAGCAATGCAAATAAACATTATCAACAATCTACTGTCACCGGAACGACATTTTTTTTCTTGAAAGAGCCATATACACCAGGGCTGTGCGGCATTCGGAAAAAAAAAGCCGGAAAGGCAAATTGCCGAAAATCAAAATTTCGGCTATTAAATGTTTTCAACGATAATTCGAAATATGAATAACGAATTTCTTAATTATGTTCTTTCGGCCAATACCAAAAAAAAAGGTCCGAATTCGAAAGTTTTTAAAATTCCAGAAAATGATCCTAAGTGCCCATTGTTTCAGAAAATGATGCTAAAACGTAAATCTTTTTTCATCAAATTTTCTGTTCTGCTCGAAGGTCAAAATTTACAGTTTTTAACAGTAATTGGCTAACTTTGATTTTTCAAAAACTGTAGACTATCCTTATGAAAGAAAATTTTTACAAGTAATGAACTATTCACGGAAGAGCAGGTTCAGATAGACTTCAGATTCAGATTCGGGGTTCAGATAGACTTCGTAAGCGTGAATCTATTCCCACAATTTCCAATATTTCAAGTATCCAATTGTGCAATTCTGTTTCAAGCTTTTTTGCAAGCCTTGCGCAAATCAAATACCTAAAAACAATAGTGGCAGCCAAATAGGCTTAAATTTTTTGTACAATTTAACACATTTGAGGAATATAAATTTATTTTAGGAAAACAAAATTAAATTAGAATGGAAAGGGAACAAAAAAATGGGAAAAATTTACCAAACATTACAAAAAAAAACCAGCGAATCGAAGAAAGTATATCGATGGCGCGGGATTACCGTCAGACGAAGCCTGAAAGACACATAAATCATGGAGTAATGTTGAATATACGAAAAATAAAACAATCTTTGGGAAAATCAAAAAATTGGGAAAATATTAGGCATTTATTAATTTCAGTCCTAAATAATCACTATTTCAGTCCTAAATAATCACTAGTTTACAAATATATACACTTAAAATAAAACTATAATTCATTTAAATCCAATTTTAAAAGAATATATCGCAAAAAAACGTTAAAAATAGGGAAAAAATGAGTTAATTTTTCAAAAATCCAATTATTAAAAATCGCACAGTTAAGCGAATGCTACAGTAACGCTGCACCTTTAAGCTGTCGGCGGTATTATTTTTGCTTTATTTTTTTTTCAATTTTTTAAAGTTTTTAACGATTTTTTGCGATATATTCTTTTAAAATTGGATTTAAATTAATTATAGTTTTATTTTAAGTGTATATATTTGTAAACTAGTGATTATTTAGGACTGAACTAGTGATTATTTAGGACTGAAATTAATAAATGCCTAATATTTTCCCAATTTTTTGATTTTCCCAAAGATTGTTTTATTTTTCGTATATTCAACATTACTCCATGATTTATGTGTCTTTCAGGCTTCGTCTGACGGTAATCCCGCGCCATCGATATCCTTTCTTCGATTCGCTGGTTTTTTTTTGTAATGTTTGGTAAATTTTTCCCATTTTTTGTTCCCTTTCCATTCTAATTTAATTTTGTTTTCCTAAAATAAATTTATATTCCTCAAATGTGTTAAATTGTACAAAAAATTTAAGCCTATTTGGCTGCCACTATTGTTTTTAGGTATTTGATTTGCGCAAGGCTTGCAAAAAAGCTTGAAACAGAATTGCACAATTGGATACTTGAAATATTGGAAATTGTGGGAATAGATTCACGCTTACGAAGTCTATCTGAACCCCGAATCTGAATCTGAAGTCTATCTGAACCTGCTCTTCCGTGAATAGTTCATTACTTGTAAAAATTTTCTTTCATAAGGATAGTCTACAGTTTTTGAAAAATCAAAGTTAGCCAATTACTGTTAGAAACTGTAAATTTTGACCTTCGAGCAGAACAGAAAATTTGATGAAAAAAGATTTACGTTTTAGCATCATTTTCTGAAACAATGGGCACTTAGGATCATTTTCTGGAATTTTAAAAACTTTCGAATTCGGACCCTTTTTTTTGGTATTGGCCGAAAGAACATAATTAAGAAATTCGTTATTCATATTTCGAATTATCGTTGAAAACATTTAATAGCCGAAATTTTGATTTTCGGCAATTTGCCTTTCCGGCTTTTTTTTCCGAATGCCGCACAGCCCTGGTGTATATGGCTCTTTCAAGAAAAAAAAATGTCGTTCCGGTGACAGTAGATTGTTGATAATGATTATTTGCATTGCTTGAAAAAAAAGAGTTTGGCCCCATTTGTCACTTTCAGTTCTGAAATCAAGGTCCCATTTGGCAAAAAGGGTCCTTTTTTTAATAGAGGTTGGTCCCATTTGTCATTTTGGCCCCATTTGTCATTTGGCCCCCTATTAGTCCCATTTGGCTGGTCCCATTTGGCATTGGCTTTTTTTTCACATTAAAAAATCTCTAAAAATCATGTTTTGGTTAAATTTTGGTTTCATAGACCAATTCATAAATTTTTTTTTTACAAAAAATCTTCAAAAATTACATTCAATGTGCAGTTTCACAAATTTACATTTCAAAAAATTACGAATAGGTTCATTAAATTGATATTTATCAAACAGTTCGCTTTACCAGACAAAAGTATTTTAGTATAAATATGCAATGACTAGAGCATATGAATTATTTGACCCAAATATTTGTTCAACTTATATGAATATCATCGAATTAGTGCTATAATGAATATTCTTGCTGAGACCCATTATCGCTTATGTGCCTTTAACATTTACAAACGACCTACATTTTCCATTAGCTCTATTCTCTTGTGAATTCGCTTTATTTTAATGAGCGAAAAACAATTATGTTAATTAGTAAATTTGTTGCGCTTTTTCTAATAATTTCCTAAGAAATCAAAAATTGAATGATATAGATTGTCTTGGGACCTCAAACAACGGATGGAATATAATAGAAAAAGTAAGCAAATCGAAAAAGAAAACAGTGATAATTTTCAGACGCACCGATAAGCAAGCAGAATTTCGATTCGACTTATAGTCTTGCGGCTTCTCGGGGTCAACATCTCGTCGTTGCGCTCATTCGCGAAGCAACTCCCATGGTGGTAAGTCAGTCATCGGATGAACAAAAAAAAACAATGAGTGGTGTCGCTTAAAAAAATGGGAACGCACGTAGACATGCACGTTGATTAGAAAGAAAAGAAGCGGCGGCGAAGAAGAGGAGGCAGAAAGACGAAGAACATGAATCAGTGTCGGTTTTGTGCGAGTGTGCTGATGACTATTATCGACGACAGCGATCATCGCTCGTTTTTCGCAAATGAGAAAGAGATGAAGAACAAGACGGCTCACGTTTGACATTCTCATCCATCGATATGAGCCGTGTGTTTCGAGTGGCGATGTGTTCTCGAATTTCAAGCCGCCTTGAACTCGGCGGCTGTGATCAGCGCAATTGCGTTTGACAAACTTGTCAGATGTATGCTCCCTGTGTATCTATCTATCAATAACTCGAATGTCTATCAATTCTGCTCAACGGATTTCCTTCTTTGTCTAGTTTTTCTTCTTCGTTTTAATTAAGACAGCCAAATTTTACATTCACCAGTAATTTTTATAAAAAATTTTTCTTTTGACTATCATTTGTGTTGCTCATTTTAATTGAAATATTTTTAACATTTTTTTAAATAAAATTCTTCCTTAAGCAAGAATTGTATTCGATTAAATTGAAACGAATAACTTTAAAGTGAATTTTGCTCTTTGTTTGTTTTTTATGAGATTTTATTTCCAATAACTCAAACTTAAAAGCCTCATAGTTTTTTATAGGTTTTCCCCTTCTTTTTTTTCTCCCCAATTTTTCTAGCCAATTTTTTTTCCTGTTCGTTAGCGAGCAAAATTGATTGTTTCGCGTACACCTCGTTTCTCGTGCCTAATCGATCAATTCAATTCCGGGTCGCGATCAATCAACTCGTCAAATTCCCTTCGTCACACTCGCACACACCGCTTATGATGCGTAATGGGACCAACACCAAAAGCGAAAAAGTTTGCGGTGCACAAGATCAATTATCAAGTGTCGCGCGGGAATGTACATACTATCAAATTCGAACATTTTCCCCAAATTTTCGATTTATTGATTTTGATTTTTCAGTTGTCAGGCGACTGGACGCAGGTTGAAGTGATTCGATTGAATACCGAAACCGGCGGATTGGGATTTGGAATTGTCGGAGGGACGAGCACCGGAGTTGTGGTCAAGACCATTTTGCCAGGAAGTCCAGCAGATAAGGTACTCAAATGCCGCGATCGCGATATGCGAGAAATTTGGGGATAAAAAAAACATTTTTGGAGAGAACATTTTCTAATCGATATCTGAGGTCTTCGAAAAGGTGTCAAATTCTATGACCGCTTATATTTTTTTTGCAAACCCCTTGCTCGCAGTGAGCACTTTTCGAGCGGTCGTTCCAATAGATCTACCAAGTCGTGTACGTCGTATACAATCTGCTACTGAAGAATTCGTAACTACCCAAAACACACGCTGCAATCGGGGGTGTAAAAAAACACACACAGAGAGGGCCTTGTGATAATTGTTCCGCGCCGGGACCCCCATAGGGCCCGTGTTTAAATTTTCACCAAAGCTAATTATAACAGACGTGTTTTGCAATGAAATTTCTGTTGTTAGGAAAAAAAGCACTGATTTCGCCAATTTTGATCGGAATGTCTTCGTGGGTCTTAAAATACTCTTGAAAATTGCAGTTTTGTATTTCTCATATCGTATTCTCGACGTCAAACGACTAAAAAGAATTGGAGCCTTCAAAAACGCGAAATCAGTGCAGATTTAAATTTATCGTTGACTGAATATCAAATGCGCGTACACTAAAATGCAATGTACGCAGTTTCGCGTACCTCACTGCACCGAGACGCATTGGCATAAAGCCAATTTTTTTTTATTTCGTGAAGTCGTTTGACTCTTGTCGAGGCTAAACTCAAAAAATAGCGTCATCGTTGCATTAAAACTATTAAAACAAATTTCATAGCTCATATTTTCAGGATGGTCGTCTTCAACCGGGTGATCACATTCTCCAAATCGGCAACATCAACACCCATGGGATGAGCAGTCAACAGGTGGCGACAATCCTTCGCCATCAGCATCCGGTCGTCGAGATGATCGTCGGACGACCGATTGCATACGCTGATAAGCCAGCCGACACTCCAGGTTGGTTCGTTTCGTGCTCACTCATCACATTTCCATTGTTGCTGCTCCCCAGGGAGATCCCGACAAATGACATGCTGTTTTTTTTTCCGCCAGCGATTTTTTCGCGCTCCACTTTTGCAATTTTTCATTCGTTTCGACGCCTTTTCGTCGAGGGAAAACTCCAAAACTCTTCTCCTATTTCATATTTTGTTAAGGAAAACGTTATTCGTCGGGTTTTTTTCTTTCTTTCAGAAAGCCAATAGATCCACTAAATTCGTTTACTGAAAGAGTTGTGCATTTCCTCGACGACGTCTTCTATTTCTTACAAAACTTTGCCTTCTCCTTGCTTTTTTTCGTTTTCGTCTCCTTCTTCTCGTCTTCTTCATATTTCTCCAGTTTTTTGGTCTGTTCATCTGTCGGTCGGTACGTTTTATTATTCATTTCATTTCCGTCTTCAGCAGTTGGTTCGAATTTCGCATTTAAAAATTATGTAAAAATTTATTGTTTTTTTTTTCGGCTTCACTGAGACCATTTTTCGGTTTATAACCAATTTTAATAAGAAAAAAATATTCTTGAGAATATTTAAATGAATTAATTTATCTTGTTGCATATTCAAAGTCATTCCAATGCGATTCAGACAACCAACTAGTTTTTTTTCTCTTCTGAAAATTTTTTTAGTCTCTTCTTATTTTCATATTGTTTCATACACTTAGAATTCAATTCCTAGATAATTTGAAAAACGAAACACTTCGTGCCATTTGGATATTGAAAATTGGCATAAGAAACACATAAAGGGGATGCTATAACATAATGGGATTAAGGAGAATTAGGGCTTTACCCAATTTTAGAATTATATATTTGGATGTAATAAGTTTGTTTTATCAAAGGAATTTCATGCTCTCTCTCTCTCTCTCTCTCTCTCACCCCTCTTACTAAAAAAATGATATTCTTTCGTGCTCAATCCGAAGCAAATCCACTTGATCTTTCATAAATCTCGGCATCGAATAGTATCAATTCTGGTGTTTTTTCTTCATTCTGCCGACAATTTTATTTATTTCTACATATAGTCGACGACAGTTGCACGTGGGTGTATTTACATCCATGCGTCGTCGTTTTGGTCCCGCACGGATCAACTGATTGGAGGCCATTCCGTTAATTTTTAATTTCAGTGATATTACAAATTCAAGGAAACGTATTAAATAAAAATTAAACTGTTCACGTGAAAATTTAAAAATACATGTAAATCTACCCGCGTTCAGCAGTCGTCGGACGCCGACTATAGTTGGGAATAAAAATAGATTGGTTTCTAAAATGAGCTTCTTCCCCATTTTTCAAATCGGCAATAAATTTAAACATAGCTCTTTTTTGGATAAGAAAACAAACCATTTAGATTTCAAAAAAAAAACCGAATTTGGTCGGAAAAAAGTTCATTTTTGGGAGGAGGCGGTTGTAGGCATTTTATATATTTTTCCGGATGCGCACGACGGTCGGCTATAGACGCCGTGTGTTGTGCGCGCATGTTGGGGGATGTGTGCTCGCTCGAAATGGCCCAATTTGCATCCAATTTATCGGCGGCGACGGCGCCCCGCCGCACCGAATCCTCCCCACATTTTGATGGCAGTCGTCGTGGAAAACGCGCACCGCCACTTGATTAGGCCCGTCGCACCACGAACTTTGAAATTCTCCAGTTTTGAATTGTTGCTTTCTGAACTCATCAGTTTTTTTTTCAGAGTGCTTCACACTGGCGACCAAGGCTGCCCTCTGCGCGACGACGTTGGAGGAAGCCATTCAAAGACAGGTATCTTATTTGAGCATTGAAAATGTTCTGCAAAAAAAATAAAACAAAAAATAAAAAAATAATAAAACAACTCTTTCTTCTTTCGAGTTTAATCACATTGATATCAATCAGACCACCGAAAATAAATTATCAGAAGATTTGCAAAAAAAAACTTTTTTTTTTTCGTTTTATTTTTTTATTGGATTAAAATTGGAAATCAGTTAATAATTAAAAGGTTTGAGATGAAGAAAAAACATAGAAATTTGTAAAGTTGTACTTACTTATTTTTTTAGTTTAAAAACTTTTCTCATTGTATGTATATTTAGAAATGAATTATTAAATTAAATGGAAATAATTTTAGATGGCCACTTCAGCGCCATCGACAGCAGCCATTCAAACACCGAACACCATGTCGCCATCCGTGAGTTGTACGCCAATTGAAGAAGAAAAGGAGCCGGAGCCGGAGGCATCGCGTAAGATTTCAGCAGCACCAACTTCAACCTCATCCCCTCCACCACCACCACCACCACTGAAGAAGACAAGTTATGACCCACAGCAAATTGATATTCGGAAACCGTGCGAATGCGCGCCACATTATAATCGAAGGGAATGTGTGCATTCATCATCAGAGCACAACCATGTCTCGCCGACGACGAGTCCCGATAAGGAAGAGAGCATGAGCATCAAGGCGGAAACCGCGGAAATGACATCGAGTAAAGGATCACCAACGAATGACCAGAATGGAAAGGGAACGACAACGTCATCGTCTTCCAGAATGTCACTAAAATCATTACAAGAAATGGTAAGTGAGAAAAACGTTTGAGGCTTAAACCTTTCCCTTTTTTTTGTTAAGAAAAGGCAATAAATTTTTCAAAAGAATTTAAATACTATGTCTTGCGTACTTCCCATTTCTTCGATAGAACATGGCATGTATACAATATTTTTCCGAAAAAGCAGCTAGCGAATTCATTCGCCACAAGACCACACTCATTTTGCGCCTTATCAGCCTTTAATCAATTATTTTGTTTTATTACAATTGCAAAAAAAAACGAAACCACTGCGCGATAATCAGTGGTCTTAAGTATTTATTATTTGAGGAATTTGCGAAATATTTTTTTCGATACGGTAATTAAAACCGTACGCAGTTTTTGCTATAAGTCTTGTAAGTGTCGGACTCTGGTAACAACATTTTCCGGATATAGACTATAGCTCTTATTTTTTATTTTCAAATTATAATCGGTTGAATATAACAATAATGTTTTAAAATAACTGTTATTAGCATCTGTCGCCGCGAAACACAGCGAAGAATAGTTCATTCTCGAAAAGAAGAAAATAATAATAAAAAAATAACGTTTTTCTATTTTTGCCAAATTTGAACCTCAATTACGCGAGATAAAATTGCCGAGATGTTTTCAGTTTCTCTTCTTTATATAGAATGTTTATAAAAAAAATAATTTCATCGTTTGATACCACTGTTATCATCATTTTTTAAGGCACTCACCGTATTTCTACGAGAAAATTGGGACAATGCGAAATTCGAAATCATCGAGGTTGTTCTACAAAGAGATCCTGCTCTCGGCCTGGGTATTACGGTAGCAGGATATGTCCATAAAAAGGGTGAGCTTTATGTTTTTTGGACGCCGGAAAAAAATGCGACCCATTCCATTCCACCATTTATGACATTCGATTATTATGCTTGAAAATTTTCCCCCGAGAGGGAGCGATTTATTCAACAAAAAATCCGTCTCTACGAAAAATCGAATTTTTTGCGACACAATCGAATTATGCACTTGTGAAGCAGCGCGTCACATTTTCTTTTTTGATATATTTATATTCCGTGTTTTGCAGAAGAAATCGGCGGAATTTTCGTGAAATCGCTTGTTCCTCGGTCGGCGGCATCGGCAAGTGGCGTGATCAAAGTGCACGACTTGATTCTTGAGGTTTGATCTATCTTCGAATAGGGTTTGCCATACACATTCCTAATTAGGTTAACGGAGTTTCTCTGGAGCACATGTCGCATGCGGATAGTGTGAGGACGTTGGTAAAGTCAGGCGACAAGGTCAATCTAAAGTTGGTGCGATTCCCCCCGAACTCTTCTCAAGCACAATGCCTTAAAATGCTCCAACAACAAGAGACTGAGACTCAAGTGATTGATGTGAAGCTGTCGAATCCGAATTTGGTGCACGAGTGGAAGAGTCGACTTGTTGATGATGTCGATATCATCTCGGCAGTCGTTAAACCTGATAGACAAATGCAAGATGGAGGACTTGGAATCTCTCTGGAGGGTACGGTTGATGTGCTGAATGGCGCTCAACTTTGTCCTCATCATTATATCGAATCGATTCGCGAGAATGGGCCTGTCGCGAAAACGGGTCTTCTGCAAGCGGGAGATGAGCTTCTACAGGTCAATCACTCGCCGTTATACGGCGAATCGCATGTGACAGTGAGGCAAGCTCTGACAAGAGCTGTACATTCTGGAGCTCCCGTAACATTGATAGTTGCGAGAAGATCGCAACAACTACACTTGTTCGAGCCGACGAGTTGTGAGAAGCAATTGCCGTTGGCATTCCCATTTTTGGCTGCAAATCAAGAAACAGTGGTCAAGGTGAGATCAAATATTGGAAATGATGTGTTTCGCCAAGTTGCGATTTGTTTAATGAGGCGATTAAATGCTATGAAATGCCCTTTGAACTTTTAAAGCTTAATTATTTATTCCAATGGTTTTCAGGCGAAATCCGAGATTGATCTATCATCGACACGTGCTGAGACAACTCAACTTTTGCAAAAAGTCTCACGTCGTCTACGATCGCGATCCCTCGAGAACTTCCATGGTCTTGCCGTCTGGAATTGTGTACCATTAGTTATCTATCTCAATAAGGATCATCGTGGTCTTGGCTTTTCCATTGTCGATTATAAGGATCCGACCCACAGTCATGAAAGTGTCATAGTTGTTCAGTCGCTGGTTCCTGGAGGAGTCGCGCAGATTGACGGAAGAATTGTGCCTGGAGACAGATTATTGTTCGTCAACAATCATGATCTGTCGAACAGCAGTCTGGAGCGAGCAGTAGCAGTGCTCAAGGCGGCGAGAATGGGACCCGTTCGGCTCGGAATCGCGAAACCGATTCCCGTTGAACAGGTTAGTGATTAAAATTTGCTTAATTAGATGATGAAACGTCCTTCTGGTGATATATTTGTTGTTGTTGTTGTTGTTGCTGCTGCTGCGATGTGACGAGTAGCCGCTGTCTCCCTCAATTTATATCTCTCATTTTTTTTCCAATTCCGTCTGCTTTTTTCTTCTACGCGCATCCTCAAAAGACATCGACCACCCTCATTGAATTGTCTGTTTTTTATGCATTTTTCTGCACCAGAGCCCATCACTATTTATCGTCTTTTGCTTTCGATTATTTCTCTTCCAATTTGCCATCGTTCCTTTTCTTTTCAGGACTTCTTTTTTTCGGTGGGAAAACAATCCGACATTTTTCGTGAAATGTATATATTGAAAAAATGCAAAAATAAAACGATAGCAAATAAAATTTTTGATCATTAAACACATTAAATATTCCATTATTTTTTATTATTTTTCCCTACACAATTTTAAAAGCACTATTGCATTTATTTTGCTTCTTTTTCGTTCATAACTTCCTCAAATTTGATATGCATTCCCACCAATCCTCTCGCTTCCCAGCATGAAGAGGAATTAATGCGATCTATTCAAGCGCACATAATCCCGAAGAATATTTGAGCAAATATAAATAGAAATTGTGCTACTTTTTGGGATATTAACATTTTTTTTATTTGGCTTATTTTCGAAGTATGAAATCTACTTAAATTTACCAAGTTTTTAAAAAATTTTTTCGATTTTTGAATAATGTCTGAAGAATTTTTCATTCAATCGTTTTTATGTTATTCTATTGTAATCATTTTTTGTTGTTGAGAAATTAGTCGTTTTCCTAAATTTTTATTGCTTTTCATTTTTTTAATATTTCCATTTTCCATAAAATTTGGAATTAGCAAATGAAAGAAACCTTACTGAATATAATGCTCTTCATCTCATTGTGTGCGTGTGTTATCCATAACGAATTAGCACATTTAGTTAGTTGATTTTCATTCCTGCGACGCCTGCTCTCTGCCTCCCGGTTCATCCGCCTTCATCTTCTCACGCGCAATTTGCTTGCTTTCTTGCTTCTTCTACTTCTTTTTCGTCCTTCTTCCAGCAGCGGCACTTTTATTTATTCCATGTATGTAACTCGTCGACCCCTCCCCCTCTCTCCAGCGCGCGCATAAACGTGTACGAATATCTTTGCTAATTTGTGGTTTGCGCACTCTCGCGCCTCATATAAATATGCGTATGAGTGTGAGGCTGTGTATGTTGTTTTTTGAAGCGCACGTGTGTTTGTAATCGACTCATCTAATTTTTTTTACGAACACGATGCTTTTTGGTTACGTCGCCGACCTAATTGAATATTTCAATTATACAAATTGACGTGCTCAGTTGTACACATTTATTTGATCTTTTATCTCTCGAGCAACCTACCTAGCTTTCATCTCATTCTTCTGGAGTCTAAATTGCTCATATGCGACGATTGTCTTAGTTTACTCAATATTTGAACATTTGTTCTCGGGTATCAACCAATAAAGGTAGATTATTAAATAAAAAATACATTTTTATTCTTTCCTGTCCCGTTTTTATAAATTCATTCGTAATAGAGAATTTTTGAGAATTAATCCAATACCTTTTCTTTAGATATGGGCAATTTCATTACTCAGATGCAACTCTTCGTTTTAGTTTGAAATTATTATTATGAGCAATCTACAAACGAAAAATTATACACACACACATACACACACACTAAATGGATTCTTTTGTCTCCAAATATTTTAAACATTTCTTATTTTTCCTTCCAAACTTCAAATTTTTATTGCCTACTTATCGTAAATTATTGAGTCGTGTTTTTATCGTTTTTTTTTAGAAATGTTATGGGTCTGAACAATTCTTTTGGCGCTGGCATATGTTTTTGTTCATTTTTTCTTGCAACGAATTGTTGTGTGTGGAAAATCGAATGGCTGGCATTCCAAATAAAATGATTCATATGAAATTTCAAGCAAAATGAATTGTTGGCGCGAGCGGCGCGGACTCCACTCCCTACCCGTTTTTATTTCCGTGACCCTAGTTGTCCCCTGCTTCTTCTCCTCGTTTGCTCCTTCGTTGACGAGTCCGTGTGTATATGTGTTTTTTATTGTTGTCATTGGAATTCGTTCAAGCTTGTTAGTAGTAAAAACTGAAGAACAAGTGGCGAGGCGTGCAGACGAAAAATTGTAGCAATATCTTTCCGGCGCACACCTTCGGACTTCACACACCCTCCACCTAGCCATATTTTTTTTAAACTATTGTTCTACTATGTAACTATTGTCTTTTGTTGTTGTTGTTGAAAACACCGGGATTTTGAGAATTTAAAAGCAATTTTGATGATATTTTATTTGCAGCAATCGCAATTCACAACATCACATTCGCCGCTGTGCTCGAGAAGTGAGCGATTGTTAGCGCGTGGAAGGAGTCCGAGAGGTCGACGAAGATATGTAAGTCTTTTGAGATAATGTAAATAGTTAGCAAGAAAAACTTTTGCTCACCAAGACCTATAATCTTATCTAAGCGTCAGAATGCATTTAAAAACTATGTGATTGAGTTTTGCTTAGTGTAAAATGTGTTATTCTCGCAGAAAATTGTGGTATTGTGTTTTTTTTTTGCATAAATTCTTTCCTCTTTTCGCCAATTTCGTTTGACAATAATAGACTGCACCCTTTGTTTGTATTCCAGAACCTATTTAAAACCAATTTTTAAAACCAATTCCTCGTCCGTTCGTAGCATGAATAAAATTGGGCGCTTTGGATTTCGATTTTGAAAACCATTGATGACATAATTGTTGCTTTCAAGAGATTCATAATTATATGTATTTTTCGTTTTTAAATTGAAATATTTTTCCGTCGGTTCGAATCCACTGACGTGAGCATTTTTGCAGCAATCTGGCACGACATCAAGCCAAGAAACGGTTTGGATCGGCACCGCCGAGCAGTACAGGCGTCTCCACCCGCAGGTATCTACCAAGATTCGCCAAAATCCCTTGCCTTTTTTCGCTCCCTTAGACGTTTTTTTTGTGGAGAATACCAATGGGAGTTAATCGGCTCCTTTTTTAGTTAATCAACTCCTCTTTTTTTGGCCGGGGTGCAGCAGGACAGGAAAAAACAGAAGGGAGGGACGTGTCTTGTGTCTGTTCGAGCGTCGACTTTCCGCGTTTATTTTTCATTTCCTTCGTCGCCGTCTTCTACTTCTTCTTATTGTCAAGCTTCTTCTATTCTTCTTTGCACCCCCCTTCCCCCACCCCCTTCAAAATATCACCCACAAAAAAATCCGCCGTCCCACACCAAAAAAAAATGTAAGGTTGTGTAGTCGAAAAGATGTTTTCTTGCAAAGTTTGATACAATTTCGATCGACAATGAAATCTTTCCCTCTTGGAACAGCAAAATGGATATTTTTTTCAGTTTTTCGGTGTTTTCCTACGCTTTTTTGCAGGCTTATTATCCGTCAAGGAGCCCGTCGACGGCACGAAGCGAGCGCAGTCTCGACGGTGTATGTTGTTTCTTTCGTTTATTTTTCACTATTCGTTTCGAATTTCCCATCTTGCTCAAGCTTGGAAAGCATGTTTCACACGGCAACGATTTTTTTTCTAAATGTATTTTCAGTCAGTCAGGTCTTTCTTTTACACGTATTTTCCCTTTTTCGCAGCACACTATACGTTTTTTATGAGTTGAGGAGCCTGGGAAGGGTGCATCCCTCGCTTTTTTTTTTATTCTTATTAGATGCACAAACGGATTCTTTTTTTTTTTGCTTAAAATTAAAAAGAAAGAAATTGTAAGAGATTCTCGAAGTTCACCAGCTGATCAAAAATTTGTATTGAACCGGAAAATGGCTGCCGATATGCTTTCCTCTTTTTTAAATATGTTTTTTTGTCTCGTTTAATTGGCTACCGGAAGCCCTTCACTTTTTTTGAACATTGAAGCCTTCCAAAAAATTAGTACTTCGCACTTTTGTAATGAATGTTATTTTTGTTTCAACAAAAAAAAAAGAAATTCATATCCTTCAGTATTTTCTTTCTTTAGTCGGAGTTCTCGATGACATCTTGGTCTCCATGCTCGACGCGGTCGGTATCGCCGTGCGGTTCGCCGATATCACTTAGGTACCGAATTTCAAAAGGTTTCAATCTTTATTTCAATTTTTTAGGGGTTCTTGGGCTTATGATGTTGTCTTTCTGCCGTCCCATCTTGAACGGACCATCAAACTTCAGAAGGGGCCACTTCCATTAGGAATTGTATTAGATGCTGATAAAGATAAGGGTGTGAACGGGTGTGTCGTCAAGAGTATTTGTGGCAAGAAAGCGGTAGCTCTAGATGGACGACTTCAAGTAAGATTTTTATTGCCAATATATTTTTTGAATTCGTTTTTTAGGTTGGTGATTATGTGGTGAAGATAAACACGGAATCTCTTCGCAACGTGACGAGTTCTCAAGCGCGCGCGATATTGAAACGTGAGAATCTCATCGGCGCCGGATGCACAATCACGTATATCACGTCGGCGGATGCAAAAACCTGGAAAGAGCGATTCCAGAAGCCCCCGGAAACGTCGTCGCCGATTGTCAATCGATTATCGCCGAAGTATGTGACGGGGATTCAAAAAGTACATCGAATAAAGAATTTCAGAGTGTTCCCGAAGTTCTATCGAAGTCCGTACTTGAATCGGCAGGAGAGTTTGTCGAAGAACCAGGAGACTGACGATGAGACTGAGGCCGAAGCGCCATCAATTATGACAGATTCAATGTCCGACGCGATTAGGATAAAGGTTGGCGAAGGGTCCTTACTTTAATATTTCATTAATCGATATCAAATTTCACTGGCATTGTTTTGAAATGCAAAATTCTTAGAAACTCCTATAATCGGATTACATTAGTCTAAAATTCTTTTTTTGCCTCTAGGAAGTCGAAAAAGACAACTTCGAAGGCGAGGAAAGACGACGTCTCGGAAGATTGATCGATGGAATTGAAATCGACGATTTCGTGAACTCGTTGATCAAGGTGAGCCGAGCAGAATTATGTCATTCGACGCTGCACAGAAAGCGCAATTCTGAATTAATTAATAAGCGCAAAAATAGAGAAGCGAAAGAGATTTATTGTGGAATGTCTGATGATGTTGGTAATCCTTGAATATCTTCTCTTTCCTTGCACGTCTCCTCGTCGCCTCTCCACAAACTCTCCTCGGCGTCGGGGCGCGCGCGCATAATTTTCAGGCCATCCCTCATTATCGATACATATTTCTATTTTTTTTTGAATTCATATTCAAAAACACCTGCGAGAATTGCCGGCGGCAACAATGTTGCGTTTTCATCGCTTATTTCATTTCCTATGGTTTCAGGAAGCGATTGCTGACGCGAGTGTCGAACTTGGTGCGATAGCGAAGATTGAAGGAAAAGTTGAAGAAGAACTCTCAAAGAAGCATATTGAGAAAGTCGTTGATGAATCAGCTCCTCCCCCGGTTCAGAAGGTTGAGCCATTATTAAGAAGGTTTTTAATTTTTACTAGTTCTAAACAACATGTATATTATTTTAAAGGGATTCTGAGCCATCGAATAGCCGGCCAAATAGGGAATACATTCAAGGACAGCGTCAATCTCAGTTGCATATTTTGAGTACTGAAGAGGAAGTTGAGAAGACTATTCAAATTGAGGTAGAAAGTTTTTTCGAAAAGTACTTTATGTAGCTATTAATTTATAGAGCTTGAATTTCTCATTAATAATCAAACTTTAACCGAACAATAATCTAATTTTGGAATAACTTTACCAGAAAACATGATTGTCATGAAAAATGAGTCATGAGAATTGGAAATATTGAAATTATGCTCAAATGCTAATCAGTTCAATGAATACTAAATTTGTCGAAACACTAATTAATATTCGTTTTGTTTTGCGCAGCAAAATAGGTATTTTTGGGAAATGTGTGCAATAGATAGATTAATTAGAAATTCCCTTAATTAGGATTCCCCACTGGTTTACCATATACTTTCCAATCAATTAGTCTAGCAAAAATGATTCTCATTGATATATGAGAATGAGAAGAAATTTTTAAAAAAAATGGATTAATTTAGCCATCTCCTTTCGAATAGTGCAACAATTTTTCTTGTTGGCGTCATCAGCGTTGACGTGTTTCTTTTCTCATTCTTTTCGAGTTTTTTTCAATGACTTTTTGCACCTTGCAGACCGATTTGCCCGTTGCACAAGAGGTTCCACGAATTTCGCCGAGCGCCATCAAATTGGACGACGACAACGAGGATGTTGACGCGCAAATAGGTTCAAACGGTGGTACGACGGAAACTACGGCGCAACGGGAAGAGTCACCTTCCATTAGCCAGAAATTAGTCGAAAAAACGGGAGAAGCTGACGAGCCGCCTTGTGCGTCATCTGAAGCCCGACCAGTTGCGAATAGCAGCAGCACGCCTTCAATCGTGAAAAACTCGCCGCCTCCACCACCGCCAGCATCAGTTCCATCGACGTCATCTACTAGTCAGAATTCGACTGAGACGACTACGACCACAACAACCACTACTATGTCGAAAGCAACCTCAAGAACACCATCAACGGGATCCGAAAGTATTCAGCAACAGGTATGAGCAGGAACAGAAATGAGATTTTTCAAAAAATTTTTATGTTTTTTGAAATGAAAATGTAGCTACTAATATGTAAACAAATCCACTTCTGTTCACAATTAACTAATCTACGTCTGAAAAAGTTTTCGGATACAATTTTGCCTCCGAAAGAGTTCGAAGAGGTAATTCCGAACATTTGGATTTTTTGCTATTAATAATTGCTCTATTGTTTATAGAAATATATTTATTTATTTTCAGGCACGACAATTGGCCAGATCGAAATATTGGGGAGAAGCTAGGACGGTGGTTCTAAATCGCGAACCCAACAAATCATTTGGTTTGTGTTTTGATTTCAGTCTCTACGTACATATAAATTAATATTTTTCAGGAATTTCAATTGTTGGGGGACGTGTTGAAGTTTCGCAAAAGGGTGGATTGCCGGGAACTGGAAACACTGTCTGTGGAATCTTTATCAAGAGTGTTCTGCCGAACAGTCCTGCTGGAAGAAGCGGACAGATGAATATGGGAGATCGGGTTATTAGTGTGAATGACATCGATTTGAGAGATGCGACTCATGAGCAGGCTGTGAATGCGATAAAAAATGCAACGAATCCCGTTCGATTTGTCCTTCAATCGTTGCACACAAATCAGCAGAACATGCACAACTCAGCATCGAATTCAACTGTGGGATCGGTGCGATTCGAAAACGACGTCAATCAGCAACCGCCAGTGCAAATCACGCCCCTCAAACCCATGATGGTCGTGACACAAGCTCCGACCACCTCGACAGCCCAAACTCCAACTTCTACATCTGCATCTGTTGATTCTGAAAGCAAAGCTGATTCGTCGACTTCGTGCTCATCGCCAGACATTCAGCGAGAAAATACGGTGAAACGAATGAAGAATGAGGATAGTCAAGAGCAGTCAACATCATCTGCGCCAGCTCCTGTTGAAGCTCCGTTATCGTCGAATCCGAAACGACAACCATCGGTCAAAGAAGGAGAAGAAGAACAGGAAGATCGAGTGACGCGACCCCTTCTTCCACCTCCACCAACACCGCCGAAAAAACAGATGAGCGTTGAAAAGCAGACATCGGTGGAAAGTCGGAAAAGCGTAAAGAGTGTGAAAAAGTCGCTCATCAAAAAATCATCATCGAATGAATCAGCTCCTCTCATCGTGTCAGATGTTTCGAGCTCGGAAACCCATGATGAGATCGAGTTGCCGCCTTCGACATCGAATGAAAATATCTATAGAGTTCTTGGAATTGAAGAGAACTCGGCAGCTCGACTTCCGGTTGGTGACGGAGAAACGCCGACCAAGTTCCAGTATACTAAATGTATGATATTTTATCTGATTTAATATAACAGGAACATGAATTGCAGCCAAAGTCAATACCAAATATGGTCACGATGGCGGTCAGGTTGTGATTGTGCAATGCGAGAAGCCTGAAGCGGGGCTTGGAATCAGTTTGGCCGGAAATAAGGACCGCGATAAGCAAAATGTGTTTGTTGTAAATGTTCGCGCCGCTTGTCCATTAGAGATTCGGCCTGGTGATGAGCTTCTCGAGGTATTTTTGTTTGTTTCCACAAAATGAATGAATTGCTTTAGATTAACGGACGCGTTCTGCAGAACATCTCTCATGTAACAGCGTCGGCTGTTATTCGAGAATGTTGCGATCTGCATCCGACTATTGAGATTGTGATTAGAAGGAAGGAGGGAGCTCTGGTAAGAATTATCCCTTTTAAAAGTTGCCTTTTGGTTTGATGCCCTCTTGGAATGAAAAATTGGGTGTCTCACCAAATTTTCTAGGTGAAAACCGGCAAATCATACTTATTGCAAAATTTGTGGTCACTTATTCGATAACGAAGTGTTATAATACGAAAATGCAATTTTTGCAGAATGAATGCGCGGTCCGTAATGAAGCAAATGTGACACCAACACCACAACAAGAGGCGACGACCTCATCTAGCCCGCCGCCACCTGCCGACGACGACCAGAATCAGCTGGAGCAACAGAAAGATCTCGTAAGTATCTTCATCAATTACAATGACGGCGTCATCGTTGGTTGATTTCGAAAAAAAAAATTGAGTGAGAGTGAGTGAAAGAGAGAGAGAGAATTATGAATTATGGAGATATTGCATGGCTTCGGCAAACACAAAAAGAACTTGCGGATTCTGAATTTGTGGCTAGTAATAAAAAATATGAATAATTCACCGAGTAGGAAGAGCTCCTCCTAGCATGTCCCGATCGAATTCAAAACCAAAATTGAGAACTATTAACTATACACATATTATGCGTTTCATTTTTATTATAATTAGGATTATTAGTTGTTAACGTGGTGGGGGGTTGGCAAGTTGTAAACAATGCGTTGCTTGTTGTTGTTTGCACCTCTGTCAATCAGTTATTGCTTTCCTGTGCCTTTCATTCATTCATTTTCGACTTGTATAGGAACGAGATAGCCTCCATACTTCAAATTTGTTCCTTCTTTTATTTCTCTAATTCATTTTTTGCAAATAACAAAGCAGCTTAATTCAATTTGTGCGAATCCGACAGCTGGGTGTTTATTTCAACAATTTCTGGTAAACATGGGCATTTATAGAAATGATTGTCCCTTGTAGAAATCATTATGGTTTTACTTTAAAATGTCACATTCTCGTGCAAGAATGCACTGAATAAGGAAATGATCTTGATTTGTGATGAAGGAAATGTCTCGTGCGGAAATTGTTCGATTCCAGTGTTGCGTAACAAATGTTTGCCTTTTACGACAATTTCGTCAACTTTGCCCCTCAAGACGATAGGAAATTTAGCAAAATCGTTGAGCTACGTCGTGAGAGTTCAAACATATCTTAGTATTTTTGTTTCTAAAGTTGCACATACATATAATCTTTGAAAAAAAAAATCTATTTCAGATGTTATTTCTGATTTATTAATGAAGAGCGTAGAACAGAAAATTGAAAGTAATGAGGCACTTTGGTTTATTATTATTTTTCTTTCGGAGGAAAAAAGTTGTTCTTGTACATTATTTGAATCCGAAATTCCAAGAAAATTGTTTGGGTTCGCATTTTCAAACAAATTATTAATTTTTCTTTGAATGAAATTCAATATGAACGAATGCCTCATTGAGCTATGAAAAGTGCAATAAAACGAATTCTCGTCGATTTTGAACAAATATAATATTAAATAGTAGGAATAAATAAATAAATATCTGCGCTTCCATTTTCATCGTGCCCCCCGATCTACCCTTCTTTGTTGGTTTTTCAGCAGCAAAACCGCTACACTCGTATTTCTTCTCTCTTGATTCACCTAGTGAAGATGGGGGGTAGAGAAAGAGGACGAAGAAGAAGAAGAAGCTGCCGCAGCAGCAATAGACCACAGTTGGCAGTGGGGTGGGAGCTCTTCTCTCTCTTTCTCCTCTTCGTTGCCGCGTTTTTTTTTGTCGGAGCTCTGTCCGCGCTCTGGCAACTTTTTATGTTGAGGCGAAAAAAACGCAGCGGTTTCGCCGCGTCTTTTCAGATATATCCCGTCTCCCCCATCTTCTTCTACGTCGCTTTCGTATTCGCCTTCTTCTCCTTCCTCGTCGTCGTCTTCATCATCATTCGCCTCGAAGATTTTGCCGTCACACCCGGGGGGCTCGACGAGCTGCCAATGGCTCTCTTCGTTCTTCTCCACTCTGCATGCCCATTTTTTGATGCCTGTGTTTCGCGATTCATCATGATTTATTGTTATTTTCTTGTTCATAGTTTCATCACCTCATTATTTGCATAATCCGACGCGGGTGGTGGATTAATCAACATAGAACGATTCAAACCAGAAACGCTGGATATAGGATTAATTTCTGGTCAAGTTCCGTTTCCCATCTCCCCATCCATCTGTGTGTGGCGGATGCATGTTTTTTTTCAATGGATTCATGACTTATTCAGTTTAGCTGAACTCAACGCTTGACTCAAAACTCAACAAAGTTAACTCTTGACGTTTTATTTTCCTTCTTAGCGTCTGCTCTATTTCTTCGACGTCGTCATTTCTGGTCGGATGCACGCTGAAAAGAACAATGTTCGGCTGGGCTTCTCATATACACGTGAAATTAGAGTTTTTCTACAAAAATTTGCTAATTTTGATACTAATGCATTCAAGTCGTCTGTAAATCCAATATTCATTTGAAACGTTTAGGAGATGAGGGTCCGAAATTTGTCTTTATTGGCTGTCGTCGTGCCTGACTCCGCCTCCGGAAATTTAAACATTTCTTCCACGCCTTCCCATATTCGAGAATCGTTGGCCTTCAATAGGCTGTCTAATTAGGTCTCCTCCTTTTTCATCCTAGTTTTCCGTGCCCACGTGAGTTGGTCACGTCAAACACTGTGATTTTCCGTATTTATGAAAACCGCTCATCAATATTTAACGTGCCTTTTTTTAAATGCCATTTTGTGTTTCCGTGGTGACGATGAGAATTCGAATATTTCGAAAATGCGCTGAAAATTATTCCGGCTACTAGCAAATCTTTTAAGCTTCAACTTTCTTCCTGGTTCCTTTTTTTTTGGGAAGGGGGGGGCAGGTTTGGAAAATGCCCTACGACGCCAAACTCATTTCGCGCATTCATTAAACTTGATTCTTCTTCTTCGGTTTTCTAGTGCTCGACATTCACCTATTTCGCGATTGGCAAAGTTTGATTCGGCAAGCCCAAAAAAAGCTGGATGGAAAAGTGAGACGTGTGTGAGAGCGCGCGCGTTGACGAAAAGAGATGAAGCATGTTCTCGTCCTTATAAGAGTGTAAACTCTGAGAATGCTCATTAGTAGCCGCTTCTCCGCTTTCAGCTTTCAGTGTGAATGAGTTGAGTAGAAAGTGTCGAGTTGAGCGGGTTTTTTCTTTCGCCCGAACCTTTTTTCGTTCTTCTTCGTCTTCTACATCTTCTTCATCGTTTTCTTCTGCTTTTTGTTTGATATTCGTCTACGCATTTTTTCTTTCCTTTCCCGCCCCGATTTTCGTTTGCTCCGCTCGATCGAATTGTCGCCGAGTGTCTTAATGCAATTGAGCGGAAACATTTGTCTTCTATGAAATAGGATTGCGATGTATTCATTTTTTTTTTGCAGAAATCGGCTGACGACATGCCTCCGCCAACGTCGACGACGTCCAACGAGCTCGACAATAACAATTCGATGGCAGCGTCGCCGCCGCCAACTAGCTCCGATCAGCAGCGCAAAAAGTCGTTCAGTATTGAAAGAACAGCGCCGATTGAAAATGGAAGGGAAACGTATATTGAAATCGATAAGGTTAGCATTTTTTTTGCATTTAAAAATTATTTGGGGTATTATTCTGAAATTTCTAAGTCCTGATTTCGTAATGGTTCAACTTCAAATAGATATGTGCAAGTAATCCGTTTTCTCAAAATATGAAATGAATTATTCATATGAAATTTGTCATTTTCGAAAAATATCTACAAGACGAATCTATCGTTTTTTTTCAGGATGGAAAAGGTCTTGGTCTCTCAATCGTCGGCGGTGCTGACACCGTTCTCGGCACTGTTGTAATTCACGAGGTTTATTCGGATGGCGCAGCTGCGATTGACGGTCGCTTAAAACCTGGCGATCAGGTTTTAGAGGTAATCTTCAAAAAATGTAAATAGTGATTATTTCAAAATTATAGGTTAATGGAATCTCGTTGCGAGGGGTTACGCATGATCAGTCGATCGCATATTTGAGGAGAACACCTCCAAAAGTGAGCCATTTCTTTTTTATTTTAATGACGATAAATTTTTTTAAAGGTTCGATTACTGATTTATCGCGACGTGAATCTACAGTTAAGCCTTTTGGATCCAACACAGATCTATAATATGTTTGAAATCGATCTCAACAAAAAGGCTGGCAGAGGATTGGGCATTAGTATAGGTAGTCGATCACCCTACTGATTTGTTTTATTTGATTTAGTTTTTATTACAGTTGGAAGGAAAAATGAGCCGGGTGTTTATGTTAGCGAAATCGTCAAAGGCGGTGTTGCCGAACAAGACGGCCGTCTGATGCCTGGAGATCAGATTCTGGAGGTCAATGGAAAGGATGTGACAGGCTGCATGCAGGAGGAAGTTGCGGCAATGCTCAAAACTTGCACAGGCAAAGTCCACCTCAAGGTAAATGCGCATAAATCAATGTGTGTCTTGTGCACAAAACCATAAATTTCGAAATTCAAGGTTATTTTTGACATGTTCAGTCAAGTAGAAAAATGAAAACTTCTAAAAGAGCCAAGTGTCAAAAGTTTAAACTACAAATAGAATTGAATTGAAATCCTGAAAAGGTTGCACGTTTACAGCTCGGACGTTGGAAGATCACCGAGACGGCGAATCGGGTTCACGCGGCCACTGAAGCACTCGCGAAGTCGGCGACGACACCACGGGTTGGTAGAAAGGTAAGCACTTGTGCAGGAAAATCGATGGCCTAACACCACACAACACCCGATTCAACGATTTTTTTTTCGAGAAAATCAAAATTCTGTAGATGTTTCTCGTTTTATTTCATTTAGTTTTTTTCGCAAAGCATGTGAAAGATACACCAGCACCCTTAAGAGTGTTTCAATCCTTATGTTCTAGACGTTTTACTTCTTTTCTGGCCGATTCTGCACGTGCGCTTACCGAGTTTTATCATTATTATTAATATTCTCATTTTCTCTGATGTTTTTTTTTTAAAGAAAGAAAATTATAGCGGATTGTCGCCGACCGGTCATTTTTGTTGAAACAAATCATTTTCCTTGTTTTATTTTATGATTTCTACAGTATGTAGTATTCATCTATTAATTTTTGGTTCGACAAAATGCCTAGTTTGTGCAACAATTCCGAATTTTTCACACCTAAAACTGTCAATTCTCTGTTTTAGACGACTGAGAACAATGTTGAGACGGTGGCCACGACTCCCTCTCCGGCGACATCAGCACCATCGACATCACGCGAAGAGCGGAAAGATGTTCCGCCCCCGGCGCCACCGATGAGGCCAATCATCACACACACCTCGCCTGATGGGGAAGTAATGCCTGCAGAGACGGGCGGTCTTTCACCGGTCACCGAAGAGCCGTCATCTGGAACCGAATTCGTGAGTTTCCGTGTACCACTCTTAAAAGCATTTCCTTTAATGGGGCAATTTGTAGAAGAGCGTGCACGATGACGAGAAATCTCAAGCTACGACGGCGCCGCCGCCGTCGTCGAATTCGCCGAGCACACTAAACACGCCGGCGACGAGCACACCTAATGGCAGTAATAACAACAATTCGCTCGCCATCGACATTATTCATGATTTGAATGAAGAGGGAAGCGACACGATGCTTGTCGAGCTAAAAAAGGTATAAAAATGAAGGTGACGCGATGAGACGATAATATTTTCATTTGTAGGCGCCTGATCAACAATTAGGAATGGGAATTGGAAAACGGACGAGAGGTATTCTAGTGACGTCATTGCAGCCAGGATCGGCTGCCGCTGAGAAACTCAAAGTGGGAGATCGAATAATGGCGGTGAATGCGTTGCCAGTCACAGATCAGGTTGGAATATTTGACCCTGGATTTTTGACTGAAGCTCTTGTAAAATTGTAGCTCTCTGCTGTTACATTCGTCAAAGCTAGTGGTGAGCGATTGTTTCTTCAAATCGCCCGTCCTCGGACTGCACCACCCACTTAGTCGGAACCCTAGATCGCTCAATATATAATAATGATTTAAATATTCATCATATAATTACTATGGGTATAATTAAATGAACGATCAGCTTGTGTTTATTTCCATCACGTTGTTTTTTGCATTCCACTTTTGTTTGTTTTAATTTGGCATAGTCGTCGTGGTGTGCTCATAAATTATTGGAGAGCTCAATCCGGTATCCTAAATGATTAACAGTAATAAATAATCGTAATTTGATATAACATTCGAAATGTTTGCTCAGGTTTTTTCCCGCAACTTCAATCGTTGATCAATATTTTTTCATCATTTCTAATTTTTTAGGTTTTAAAATGTCGTCTCAAATATCTTATAGGAATTTATCAGTTTGTGGGTTTGTAGAAATCTAGTCAGCTCTTTCCTTTTCTTTCCATTTCGTTTCCTTCTCTCCCTTTTGCTTTATTTAATTGTATTAGTCATTACGCGCAGATTATTGGTGCTCTCGCACCACTTCAATTGTTTCTTTTAAATAGATGTGTTCATTATAAATGGTATTTGGTTTCTTTCTCATTTATTTAAAGAAAAAATTAAAGAAGATCGAAAATGCTAAAAAAAAAATTAATTGCATTTTGGAGATTTTTTGAACAATGGTGGTCAAAAAACGATATGACCAAAAAATGGACGAAGACGTTGGCCCGAGCTGGCCGACTTCGGGTGTTAGACTATTGGCTTGATGGCCCGTGCCGATCAACCGATGCGCTAGGCTGAATGGAAATCGGAATTTTCTGTAATCTCGGCAATTTTCCGAAATTACAGAAAAATTTTATATGAACGGCTTAGCACATGCGACTGGGAATTTCTCCTACTAAATGTGTGCAAAAATTTTAAAAATTTCCAAAACCCAAGGCGAAAACAGCTCCGGTGTATGAAAATTTAAAAAGAAAAGCTTTTGCCTATAAGATCCTTTTCCCAAATTGCCGAAAAAGTAAAAAAAAAAGAAGAAAATGATTATTTTTCTTTTTTTGCATTAAAATTTTTTCCATTTTTTTTAAAATTTCTCTACATTGCTCCAATAGAGAAACGCGTGCATGTACAACTATTCTTCAAGATTTCTTATTTTAAAAATTGATTTTGTTTAAAAAAAAAACGTGGACTAACAAATAACTAGGCCGCTGTTAAATGTGATGTAGTATTAATGTCGGCAAACGAATCCTATCGAAAAACATTGGGTTAAGAATAACCGACACATCTTGAATCGATGTTTTGCCGTGTTATCACTGATTGTTTACAATTTTTCTTTGTTTTAATTTTTCTGTTCGCCTCAAATCAGTAATATATATTTAATAACGTTGTTATAAATCTTTTATATACATCGCACTACAATGTAGTCTGTTGATGACACCGTTCTGTTATCCGAAACACGTCTTTATCGCTCATTTCGCCGTGTATACTTTGTCCTCTTCATTCCATTCAATCGCTTAATTCATTTCACCGTTTTTATTTCAGCTCTAATTGTGCCAATATGTTCCGGCGATTGACGAGTAATCCCATTTTGGCATCCAAGAGTTTTTCTAAACAATGGTATGAATTCGCATTATCTTATCTTTGTACTTTTTTAAAACGTGTGTTTGTTAGATGTTTGTTTTTGACGATTTGGGTGGAGTAGTTTTTCTCTTCACCATAAATACGCCATTTTAAATTTAAGTGCAAACTATCATCTTCATAAAAAATTCGGGTATATGCCTAGTCAACTTTCGTTTTCCACTCTACCGGAGTTCGAAAATGCTCAGCAAAACCTGAAGAAGCTCAAAGAGGAGCCCGATAATGATGTGAAGCTGAAGCTTTACGGGCTTTTCAAACAAGCAACCGTTGGCGATGTTCAAGGAAAGCGACCAGGAATGATGGATTTTGTCGGAAGAGCCAAATTCGATGCTTGGAGTGCTTTGAAAGGAACCACGAAGGTTACATATTCGAAAAAAATGGTGTTAAATTTTTAATTTATAGGAAAAAGCTCAAGCTGAATATGCGAATGTTGTTAAAGGATTGGCAGCTGAAGAATCGCAGTCCACATCCGATTCTTCGACGACACTCGAAGGGCTTACGCCAGTTTCTGGTTTACAAGTTACTCGTGAGGGAAAAGTCTTCAAAATTACTTTGGACCGCCCGAAGAAATTTAATGCGCTTACTTATGAGATGTACGAAGGCATCGGAAATGCTCTTGAAGCATCGAATGCTGATAAGTCGACATCTTTAACTGTATTCACCGGTAATTTTCGACATCTAACGTGCAAAGAACATTTTGAAATTCAGCGAATGGCAATTATTTCTCTTCTGGAAATGATTTGACAAACTTCAAGGGAGCAGCTGGAGGATCGAAAGAAGTGGTGGCGGAAATGGCGAAGAACGGACGAGCTGTTCTCAAAAAATATGTCGATGTTTGTATAATTTTCTATTGAAACTTTATATTTTATAATATTGTTTATAGACGTTCATTAATCACGAAAAACCACTTATTGCGCTAATTAATGGACCGGCCATCGGAATTTCAGTGACTGTTTTGGGAATGTTTGATTATATTATTGCTTCAGATAAGGTATTTCTGATTCTTTTGAAACTCCTTTTAGTGTTCTTAATTTTCAGGCTACTTTCCATACGCCGTTTGCTCCGCTTGGTCAATCTCCAGAAGGATGCTCCTCGTACACTTTCCCATTGATTATGGGCAGTGCTAGAGCTTCTGAGGTTTGATTTCTTTAACTAACTCTTTTATTCATATTCATGTTTAAGCTTCTTCTTCTATGCAAGAAAATCACTGCTCACAAAGCGGCTGAATACGGATTGATCAATGAAGTGATCCCAGATTCAGAGTTTCAGGCTTATTGTCAGAAAACCGTCGAAGAGTTCTCGAATATTCCCCCTGAGAGTCTCCGAATCAACAAAACACTTCTTCGCTCTTTGCATAAGGAGCAATTGTTGAAGATTAATGAGGTGACAATAAATATAGCATGCTTTATTAAACTGCGATAATTTTAGACGGAATGCGATATATTGGCTCAACGCTGGCAATCAAAAGAATGCCATCAAGCTATTGCCTCATTCCTTACAAGATCGAAAAAATAGATATTCTCTCATAAACTGGTCAACATTTAATTCGAAAAATAAATGTAAATATTTAGTCGAATAGCACAAAGACAATGAACAAAATGTTTAATTGGCCAACAATTACTTTTTGCCGAATAATAATGATGGTAAAATTGGTGAGATCATGACGACAGAGTCAAGAGCGATTTACCTAACAACATAACAATTAATCATAGAAAACGAGGGAGACTAAGTGTTCTGCTGCTCGTCGAGCACTATTATCTTTTCGCGGGTGCACGAGTCGCAAGCAGGTAAACGAATCACTATATACGAAGGCTCCTTTTGATAAACCTGAAAATTTGCTTCATACATCAATCTGTTTGATAAGTCAAATCAATTAACTAAAATCATAACACCACAAATAAAAGCTTACCCGCTTATCGCATATCGGACAACAAAAATTGGGTTCCGGGTGAACCCCATGATTGCCCACGTGCATCACTTGTGGTATATTGTAACTTCGCTTCAAGACCGGCGGGCACGTTTCATCACCATCATGCAAACTGCTCGGCGCAGTTCGCTTTACTGCCCGACTTGATGGACCTACATGATGCTGTCTTGAATGTCCTGGGAATCTGAAACACAAAATCCTTTGTAACGACTAAAGAAAACGAAACGACATACGAATTGTGTTCCCTGTTTGACGGTATTATCAATTGGTCCATGGTTGCATACGCAAACTCGCCATTAAGGAATTGTATCTGATCAAAATGCAATATTTTATTTAGAAAAAAAAAAATGAATCCATACTTTATAGTCAGAGTTACCCCTCACATATCGAACAGTAGCTTCTTGAAGCTCACCATTTGGCATTCGAACATGCACAGTTTGTCCTATAAGGCTGTTCCGAGCATCTTCTGAAGAATTTTGTTTTTTTGTAGGTCGCAAGTGTAATAGTTTAAAAGTTAGAAAATGCGATTTTTCGCAGGTGCAAAAAAATCCAAGAGTATATTTTCCAATGTATTTAAAACCTACTTTCTTCTGGTTGATGATAACTTGTCGAAGGGCAGGGATTATGGGAAGAGCCTTCTACTTTATCGTCTTTTCTGAAATCGCTATTCGCATATTCAAATAATTAAAAAAAAAAACTTACAATGAGATTGATGGCATCGCAATTTGGACAAGTTGTTGAACATTATCTTCACTTAAATTATTCACATTGATATTTAATTGAGCAAGCTGATCGGGGGAAAACTGAAAAAAAAACTAGTTTATTATAATATTTTAATCTCTTATTGAAAATTGAAATTACGTAGAATTCTTGTTGTGTCTGATCCGTTATTTTCAAGCCGCCATCCTCAGTGATAATTATTGCGACTAAATTTTCGTCGGATTGTAGATTATTCATATCTAAAATTTCTAATTCGAATAAAAATTTAAGAGCAATTACGCAATTAAACCTGCTTCATTTTCGACAACTTCTTCCTCTGGCTGGTTCCCATCCTGTTCAACTAATTCGCCATCTGAAATTTTTTTTTCACGCATTTTAAATAATTTTTTTTGGAATTTACTATTTTGTTTTGCAATTCTCTGCTCACTAATAGCAATTAGAAACCTTAACTGCTCATCACTAAGGTGCTCTAGACTGTCCACATCAAATCCAGCTTCGTACAAGTCTTCTTGTGTGATCTGAAACAATTTGATTGAAAATTAATATTAATTTTGAAAAATTAACCAAAATCGAGTTTGGATCAGCAATAATATGCTGTTCATCAGTTATTATATGCTCTTGTGGTTCTAAAACAGGCGCACCATCCTCATTTTCATCGACATTCTGTAAATTAATTAATACAGAAAATTTAAAAATTTGTAATACCTGAGGTGGTTCTTCCGAATGAGGAATGTTATCCAAATTACCCTCATTTGTCTCTGGAGCAGGATAAACTCCTTCTGGTGACGAGCTGAATTATTTGTGAACGTTTTTAGTTAATCATCAACAAATTACCGTGGAGGAATTTCTTCTTCACCGCCAACTTCGATAGCGTCTATTACTTCTTCTTTCTCTGATTGTATTGGTAACTCTATCGGTTTCATATTACCTGCAAAAAATTCAATATTTTTGTAAAACTTATTTTTCGATAACCGAAATTGTGAAATACTCTAAAATACACGAATTTAATAACAATTCCATAGAATAAAAAAATCGCAAATACGTGTCGTTTAATGTGCTGTCCGATACGTAGACTAGATAGCGCGGTGTTTGCGGACTACGGTGGCGCCAATATTATTTAAATGGTTTTCTGTTTTTAATGCGTCTGATCGAGCAAGCTGCCATGCTCGCATTCGTAAAGACATATTTTCAAATTAAAATCTCTGAAATTCGTTTTTCATCTATTGCGTAGTCTCTGTGTGCAGAAATGTTTTATTTAGTAATAAATTGCATTTTTTTTTCTTCAGAACGATGTATATAAAATCAATAGAATTGGAAGGCTTCAAGTCTTACGCAAACAAGCAATTAATCACTGGATTTCATCCACAATTCAACGCCATCACAGGATACAATGGATCGGGAAAGTCTAACATTCTCGATGCAATTTGTTTCCTTCTCGGACTCACCAAATTGGAAAATATTCGAGCTAGTAAGCATTTCATAGTTTGTAATGTGAATTTTTGTGACTTTTACAGAAAACATGACGGATTTGATTTTCAAACAAGGCCAAGCCAGTGTTAATCGAGCAGTCGTCACGATCGTCTTCGATAATCGTGATAAAGATAAAAGTCCTTATAATTTATCGGACCATGACGAAATTGTCATCAGACGACAGATTACACTAAACGTCGGCAAAGGACCAGCATCAACATATATCCTCAACGGACAAGCAACAACGAGTAATAAAGTGAGTAGAATCAATGTTATCTTTAAATGTTTAAATGATTCAGATTCACGACATATTCCGTGGAGTCGGCCTTAATGTTAACAATCCGCATTTTCTCATCATGCAAGGACGTATCACGAAAGTTTTGAATATGAAGCCTGACGAAATTCTCGGAATGATTGAGGAGGCCGCTGGTACCAAAATGTACGATCAAAAGAAACGCGATGTGCACAAATTGATTGCGAGCAGAGATCTTAAAATTGGCGAAGCTGACAGGGTACTTTATAAAAATAGCCATGAACAAAAACATTCGTTTTTCATAGATTGTGATGGAGATTCTTATTCCAAGAATGGAAAAGATGAAAGAAGATGCGAAGATTCTGGTCGAAGTGAAAAAGTTCGAAAAAATCAAAATGCACTATGAACGCAAATTGGACGCTTTCATCTATTATCAAAATATAATGAATGCTGAAGATAACAATGATGCTGCGAATAAGACGAGGGAGAAAATCCAAAGTGCTCGTGATCGTATTCAAGCGATTGATAATGAAATTGCGGAGAACGAACAGCTTCTTCTTGACATTGAAAAAAACAAAGTGAGATTTTAAATTGTTCGGTTCATAATGTTTTTTTGTTTAGAATGAAACTGATTCTAACAATGAAATCGAAAAGGAGCTCAAAGCTCGAACTGAGGAGCGTGTTAACATGGAAGGAGAGAAGGACGAGGTCGCCGAAGCGATTAAGCAAATTCAAGAAGATCGCAAACGAAAGGAAGCTTCAATCGAAAAAGATGAGAAATTGCTCGAAAAGAAGAAAATGGAATTGAACAAAATTCTCTCTGATCATGACGCAGTTGATAAGCAGCAAAGCAAAGATGCTGAAGATGCGAAGAGATACCGTCTCGAGATTGAAGCATTGACACGCGGAATGATGACGAATGAGCAAGGAGAACAGGTCTCGATTGAGCAGAAAATTCAGGAAAGTCGCACTGAAACCGCGGAAATTGAAGCAAGCATGAAGACTGCTCAGAATCGGTATACATTCAATGTTTATTGTGTTATTTATACGCTACAATTTTGTAGGCAGGAACGTTTGAAACCGAGAGTTCAAGAATTAACTAAGCAAATTGAGAAACACAAGAAGCAACACACTTCAGAGATGGCGGAAATTCGTGCAAGAGAAGCTGAGGTAGAATTTATTTATTACAAAAATTATTTAATTCGAATTCACTGATTTTAGGTTGATAGATTCACGACTGAAATGCAAAAATTGGACTTTAATGAAGTTGCCGATGCCAATATGAAAGAGCGGGCGAAAACATTGAGAAATGATATTGATGAAATTCAAGCCGGAATGGCGAGATTGCTTCGAACTGTTGGGTAAGTTATCAAAAAAAAAAACGGTTTTTTTTCCATATTCACTGATTAATTTCCAGAAAAGGACGATACGAATTTGTGTATCGTGATCCTCCACTTCCAGGGTTCCGTCGCGAACGCGATGTTCTTGGAACCGTTGCCACATTATTCTCGGTAAAGCCAGATGCAAAGGCATACACGTATGCTGTCGAAATCGCCTGTGGAAACTTTGTAAGTCGCTTGATATTGGGTTTTTTTTTCAAATATTTATTGATTATCTAGCAGAAAATTGTGTGGAATTTAAGCGCTAATGGTGTTTTGTGGTTGTTGGCTTAATATTTTGTGGTAATGAGATTCGAATAAGCATCGGGAAGAAGAGTTGTCACAATCACAAGTCGCGTGGCGATGGGGTTATGTAGCCGGATTGCGGCTCGCGGAAGAAGACGTACTCGGTGTAATGAGCCCATCGTTGTTCTTCGTAATCGCCGCAGTTTCGATGGGTCATGAGATCCTGAAATAATACATAGAATGTTTATTTATGGACTTGAATTGATAATTAGTTGAAATTATTTTTGCGGGTCGGTCGACACATTCCATTCAACGAGATGAGATGCTTTTTAAAGTTTTCGGATTCCAATTGAAAAAAAAAATGAAAAAAGAAAGTTGAATAGAAAGACATGCGAGGTAATTAGGAAAAATATGAGTATAGAGATGCACATGAATTTACTCGCCTTCAATTTATTAGTGTCATTCATTATCCTCCCGACTATCTGAACTTTTGATTTTAACCGGGTTTCTATTTTTTTCGGCAATTTCAGTTAGGAAATTTTAAAACAGTAGATAATTATAGTTAAATATTCTATAAATTTTGGTAAATTTGAAGTCTCTCGTGACGACTTACACTTTGCGACATTGTTCCCATGTTACTGGCAAGGATTGAATGGTTCGCAGCAGCGAGTCCATTGGCTCCCGCGCAGCATGTTGCTACTAGTTTGAAGCCTTTTTCAGCCATCACGTCACATGCCTAAAAGCATCGCATGTTTCTTTCTTTTTTTTTTACTGGTTTTTTCGGTTTACTCTTTCAAGACATTGATGCTTCAAGTAAAGTCTTGAAGTGTATCGATCGCCATCATCTGGACCTCCTGGATCGCGGCTCTCGTTGAGAGTGTCTCCGAACACTTCGCGACACAAAGTCGCACGACCACACACGAGAATTCTGTGCAATTTTCGGAATTTGACATCGGCTTGACCGTCGCGACCGAACGCGAAAGTTCCTCGATAGCCTAGGGTGATGTAGCCACCTAGAAGTTGGAAAGGTTGATATTATAATTTACCGGTCCCGTTTTTAAAGTGATTTTTTGACACTAATTTACACAGAAAATAAATTAAAATCGAAAATTTATTGCATTTAATCCGACATTTTCTAAATCCAATCCCATAAAAAATATAATAGTTATTTTTGAGGATTATTTAGCAATTCTGCTAATAATCTTTCCTCGTTGTTTATTTTTTGAAAATATTAAATGCTGTTTTTTTTTTAAACCTTTTTGGATCTCTCATATTTCAAGAATAAATTCGAGGCGCACCTGTTTCTGCCCCATTCGTGTACCCGTTGGCTGTTCGCGGTCGCGAAATAAGCACGGTTGAGGTGAGCTGCGAAGCAAGACGTTCGAACCGATAAAACTCGGCCTCGTCACGTAGTCTTGAATGGTCTTTGAAGTTTTCTGGAAGCGATAGTCGATCGGTGCGCAGGAAATGAAGAATGAAGGCAAATAGTGGTCCGTCGCGATCGATGAAGTAGGTGCCGTCCTGCATCGGTACGACGCTTGTCTGATCCGCATCCGACAGGTTGCCTGCGGCGATGTTGGCCAAGAGTGTGTCGGGCTCCTTGTTCAATGTATTTCGCGTCGTCGTGTACGCGGTGCCACCGACGTTGAGTGAAATTATGTCGTCTGAGGATGACATGGCTGAAAAATTACAGAGATTGACTGGGGTCTTAAAGTTCCTTAATGTGCATAAAGACTACAATATTTATCGATGTGCGCGCGTGTGTGTGTGTGCGTGAAGAATGCGAAAAACGCGTCACATTTGACAATGGCGAGGAAATTGGCTAGAAAAGAAAAGAAGAGAGAAATGGTTTTTTTTGCTCTGCCGTAGCCCCTCCCACTCCCTCACCCTTTCGCCGCCTCCAGCCACTGATGGTAGAGGTGGAGTCGTGAAGAGCAAACGAATAATTGGCGCGAGATGAGAATTTTGTAGTATTTTATGGCGTTGGACGTGTCTTGTGTATGTGTGCGCACGGCGAATTGTCAACAAGAATGCAAAAATAAAAAATAGGAATAAAAGCGGGATGTGTTCTCTCTAGATTAATCGCGGTGAAAATTTTTATTTACGCGAATAGTCTTTTTTGTGGTTTTTGAGACCATTTAAAGAAACATTTCGCTATAGAAAAAAGTTGGAAATAGAGTAGGGCGTCCGTCGAGATATGTTAGCTGATGCAAAACATGACTAATGTGCGAGGAGGGCGCATAAATTTGCGAATATCTGAAAGAGAGTGGAGACTAGGCCCCGGAATTGCTTGAAAGTGAGTCCTTTTGATGGCTCGTTTTTCTTCTTCTTCTTCTTCTTCTTCTTCTTCTTCTTCTTCTTCGTCTTCTTCTGCTCCTTTCTTGTTCTTCTTATGCCTACGGTCTGTCGTGGGACACAAAAGCGGCGGCGGAGGCTCATGCTCGTTTTTTTACAACTTTGTCTGCACCCATTCATTTTATGATTTTCGGAAAATGGACGTAGGCTCAATATGGGATTTTCTGGATTGCAAGACGCCGAAATTTGAATCGTTGATCTTCCATAATTTGAGCTGGCCCTCCGGTGAATATTTGCTTCGGTTGTCGAAGATTCGATAACGCATCTTTACCAATAATCGTCTTATGGGGCAATGCAGAGAAAGTTTTGAAAAATTGGCAAATTTCGATGAAGAAAACAAAAATAATGATTTTTTTCTGCATAAAAATTTTTTTGTCAACATCTGCGGAAAAGTTTATTTTTATCTTTGGTAATTTTTTGGAACATCGAATCTTCTTGATTTTGTTCCACTAAAAATAAATTTATAGTCATTATTCATTGGGTATTTCATTTTGTTGCTATTCCAATTAATTGTTGTAACAATGGCATTGAGATTAAATTTTTCTTGAGACCAAAAGTTTTCGCTCGTCAACATTTCTTGTTTTTGCATAAAAATTGAGCGCGCTACTCGCGCAGTTAATGCGAAACTTTGAACTTTCTGACATTGAGCAAACTAGAATGCATTTGATGTTAGTTTGAGAGAGAAATAGAGACATAGCCTATTTATAAATGGAAATTGGCTAGACAGTTTAGAATTGTCGTAGGATTAAGCAATTTTACTCAGAAGAATTCGAAAGAGCTCGTCTAAGACATACCAAACACCTACAATTTGAGTTATGGCCCTCTTTTCTCTACATTCATGAGTTCTGCTGAAATTGGACGCCTATCACTAACAATGTTAAAACGTTAGGGTATTTGCTTCTGTCTATTGCTCTTCTCTAGACTCCCAAAATAAATTAATAGGGATTATTGAAAAATAGCACTATCGATTTGTTTTTTTTCGACTGAACACAAAATTTTCGTTTGATAACGTATGACCATTAGAAAAGAGTAATAAGATCCCATTTTGGCCAAAAAAAAAACCTAGATCGCTCTTCTTCTTTTTTAGTGTTCTTCTGTTAATTAATTGGGATGAATGCGCCGCGCAATTGTTTGGGGGGAAAAGCCAAGAGTGAAATGTGTTATTTATTATTTTGTCAGGTGAGACCGAGTTGTTGCCGGATGTATTTTGAAATGGATATGGCTAGGAAATAGCGATGAAGTAATGGCACAAAAGCGACGAAAAAGGCGGGCGGGGGGAACTGAGAAAACGCGGGGCAGTAAAAGGTCGAGTTTGATTGGATAAGAAGGAAAAGTCGGAGAAAACAATCATGAAAATTTTTTTTTGCATCGGGCCTGCTTCTTCGTCATCTTTTGACTCATTTTATTTGGTTGCTCCTTGCCTACACAATGACGCGGGATTCTTCCTTGTTCGTCATCTATTCTACCACCATGACCATAAAAATATTAAAAATTGCGCCGTGGTGTGCATTTAATTTGTGCGCACGACGCCGCCGGGGGAAACTTGCGCGGAAATACGAATCGAGATATTAAATTCATGATGTTATTATTTTTATTTTGCTTTGGTGGATTTTTTTCCTCGCTCGTCGATTCTATGGTGTTATGCAGACTGCGAAAAACTCAGAAAACAGTTTTTAAAAAATTAACAAATTGCACAAATAATTTTAAAAACCTGATTAAACTAGTTTTCAAAATCAGCATAGTGCCGTTAGGCTTTTTGTCAGAAGTAAGTGCGAAATTTTGAAATGCACGACAAAGTTGAGGAAATCGAACATAGTTTGAACATTTTCAATAGAGGGGAAAACGAAATGATGTATTAGGTTACACGCGCTTTTATGAGGGTTTTGACACAACTGAATTTATTTTCTTTTTGCGAAAAAAATCCCTTATAAAATAATTGTCATTAGATTTATGAAGGAAGCGTTGCAGTTGCAACATTTTTGCTGCCCCTTTTTGGTTTCAATTTTCTATTGTTGGTAATTAAAACTTAATTCGCAATCTCAATTTTCTTTGGAAAAAAAATCGAATAACGGACAGATGAATTCAGAATATTTAAAATTGAACAATGACCCAAAGTCAACGTTCGTGGTCATGAGTGAATGGGGTCTTGCTAAAAGAATGAAACGAGAAGAATATAGAAATGATTCCTTTATTTGAAGAGATTTGATTCATAAAAAATGACGTGAGTAACCCATAGAAGAGCGTATTTTTATGACTAGTTTAGAATATTTCTTCTTTGTCATTTCAAGTCGATAACTATTATTACAGTATCTTGTATATTGCTAAAGGGAGAATATATGCATTTTGCGGAAATTTTTTTCTTCTTCGCCAATGAATATTCGAATATTTTTCGTCGCCTTATGCCTAAAAAGGCAATTATGCTCGGCGGCAAACGTAGGCAAGAGGAGTTTCTGACATTAAATAATGCTCGTAACTTGCCTGATCGCTGCCTACCCGGACCATTGAAATAAAAAAAACGTTTATGGGATAAAATTGAGAAGAGAACACACGGGGGGGGGGTGGCGTTTGGTCGAAGTTTTTTTTCTGAGCCGGCCGATTCTTTCGTTTTTGCCTGAGTGGCCCCGCCGATGTTGTTGTTTTTCGAGGGAAACACGAATGTGATTTTGAGATTATAGCTGGATTGTACTCGAGACGATGTTGTAGCCGACTGATATGAGATGGCTTCAGGAATGTGCTCGCTAATGCAAGTGTCGCCGTTTGAAAATGGGGTGAGAATGGTGTAAAGATGATGAGTCTTTGGAATGTTGGATTTTTGAAAGGGGGTCGATCGAATGCAACTCGAAATTTGGCGGAATTTCCTTTTTGCTAATTGCAGCAAAAATTGGGAGGCAGCTTGAGTCGCTGCCTAATTGCGAGCGACGTTTACATATTTGCATAATCAAGGAAGTTTTTGTTGCGGGCCGACAGAGTTCCTGCAGCATGCTGCTCGCCACACACGTCATTTAAATGATTTAATTGAAAGGAAGGCCGTGAGAAAAAATCTTTCTCTTTTTTCTGTTGCCTAAACTTGGAAATTTGTAAACACTTATCCATGAGAAGCTGAAAATTCGAACCGGATATCGCGTTTGTGTGAGATTACTCACGCAATTTTCAGATGTTAACTAACAAAACAATCAGACTGAATTCGAAATAAATATTGAGAGTTTTTCGGCGGAGGCCATCTGGCCGATACGAATTGAAATTTGATGGATTCCAATCAAAAACTCATCAAAATGTGCAGCATTTTTTCAGTTGACACAAGTGGTCGTTTCGACGCAAAATGTGGCGCGCAGTATGGTGGAGAATCGCGTGTTTCAGTCGCGAAAAACGCTGATTCCGGTCGCCGAATCGCGCAAGAAGTCGCCGACGTTCCAGGCACGACTCGACGGTAATCGTTGGAATGCCGCATGCAAAGTCGTGAGTTTTCCATTAATCTTTTTTTTTCTTGCGAGAATTTATTTCGTTTTTATATTCCTAATTATATGTTGGAAAATGCTCGCTTGCACATTTTTTTCGACTTCTGAAGCTCTCGTGCACTTTTTTGTGCTTCTCACCCCGAAACGATTGATGATTTTTTTGCACAAGCCAACAAAAAGTTGTCATGTCATTTCTTTCGAAGAGAGCGAATCTTTTTCAAGAGTTTTTTGGCGTACACAGGAAATTGATAATCGAAATTTTTGTTTTTAAGGGAATAGAGAAATTTCGTATTAAAGTTCCTAAATGGTATTGCAAAAGAGGAAATATTGCTAGATTAAAAAAAGACGGCGGGCGATATATCTTACATAAATAGCTTAATATGTAGGAGCGTAAGTGAAATTGTTAAATTTGACGGCATTGTCGAATTTGTGAAGTCTTATATACACAAAATTTTCGCTTCAAGTACCCATAATCTGTTCTTTCAAATGCTTTATTATGAGAATCTTGAATTGACAGACGTGTTTTGTGAAGGATTAACAACTTTAAGCATGGAATAAAAAAACAAGAATTTCGTTTTTTTTCACTAAACGTAATGCGAAGAAATAGTTGAACTTTAAAACTTTCGAACTGAAATGACCTTATCTGAAATATCAAATTACTCGAAGTTCGAGTTTCAAACGATGTACAATTTTTATTTGCATTTTTGCCAAGAAAAAAAGAGGAAAATGCGCAAAAATTAGGGATTTTGGATATTAGGCCGACGAAAGCACTCGTCGATCATTTTTGTGTTCGCCTTGTTTTCCATGCTTCGTCGTCCCTAGCTGGCTCCGAGAATATTTGCTATTCTTTTCGCTTGTGGTTCGTCTATCTTTATGAGTCTACTCGCTACAACAACCACACCAATGAAAAAAATTCGGGTTTTTTCTCTTCTCGTTTTTTTTCGATTTAGTTTTGTTCGCGGCACCTTTTGAGCACATAAACAAAAGTGGAAGAAAACGTGCAAACGAATGGGTAAATGAGACTGAACACTCTGAAATTTGAGCAGTCGAGTTCTGAAACTAACAAAAAAAACGAAAGAATAGAGAAAGCAGAAAAAGGGACGATGATGACCTAACTCAATTACTCGAACGAAAGAGGGTCTTATGTGGAAGAAATGCATGGGTATTCGACCGAATAAACGGGTCCCTTCCAAAAACAAATCATTTGATGAGAATTAATGGACCTATTTTTTATAGGCTTTTAAAGGCTCTAAGGCTCTGAAAAAAAGAATGGTGTTTTATTATTTTACATTTCGGGAGTAGGACTTGAATTGCACATAAAGACTTCTGAGTGGGTGGTTTTTTCCGAAAAAGTTGTTGGCCGACGTGGCAAACTTTGTTTTCTTCGAAAATCTGATAAGCGCCGACAGCGCTCTTTCAAAAGAGTTCAAAGTTTCCTGGAAACATGCTTTTCGAATCTCAGGAAATTTTCAGCTGCTAGTTAGTTGCCTTTATGTATTAGAAAAGTAGCAAACTTATTTCTCAAATATTTAGTCTTTCAAGGCGCATATATGGAGTTCATTAATTCAATAATGAATATTTGATCAATTTGTCGCACCTTCTAGTATCATGCAAGCAAAAAGGTGCCAAACGAATGTTAATGGGATCTCTAGTCGGACGGCGAAATTAGTTTATGATTAGCCATTCCGAGAACATGTGAAATGAGAATATTAGACATTCAAATGTCATTAATCGACTTCGGATTTCAACTGGCTTGATGAAATTTAATCTGCCCGTTTTCCATATTTTTGCGAGATTTAGCTTTTAATTCGATTTTTTCAAAAATTGATAGGATAAAGTTGTGAGGATGATGTGATGGATTATTCCCAACTTCAAAAAATAACAAGCAACTGGATTGTTTCTTGATTTTTTTTGCCTCCTTTTTTGACTTCGGTGTTCATCGCCGTAAGGAAATTGAACAATAGATGCATTAAATGGCTTGAAGAGAAGACGGCGAACAATAGAAGAAAAGTCAAGCAAGAAGACGAAGAAAAAATGATGTGGATTTCGTTTTTTTTTGCTACTTGCGAATATGACGACTCTAGAGAACGCATTGGCGAGCGTCTTAAAATGCAAATTTATGAATGTGACACATTCGCATGCACTTATTGTTCTTTTTCGAGCATAAGAGGAATTTGCAGAGTTTTGTTAGGGAGTCTTGCGCTCGATTAATGTGGTAGATGAACCTCGATCGGTTTCCGGAGACACGAAAATTTGTGTTGGGTGTTTGCGATGATGCAATAAAAAACTATAGTCGTAGATGGGCATTCCAATTCGTCAAAAAGTAGTTTGTCTGCATTTTTTCTTATAGCTTTTAATCGCCTTTTTTGTGTTTTTTCTTTGCAAAATCTGTAACGCACCGGAGATTGGCCTCTCACTAAACTACGTTGTTTTTCCAACGGGTTTTACATTTGGATATCAGTATTAAGAATTTGCTTAATGAAAACATATGTACATACATTGAAAACGCCTGCAAAAATTTTAAATTTAAAATTGAAAACTAAATTTGACCGAAATAATTCAAACTTTCGACAGTCGTTTAAAAATTCTTAGAATTAGGATATAAATGAGATATTCAAAATTTTTCTTGAATGCAAGCGTTAAATTCAATGCAGTTGTTTGCAAACAAATGATTGTATGTTAACGTAATGTAGCAATTGTTAGCGAAACGAAAAACTATATGCAAATCGAATATTGTTAGTGAAAAGATGGAGATTGTGGGAAATTTGAAGGAATTGTGTTTGAAAGACCTCCAAGATTTTCGCGATTTTATGCGTGATATGAAAAAAAGTGATGTTGACGAGCTTCTTGAGATATTCGATTCGAAACCATGGTTTGAATTGAGGTTTTCAGGCGGAACAACACAATCAGGAAGTGAAAAACTTGATCGATTTGATCGAATTTCCCCCAGAGCTTGCGATTATCATGGAGAATATTGTTGGAGGGGTATCAAATGAGATTTCAAGCCGATTCTTTTAGTTTTCGATTTCAGATTCTTGTGTGCGAATCTCTTGAATGCGCCAAAAGCATTGCTTATCATCCGCAGATCCGTACTCGTGTTGTTACAATTCGCGGTGATGACGTCAAACCGAATGGAGTCATGTCTGGAGGTCATGCTGATCGATCTGATGGAGACGTCTTCGAGCTGTTCCGGCCATTCTATGATTGGCGTCAGCAAATGAAGAAGAAGAGTGATGAGCTTGACAAGGTTGAAGCAGAACTTGAGAAGACCACAGGTGTTTCGAAGAAATATTATGAGCTCAAGGAGAGACTTGTATTGGCGAAGAAGAAGCTTAATGCGATCAATGAGAACATTAAGAATTCCGAGCTTGGAATCATTCAGACTGAACTCGCAACGACCACCAAGGTAAGAAGAAGAAGAAGCAGCTGCTTCATTTGGTTGTTATATTTGAGGAACTTGATGATGTCACTAATGAGATAGATGAGAAGAAGAAGCGACTCGCTGAGCTAACTGAGATTGTCAAAAATTTGGAAGCTCGAAAGAAGAATGATAAGAACTTCCAAGTATGATTTTAATTGTTATCATTTATCGAATTTCCGATTTTACTTTTATTAGGAACGCGAAAAGAAACGGTTGCGTGACAAACTTGAGGAGATCGAAGCGCGTTCGAACAAAAATAAAGAGGATCGAGAGAATGCGAGACGCAATATTCTCGCTAAACGGTGAAATCATTTTTTTTTCACGGCACTTTTTTAATAAACTTTTATTTTTAAGCGCCGAAGTTGAAGAACTCACTGAGCAAATAAAGAATGAGATTGCGAATATTGGCAGTAGAAATGAGGAGCTCGAGCAAAAGAAGCAGAAACTTGAAGAGGTCCAACAGAAGGTCGATGAGGCTTTGGTGAGTTTGGCTGTAATCCGAAGTGAAGGGATCTCTCAATGTTTTAGGGACGTGAGAAGGTGGTCCGTGTCAAATTGGATGAGCTGAAAAAGAAAATCCGCGCGCAGGACGATGAGATGAAAAAGGTGATGAAGAAAGTCGACAGTTGCAAACGCGAGAAACTCAAGATTGTAAGAAGGAATTGCCGAATTTCACACATGAATCTGTGATTTTTAGACATCAATCATTGAGAATCTCGAAAAGGAGGTGATGAGATATACCGAAGGCGAGAAGGCGTGTCGTGCATTGGCAGCGAAACAGAAAAAGAAATGCGAATGGATTGCGCAGGAGGAGCATCATTTTGGCAAACCGAATACTGATTATGACTTCGATAGGTAAACCAGTTATCAAACCAGCAACTTTCGTTTCATTCGACTAACAAATTTTGATTTTAGCGAGTTTTAAATTTTTTAATCAAAAAAGTATGCAAAAATTGTTTCGATCTTGAATTGAGTCGAATTTTTATCCGTAATTAGGAATAAGAAAATGCTTGAGAATTTATTTGTTTTTATTTTGAAATTTTTTATATAATTACATAATAATATTCAATATTATAGAATTTTTGAAGGTTTTTTTTTTATCAAGAACAATATTAGTTTTCATTGTTTGGTATAGAAAAACCCGTAGATAAGCCGTCATCTTAATATAAAAGAATTTTTCGCGATTTTCAAGTTTTCTGTTGTATAATTGCCCTGAAAGATATATTTTAAAAATCGTCCAAAATACGAAAAAATGTTTAGCTACTCGGAAGAGCGCGGAATCCAACAAATCAAGGAAATCAGTGAATCAATCGAATCGCTCGAACGTAAAATCAAAACAAAAGTACCGTACCAGTCTGAGCAAGTTGAGTCCAAGGTTTGCGTCGTCTCGTCGAATACTGGTTGTACATTTGAAATTGCAGCTCACCGATCTGGGAAGAAAGAAAGATGTTGTACGCGCCGATCGCACGAGTATCTTGACAACGATTACGGCGCTCGACGTGAAAAAAGAGGACGAGATAGAAAGGGCGTACAACTCCGTCAATCGAGTGAGTCGTGTCTAGCGCAGTGACAAGTTTTCTGCGGGTCGCGCGAGGTGTCGCTTGTTCGATTCCTCGCTGTGTGTTTACGTCGATGATGCCCAAATAATACTACGATTTAATTCGAATGACTGTGAGATAGAAACTTGAGAAAATCTGAGACAAACCATTTTGGCAATTATTTGGGATTTACTGATTTTGAAGTTTGAAATTTTTTTGTTGAAACTGGGCTGATGATTTCAAATAATTAAATTCGTAACAATATGAAACGGATAGTAAATACGCATATTTTTTTTTAATTGAGGTGATTTCTAGAGTTATCTGTGTTCTCTAGTTATTCGACAAAATTGGGTCCGTCGATTTCATTTGTTTTATGATGGACATTATATTTTGAGGGGATTGGTTAAGACAGTAAAACAAAGTAAAATTGCTGCTCATTCCCATCAACATAATCAAAAATAATCAAGGTGTTCATTCATGCCTTTTTTGAAAACTAGAAATACGACTGAAATCGGCCCGTGTGAATAATTGAATTGTTTACGCAATCCATGTAATCTAGTCGAAATAATTCCTTTATTTTCTAGGATTTTGGAAATATTTTCTCGACACTTCTCCCTGGAGCTCATGCGAAACTTGTACCGGTTGAGGGTAAAGAGCTTCATGATGGTGTTGAGGTCAAGGTTTCGTTCAACGGCCAGGTCAAAGAAAGTCTTCAGGAGCTTTCTGGAGGTATTAAGACATTCTGACATTCCGTTTCAGTGTTTTTTTTTTTCGAATTACAGGACAAAGATCGTTGGTAGCTCTCTCGTTGATTCTTGCGATGCTCAAATTCAAACCGGCTCCGCTCTATATTCTCGATGAGGTTGACGCCGCTCTCGATTTGTCGCATACTGCGAATATTGGAAAAATGATCAAGAAGCATTTTACCAACAGTCAAGTAAGAGAAATAACTCATTGTTAATGAGATAATCGTTTTTTTTTTTCCTTCAGTTTATCGTTGTTTCACTGAAGGAAGGTATGTTCAGCAATGCTGATGTCCTCTTCCAAACAAAATTCATCGATGGAAGCTCGACTGTGACTCGCACTGTGAACAGAAAACTAAACTAGCTTATTTATCGAACATCATTGCTTTTCTTTCGCAATGCATTTTGATTTATTTTTATTATTAACTTAACCACGCAAAGATGATCTCGCATTTATATGAATAACAAACTACATTTTCTTTTTTTCGCAAAGTAATAATGATATAACAAAATTGACTATGCAGATGGCTGATTGTTTGGATGATCGATTTTGTCTCGGAGTTGCCGCACCCGAGACTTGACCGTATCCCAGTCGAAATAGCAGCCGGTTAATGTTCGCGGCTTTCCCGTAGCGTTCTTGTAGCTGTCTCTAGTGTGCAGTAGGCGTTGATTTGCCCAGAGTACAGTATCGCCGTTTTCAAGACGGATTTTGAGCACATTCTTCTCGTGGTAACAATAATCAGTAAACGTTTTCAATGCTCTGAAATCATCTTAAAATGCACTTCTTTTGGAATTTTCGACAAACCTGTAGATGTCTTGAATTTTCTCGGGCTCACAATCATAGAACCAACTTCTCATTGCGTTTCCGAAAAAGATTTTTTTCACTTGGCCATTTTCATCGGTTCTGAAAATCGGATTATTTTAATTGCCGCTCTAATTATGATAATTACTCTATAACTTTATGTCTTGCGCACATGTCGTAATCATATCGGAAATCTTTCCCGTCGATCTCATGCACATCATAACCTTCTTCAATGTATTCCATTGAGTATTTCGACAACAATTCGAACACGTCGGGTTTTTCTCGTCGAAGAATCTCGGCGACATGGAATCCGTCGACGAAAAGACTATTTCCACCGGTTTCGGCGGTTTGAAGCATGTGCAACATTTGGAGCTGAAAATTCGATCGTTTTCCAATTTCAATGATTTTTTTTCGAATTACTTGCGGCGGATGGGCCATTGATGGAAAATCGGTGTGAAATGGAAGGGTGCCACTCGATGCATATGCCATATTCGAAGCGTCTTCTTTTGTCGTCACTTCGAATACATTTCTACACAACAAGACGATTCTCGAATCTTTTTCTTCTCTCATTGATTGCTCTTACCCGAAATGTGTTCTTTTGATCATTCCTATTCGATTTCCGATCGCATCGACCGCGCCTCGTCGGTGTTTTTCAGCTCCTTCGAGAATCGCGATTCCGTCGAGACAAACTGCTTCGAGGAAATCATGAGCAACTCGATCGTCATTCATGAAATCGTTGTGATTGAATCGCTTCAGTTTTTTCTCGATTTCAGCTCTTCCCCAAGTCTCTTCTGGGAACAAATACACTTTTCGGCGATTCTTTCGCGCTTCTTCGTTCGACGGATTGCGAAAATCAAGCCATGACGAAGAATACCTTAAAGGCTCATGATCTCAGAACAAAAATTTGATGATCCTACGTGCTTATCAAGCCTGAATCCCATTCAATTTTGAGGCAATCATCTTTCGGATCAATCCAAATTTTTTGAAGACCTTGCTCGACGTCGAATGTATTCATTGTTAATCTTCGCGCCTTCATAGCAGCCGATATCGAATAAGTTTCTGGATCCGGCGAAGTGTCACGAAGCCATATGACCGGAAATATTCCAGTTTTTCCTGAACAATACATTTTCAAACGAATAATTACTAGAATATTATACCATTTTGCCATTTGACTGTAACTAGACGGTTTTTGCAGGGACCAGAGACGGAGGAAAGTTTGCTGAGGCTTCTGAAACTTGGTATAGCAAGAAAAAAGACTCAATACTGCTGGGCAAATTTGAAAGGAAGTGATTTGCATCTGCGGACAATTCATCTGGTAATTCAAAACCGTAAAATTGACTGATCCGATTGGTTATGATTCGAATCCGTTTTTTTTCAATTCAAATCGGATACCAAAATTTTACAATGTTATCCGTAGAATTTCTAATCGGATAACATTGATTCCGGAGTCAAATTTTGTCGGATCCGATTGGTTTTGAGACCCAGAGTCTCATCTTTCTCGACGAACAATTTTTTGATCTCTGTTCTACTGCTGAATGATGCAAAAAAAAAGCGTACCTGATGAAATGCTTCGTCGAAAACATTGTGCTGATGAATCGAGAGAAACGAGTGTGAGCGTACGTGTGTTTCGCAGCACCACGAATCGGCCAAACAATGATAACAGCAGTTTATGGACGCACTTTGACCCGTTCCCGCGGGAATCTCGGGTCAATTCGGCTGGTTGGCTACGCCGTAGACCACTGGTTTCGATCGGCGTCTGTTTTGTGTGATAACAGTGAACTTTTGAGTTTGCACATGAGACAAAATTCCTGTTTCGCTTTATTCGAATTGCACGGTTTATTATTTCAAAATTTCTACAGATTGTCGCCGCTTTTCTGTTTCGTCAACGTCTTCTGATCTTTCGGCGCCGCTTTCTGCTTCTTCAGTATCGATACGCCGACATGTGATCCTTGGGATGTCAACATTCGCATAACCGATAACGATTCTTCCGATTTTTGCGTTTTCATCATTTCAACTTCCTCGGCTGAAAAACAATCAGCAATTTAAGAAATGAGAAACACGACGAATGATACATTTCTGAGTCTGTATAGCTTCTTTGAGATTTTTGAGCTTCGTATGAGCATAAGCTAAAAATATAGAATATTGAAGGGTGATTGTCGTATGATTCACCTTGAGTCTTCTTTGAAGTTCGAGGGAATGCTGAAATGTGAAATGGGTTAAAGATTTTCGATTTTACGATTGTTTTTATATTTCCTCTACTCACCAGTTGCTTTGTATTTTTCTTTCGCTGAAACTCATAATAGTTTTTTAAAGGCTTCAAAATCACCGAATTTATCTTACCGATTTCCATTGGCTGTTTGGCAACCTTTTTCGCTGAAAAACCAATCAATTCTCATTGAAGCAGACCGATTCAAACCAATTGTTTCCTCTTTCATCATCAAAGCAACTTGATGCGATTTATGCGAGCTCGGCGCCGCCTCTTTCGCAATTTTGCTCAATTTTTTCGCTTAATTTTGAAATAAATTATTTTTTTTTTAATTCAATCAAGATACCTTCTTGATGCTTATGAATCTTTTTTTCGCCACCTGAAAATATTCAACAACCGGTACGCACAATTATCATCTTACTGTTATGCAAGTTTCGCTCTTTATGCTCTTTATGAATTCGTGAAAGTTTGAGACTGAAAATGAATAAATGAGCAGAATTCGAAAAAAAAATCGAATTACCCCCGATCTCTTGAACGCATTTTGAGCACCTGAAAATGTTGAGAATTCGAGATGAAAAAATCATGGCAAACTAAAATACTTTCAAAAATCCAAATTGCTTTTGCTGGGTGAGATTGCTTTGATTGCTGCCAATTGCAGAGATCGCGGTGTGATCAACGAGTCTGAAAGTTTTCTAATTGAACTTGGTTAGTCTCTGAAACTCGTATATCACATGAGATGAGTTATGAAGAGAATTGACAATATTCAAAATTAATAAAAAAAAGTAGTCTAAAATAGGTGAAGGTTCTAAAAAATTAAATTTCGAGGTGTACGATTTTTTAATGAAATTAATATTCATTCTTGAAATTACAAAAAAAATCAACTGGAAAAAAACATACGATGTGCTTGATTTGATAGTTCTTAATGTGTTATGCTTCGCCAATTTCGCCGCCTTTTTCTCCTGATTCTTCTGAATCATGATCTTCTTTTTCTTCTCCAACTCTTTACTGTATTGATCCATAATATGTTTGTGCATATTCAAGACTAAATTTGGTGTATTTCGAAGCAATAAAACCGATCGACCAACATTCGTTCATTTCGCAAACTTCGTCATTCGATTTCTTCGCCAATTGCCATGTGCACCATCCGGGAACACCACTCAGCAATAATTGGCGAACTATAACAATTTGCGCATTTGTTTTTTTCTAGACATTTCTATCAAACTTTTCGGCGAATTTTCGCTCAGTGTTCCGGTATAGTGCAAAATAATTCGCATTTTTTCGTACGCTCTAAAAGTTCAGTTTTGGACGAGCGAACGAAAAAAGTGAAAACGGAGGCCACCTGTCGTTGTGAAAAATCGCCGCCGGCGAGAATGTGCTGCACATATAAGGCGCGAGCAAAATGAACATTTTATCCTTTCGAGGTCTGAAAAAAAAACAAAACGATTATAGACGCGTTTTCTCTTTCAGGAAAATTGTTTCCGCCACTAGGTCAGACGGCTCATGTTTTGCGCGCGTCGGCTTTTCAATCTCGTTCGAAACAACACACACTTAACAATTGTTACAGTAACATTTTTTCTCTTTGCTTTCATGATTCAGAATAAACTATGACCATTCGAAAAAAATGATTCGCGAGCATTTTTTGAACAAGGCATAATGGTAATTCAACTAACGTGTTGTGAAATTTGCATTGCTGTTCATCTGGATAACAACTATATGGCCTATGGAACACCTAAATTCCTTATATAGCTCTTATCCTCATTTTTAGTCTTCTTCTTGACTGATTACATTGATTTCAATCATATTCGTCATTCGACAATGTGGGTTGAGCACCATTCGACGGCCTGGAACTACTCCATAGACTTGATCGACGAAATACGAATAGTTGTCGGTGGTGAGAATTTTGAATGCGATTGGATAATCGCCATGGTTCACAATTCGCACTTTTCGCTTCTCTGGTGGTCGATTTATCTAAACGAACAGCAGCAACATGTCAATTTTTCGACAATCCCTTTCTCACATACGTTTCTTGTAAATTGCAAATAATTGCAATCGACGGATGCCATAATTGGTGGCTCAATTAGCTCGAAATCTGGTTGATGATCGGTCCAAATGAAGCCATCGTTTGATACAAAACCACCTTTTGGCGGATAGATTGGAGATTCCTAAAAACTCTCATTAAATTTTTTTCATTTTCTCATTTTTAAATGTTTTTTTTTGTTACTACCTCTCGACTCATGATAGATAAGAGTGTGAATACAAATATTAAAATAATATTGATTTTTTCTCATTTTCACGTTCCCCCCGTTTTTAGAAATGTTTATCAGATTGTTTGAAAACTTAAACTAGTCTTGCTTGCGAATTCACAATTTTTTAGGGGGAATTGTTTTTTTTCCCTGTTTCTTCAGGAAATTACGAGGAAATGCGACTGGAGTCGATTTCACCTTGCTAAAATATTATATTAAAAAATATATTTATTTAACTTTCCAATTTCTTAATGGCAATTAGCTAATTTGAAAAAGAATGCTGAAAGTCTAAATTTCGCTGATTTTATCAATTATTGCATATGTGCAGTTTAAGACTCAAAGATTATTGAATTCGATGCATTTTTCAAATTCCTTATAATATATTGCCGGCGTCAGACGACTGAAGAGAAGCGGAGCCTTCAAATTCGCGAAATCAGTGTAGATTTAAATTAATCATTGACTGAATATCAAATGCTCGTACACTATAATGTAATGTACGCAGTTTCGCGTACTTCTCGCTGCCTCGATACGCATTGGCACATAGCCAATAATTTTTTTAAATTTCATCAAGTCGTTTGACGCCAACAATACTAGTTATATTTATTTTAAAAATTGGTTTTTTTATTCGAAGTTGGCCATTCCAGTTTCTAGTCTTGAATTGAAACATCGGGAAATATAATATAAAGCCACATTCGAAACGATTGTTTATTTTGCTGTCCCAGACATTTGTTCGTATTATTAAAGCTACAAATATTGTTTTCCAAGTGCATTGAATAGTTTCAGAATAATGCTCTAATGCTCGATGGTGGCTCGTTGTCGCCTCATCGCCGCCGCCGCCGTCGGCACAGCTCTAAACTCCGCCCCGCTCTCAGCAGTGTCTTCACAAATTCAGCAGCAACAGCAGCAGCGTTGGTCGGCACTAGGACCAACCAAATAAGGAAGAGGCGAATTGCGCAAGAACAATGTTCAAGCCGCCGATTCCCATTTTCGTTATATTGCTGATCGTCGGCAAACAAGCGATCGCATTCAACAATTCGTCTGATATTGGGCTGCCGTTTGTCGACGACGTCGTGCACATTCTTCAAAAACTGGGCAATTATAATAGGAATGCGTATCCGAATATCAATTCAGGTAGGCGCTTTTCGTTTTCGCCGCCCAAACACGCCAATTTTGATTTTGAACAACTTAATTTTCGTTTCTATTCGTGTCTTTGATGATTTCTGTTCAGTTTTCATTCATAACCCTTCAAGGAAAAAGAAAAACGACTTGAGAAAGTTGCATAAAAAAACAGTTGAAGAATGACATTCCTCCGGACAGGCCCTTGGGATTGGCGAAAACAAAAATTCTTCTACTCCCCCCTCCCCCCTTTCTTTTTTCTAGTTTCGTTTTTTTTTCTTGGTAGTTATTCAAAATAACCCGGAATTGATGGTTCATTTAACTCGGGGAGTTTGATTTTTTTCGGTGACGCTGCTTCTGGAAAATGTCGAAGTTTAAGATTTCGGCAAAAGATTAGATTTGGGTCGAGAAAAACGTTCGGCCTGCTGATTGCCACACATCGAAATTCGACGGAAATCGCTTTCTTGACGCCATTCACTGAAAAAATTGAAACTTGAAGTAAACTAGAAAAAGCTTGCTTCTTTAAAGTTCATCGAACCGTGATTTAGACCAAACTTCATTAAATATTCCGATTTTTGTTCTCTCCTCATCTGTTGTTTAAGACATTGACGTTTTCAGATGATCCGACGGTCGTCGCGATTCAGATGTACATCGAGGGGTTGTCGTCGTTTCACGCGCAATCCATGGTTCGTGCGTTTTTTTTGGGTTCTATTTACTTGGTCTCAATGTGGGCACACAGGGGAGTTACAAAAAAATAAGATTTCAAAAATCGCAGAAATCTATTGATGGCTCCTAAATCGAAACTTATTAAGAAAATAATTTGAAGCAATTAGAGTAGATCAACTTTCTGTGGTTTTGGGTTCTCCACTTAAAATGCTAAATACATATTCAGCACATCTGCTCTATTGCATAATTTAAAATTCATCACACAACATTGTTGAATAGCCAGAGAATTCCAAGAAACAACGACAATTGTTTATCCACCGAAACTTGTAGATCAAAGATTTTGCACGTAGAAGCTCACTAAAGCTCATAAGGACTCACTTGAAATTAGATACGATCTGAATATTTACCCAGAGTGCTGACACCCTCACCAAAAAAATGGGAAATCGAGAATAACAAGATATTTCCGAATTCTATTCAGACTTAAGGTCATTCCTTGCGCATTTTTTATGGGCTTCCTCACAATAGAAATGTGACATTTTGTTTCGGATATTTGTCATACTAATTGACCATTGTTAGACTTTTGTGCGACAAAAAACGCGCGCACAATTTCGAGAAATTCCCACGATGAATCGAATACGTTTAGCTATTCATCATCGAGTTCAAAATTTTTCTCCTGTTTGAAATCCGAAAATAAATGTGTTGGTCGACTCACGGAAACGAAGCAATGTTTCACATTTTTTCTTTTTTTTTTTTGAATAGACGACGACGAAGGCAATTAGCCGCGCAATTTCGCCTTCTGAACTGATGTGGAGCAATGACGGCGAAAAAATTGGCGGGATGACTTGCAGAGAGTGAAAAAATTGAAAGTAAATCACTGAAGCTTGGAATTAGACGCCTGATTTATTTGAGCCAACCAAATAAGGAAATGCCGGAAAACTGGTCCATTTTTGGAATTGAAAGGATTTTTTTCTATTATTTTGAAATGATGAGAAAATAAAATTGAACTAACAATATAGCAAGTCACACTTGGAAATGCAAACTTCTTAAAGGAAGCTTTAAATGAAACCCCTTAAAATTCAACAACACTCCAAGTTTACAATCGCCTTGACTTTATTGTAAATTCCCTCCTTCAAATTCCATTTTTTCGATTAGAAAAATCTTCTTTTTCCAATGAAGCTACACTTTTTCATGAATTTCTAATTGGTTCGAACTGCACACATTCCAGAGTGTATGCCCCTTTAAATTCTCACATAAAATTCATCGTAAACTATATTTTATTTATTGCCATTTTATACAAGGATCGCCAACATATGCATTTTTTGTGTGAATCGAAAAAAATAATGCAGAAATGTTTCGAGGAAATATCTATCAATTTTTTGTCTCATTATAGCCCAATAAATATTTGATTAGACACAATTCTCTAATTATCCTCCTACTGTAATAATTTTTGATGAGTGTTGCTCATTTAGAATTTATGAAAAATTGCTCATATTTTCTTGTTTCAGGACTTCCAAGTCGACATTTATTTCCAGCAGAAATGGGTTGATCAGCGTCTCCGGCATAATAATACGAAAAGAATTCTCGTGAAAGATAAGAAGCTGTTCGGACTCCTTTGGCATCCGGATATTTATTTTGCGAACGCGCGAACTGCCAATTTTCATGGTGTCACTCAGCCGAACTTCCTTGTTTGGATTTATCCAAATGGCACCGTCTGGTATGATTGCAGGTGCGTGGGAGAAGAAATGAAATAAAAAAATAAGTGATTAAAAAAATTTAATGAATTGAAAAGGAATATGAATATTTAAAGCGAATATGGAAATTTCAGAATCTCGCTGACCGTATTGTGTATGCAAGATTTGGCAAATTACCCGCTCGACTCGCAAACATGCGGCCTTCGCATTCTTAGCTGTACGTTTTTGTTCAAGTATTCAACGAAACATAAAAAATCTTGTAGATGCGTACGACAGCGAGCAATTGGTTATTACCTGGAATGGAGCGACACCAGTGGAAGTCAACAAACAGATCCGAATGCCCGACATGCATCTGAAGCACATCAAATTCTACACGAGAAGCGAAGAATATGCCACCGGAATTTGGTCGTGCGCGGTCGCTGAGTTCCACGTCAACCGCGAGATCACCCATCACATCATTCAATCATACATTCCGACATCACTCATCGTCATTATCAGCTGGTTCAGCTTCTGGCTCGACGTCGAAGCGGTTCCAGGCCGAGTTTCCCTGTCAATCACAACGCTGCTAACACTCGCCACACAAAGTAGTGCTGCGAGAATGGCGCTCCCTCAGGCTTCCGATGTGAAGGCGATTGACGTTTGGATGGGTACATGTATGGCGTTTGTATTCTCCGCGATGATTGAATTCACAGTGGTCAACAATGCGACGAGACGGAAAGTACGAATGAAGCCTAAACCTAAAGGGTTATCGGAGCAAGTCCATGATCTAGTCATGCAATATAAGGAGAAGAAAAATGATTTAGTGAGTTGTAAAATTTTCTAGAAAACGATAAATTTCGAAAAATTCCAGTTTTCCAATGGGAATAGCAGCTACGAGTTATCCATAGAAACCGGCGAAAATGCGGCATCACAAGCGAATTTCGAGAAGAAGGAGCTCCGGGAGCTCAATCAAGCTCCACTCTTCGTTCGTCGTAGCATTCTTCCATCATCAAAACGAAAAATAATCGAGGAGCGAATCAATCGAGTCGAGGAGAATCGCAAACGAGCGCAACTCATCGATCGCTACAGTCGGGTGTGGTTCCCGATCGCGTTCCTCATATTCAATATCGCGTATTGGACATATTATTTGAGATATGCGGTAGTTAAAAAGCCAGTTGTTCTGTTATAACTAATTACGGGTAATGAATTGTTTTCGGTTTTATTAGGAATGAAATAAAATAAGAAGAAAAACAACAACAATTGTTAAAAACTCCAACAACAAAAAAAAAAACAAGGGCTCGAATAACATTTAACAAGAATTAGGGTATCACTTTCCTTCGTAGTCTTGGGCGATTCCTGATCTACCTTCCTGAATCGTCGTGTCTTCATCAACGCGAACGCCATCATCCAATCCTTTCCAGGATCGTTCTTTGAAATAATCTCCGGCAGTATAGAGTGCTATTGTGCTGCTGGTTCCATCCTTCTCATCAATATTCTTATGCTGAATTCGTACTTTTCCCGATACCAAACTCACATCTCCTTTCTCATCATTCTTCTCTTCAACAATCTCATCTAAAAAAGAAATATCGTCATCGTAAATTCAGTAATCAAACCATTAAGACACGTCGAGAAGTCGGCTGACCACCCAAAATCGGCCGCCCAAGACCTGCCGGCATTCAATGCCACTTCCGCTTCAAAAAAGGACAAAACAGGTCTATAGAAATCGGACGAATCGAGAAGAACACCGAACGGGCATGATAGCAGCACGAATATGTCAATGTCCGAAGAGAAATTTGAGAGTTTCGGAACATTGATCTGCAAACAAAAAATACTATTTGTTTATTTCTGTTGTTGTTTTCAATAAGTCATAGAAAACAACAAAAATACACATTTCAATACAAAAATATGAGAGAATCTGCGTCTTCCAGACACTTTGACAATTTACTATCTAGGGGTTTTACAGCATAGTCCCGCTACATTTTCCATTTACACTCAAAAGTTGTAACAGTCCAAAAAAATACCTTGCCAACCGAAATCACATAGATTTTTTTGCCTCCGACTTTGCATAGTGTCCGCATTCGCTGGACAGCATCTCTGAAACGCGAAAACTCATAATTACGTCGGAGGGGGAAAAAAAACGAAAAAAAAAAAACCTGTGGCGATGAACACCAACACTTCCAATGACCAATCCGACGGTGTGCGCATCTTTTAGCTTCTCGATAAGAAAAAGCCGCTTGCGCAGCAATCTTTGCGATCTCGTGCTGCAATAAAAAAAACTCACAATATCGCTCAAAATAATCTAGACGCTTCTTTTTATACAAAATCCGTAAAAATTGTTCGATATAAATTGGAGAATTGTCCATTGGCCAGATCGCCATTATGGATTCCAAATATATTACCCTATTCGGGTCGGGCCTTAGCGCCGTTGTGCTCATTACAACTCTATCGGTTTGTTGGAGCATCGCACAGGATCTCAACAGCCTTCACGACACTTCTTTGAAAAATGTCAACTATTTTAAGGTATGCTCGAAGTTTCTTCAAATTCAACGTTTTCTTGGTATTTTCACTTTGTGATCTACTCAGAATTCTCAATAGTTTCTGCTTCCTACTAATGACTTTTTTACACGGAAAAATTTCAGAGCGTTGCTGACAAAACTTGGGAGACAATGCTCAGAGGCAAATCCGCGCCCGCTTCAGGGACATCCATCATCTTCGGAAGAATCAAGAGATCTGACGAAAAGTGCAATTGCTCCGAGGAGCCGTCAGACTGTCCTGAAGGACCACGAGGGCCTCCTGGAGAACCAGGAGAGGATGGAATCGATGGACCTGATGGAATTCCTGGAGAGCCGGGAGCTCCAGCGTCACTTCGCGAAAGCGATATACCTACAGATGGAACCTGCATAAAATGCCCTGCCGGACCAGAAGGTCCTCCAGGACCACCAGGAGATGAAGGAGAACCAGGAAATCCGGGAGATGACGGAGAGCCGGGAACACCGGGTGATGATGGAGCCGATGGTGAGCCTGGTAAACGAGGAAAACCTGGAAAGCCTGGACCGAAGGGTCCACCAGGAACACCAGGACGACCAGGAACTCCAGGAAGAAAGTCGATTGGTGAACCTGGACCGAAGGGACCGCCAGGACCTCCAGGCGCTGACGGTGACAAGGGACAGGACGGAGAAGATGGTGTTGATGGAGCTGATGGACCTCCAGGAGACGACGGCGAACCTGGAAAAGACGGAACACCTGGAGAACCGGGACCACAAGGAGAGCAAGGAGCTGAAGGACCACCAGGAGGAGATGCCGCTTATTGTCCATGCCCAGAGAGAAGCATCTCATTGAAAGAATTAAAGGATAAGAATTGAAACGTTCTAATTGTTCCATTGTCTCGAACGTCTCGAAAAAAAGAAAAGACAAATAAATAACTGATTTCGTACGTTTTCTTTCGCCTTCTCGCTTCTCAGTGTTTTCTTCGCGTGCGTCGGAATCCATCTAATCTCGTGAAGGTCAAAAAACTTGCCAACAATACTGACGCGCTTTACGTTTCAGGCGGAGCGACCGTTGATTACACTGTAGGAGAACATTTTAAATCAAAAACCGATGAGTATAAAAGGCGAGCGAGATGAGGAAGTAAGCATCATCGGTGCGATGACCAGCGCAACCTTTCTCAATACCGCTGCCGGTATTTCTGGCATCATTGTCTTCGGAGCACTCGTTTCCGTTGCTTACATTTACAATGACATCAACTCATTCGCTGACAACGCTCGCCTTGAGCTCAGCGACTTCAAGAGCAATGCTAACGATGCCTGGAACTCGATGATCGTCGAGGACTCTACAAGAAACGTTCGCAGTGTCTTCAGAGCCCGTCGTCAGAGAAAGCAAGCCTCCCAGTGCAACTGTGGGCCACAAGCCAGCAACTGCCCAGCTGGACCACCAGGGCCACCAGGAGCTCCAGGAGACCGCGGATTGGACGGACAACCAGGACAGGCTGGAAAACCAGGACTTCCAGGAATCGCTGGACCATCCCACAAGCAGAACACTGAGTGCATCAAGTGCCCACAAGGAGCCCCAGGACCAGCTGGAGCTCCAGGACCAGCCGGACCAAAGGGACCAAACGGACAACCAGGACATCCAGGACAAGGAGGAGGCCAGGGACCACCAGGACCACCAGGACCAGCTGGAGAAGCCGGAGCCCCAGGAGCCCCAGGAAACCCAGGCCAGCCAGGACAACCAGGAAAGTCAGGACAGAGATCTCGAGGACAGCCAGGACCAGCTGGAGCTCCAGGACCACAGGGACCACCAGGACAACCAGGACATCCAGGACAAGGAGGAGGCCGAGGACAGCCAGGACCAGCTGGACCACCAGGACCACCAGGACAGCCAGGACAGCCAGGAAGCGACGGTCAACCGGGAGCCCCAGGAAATGACGGAGCACCAGGAGCTGATGCTGTAAGTTGAATAACAGCAATCAATATTCTAATTTGTAATTCCAGGCCTACTGCCCATGCCCAGCTCGAGGCGGACAGAGTCCAGCTGTTACCGGTGGAAACAGTGAGCAACAATACCGCCACCGCGCCGTGCTCGCCGCGCGTCATCGCACCGTCGCCAGACACCGTCAAGTTGCTCGTCACCGCAGCGTCGTTCGCCATCGCAAGGTTGCCGCGAAGCGCGTCGTCGCTCGCAATCGTGTCGTTGCCAAGAAACGCGTCGCCGCCGTCAGACGCCACGCCTAATTCCTTTAATTGGTCACCTTCGCTAGATTTAGTCTTCCAATAAAATGAATTAGATGAGCATTCCAAAGTGTCGTTAAAATCCAAAGAAATAAGTTGCTTATCAATAGGAAACGTGGCATTGATCACTTTTATTGCGATTCGCTCGTCAAGACAAAGGTTGTTCAGTGGGACGAAAAAAAAACGAAGAATGTCGAAGATAACAAATTCGAGCGAACAATGGAAGATTCTTGATACGTTATTCGAAGAAACCAACAAAGAGAATGTTTCTTTTTGCAAAGCAAGCTCGTTCGTTTGTTTTAGACCAATCCATATTAGGAAGGTCAAACTTTCTAATTAGAAGGTTAAACACGGTTCCAAAAATAAGTCGACTTTCACTCGTGATGTACCTAGATGTAATCGTCGTTGAAAAGGCTAAAAAACATGAAAATTGTTCATAATAGTGGATCTCGAAGAAGGATGAATTTGAGAAATGCCATATTTACTCGTTTAAAATGTTTGATCATTGCGCGTCATTTGAGAAATATATCGGGGATTCAAGAAAAAAAAACTAACTTATTTCTTATCGCGAAATTAACAATTTCGTATGCGCGTTTTTTTTATTACAATCGCAAAAAACGAACACCTTGTGGTGGTGAGTTGGATTCGCAAGTGATCCGTAGTTCGGTGTACGAATTACCACAATTCAAATTTGAAATAACCGTCCCCGAAAAATACGAAGATCCACGAATATTCAGGGGTTCTCACGTTTTTTTGCGACAGTAATAACAACTATTTGGTAAACGGCTGCTAGGTATAAAAATTGTATAAAAATAAAGTATGAAACCGAAAAAAACAACTCTGTCAAACTTAAGACATTGAAGATCAGAAATTTATACAAACATATAGAATTGTATAGACTTACTGGAGTGCCTTTAAAGTGCCTCATGATGATTTGAAATATTCCAAATCGAAGAAAAAAAATGTAAATTAGCTGAAAAGTAGCAAAATTCTGAAAGTCCAGCTTGTTTTATTGAGCAATCCATCAGAAGATGATAAACTTTGATTAATTATCAATTTCCCTTGTGGGTCAATGGTGATTAATATCTTATCGTATATTCTTTACAACATAGGGCCAACCGGAACCAACATTCTCACAGTGTACAGAAGCGAACATCCATTGCCGAACCTCCAATCTAAGAACCTAAGTAGAAATTCGAAGAATCGTACGCGATTGGCAAATTTTTATGTTGTCCAAAATTTCAATTCGATGTGATCACAACGTCCGACAACGATAACATTTCGCGCAAAAACAATTTCGAGAGAATCGACATTTTTCGCCGTCTTTTTTTTCTTCAATTCTGGAACCGTTTTTCGTTTCGCCGTACAAAACCGTTTCCACCCAAAAACTTCCTAGTTGCACAGAAAACAATCATCTGCGTCTCACAAATTCCAACAATCTCTCGGCTAACTGCTACCATATCGATGCTGGCCACTCTCTGATGTACACACTATTTGAATTCAGGAAAAAAATATCGGCTACTAGTATTTAAGGTGGGCGATTGGTTCCGAGAACGACACGAATGTCGTCGACAACCTTCCTGACACTGGCAGCCAGTGCCTCGGGCGTCATTATTTTTGGCGCCCTCATTTCCTGTGCCTACATCTACAACGACATCAACTCGTTCGTTGATGATGTTCATAGAGATCTTGGAGAGTTCAAGGTGTTGAAAGCCTCAATGAGCTACTGATGATTTATGAAATTCAGATTTATGCTAATGATGCTTGGAATTCGATGGTGAGTGAAGATCATTCTCGCCAGGCTAGAAGTGTCTTCCGCCGCCATAGAAAACAGGCTTCCCAGTGTAACTGCGGACCACAATCTCAAGGATGCCCAGCTGGACCACCAGGACCACCAGGAGCTCCAGGAGACCGCGGATTGGACGGACAACCAGGACCGGCTGGAAAGCCAGGGGCACCAGGAATTGGAAGGCCAGTCGAGCACAAGAACATTGGATGCATCAAATGCCCACAAGGAGCCCCAGGACGAGCCGGAGCTCCAGGGCCAGCTGGACCAAAGGGACCAAATGGACAGCCAGGACGTCCAGCTCAGGGAGGAGGTCAGGGACCACCAGGACCACCAGGACCAGCCGGAGATGCCGGAGCGCCAGTAGCTCCAGGAAATCCAGGACAGCCAGGACGACCAGGACAACTAGGACATCGCTCTCACGGACTTCCAGGACCAGCTGGACGACCACACCTACATGGACCACCAGGATTACCAGGAAACCCAGGCCAATCTGGAGGACAGGGACCAGCTGGACCACCAGGACCTCCAGGACCACCAGGACAGCCAGGACAGCCAGGAAACGACGGGCAGCCAGGAGCGCCAGGAAACGACGGAGCTCCAGGAACCGATGCTGTAAGTGCTCAAGACTTCTAGACATATCCTCAAAATTCACATATTATAGGCCTACTGCCCATGCCCGCCACGCAGCGGCGCAGTTCGCAGTGTCGCCAGACATCGTCAAGTCGCTCGCAGCCGTGTCGTGGCTCGTGGACGTGCTGTGGCTCGCAGTCGCGCCGTCGCCCGCCATCGTCAAGTTGCCGTTCGCGCACGCAACGTCGTCCGTCATCGTCAGGCCGCCGCTCGTCAAGCTTAATTCATTCGAAACCGTGGCCGCAAGAGCACTACCCAATAAATTATCGTAATCATCCAATCATTTCCGTGTTTGACAACACCAAAAACGAAAGACAGAAAAGCGCATCGCATTGGGAACGAAACGTGAGTATCGATGAAAAGCGATGATCGTCAGTAGGCCGGCACCAAAATACACACTTAATTATCACTATCATTCGAGTCGAAAACTATTCAAAAAAAAAGTTGCGCGTCTGCTGGTTTTCCGAGACGAGAGCGAAGCGGGTCAAGAAAATCGCAAAAAAAGTGGACGGAGCGGCCGATTTCAACAGAACCGCAACATGCAAAAAAAAAGAAAGGAAGAGGCTGGATTGAAATCGAATATAGACTCCTCTTGATATCTTCTCATTTTCATCACAAAAATTCATCCAAGCATGACGGGCCGTTTGAATCAAACAATTCGAAACCCATTCGATGGTTTCTATCTGTGTTTGCCCATTTCGCCAGAATGTGTGTTTCGCCAATCGCCAATCATATCTTAATCGTGTCGTTTTGCTACTAGTCCTAACTGAATTGCCTCATTCCATGCGAATCCAAATACAATCATCCACCTAATTGAAGTTTATTGCTTTCAGGGGCAGGTCGCGAAATCGCTTCTCGACGTTTATAAACTGGCAGATATCGCGTATTTCTTATTCATCGCACCGATTTTGATTTCAATCAAACCATTTCAGATACTGATTAGGAAGACCGATATGGTCAAATCATACTATATCGCTGGTGCTGCGTCAGCGGTGTGCGTTGTGCTCATCGCGGTCGCCGTTTCGTCAACGGTCTATCTGCTCAACGATATTTCAGAATTCTATCAGGACGCGCAAGAGGAGCTCGTCGAGTTCCAGGTTTCCTTTAGCCGAAAATCGCGCGAATTCCGTTTATTAAGGATCTCGCCAATAATGTTTGGGAGTTTATCGTAATCGATGCGACACCAGAAGAGTTGCGTGAAGCTGAGGAAATTGAAAAAGAACGAGAACAGCGATTCAAGAGACAATACGAAACAGAAATTCCTGATGAGTCCGAAGAAAGTGAAGAAGAGAATAATTATCGCGATGTTGGGCCTCCATCTTCGCGCCCACAAAAACATGAGAACCCAACACCACGTGTAATTCAAGGTACGTGGTGTTTTATAAAGAATTGAACATGTTCTAATTGCTCAGCAGGATTCCGGCCTCCTCCAGTCACAGTGTCTCCGCAAAGACCACCTACAACATATATTCCAGGACAGCCTTATCAGCCACCAGTTACAACTGCTCGACCAAATAGGAATGGATATGATATTGACAACAAACCAGGATATGATAATCAAAGCTATCAACCGCCAAGAGGTCAGAATTCGGGATACTATCAGCCATCGCAGACTCGATCGCCAAATCAAGGAGGACGACAATATCCTGAAGATGTTATTCCACGACCTACACAACGATCAAATGGAGGGCAATATCCAGAGGATTCTACACAGAGGCCAGTTCAATCCAGAAATCAAAGACCTTCTGGAGGGCAGTATTCCCAAGATGTTACACCGTCACCATTCGATAATAGACAACCAAATGGAGGACGGTATCCAGAAGACTCGCTGCCTCCCACAGATCGGAATCGCCACACTCCGAGAAATCCAGGATTTCCACCACCAGCAAAGACGTACAATCCAAGAGAACGCGAGCCTGGCTACCCAAGTGGAAAATCGATGTTCTCGTACACCACCCCATCAACAAATCAACGAATTAATTCAACTCCGATTCCACCAACTGCCAACACCGACTTCCCCAATAGGCCATGGAAAAATATTCCGCCAACACCGCGACGCAATCAATGTGACAAATGCAGTCTGATGCCAAATAACTGTCCAGCTGGACCACCAGGACCACGAGGAAGGCCAGGACCTCCAGGATATCCGGGACAAGATGGACCCCGTGGTCTTCGCGGTCTTAACGGTGCTATCGCTATCAATCAGCAAAATGGATATGCTGGAGAAGGATGCATCCAATGCCCGATTGGTGCGCCTGGAAACCCAGGACCAGACGGAGAGCCGGGAACTCCCGGCGATGATGGGCTTGACGGTGAAACTGGAACACCCGGACGTGATGGAGAACCAGGTGCTCCAGGAGCTCCTGGTGATGCTGGTTATAAAGGACCGTCTGGAACTCCCGGAACACCAGGAAGACCAGGAAGAAACGGACAAAGTTGCAGAAGTGTTCCAGGGCCACCAGGAAAGCCAGGACCACCAGGAGAACCAGGACAGCCAGGAGATCCAGGAATTGATGGTGAACACGGACAACCAGGATCGCCAGGAATCCAAGGACCACCAGGACGTGACGGTAATCCGGGAGCTGATGGACCTGACGGAGAGACAATTCCTGGCAAACCAGGTCCTGATAGCGATTATTGCCCATGTCCAAAGCGAACTGCATCATTGGAAACACTCCATAAGGTTATCGAAATGTATGAGAAGCAGTTGAACAACGTCACTGGTGGAGAAAAGGAGGCAAATTCGGAATCTGAAGACACTAGTCCTCAAGCGCCACCACATGATCAGTTGAAGCATTATCCGGATATTTCATACGGAGAATTTCAAGCGCCACCAAAGAGTATTCGTCGTCCAGTGGACACATCCGCGGAGATTCCACCAAAACAACGAACCGGATATGATCAAGGACCACCACAACAGCCACAAACACACAATGTATATGATCAGAGACCAACGTCGACATATCGCGAGCCGAAGCGAATTGATATTAAGCTTCGCGAAAAATCGAACGCGCAAAGAACAGAATCGGAACGCGAACGGTCGTATGAGGTCGAGCCCGAACCAGAATACGAGCCTGATAGACATCATCCACATCCACCCGGCATTCGATTCAAGCGACCACAGAGGATAAGAGATGAGGATCGTAGGTCACAGTATGATAGAGATACAAGCGCTTCTTACGAAGATCATCCACGACCAGTGGAATACCCAAGAAATGAAGAACCATACGACGGATCATCGAGACGGCATTCAAAACCAAGAAGTGAAGCAAATATTCCGAGAGAGGTTAGTACGAGAAAAAAAAAAACGCGAACAAAATATTAAAATTCAGAATAATGGAGAGTATAAAAATACTAGAGCAATTCAGACAGAAATGCACCCAAGAGGTAGTTTAAAAACAATTATTTAACTGTAAAAATAAAAATTTAGAACTAGAATATTCTGACAGAGCTCCTAGAATTGAAATGAAGAGAATCAGACCTTTGGATAGTTATCAAGAGGAGGGATATGACAGAAGAGCAGCAACAAGAAGCGACGAGTATCAAATGGATTCTGCTCCACGAACTCATACTGTTGATCAAACGCAACCTTATAGAAGAAGGCGATCACGCTACTCATACAACTTCCGCAATCGATATTACGAAAAATACCTCATTTAGTGCTTTCAGTTTCGTTACCATTGTTAATAATATAATTTAATAAATTATTGGAACTTACATTTCTTGTGTGCATTGAAGAGATGATGGATCGAAATGACAGAAAGATGCGCATTGAGGGTAGGAAAGGAGCCAGAGGGGAAGTAGCGGGGAATCAGATAACCCACAGAATAGAAGATCCACACGACTTAAAGGATCGTTTAAGCATTCGGGAACACGGCGACCCAGGTAACACTTAATAGGATTTTTCGATTATTTCTAAATGAAATATTACTCTTTCTTTGGTTTCTGACATTCTTTCAATTTCCATTAGATTCGCCAACTCCACTTTTTTGCTGGGAAATATTGACTGCACAACTTTTGCCACAAAATCTATCATAAAAATTTGGAATTGACTAACTTTCATTTTTACCTTGTGAATGAGAAAATAATGAATCGACTAGAATAATTAACACATCGTTAATAAATTGACTGGATTTGGATTTAATCTCTTCCTCAAGAGTTATCAAATCAATAGGAATTTGTCCGAAAACGTATCTAAAAATGGAAATTGTTTTTATATTTCGGAAAAATCGTACTTCACAGGAATATTGAGGGTTGGAATACTGAGGCAAGCTTCTCCATAATGAATAAGAGCATCGCATATAGCGTGAGCTGCGGCAACTTCGTCAATGCAACAACTAAAATTGGAAATGCCATTTTTAGTTTTTAAATTACATTGATTTTAACCTCCGATATGACGTATCAGCAAGAATATACGTTTTTGCGCCGGTTTTATCCTCTATTAAAACGCTTACTCTTCGAGAACACTGCAAAAACTCGTCGGGAAACTGTAGCGCTATCCTTTTGTAGTCATTTTTTCTGATCCATTCAATTGTTTCGCTGATTTCAAAAAAATCGCCGAATTTCTTTTCGTCAAGACTCTGAAATGTGCTTTTACAATTAGTCTTTCACATTGGTATTATACTGTAAGTATTGTGGGAAGAACACTTGACGATTCTTCTAAATGAATTTCAGCAGGAGTTGCACCAGAGAAAAATTGCGAAGTTGTGACACTGTCTTCGTGAGACATACCTATATATTTTCTTATTTTTTTTTACTACTTATTTAATTGAATATTAGTCAAAAATATTAACAAAAATAGTTGAAAAAATTAGGAAAATCGTGAAATTTGAAAAATAAAATTTTATGGACGAGGAAATGACGGCCATGTGAGTAATAATGGTTCGGCCATGTGTGTAATAATGGACATTTTTTCCGGAAAAAAAAAATCTTTCCGGAATAATTCTTGAATATGAAAATACATAGAGACTAAAAATTATTTTTAAAAATACATATATTTCCATGAAAATCCAAAGTGAGATGTTGATTATTGAACACTCAAATTTCATATGTTAAAACAGAAATTTTGCTGTCGCTTGAAGCCGCATGCCAAAATTTTTTTTTGGAAGTTTGGTTAAGCAGAAAAAGAAGCACAAGAAATGTTCTAATTTACCGTTACTGTAACGAAGAATTTCTGCAATACACTGATGTATACCGAATTTCTGCAATACACTGATGTATATCAAAAATTAATATTTTTTTAAATTTTATTTGTTATAATATCTGGAAAAAAAGGATTTAAAAACCTTAAAGTTTTCAAATCAAAATCAAACTCGACCCAAATTGTTCCATTAATCTAAACGTAACAATATACGTCATGCATATTTCGCGCAATCCATTTTCCCACACTTAAACTGTTTCCCCGTATAACTAGGCAATTACAGTATTTCGAATGTAAATGAAGGTTATACCATCTGAAATAGAAGGCTGCATAAGGAACGCTGATGTGTAAGAGTTCGTGTATCTCTGGATTCTCTCATTCGACCGCAATCTTTCGAATGTTGCGAGTAGCCTCAGCCTCCCGCCGGTAGCGACGAAACTGACTGCGCGTCGCCCTTCTTAACCATCCTCGTGTCGCATTTTTTTTTGCATCGTAATATTATATACAATATTTCTAGTTTCTGTATGATCTTTCACATTTTTCCTATTAAAAAAAACCGAACAACAATTAATTAAATTCACAATATTTTTCAGTAGCTATTTGTGGCGTCTCAAATGGAAGACCCGGGTGGTTTTCAACGAACTAATGCGCTGTCAATATTCAACGCCGCCACAACAACAACGAATTATGGCGGAATCGTGAACGAAATGTTTGACAGTTCCGCTGACGTGTTGCCAGTGAAGCGCGCAGATCGACTAATTATGGGTACGTATTCGCTAAAATCCCGCTGCATGTCTGCTCCGCTGGGAAAATATGTACGTATGCTCGTCGAGCATCCACAATGACCCGCGCAGCCGCGACCATGTTTGTCTTTCGGTTTCGTTTCGTCTTTTTCTCGTTCTGTTTCCATCAGTGTCGAGTTCAACATTGTTCACACCGTGACTCATTCTGAAGCCTGCACAAATGAAAAAAAAATGACGATGACAGATAAGAATTATTAGTTTTTCTCGTCGAAATTTGTGTCCCGTTTTCTCGTTTTCAACAATTGTCGCGTTGTTGTTTATAATTTCTCAAACAATTTATGTTTTAGCTAAACGGGTCTCGTATTTCAAAATCGATACATTTGCAAAAGCTTGAAAATTGCTCAAAAGAGCAATCAAAAATTGCGAAATTGCCTTCAAACATTGACGGAAACGATTATATGCCTTTATTTGCTGACCGTTTTTTTTTTGAATATATTTATTTTCGCTAATTCTCTCTTTTATAATTATGCTTTAAAATATACAAAATTTTTCACTTTAAATAAATAAATAAAAAAAGAAAACAGTTTTGAAATTTTTTTATGCATAAAAGGCCAACATCCCGAATCGTATGCTTATCAAAAATGTTGTTTGATTTTTCTCGGCGTCTCTTTTACATTTCCTGTCATTTTCGTTAGAATTTATCGTTGAATTGTCAGCGAAATGCACGCCGAGCCGTCAATCGGCCCGAGTACTAGCACAATGGATCATCGGGTGCCGATACCAGAAGGCCCGTTCGTCGGCTCGACGAATCCCAATTTTGACGAGTGTAAGTTCGCACGGTTAATGTGGTTGTCGGTTTGGCGCGAAACAAACAATAAAAATTTCGGCGTGAATCACATAATTTCGAATGTTGTATTTAGATGACGATGCTTCTTCAACAGCGACACCTCGAGAAGCGAACGGAGGTGAGCCAGGATCTCCATGTAAGACATTTTCTTTTTTTTTAATCATTAAAATATTTTTAGCAATTGAATATTCGTCATCAAGGCCTGGAGGATTGTCGACGTTATCTGGAGTCTTCGCCCCTGTAGCACTTAGCATGTTCAGTATTTTATTATTTATGCGAATGGGTAAGTGTATCAATTCAATTTTCGAAAACTAATTCGTGCCATGCTCAACTTTTATTGCTTTCGTGATCCCTTTTATTTTTTCCAAAAAATAGAAAAAGAGATACATTAAAATAATATAAGAAAATCAATATTTAAGGGATATCATTTTAGGTTTCGTTGTTGGTCAATTAGGATTTCTCGTCACAATTGTTCAGCTTTTAATGGCATATGCAATAGTCATGCTAACCGTCCTTTCATTATGTGCAATATCTTCAAATGGAGCTGTTGAAGGTGGCGGCGTTTATTGTAAGTTTCAATGCTTCTTTATTTTCCCTATTTCGCCCAAATTTCAGATATGATTAGTCGATCATTAGGACCCGAATTTGGAGGAGCCATTGGAGTTTTGTTCTTCGTGGCAAACGTTTTCTCGTGTGCGCTGTACATTTCTGGATTTACCGAGGCGTTGCTCAATAACCTTGGAAATGGACGTATGTTTATAGCGGTAAAAAAAACCATATTTGATTTCGATTTAGAATTCCCTGATTCTCCAACGTGGCGATTCTTCTACTGTGTCCTTGTATCCGTTGTTCTCCTAATTGTCTCGCTTCTCGGAGCTGGGCTCTTCGCGAAAACTGCTCTTCTCACTTTTCTCACAATTTCGATTTGCTATTCAACTTGGATATTATCGATTGTTTTCAACGGTCCAATGGACGTGCCAATTCCAAAAGTAAGAACATTTTCAAATTTTAAGCATTTCTTTAATACCATATTCAGGTGAATACTCCTGCGTATCGAGTACTCAACAATGCTTCTGATCCATCTCAAGGAACCCACGAGGATTTTAATCAGACTCTCACAGCAAGATATACCGGATTAAGGTGATTCGAATTGAATGTTCGAATGTTTAGTTTAATTTTTAGTTTTCACACCCTTGCGGAAAACTTCTTCACCAACTATACTATGGATTACACGACGGAGAAACCAACCGACTTCGCATTGATGTTCGCCATCATTTTTTCAGGAGTTACAGGTAATAAATTCAGTTTAGGCTTTAAATTGAAACCGATCAGAAAGCAATCAATGACAAACTATCATTTTTACGAAATATTATTATATGCATGAAACGAATGTATTTCCCAGGACTAATGGCTGGTGCAAACATGTCCGGTGAGCTGGCTCGTCCTTCGGTTTCAATTCCACGTGGTACCGTCCAAGCCGTCTTCATGACACTTTTTGTATATATCATGACTGCGTTTTTGATGGCGTCGACATCTAGCAGATATCTTCTTCAAAATGATTACACGGTAATAATATTAATTATTTTAAGATAAATTTTTGCTGAAATTCTATTCAATTTTTAGGTGATGATGGACACGAACTTCAACAGAATATTTATCTTGATTGGAATCTTTTCAACCACACTCTTCTCTTCTATGAGCAATTTGATTGGTAATTCGAATTTTTCATTTCTATTTTAAAAATCGAAACTCTAGGTTCTTCTCGTGTTCTCAATCGTCTTTCTCATGACAAGCTTTTCGGATGTCTTCTGAGACCGGCAAAGATTGAAATTGGAGATCGAAATCCGGTGGTTTCGGTTGTGATCACATGGATTTGCGTAGTTCTTGTCTTCTTAATTGGTGCAATGAACAAAATCGCCAAGCTCACCTCGATTTTCTTCCTCCTTTCTTATATGGGAGTAAATGTGGCGACTTTGGCTCTTGAATTGACAAGCGCACCGAACTTTAGGTATGAATAATCAATTTTTAGACTAAGAAAACGAAAAAAATATACTTTAGGCCAACATTCAAATATTTCTCATGGCAGACGTGCGCTCTCGGCGTGATTGCAACCGGAACAATGATGTTGGTTGTTGATGCTTCAATGAGTGCCCTAGGAGTCGTCGTGCTCCTTTCATTGATCATGGTTCTTCATTATCAAGTAGGAGATATGCTCAATTACTATTTTCTTTGTTGATTGTTTAGGCTCCAAGTGTTTCTTCTGGTTCAATTTCTCAAGCTCTAATCTACCATCAAGTCAGAAAATATTTGCTTCTTCTTGATGTGCGAAAGGAGCATGTGAAATATTGGCGACCGCAGATCTTGCTACTTGTATCGCGTCCAGCTTCTGCTTGTTCCTTGCTAGACTTTGTCAATGATCTCAAAAAGTCTGGCTTATACGTGATTGGGCATGTTCGCAAAGGAGATTTGGACTCGAACCAAGTTGTCGATCCCTTGCAGCAGGTTTCTTTTAGTTTTCAATATTTTGAAATATCAATTGTTTCATAGGTTTTCCCATATTGGCTCTCGTTGGTGGATTATCTCAAACTTAAGGCGTTCGTTGAGTTGACGCTTTCAAATAACATTCGGCATGGAATTCAACAGGTACTCCTATTTTCTATTTGAATTTTATTAATTATATTACAATTAAGCTGATGCGGTTGTCGGGTCTTGGTGCGATGAAGCCAAACACCGTTGTGATCGGATTCCACGAGAAGCAACCGTCAAGCGTGACACTGAAAGAATCGCAACTTCTCAAAGATTTGCGTTATTCGAAAATCGATCGAGCCGCTGTCGTCGAATATTTCACCGCCGGCGATTATATGCCGCGAGAATTGGATGGAAATCTTGAGCGATTATCCACAGAAGATTATGTGCATGTGCTTAAGGATGTCATACACATGACGAAGAACTTGTGCCTAGCACGACATTTCTCGAAACTTGATAAAGAGGCATTGCAAAGGGGTTGGAATGGTCAGAAGCGGTATATCGATGTGTGGCCAGTAGATCTGCAAAAGCCTGTCGAAACTGGACTAGGATGGGATAACAGCTCATTGTTCCTTCTTCAACTCGCATGCATCCTTTCAATGTCTTCCAGATGGAGATCCTATACCAAATTGCGTGTATTCATCTGCGTCAATAGCCTTCAAGTAATCGGGGTTTTTTTTATTAATAAAGAAAAATCCTTGTGTTCAGGACATGCATCGACGCGAACGACAATTGAAGAATATGCTTGACACTCTTCGCATCCAAGCGCAATCGATAGTTGTTCCTTGGGACCATGTTGTTTGCCATTATCAAGCGCCTTCGTCATCTGCTGTTGGTGCAACCGCTACGACGTAAGCCAACTGGTCTCCGGATATCTAGGAATTTTAATATTTAAGACCGTCTGTTGATTTACCTGAAAGCTACGTCACCGCGTTCAATGATATGATAAAGAGATATTCTGAAGAGGCCGCAATCACTTTATTGAATTTGCCGCTTCCTCCGGAAGATGTGGAAAACGATGGCGAAAGGTTTGCAAACTCAAATTTACATTACATTTAAATCTGGCATTTTCAGGTATCTTGAGGTTATAAGAAAGATCACGGATGCACTTCCACCAACTTTACTCGTTCATGGTGTCTCTTCTGTCATTTCTACGGCTCTTTAATCAAAATTGTATTCAAAATTTCTGTATTTACTATTTTTTTTAAATGTAATATTTCATTTTCGTTGTTAATTTGAACGGGAGAACCTCCACATTATTTGATGTATTGCCCAAAATTTTGAATGTACTTAATTTATTGAACATCTTTGTAACTTTTTTATCTGTGATAGCTGGTTAAAATAAAGTCAATAGCCTCAAACAATCGCAATCGTTTAGAGAAAAATGTAAAAAAGAAGGAACAAGAAAAAATTCAATTTGAAAAATTCAAAAAACAAGTTCGTGAAAGTTCGTCGCGTGTACTGAACTTTTGAGTTACGGTAGAAGAATTTCATGATCGATTTTTTTCATTTCTTCGAATATTGCTCACGATGATTTTATTTTCTGTACTAGCTGATATAAAATGAATATTTATTAAATTCTAATTTTAAGTTTCTATTTTGAAGAATAAGTAATTATGATTTATTATTTTATTGTACTTTTTACAACATCGCGGATTCCTTCTTGCTTTGTGACTCAAAACTTGTATAGCAGATGGTCGAGGTTTACTTTTGCAATGTGTCATCTCTTTGTCCTCTCTCCGCTACCTCTAGTGGCAAATTTACGCGCACGTTTTCGAATATTCTCGTCGCTTATTTCTACCAACCGGTTGCATCATAATTTTTTGCCTATTTCAGGAAGATGTGCGAAACACCGAAAATCGAAATCAAGGATCCCAAAACAGAGCCGTTTGGATTCAATGAATCACCACGTAAAACGCTATTCTCTTTTTTTTGATGATATACAATAAATATATTCAATTTTTACTGTGAAACCCCATTATTTTCGTGGTTTTTGGTAACCAGACAACTATCAGTAAAAATGTGATTTTGTGTAACATTTTCCATGTTTAATTTGGGGCTTTTGGACAGGTTTGTTGATCAATAAAAATATTGTTTTATTCAGATTGCTCTGATGATGAGTACGAGAATTACGAGCCGAAAAATAGTGACGAATATGAGCTCAAGCCGAAGAAGCGGCACATTTCCGGAATCGGACAGCTCGTCTGCAAGTTGAGGCACAATGCGCCGGTAATTCGGATCGATATAATCTCGAAATGATGTTTGTCTGTTTCAGACTGTCAAGAAAGAGCGAATCATTCTCGGAGCTGATGGAAAACAAATAACCAAACGTCATATGAATAAGGCAACCCTAAGGCCGCTTGATGAGATGATCAAAGCTGAAGCTGCCTTTAATTTTAATGGTTTTAAATCTAAAATATCAACATTATGATTATTATTATTTGTAGGGTATGACAGAAATAACTTCTACGTTCAACCGATTGTCAACTATGAAATTGCGGTTGCGCCAACGATGAGTGTCGATGAGTTGCGAAGTCTTGTCCGAAAGAATATGATACGCTGCAAAGTCTGCAAGAATCGTTTTGGCGAGGTTCACATTCTCGAGAGACATCTTCGCGATTTCCATCCGACCGCTTATGAGAAGTATCTGGAAGAGCAAATGAAGCAGACTCAAGAGCAGATGTAGGAGAATGCAAAGAAATTCGCCCAATTCAAGTCATATTTTTTTCAGAGAAATCGATAGAGAGAGACAGAGAATTGAGGAGCTTCTGAGTGGCGGCTTCATTCCACCACAATCTGAAGTTGATGCCCATATTAATGATGTGGAATTAAACGAGTATGAACATACATTTTTTAAAATGAATTTAATTATTTTGCTTAGAATACCACTTCCTGGAGAGAATTCCAATGGTTACGTGCCGAGACTCAATCAATACGGGGCTGTTGTCAAGTTGCAAGATACTCTCAACATGAAGTTTCCGTTTGTCAAAAAAGTAAATCGATATCGACGCGAATTTAATTTTTGATTTCACTGGAATCAATCCATAGGAATCTATAATCAATTTTTCAGAGATCGCCGCAATGCCCATTCTGCGACAAAAGATTTCGCAATGATATCTCTTTCAACAATCATATTGCCAAGGTAATAACGCTTAATCAACACGTCTCTTCAATCGGGTTTTGCAGAAACATCCGGAATGCGCCGAATTCGTTCAATGTCTTCATTGTTTCAAGTGTCTGCCGAGCAAGGAGGATCTTGAAAGGCCGGATTCTCATCACTGCGATTTGGTCCGACATATCACTTGTTTCAAATTAAAATTCGATAATTTTAGACATACATGTGTTTGGAATGTAGACCAATACGAAACATGTGCACCGAAATGCGTCTTATGAAGCATCGCGGAAAATTTCATCGCGGAGCTAACTCCGGATTCCGGTATACACCTAGTTTTTGTCAGGACTTTTTTTCAATAGTATAAATTCAGATGCATGGATTGCAATCAGAAATTCTTGACGCCGAGAAAGCTTCGAAAACATCGAAAGATGGCCCATGTGTTCTCAAGAACCTACCAATGCCACTTTTGTGATGAGTTGTTCATTTCGGAGACCGCTGTATATCCTATAAATCTGAAATTAATTAAATTCTAATTATATGTAGGTTACTGTGCACGAGCGCATTCACACGGGAATTTTGAAATTTGAGTGCCTTGTCTGCGATCAAAAGACTAACCGTTACATGCAGATGGAAGAACATAAGAAGGTAATTTTAATATTTAAATGAATTGGACAGAAATTTTTAACGTAATAATTGTCAAAATTTCCCCTCTTCAACTTTTTATTCTTTTGGTATTCACCATCTTTTTAATGATAGGGGGTAGAAGTTTTGTATGTATTTACGATCAGCTAATTATAAGGGATCCCAACGATATACACAATCATCAGTACGCAAGGGTCACTTTTTTTGATCTGGCGCACTGAATGCAACCTTCAGTTGAAAATTGCCATTTGGCCACGAAATGATAGCGCAGTTTGAAGGTCTTCTTTTGCGCGCGAAGCAATTAGAGAATGATCGATGAAAGTCTTTGTTTAGGAACATCATGGATTCGTGTGCTCGGTGTGCCAGGAGAAGTGTTCATCATGGAACGAGATGAAAGATCACACATTCTCTGAGCATGGCGGATATATGACCGAGGAATCGAAGCACGCCTACGTCGATTCACCGCGCACTTGGATTATGTACAAGGGAGATTGAAATCGAGTTGATTATCACCAAATGTCGATCTCAAGTTGGCGGATTTTTCTTTTGTTATTCTAACTACCAAATTTCCTACTAGTTTTTCTTATCTCTTATATTATTAATTTAGTTTACACAAGATTTTGAAGCTTCTAGTCTCCGAAATCTGAAAACTGATTGTCATTTAGGGTCTTTCTCTGATTTGAATCAGTTATTTTTTCTAAATTGTTCTTTTTTATCCTCAAATTTAAATTTCTTGGACTTTTAATTTTGTTCGCAAATTTTCAGTTTTCTTGAATTTATTGTTCTCTCTTTTTTCGAAAAATCTCCGCATCCGCCAAATCACTACTGGTTTCACTATTGGTTTTCCTCTGTTGTGGCACAATATTAAAATTTGATTAATTGTTTCGTTAGAAAGCATAATGTTTTGTTCTCGATATGTTTAAAAATAAAATATTTTGTTTATTTTGAAGATAAAAAAATCATAAAAAACGTCCCAGAATGGGTGCGAAATTCGGCCAACAGGATGACATCAATGTTGATAATCGTCTCACGAATTTTTCCATGAATTGACCGAACCGAGTGGTCTTGATTTTTATTTCCGTCGCAACTGGACAATCGGCATAGATCAGCAACAGCAATCGAAATAGTGCGTGGCTGGCGGAGGGTTTGGTGAATTGTGTTGGCCGAGTGACTCGCTCGAACTACGCCTATATAAGGCGAGAGCTCGATGCAATGAGAACAACATTCAGCAATGAACAAGCTATTCCTGGCAACCGCTTTCGCTCTATTTTGTGCCTTCGAGGCAAGACCGTGCGGCGGATTCTGCGTAAGTCATCATTTTCATATTCTGATGTAACAGTTGTCGATTTCAGGGCGGATTCCGGCCACCACCGCCACCATGTGGACTTCCACCATACATCGACGACCTTCCAGAAGACGCTCGTCTCAAGATCACCGAGATTTGGAAGAACTACAAAGCCGGAGACAAGTGCTACAACGAGCAAGGTCTCACTAGAGAAATTGTCGATGCTCTTCCAAAGGATGCTAAGAAGAACATCCATCGATTCCGTCTTCCATTCCTTCATGGACTTCCATCCGACGTCGTCGCCAAATTCGATGAGATCATGAAGGATCGCAGTTTGACATTTGATGAGAAGAAGGAGAAGACTGACGCGCTTGCCAAGGAGATTCTCACCGGCGACGCTCTTCAGAAGTTCAACGAGTTCAAGGAAAGAATGAAGAAGCACGAAGATGAGTACGAAGAGAAAAAGTCGAAATTGTCGAAAGAAGCATTCAAGGCGAATGAAAAGATCAGCAAGCTGATGAAGGAGAAGTTCGAGATCATGGGATCGTTGAGCGAGGAAGTCAAAGATGAGCTGTTCGAGTTGTGGAAGAGCCGATTCCCGGGACCACCACCACCACCACAGTAAAAAATGTACATAATACGCAACAAAATGACAATATGTATATTAAATGACTAATATGTATAAATATGTATTTAATAAATTATTTATTCGAAATTAAACATGATTTTAAAAACATCGCATGGTTTTCGAAGAATCAACGCGAATTCTTATCCGTTAAATTCAATGAAACTCAACCTGCCTGGAAAAGCTCGAACAAATCCCTTTCAAAAGAAATTTTGAGGCGTTATTTTAGGTTAATCTAAAAGCACATAGTCAAATTTACAAGATTCTAATCCAAAATGACTTTATTGTTGGAATTTAAAATTTTTTAAGGAGCTCACAAATTGGAGGTACACCCTGAGCCAACGTTTCATCTCAATAATAATGGCTTCAAACCGAATTGTTTCGAAACTTTTCTTTTCCAAATAGGGAAGCTCGGCCACTCAGTGTATACGCATATAGGACACAGCATAATACGGTAAGCTAAAATAGATTTTTTTTTTCGCTGTTAATGTCTAAAATCCAAATTACAGATTAACAATAGATAAATTCTAGATTATCATTTCAATTTCGTAGTATTTGCTAGTCGGCAAGTATTGGGGTCGATTTTCGGAAGGCTTTTCTACGCTGAAAATAATAAAGAAACGTAAAATGCGCACGTGGCGAGACCACAGCCAAACTCATTTGGCTGAATATTTTTTTCAATCAATTCGGAGTCACCTAGCATGCGGAGTCACCTAGCATATTATATTAATTGTGGGCCTTACAAAAAGATAATTTGCCATTTGTTTTCTCTTTTTTTTCCCTGAAGATTCTTCTTCTCAATGTTGCTTGATATCAATTGCGCGAACATTTCTGCGAGCGTGTGTGTTGTGTTTTGTGATCCCTTATGTTTCCGATCCTCGATCTCCTCAACCTCTTCCTCCGCTGCGAGTGTATCAATCGACTATTGTAATCCATTTTGTCCAACTAATTCAATAACTACTCTAGCAGCAGCAGCAGCAGATCGACTACAATCGCCGTCATCCGCATAATAATGATTCGATAAATCATTGGAGACATGTTCTCAAAATGCAGACGAAACCGTATTCATGCATCTCCTTCTCCTCGACGATTTCTTCGAATACAAGCATATATATATTCGAACGCATCCAACTGATCATAATGTGCCGCTGAAGAAGACGACACCTAGTGCGGCGTGTGGGTGGATGATTTGGCGTCGCCATTGGCACTGGGAAATAGTGTTCGGCTTTGAGGGGGAGACGCGTACAACGAGGGAGGGCATCGCATTCGACAATTTACATCCCAAAAACTGATGATGAACGATGAAAAAGGTCGTTGCGGTTTATATGAATTTGAGTTTTCGCTTTCGAACATTTTCGGCACTTTTGTCGAAAATGCGAATTAACGGAACGCGATTGGAAAGAATCGTTTTTTGCTAAAAGAAAATTTCCGAACGTCATAAAGAGGGTCTCGTAGCGATTCCAGAAAGTAATCTAGAAAATCAAGTAGTCTATCAATATTGAAATTTTTGCCTGGTCTTGCGACGACAATTTCGAGTTGGCTTACATAGAAATGATTCCAATTTTTCTGATTTTGAGATCATCTTTAAGAGCACGTAATCGTAATTCTAAACACTTTTAAGCCGATTGGTTAAAATTCTGTGGTGGAATAATGGCAAATTTTGGCAGAAACAGGACCATTAAAAAAAAAAACAGAACAAAATTTCTGGTTTCGAAGCGGCGAAACCGTGAAACCTGAGGGTTTCGCAGAAAACCGAGAAACCAAAAAGAAACAAAAATTAAAATCATGGGTTTGATTCGCACGTCATCCGTAGTACGGTAGCCGACATCACACTGTTTAAATCGAAATTCGAATCACCACAGACTGCTCGTTTTTTAGGATGTTTGAAAATGAAAAATTCATATTCAAAATACAAGGATTCCAAATTTAAAACAAAATTTCTCTGTTATCAATTTTGAACAATTGCCAACTACTGACTGATAAGCCATTGCCATTCTCATCAATAGTAAAAATTTTAATTAATTTTAGAACAAAACGCATCAACAGAGCACAATTACTGTAGCAGAAATTGTATCAATATTGACATTTCGACAGTTTGTTTGTTTATTTATTTTGTTGTGCTTCTAATCGAATTGTGAACAAGATAAATGACCGGTTTGCTGATTGATGATTCGATTCGGATGTACAGTAACCGAAAATATACCATTTTGTGAAATAATATTCTGTTATTGTTTAAAAGGACAACTCATCATATGCTAAATGAACATCCGAATGCAAAATCAGATTATCCGACAACAAATCGAGGCACTGATATTAAAAAAAAAATACTATTCGGAAAATGACACCAATGAGAATATTCGGATATTCTACAGTTCGCGACGGATTTGATCTGCCAATTGAATTGAATAAATAAATATATAAATGACACGAAAATCCTTAGTTCTGTATAGATTCCATACAAGGAAACCTGATTTTGATAATTAAACCGCCTACCGTAATCGTGGGTTCTCGAGCCGACCACCGCGCGAATTCCGAACCGCAATCAGACATTGCAACGAGTTTGACCTTGCCGAATATATCCAACGATAGAGGTCATCACATTTTCTACCGTAATCCTCCCATGGACGAGTGGGCGGAGTCTCGACGAGACCTCGCGACGCCGTCCCAACTTCTTTTTGCTACAGTTTTCCGAGCGGCGCCCTCATCCCAACATTCACCTTCAGCCTCGCATTTTTTTTGTTTTCAAATCGCTTCAATTTTTTCTGGTTCGAAAATGGCTTAATGATGACTTCAGAATGAACGCAAAGAAATTCGAATTGATAAAAAATTTTTTGAGGGGACGCGTTATCAAAAAAATAAAGTCGGGTTTTTAGACACCAGCACACAAACAGAGACACTCGCCTCGATTTGATGGCCCTTTTCCTTCGCCGCACTGCCCTCAAAAATTTTGAAAATTCTCGTTCGATATTCAAATTGACACATTCTGTACACAATCACTCGAAAATGCCGCTGCGTTTACCCAATATGGGTGGTCCTCTCTTTATGTATTTGTATGCGCACATCTTTATAGCCATTCCACAATTTTTTTACTAAAAAAATTTATTGAGCAGTTTCGATACGAAAATTGACAAATACTGTAAAAATCCTTGAGTCATTTTCATCATTTTTCTTTTTTGAGTTTTTTTTTTTGAAAAAACTTATTTTCCGCTAATCCCAATTCCTTTATTTCAACTGTTTCGTCCAGTTTGAGACCCACTCTATCTAATAGTGACATTATCAACAAATTCTTAGCAATAGAGCGCAATTGCTGAACGTACCGCGGGTAACAATGGAGCGCGCTTTCTATATTCTCGCTATCCAATTTCTTTTCATTTTTCACAAAAACGTCTCAAATTTGTAGAAAATGCTCTATCAAAAACGCTTAATCACATTTATTATTCCAAATTTAATAAATGTTGGTACTACCCCGTTCATTGGGACCACACAAATGAATAATTAAGCTATCACCCGGTGGTCGTTCTCGTGTTTCAAATTACTCGACATCCCCCCCCCTTCCAAAAAAAAAAAACGTTTGAAGAAAAATTCGGAGGGAAAAATGGAGCACATCCACAAATCTCGGTGAGCGCCACGCATTTACCGTGTTGCCTTCAAATGGTCCCTTGGGACACACATCTCCTTCTCGTTTGCCGTCATGGGGGTCCTGCAACGAGTGTGCGCGCGCAAACCACAACATTCATCAATATTTTAATGGTCCTTTGGCGGCAAACGAGCCATTTTTTAAGCGTGTGCCAAGACAAAAAAAAATCACCAACCGCAGCGTTTTTTTTTTCTTTCGTTCTTCTCGTCGGTCTGGTTTCATTGCGAGATGAAACACAACGGAAACCGAACATTACAACATACATATGTACATAATCCCATTCAAGGAATATAAAAATTAATGGGCATACTTGGGATTGATACCAGCTGAAATGCACCTCGGAGAATTTTAATCCGAATCGAGCATAAATCGACGTGGAAGATTTCTTGCAAATTGTCCGCAGATGCATTCTCTTATTAACAACTTGGCAGGCATTTTTTAATTTCGAAATAGATAATTGATGTTGGTGCCAATCAACTGATCGAATTAAAGAAATTGGCTAGGCGCCAAGAGTTCTCGATGAAAGCCCACGTACACATATTGCATTTTCAGCGCGGTTGATATTCGGCCAATATTGCTTATTTAATTGGCACTGATTTCGTTTGACACCGAAGAGTCATCCGAGAAAAATTTTTACAAAAAAATTGTATCAAGAAGAAGCATTAAAGCGTAGCATACCGTACCATCGAATGTTTAAAGGGTCTTATTTTGAATTTCGATTTAAACAACGGGAAAAAATGTCGAATTGTGGATAATCTGCACATTAAACCGTGTTTTTTTTTCTTGCGATTGACTCTTCTTAAATTATTTGATAATTAGTCTACAGATTCCGAGAGAACCCTTTCAAAAAATTTCTGAATTTAACCACAATCAGCCTCATTTCCTTAATTTTAACATGATATCTTCTTTCATCTATTCTGAAGTAAAAAACGTTGCATCAAATAAATTATTCGATAATTTGACGTGAATTAATTAATTCATTCAATTAGAATAATTTCTTGAACTTTCAAATCTCTTAACCTGTTATATTTATGATAAGGTCTTCTCACTTCTATTAAACTCGTCCAGTATTGTTCTTCATAAAATTCGAGATTACTGTAGGAATGTCTAAAAACGAAAAATTGATGTCTTTCAAGAAAGAAGCGACTGCACACTTTGCAGATTCCGAAAAAAGTCGGGTGTTGTGCTGAAAATCATTGCTATCACTTCACACGATCTCATATTTTGGCAGTTGGTCTCGAAAAAGCTCCCCTGACAATTTTTGTCGGTCGGCCACCCACGAGAATTTAATGTTATCCGATTGACTTTTGTCCGTCCGCTCATTGTTGATCCGTTTCGAATTCGGTGTGGTGCGACCAACAAA